GTCACTGAAGCTTTCCTGGCGGGGCGGCATCTTGGCACCTGGCTTCAAACCGCCCGCGGATGGTGCCTCGAGGTTCCGGGCCAGCGGGCGCAACTAAGCAGGGGAGGGGCCGGTTCGCAAGCGCCGCGGGCCCAGGATCGGCCTTCCGGAGAGATGGCGGCTGATGGCCGGAATGCTACTCTAGCCCTTGTTGACGATGGGGCTCTCTCTTGGCGCAGGGGGCTCGTTTTGGAGCTTGTCCAGGACTCCAGAAGATGAGGGACAGAGCCCACGACCCGATGCAGTCGTCAGCCATGTCGGAGTGCCGCTCCGTCTGCCGCGAGGCGAGGCCATCATCACCACCATGTTATACCGGCAGCTGGTCCGGCGTTTGGGGTTACGGTTCTGCATCCAGTCTCGATCGGTCCGTTCAGTCGAGGGTAAACAACCACCCGCGGGAAAACTTCCTGTCTCACGGAGTGGGCCGCCGCTGTTCCCGCCACTAGTTGACTGAGATTTTCGCAGGGTGCATGGATGATGGCTCTGCCCGCCATGGCAGAGACGGTGGTGTCGACCGCAGAGCAGAGAGGTTGATGATGACGACAAGGACTCACGACGCCTTGCGGCTTGGGGATTGCAACTTCGATTGCATAATGCCGGCGCAATGTATGTACGATGGGCCAAGCCAAGGCCTGAAACCAGCAGCACAGACCTCTTCTGCCTTTGCCTTATCTGCTTCTTCCCACAATCTGCACGTCGTTATCACAGGAATCTGCGTCCATCGCCAGTCACTTGCATGTTTCATGGGGCGCAGAGGCACGTCATGCAGCCGTGGCGGGGGAAGCAAAAGAAAGACGGGCCAAAAGAAAGACGAGAGAAGGGAAGGGGGGTGTTGTGTCTGTCTGCACGATGCGTTTCCACCACGACCGAGGGATTGACTGACGTGCAAATCAACGATTCTTACTCTTGTCTTGGAAGACGAGAAATGAGCCAGTTGATTTGATTGGCCGGCAATTGTACTCCGCATCGAGCCTGTGGTACCTACTGATAGGTGGCAGGTAGTGAAAACCAAGCCCGCCTCGCTCGCTCCCCACACCAGCCGCGCACACACACACACACACACACACACACACACACACACAAAAACACACACACAAGCACACTGCACCACAACTTTTGAGAGAGATGATTTTTATGGGTTCATCGGTGGGGGGGCGGGGGGTTTGGACAATCAACGACCCGTCCCGTCGCCTTGGCGGTTTTGTCCTCCGTGGCCCACCCACCACCATGACCATCGGACGGAGACTTGAAACACGCGGCAAGCACCCGCCACTGTTTTGTGTATACCGAGTACGGCAGGACAGCTTGAGACGCTGCGGGTGCGTGACATGGGCTGCAGAGAGCCCGAGAAGTTGATACCAAGACTAAGTGAAGGGCCTAGTACGTACTCTGTACAGTACACCATAAGCCGTCGTGGCCATGCATGCTGTTTCCCATTTGCCGGGCATCCGTGGAAACTTGGGCTCGGGAAGAGGAGCCGGGCCCGTCTGCGTCCACCACCAAGCCATATCCAGCAGGTGCCGGGGCCTGGAGCTGGTAGTCGTCGTCTCTAGACCCGTGGCCACAGCCTTTGGGACCGCACAGGGGTGAGACCCGGTGCAGCGGACGCGGGAGCAGTTGGGCCCGTTGGATATTTTTCTTTCTTTTCTTTTCTTTTCCTTTCTTTTCTTTTCCCCACTATCAGGCTCTCGTACTCTCCGTGTCTCTCTCTCTGTCTTTGGCTGAGCCGCCATCGTCCTCGACCACGCCTATTCTTTCCAAGCAGCGCACTAACGAAGCCTTGCCGCTGCTCACTAGCCACGTACTAGAGAGGTAGGTCTAGTTACAGGGCCTGCATCTTGCGCTTGTGGTCGAGGTAGGCACCCCAGGTACCTACCTACCTAGTCGAGGCGGTAGGCAGACAGGTACCCACTCGGAGTGCAGGCCAGGTAAATGGCCAGCCAAGGTACCCGAGCGCTATTTACAGTACCTCTCCAACGACAAGCCACTTGTCGTCGACGGCACCTGACCCAGTCAGCTTCTCAACAACACGTAAACGCCATTTGACGACGATCATCCCCATGCCACAGCGACCCGACGACGACAACTATCCGCCTACACACCCCTCAGCACCCCCGCACGCACAACCCAAGGACTGAGACCCTCTTCCTCGTGGCCGCAGACGGCGGCGCCTTCTCCCCTCGTCGCTCCAAGCCTCCAGACCATGATGATCTTTTTGGATGCGTTCAACTCTTCTGCTCCTCCTCCTTCTCCCCCTTCTCCTCCTCCTCCTCCTCCTCCTCCTCCTCCTCCTCCTCCTCCTCGCTCCCCCCTACGCCGCCTACGCCGCTGGCCCAGGTCATACGGCCATCATGATCCGTCCCTACGGGCTGGCTTCCGTGCCTTGCATGCATGCAGCATCATCAGCCTCAGCAACGACCTGGAACACACATCTTTGTCCGTGCGCTCTCTCCCTCTTCCCCTTTCCTCCCCCGTCTTGCCGGGCCATACCATGTTCTACTGCTTCCAATTTTCCTTTTGCCTCGTCCTGCTTCTTCTTCCTCTGGTCCGCTTCGCCGCAGGTACCGGCTGCGCGTCGAACTGGGCATTTAGTTACCATCGCTCTCTCTCCCTTTGCTCGATCCACACACACGCTTGTGCCATCTCCCCACACCCCCCGTTGTCCGAGTCTGCCTCTTTTGATTTTTTCAAATAGCAGCCGTTGTTGACTCACACATGCAGCCAACTAACTAGGTATCTCGCCTCCAGCCCATCTACCACCCCCAACCGCTTCCCCAGGACCCCTGTCCTGCCGGCCGAGATCGCTGCAACGCTGGCTGCTTGCTTGATAGCGCCTCCTCTTGCGCAGCTCCGAGAGCCATTACTCCGTCACGGCGCCACCCCCTTCTGATCAGGGCAGTCGGCCCCTGCCACCGAGCATCGGCCTCCTCGCATCGTCAAGCTCGGCGGCCACCGTGACATAGATCCATTCCGTCCCCGTCACAGCTATTTGCGTCCACGGCCTGCGGTTGGCGGTCATGCTGTGCTGCTCTGTTGCTGCTGTTGCCGCCGCCGCCGCACTGCATGACCCCCCTGTGGTTGTCCTTGTGTGCTATGATACGTAGGAATCGGACTGGCGCACATCAAAGTGCATAGATCGCCGACTAGCTTCTCCGACCGTGCGCCCATCGTCGTCTGAGGCAGAAACTCGTCTCTGCGCGGCAAACTCCCGCTCAGGTACGACCTGGCTGGATCCAGGCACCACACACCAGAAAGGGATGACTGTTGCTGCAGCGCACGTCCAGTCCCAGACCATCTGTCATATGTCAATTCGCGCCCATGCGGCCAACCACATTGGCTCCTCGCTCTAGCGATTTCCGCCCACAGGCAATCATGGGCGGCTGTCTCGGCCTTGGACGCTCGGGGGCCGAGACTGACGTGTCCGAATTCCCGTCACAACCAAATCAAGGCCCCGTCTGCTTTGGCCTGGCAGCTTTGCGCCCATGCCTCGTGACCCTGTCCCTGCCCTTGCCGTTCAGTGGCCCCTTTGACCTCTCCCCCGCTTCTTGCTTGTTACATTGCCCGCTCCCTTGCCCCGATGCGCGCTGACCAGATCCTCGGACTCGATATACTGAAGCCCTGATCGAGTCAATGCTGCCCCGATCCACAGCAGGTCCTCCTTGTGGGCCCCGGCCACTGTGCCCACTGCCTTGACCGCACTCGAGAAGAGGCTGCTTTTCTTGTCGAGAATCATGTTTGATGACGACAGCGCCGCGACTACGTGCTTCTGGGCCTCCCAAGAGCAACGGACAGGAGAATGGGAGTCGCGACGGCTGCAGTCGTTGGCCGGACCTTTTCTCCGTTCTATTGCCTCGCAATCTCTCCTTCCGCTGCTGGACCGCGGCAGCTGAGCGAGCTGGTTCAGCTGAATTTTTTTTGGGACATAGGCATCTTTCGCACGCCGGTCGTTCGTTTCCTTGGAAAATTGGGAGGAATCGTTGGTTGATGGCGGTGAATGTGACACCTTCGTGGCCAACCTCGTAGCTCGCTCATTGCGATGGCGAATGTCCGCGGGCAGAAATCGGCATCTACCCCAGCCACGAGGATGGCTCGTTGGCGGACATTGGGACACAGAGCCTCACGAACGGCCTGTAGCACATGCAGAGGCCGTCAACCCGTATAGCCGGGTGTCACCAGTCATTGTCATGTCGTTTCCGTGAAGTGTTTTGATTTTCTTTTTCCCGTAAGCCAAGCCGTTCTTTTTACCGTCGTCATCTCGCCCCCGGGCCCTCGCAGATAACCCGTCTCGCCAATCGCCGACCTGGAAGACACCTTATTTGTCCACGATTGCGAGGGTGACTGCTAATAGCCCCCCTTATGTGTTGGAATCATCTGGCGAGGGCATGTAAGCCCATTCGCCAGACCGCTCGAGGCGAACTGGCAATCTCCTCCCACGCAAACAAGAGATTGTGGGACCCTTGGTCGTTTTGCTTCCCAGAGGCGATGATGGATGCCTTGGTCGGAGATTTGCGCTTACCGTGGTTCTACAGGATAGCCACGGTCCCATGTCACCCTCTTGGATGAAAGAGGTCGGATGTCTGGAGTCGGACATAGCACGGCTCTGCTTGAGACTCGGTGTCTGAGTTGGCGCGGCGGGGTCCTCGATGAGCTGCCCGATGCGAACTTGTTCTACCCGAACGGAAGATAAGGACGAGAGGTGATGTTTTGTTCGTGCCAGGAACATTGGCGGCTCGTGGTAATCGCCTTCGTGGTCGGGAGAGACAGCCTACGTCCGTCTTCGGTGTCACCCATCTGTGTCTTACTCCCAAACGACGCATCAAGGATCGCCCGCTGGACTCGCGAGGGGTGCAAAAGCACAGACGCAATGGTTCTCGAGGTCGAATCGATCGGAGGATGGCTCGATCTGCTCCCAGCAAAGGCAATCGTGCCCCCTTCGGCTAAAGGGGCGCTGGGAAAAGAGGTCAGGCAAACCACCGCGGCAGATGATACTTGACATTTTCGTAGACGACAAACGTGACCCACGTCGCCGGCATGACCCTCACCACGCCGGGCACCAGGCCACGGTAGAAGCCTACGAGGCCCTCGTCGCGCCAGGTGCGCACCACGACGCCGCGGAAGCCCCTGCCGAAGCGTTCGTCGGCGCGGTAGTTTTGCAGCCGGGTCCGCAGCACCTGGTAGGGGTACGTGACGGCGCCGGCGACGAGCTTGGCGGCGCTCGAGAGGGCGACGGTGGCCTGCGTCGTCATGGGCGCGTCGCTGTCGTCGCCGCTGTCTGGCTGCCGTCGGGCAAAGTACATCTGTTTGGCGGGCTCGTAGACGGCAAACTGCACGGCGCCGTGCGAGACGCCAAGCAGAGAGACGCCGAGCCCGCGGTAGAAGCCGCGCAGGCCCTCGGAGGCGTAGATGGCCCGCGCACCGGCCAGCATCGACGGGTAGGCGCCCGCCGCGCCGCGGTCCGACGACAGCATGCGCGTCTTGAGCACCCAGACGGGGTTTGTCAGGGCCGACGTGGCGGCGCCGGCGGCGGCGCTCGAGAGGAAGAAGTCGCCGGCCGACGGTTGCTGTCCATGCGGCTGCTGCTCGCTGTTGCCGCGGCCGCGTGCCAGGGTGAGGGCGCTCTCGGCGCGGGACTTGAAGAAGAAAAAGGACGCCCAGCCGGCGGCGTTGCCAACGAGGTTGGGCGTCAGTCCACGGTAGAGGGCGGTCAGGGGCCGGTCGTTGGAGGTGAGGGAGCCGAGGACGGCGACGGTGGTGGGACGGGTGGCGGCGCTGCTGCTGCTGCTGCGGTAGACTGGCCCGAGAGAAGAGCGAGGAAATCAGCTGCTATAGCTTTTACTCGACGCGTCGTTTGCGGCCGCTCACTCTGCATGCGCGTCTTGACAATGTCGAGCGGGTGGACGACTAGAGTCGCCACGGTGCCGGCGCTGAGGCCGGCGACGGACTCGACGAGCGCGGGGGAGAGGCCCGCATGGCTGGGTTCGGGCATGTAGGGGCTACGCGCTGCTGTGCGTGCACCGTCACCATGGTCGAGGGGAGAGAGAGAATAGAAGCCGAAGTGTGAGTTGGATTTTTTTGACCGACGTCGGCCGCTACGGAGGTACTTCTGTGTGGGACTCTTCCTCCAATCTGCACCGGGTTGTTGAGTGCTCTCCGCATCACCAAACGAGACGGGAAAAGCAAAGGAATTTCGAGTGTGGAATTTTCGTCATTGAAATGCGCGTGCATTGTGTGTGCACGCAAGTTGATGTGATGTGGGTTGGTGGTCGTCCAGACCTCCCATCAAGCGCTTCTGCCGTGCGCAGCCCCTTGGATCCATCTCGTAGGCCACGAGCCGTATCCCAACCGAATGGGTGCCATGTCCGCCTCTCTTCCGCCCCTTTCTCCTTTTGCGAGATTCAAAAAACTCCTTGGTTGTTGCTCCCCAATAATGTACACGATTCACCAAATACATCCCGCAGACCGTTGCGTCTACGAAAGGGGAGAGAGAAGACTATGCCCGAGTCCGTCAGCAAATGCCCCAGTCCAGGCAGACAGTTCGTCTCCGCCTCGACGACAAGGCACGTACCGGATGATCGAGGGCCGAGGCGCGCTGCGGGTGTAGCCTGCAAAAATAAAAACCGTCAGTAGCTGCCGCCGAGCCGCCCTCGTCCAGTGCTGGCGCTGGTTACCGAGATAGAGAATCAGAGGAAGATAGCCACTGCAGGGCGCATGGTCAGCACGGCGTCACGCGAACCCCGGCTGTTGGAGTCGAACGTACTAGTGGATTGCGACGCGGGAGACGTCGATGAGCTTGGCAATGCGCTCCTGGGTGTTGCTCTTGTCAGTTCACGTCGTTTTGGTAGACTTGCATCGCCGCGCTGTGCACCTACCTTGGACTCTTCGGAGAGGGCAAACATGCTGGCGGCGAGTGCGCTCTGGTGACGTCGGGGTCAAGTCGGTGTAAATGTGGGGGGATACGCCTTCGCCGCGAGCGTGCACCGAGGCCGGGGAGGTTGGAAAAATCAATTGCTGGATGCTTCGCGGATGAGGCTTCCCAGAGATTTCCGGCCCTGGATGATTTCCCAGCTCCGGGAATTGCCAGCGGCTCAACCCCGGCAGATCCTAGCTTTTTTGTGGATACCTCGAAACTTTTGGCCGAGCTGCCTCTCGCTTCCAGCTGCCGACAACCTCCAACCTCCATATCAATATCTGTCTTCCCACCGTCTCACTCCCTTGCTCGATTCCTGCGTCGCACACCTCAACAAAGCAGCTTCCTCTTCTTCCAGACCCCTCTACCCACTACCACTCCTCCTCCTCGCCGGCTCTCCGCGCGAGCCAGCATCCTACGCCAAAGATGGCGCAAAATCGGCATTGGTGCGCCTCACTGGAAAACAATCCCGCCCAATTCCCGCCATCGCAAACACCGGGGGGCGCGCACCTTGGCTAACCAGCGTTTGCTTGCTTGAAACAGGGAGCAGGACAAAGAGGCAACCGTCTACATCGGCAACATCGACGAGCGCGCCTCGACCGCCATGGTCTACGAAATCATGCTCCAGATGGGCCCCATCCACAACATCCACATGCCGCGCGACCGCGTCACCCAGAACCACCAGGGCTTCGGCTTCGTCGAGTTCCGTGGGCCCCAGGACGCCGAGTACGCCGCCTCGGTCATGAACGCCATCAAGCTCTTTGGCAAGCCACTGCGCGTCAACAAGGCCAGCGCCGACAAGCAAAAGGGCACCGATGTCGGCGCCGAGCTCTTCGTCGGCAACCTCGACCACATGGTTGACGAGAAGCTACTTTACGATACCTTCAGCCGCTTCGGGCCCCTGCTCAGCCTGCCAAAAGTGGCTCGCGACGACAGCGGCAACAGCAAGGGCTTTGGTTTCGTCAGCTTCGCAGACTTTGACAGCAGCGACACCGCCATCGCCAACATCAACGGCCAGTACATTCTCAGCAAGGAGGTTTCGGTGCAGTACGCCTTCAAGAAGGATGGCCGCGGCGAGCGTCACGGCGACGAGGCTGAGCGCCAACTGGCTGCTCAGGCAAAGATGCGTAACATTGTCCCCGAGGCACAGCCCATCCCTCAGGCCTTTTTGGGCCAGCCCCCTGCTGCCCAGGCACCCGCCTCGACAAAGCCTGCGCCTCCGGGCTTCGATCCTTCCGCCGTGCCCGTGAGCATGCCGCCAGCCGGCGTACCTCCCCACGGCATGCCCAACAACTTCGCGCCGCCCTCCCACCGTGGCCCTCCTGTCTACAACGGTACTACTCATCCCCTCGCCCCTCTCGCAGCAGGCCGCGGGGCAGTCCCTCTCCCCCCCGCGCCGACAGGCTTGCCCGCACGCCCCCCCCAGAGCCAGGTCGGATTTACCAACCCGGCAGATTACCACCCCGGCGGGTTCCGCCCTCCCAACGGATCACCCGCCCAGCAGGGCTTTCCCGGCGGCCCGCCGCCGCCCGGCTTCCCTGTCCCGCCGCCCGGCCCCTCTGGTTCTCCGCCGGGGCTGCCTCCAGGCTTTCCGCCGCCCTCTGGATTCCAGCCTCCGCCAAACTTTCCTCGTCGTTAGAGAGTGGTTCATTTCTCTCCATACGATGATCCGAAACGCCGTGACGGCACATCTTTGGTTCAGTTGAACGGTCACGGAGCCATACATTTTAGCTTTGCCCATTTGAAAAAGGGCCCTCGTACGAGGTACGACATCCGCGGAACCACTCGCCGCGGGGTGATTTAATTGCATTGCTTCCCTCTTCATGCATAGACGCTAACATGGCTGGTGACCGCCGTGGTCAGGTATCGTACACTGCCGCCCACATTGCGCCAAACCATGGGGAGACATGACCAGCCAATTTTTCTTGGCCCTTGCACTAATCGCTGCCGGCCGCAATGAACGCCAGTTTTCCGCCGGTGACAAGCACGCGGCCATACATAGAGAGAGACAGGAATTGGGATCCAGGACAAACAACGAGGGATACTTCACCAGTTCCCCGCAAATGCATCTCTCGCCTCCTCGGTCGCCTTGTCCCACTCGTGTCTCGACTTGTCGCGCTGGCCCTGTACCTCGTAGGACTGCGCAAGCATCCCGTCCGCCACGCTCTGCCAGAGAATGTTGCCGCTGCGCTGGGCCTGCTTGGATGCCGCCCGCGCGCTCTTGAGCGCCTGTTCGCCAATCACGTTTTCGAAAAACCGACTTCGCATGATGCAGAGCGTGACGGCGGCGCCCAGGATGTTGTTTGTGACTTTGGACCCGGCCATGGCGGTGTGGATGTGCTGCTTCTGCTGGTTCAGCTGCTGCGGGGGCTCGGTTTCCAGCGCCGCCACGACGTTGTGCCAGGCGGTCCGAAGGTCGATGTTCCAGTGGTCTGTGCAGTGAGGCTGCAGCTGTTCTATCAGATCCTGAGTCTCTTGATCCCTCCTGCAGGAAGGGTGCTGCATGATCCACAGGCGATTCAGGCCCGCGAGTAGGGCGATCTCGCGCTGGCCTGCCCTGACGCCGGCGGACCCCTGGGGGACAGCGAAGCATCTGTCCATGAAGATGTGCAGCGCGGCCTGGAGGTTCCCGGTGCCCTGATGATAAACGCCGGTTAGGTAGACAGAGAGCAGTTTGACTGCGGGCTGCGTCGCCGGCGTGATGGTTGTGCGGAGCTTGGACAAGAGGTGCTTGACCGTCTCCCACTGACAGCGGCTTGCCGCCATTAGCCCGAGGAGGACGTTGAGGTAGGCATGCGCCTCGATCCGCCAGGTCCGTTGCCGAACAGCCGTCGCCAGCGAGACGGAGGGGCCATAGGGAATGTTGGCCGTTGAACTATCCCCTATGGGAGGGTACAAGCGAGTCAGAATGCATACCCCAAAGCAGATGGCCAAGCTGGGAAAAGGAAGCTACTTACAGCTGTCAAGAATCTTGACTCCCTCTCGCCAAAACTCTGTTGATCGGCGGCCTTGGGCGGAGGGCTTGTGCAAGTTGGCCAGGCCACTAAACGTAAACCTGCGAGCGCGTAAAAGTTAGCACGGCAAGCAACGCGTTCACTGTCGAATGGGCTCCAAAACATACACCAGTGCTCGCAGCTCAATCTTGGTCATAAAGGACATGACCAGGTAGTCAAAAGCCGAGTCCGCCTCGCCCGCTCTCACAATCGTGGCCGTGTCCTCGCTGACCGTCCTCGCGTTCGAGGGCTGCTTCTTGATCGGGACGAGGAACTCGGCCCTAACGTTGTGCCACTCGTCGCATTCGTCCAGCCTCATCTGCAGTAGACGCAGTTTCTGCGACGTACTGTCCGGGCTCTGGTGGTGCAGACTCGAGGCAAAGTCGAGCAGGAGAGCCAGCACGTCGAGCTGCATGATCTTGACCGTCGGATCGAACTGAAACTTGGCCGCCTGGGCAATGCAGGCCTGCACCCTCTCGATGCTGCCGTCCTTGGACGCCTTGAGGAGACTGAGTCCCTCCAAAACCGAGGCCAGGACGCTGAGCGCGTTGTCGCCTCTCGTGTTGGCGATGTGCTGGACGGACCTGATGTTCTCTAGTGCGCCGACATCAGAGGCGGTTCCCATTTCCATGTAGAAAGCAGACTTGAGTAGCCGAAACGCGTAGTACCACTGGACGTGCTTGAAACTATGCGTCGGTCAGTCGGCACGAGTTTAGGGGCCTTATTCTGTGTAGCCAAAGAAGGGCTCTCTTACGTTTCGCAGTCGGAAATGTGTCCGTCAACAGCCTTGAGAGCGGCTTTGTGGCTTCGCTGAAAGAGAACCTTGAGCATCAAATACTGCATGCAGTACTTTAGATCGACCAATCGATGCTGCAAGACGTCAGCAACGCACCCTCAACCAAAGCAGAGAACCCTTCGTCTCACCTTATCGCAGAGCGTGATGCCCTTGCCCAAAGCCATCTCTGCCTCCATGAGGTTCTCCGTCTCTTCTTGCAGAGTGGCGGCGTACCTTAGGCGTACACGCGCCTCTTCTCTTGGCGACAGCCGACAGTTCTGCAGGGTCGCCTCCAAGCAGGACAAGCTGGTGGCTATGAGCTTTTGGTACTCGTCGACCCGCTCAGGATGGAGCGACATGGCCACGTCGTGTACGGCGGAGCGCGCCTTTTCGAGGCATTCCTCTGCAATCGCCACCATGATGGGTCCCGTATTGATTGGTCGCGGCTTGGTTGGGATGGCGGGCGATTTTTTCGTGATGCTTGGAGAACGCGCCGAGAGGGCTGGAGAGTTTGTCACGGAAGAATGCGGGCTGGACTTGATTCTTGGCGGCTCAGGCTTCGACTCAGTTCGTTTGAAGCCATGGTTGATGGAAGGATGATGTGCTTGTGTGGGAGAGGATTTGACGGGAATGCTCATCGATTGCGATCTCGCGTGGGCAGCGTTTTCTGGCGGTGCCGGGTCTGGCGGTCGGGCCCGTGAGCTGTGCATAGCTCCCATGGCGATGGGTGGAGGTGGTGGTGGCGCCTGAAGGATGTCTTGCGGGTTGACGAAGTGGATCTCTTGCTGCGCCGGGGGTGGAGGTTCTTGGGTCGTCGGAAGCTGCGGCTCCGGAGCCAGTCGATGCGATTCAGGCACACATGGTCTTGGCTCGGATACTGACGGTGGCCGCGGTGGCTGCGGGACAGGCTGCTGTTGCTGCTGTACCAGGGGCCGATGCGGGGGTTGCGGACTCGGTTGCTGCTGCTGCTGCTGCTGTGGTGGTTGCGACTGAGGCAGAGGACGAGGTGGTTGAGGCTGAGATTGTTGCTGTGGCGGGTGAGTTGAGGACGGTCGAGATTGTGGTGAAGGTTGGTGCTGGACTTGGGGGGAGGATATGGGGCTCTGATACATCCGCTGTTGCTGTTGCTGCTGCTGCTGCTGCTGCTGCTGCTGAAGTAGCTGCGTGGGCCGCATCGGAGGTGGCCGCTGAACAGCTGGCGGGGACATGGCGGCGGCGGCAGGCATGTTGTAGGGACTAGTAACTGGTTGATTCTGCTGGTGAAAAGGCATCATCGGGGACTGCATCGCTGTGCTGTAGTGCCGTTGCTGTGGCTGCGGCGAGTGCTGGGCGGGCGCAAACCTGGCGCCAGGATCGAAGTTGGAGAAGCCATCCATAGCCATGCCATAGTGCGCCATATGATGTTGTTGTTGATGCTGCTGTTGGCGTTGCTGTTGATCGTCGAGTTGCGACATGTGGTGGTATTGGCTCGGATGGATAAACTGCCCGTGCTGCTGCTGCTGCTGAGCCGGCTGCCGCCCGAAAAACTGCTCGTGCCCGCCGCCGCCGCCGCCGTGATCGTACAGAGCCTGCAGCGGCGGCAATAGCTGCGGTTGCTGGTGGTGGTGCGCCGGACCCTGCTGTTGTTGAGCGTGATGTTGCTGCGGCTGCTGATGGTGATAGCCGGCCTGCTGGGCCCCATACAACTGATCCTGCTGGCCCTGAAAGGCCGCCTGGCCGGGTGGCAGCGTGCCTCGGTAGGTCATTGCCCTGTCGTCGGCATCAGGCGACGCGGCTGAAGGGGGCGGCGCGCTCTGGTCGTCGGGGCTCGAGGGGCGCAGAGAGCGGCTTCATGCCCTCGTGGCCTGCGTGTCCGGGGTCGCCGTCGCTGCGTCGTCGGGCATTGGCGCGCGCCGAGGGAAGGTCTCGAGATGGGGGTCGAGGGTGGACGCGAGGGGGGGAAGCAGTCGGGGATGGTGGTGGTTCGAGGTTGGAGGCCAGAGGTGCATCAACTGTGTACCGAAGATACCTTTGGCCCCGTATCCGTACTCGGCAGGCTCCTCCTAGGGGACGAAGACACTTGTTCCGCTTTCGCTAATTAATACCGCTACACCCTTAGGGGCTAGTCAGTGGCTGCCTCCAGTGCAGACCCGGCCGCCGTCCCAGGACGTCACATGGCCCTCTATTTGTGCACTGTACTGTATGTACGTCGTCGCATCACCACCTCGCGTCACCACGGGATAGAATAGGGTCCAGATGCAGATGGCGGCAGCATCCAGCACTGTACATACATGATTACATGGTCAATGTTGTACACACACATGCCTGGACGACAATCAAATGTACACAATCTCCCCAACACCATGGCGTATATCCATCCTGGCGGAGCAGGCCTCCCTCCCCAAACGCCGTCGCAGCAGATGTGCTCGCAAAACATGCAACGCCACTCGTTGTAAATCATGAGGCATCGGCGCTGCCCTTTGACTTGTCTTCCCCTTCATCCCACGCAAACCCACTCGGCAAACACACACCATCGCGCCGTGCGGTCTGCCAAGACCAGCCCTCTCCACAGGCCCCTCTCCGAGCATTTGATGATTGTCTCCCATGTTCCGCCATCGCTTGGCTCGTCGTCGCTGCCGAGAGCCCTACCGATCAATCCCATGCCTCGCCGCTCCTCCTTCCGCATAAGACGGAGGATCTTTCCACCAGGCGTTTGGATCGCCAGCTTGGCCGGCTTCTGGCCCGCCACGATGCCCGTCGCTGAGCTCGGGTTCGACCCGCCCACACTCGACGCCGTGATGCTCATCGCTGAGCTCGGTCGCAGGAACGGAATGGGGCTCGTCGCTCCCGGGTTCGTCGCCGGCGTCAGAGCAGACTGCGGCCCGCTCGACAGCGAGCTCGGGTGCTGCCTAATGGCAAACACAAAAGTGTTATTGAGCGCCAGCCGCTGACACTGCGGCTGCACCACGTAAATGTCGTGTCGCTGCGCGTGAGGCGTCGGATGCCGCGTCACAAACTCGTAGGGGGGGTTCTCGCCCGTGTGGATAACAGGCAACGCCATGGCCAGTGGATGAGGTATGTCTTTGATGCTGTGCATCAGTCCTCTCTGCCCGGCGTAAATCTTGAGTGTTCCTTGGCCCTCATCTCCGGGCAGCAGCGCCTTGACCGTGTATCGCTTCACGCCATTGAACCATTCAGCCTGGGCCAGCGCCCGCTTCCTGACAACGTCACCGCTCTCGAAAACGTCGCCGTCGGCGTCCTGCGAATATGCTCGCGCCTCAACTTCTGCCGCCACCTCGATGTCGGCCGGCACGTTAAACTTGACGTGCACCATTTCTAAATCCTCAATCCTTGTGGCACACGTGTTGTAGTCCACCATCTCGATTCCGTTGCGGAAGAAGGCCGGGCAGGCGCATGGCAGGTTGAGTAGAATTTCATGTGCCACCGGAGGCACAATGTGCTGCTGGTCGTGGTGCTCAGGGACATGTGTCCAGCATATCTCGGTCGGCCGAGCCAGGAACCACCAGGGATCCGCTGCCGCACCGCTCGCGCTCGAATAGAGGCCACGCTTGGGGTTCGACGGACTGGCCAGGCAGCAGTCCAGGATGCGCCACTCGCCGTCGACAATGACCGCGTTCCACCAGTGATTTGATCGCGGTACCATGTTCAGGTCTGGCACTTCCCCGGGGCTCTTGAGATATCCCCGGATGACCTCGCACTGAAGCCCGACTGCAGCGCACATTTCCATGACCAGGACGGCGTGCTCTTCGGCGCAGCCACGCTTGGACTGAATCACCCGTCGAGTGTCAACCTCCCCCTCAAAGTCTTCTTCCCAACATATATTCTCGGCCACCCATGTAAAAATAGCCCGCAACCGTTGGACATCGCTCCGATAGGGGCGACAGAGGTAGGTCGTCGCCAGTGACTTTGCCGTCGCCATTGATGGCGATGGGTCGCTGATGAAGCGCGAGTTCTTGTCGACTTGGCTCAGGTTGATGGCTTGATAATTCAGGGGGTCGGCAACCGGCATCCCGTCGGCACCCTCGTCACCTTCGATCCCTTCAAATAATTCATCCACAGGGTTGAGCGCGGGATGGTCCATCATTTGGCAGCGATCCCTGCGTTCATTCCTCTCGCTCTTGCTCAGGGAATTGGAGCGGTTGACGTCCCGGCGCACCTGTACCCAGTCTACTCCGCTGCCGAGACCCATCTCCCTGGCAGCGTCACGTCCGGACGCCGGGCCGCGCACTCCCGCCATGCTCGACATTGGCGAAGCGCCCTGGGGTAATGGCCGATTGAAAGGCGACGATCTAGCAGGGGACGTGCCGGTACCGGAGCCAGCCGCGATACTATTGCGATTGCTGGCAACGCCAGTCTTGGCGCTCTCGAAAATCTTCTTAAAGATGTTTCGCTTCGGGGCTTTGGGGTGAACGAGTCCACCGATGCCAGCTGTCAGATCGTCGTGGAATCCCACCTGGGAAGCTGGCCGGACAGCGCCGGTCACATGGCTGGCGTGGCTGCTGTGGTAGGTGACCCCGGTGAAGGGCGTCTCTGGCCGCTCAATGTCCAGTTCGCGCAAGCCCAGGGCGCTCTGGGCACGCTGGGTCGTACGAGCATAGCTCCCGGCGCTCGTCGAGCTGAAGCCGCTGGCCGATGCACCACTCCATAGGGTCCTGCCACTGCTCTGCGTCGAAGAGCTGGTGTTGCTCTGGTTCCCGGATGAGGCGTGCGTGGCATTGGTCTTGGTGGTGTATGTTCTGCTAACTCCGTGGCCGATCTCGTGGGCAGACTTTCGCATGTTGAGTTTCCTTTCCGGCACACCCGCTTCGCCCGAGGACGTCTTGGGTCGACTATGCTGCTGGCTCTTTGGCGGTGGAGGCGGTGCCATATCACCCACGTCGGGTGGGGGAACGCTGGGACTCTGCTGATGAAGTGTCTGGAAATGCTTTTCCATGCGCTCCACGTAGCTATTCAGCTGGGTATGCTCGTCCACACGCCCGCGATTCCCGCTTTGATGCGAGGTGCCCCGCGAAGAGTCGCCGCTCCAGGTCTCGTAGCCTTCGTCGTGGTGTGCTATACCCATTGATGTTACGGGCCTCGTGCGTTCGGGCACTGTGCGCTTGGATCGGGGAGATGCCAGGTCGAAAGACTCGGGCGCCCAGGGGTCAAACGGGGGAGCTGGAGATGCTGCCTCCCGAGGTCCTCCGAGACCTTCCAGCTGGCCCAGCTGTTCCATGACTCCATCCATTGCCTCTCGCAAAGGTGAGGGCGTCAAGTGGCTTCCGCCGGGAGAGGGAGGCTGGGGCGATATGGCTCGGGGTGTGTGTGGACGATGCTCATAGGGCCTGTCGCCGTATGCCGTGTACGACGTCTGCCGCGATAGGTCGTGCTGGCCCTGGTACGAATTGCTCGACCCTTGGCGATAGTGATTGTAGGAGGCTGTTGAGCCATGCCGCGACATGTCATGGTAGCCGCGCTGTATATCGTGCGACCCGTTGCGGGCAACATGGCGATGGGGCGGTGGTGCTGGTGGCGGTGGTGAGTCTCCCCTGTCCGACGGCACCCTGCGCGGTTCACACATCATGGACGGCGCGGGCGATGGCCCCCTTGGTGGCTCACGCATCATGGATGGTGCAGGTGATGGTCTCCTGGGTGGCTCACGCATCATGGGAGGTGCGGGCGATGGCGCTCTCGAGCCATAGCCGCGTGGCTGTGAGGGCGACGCCACTCTCTCGATTCCCTCGGGCACGCTCTTTGAAAAGGAGTTGCTCAACGTCTCAACAGTCCTTGGCCTCGGTGGCTCTCGAAACGTCTCGGGCTGCTTTGCGCTCGTGTAGTGCGGCGCTTTTGCGTATGCCTCAAAGGGCTTGCGGAAGGTCTTGGACTTGGAGGCCATGGCTTGAGGGCTCACCATGTTGCTCTCAGGCAGTGGGCTGGCTGATCTCGTCGTTGGACGAAAGCCTTCGGGAAGAAGCGAGACAAAGTTGGAGGGAAACGAACCGACCGTCCTTCGATCTCGATAGAGGCGACCAACCCACCACGAGCCGTCACCGGCGTTCAAGCACTCGATCAGGTCGCCCTCGATGAAGCCGAGATCGCGCTTGGACTGTAGAGGTGCGGTCAGTGATCAGTGCTCGGCAAGAAAAGAGAGAAAAAGCAGGGAATTTCTACTCACCTCGCCTCCCCAAGAATAAACAGCCCTGCACCAGCAGGGGAACTGCGTGGGGAGCGGCGGCGGCGCGGGCACCATGGCCGGCTGCGGAGCGTAGCGTTTAAAGCACTTAAGGTTGGCACCAGATGAGTGGGCAAAAGGTGGCTGCTCGTGATGTCGCCGTATTGCGCGAGGGGCGCGGTGCAAAGTTCGACGCGAGACGTAATACGCCTGCGCGTCGGTCAAGCCACGCGCGGAGGACAGCCCAGCCGAGGGGTCATGAGACGCGTTGCCTCGTACTGCCGATGGCGTCGACGGATGGGATGAGGCAATGCCGGTCAGGAAGAAGGCATATTCGCGCGGAATTGAGTTCGCGAATGAGGCCAACTCGGACGGAGCAAGCGTGGAATGAAGGACGAGGGGCGAGGAGGGATGTCTTTCTCTGGCCGGCTGGATGGCGGTGGCGATAACGTCGTTGGTCGTTGTCGGCAGCCTTCCCACAATGCCTGACTGGGAGCCTGAATGGGAGCCTCGTCGCCGTCGGGATGGGGATGGAGACGGGGCCCACGGGGAGGGCAGGGGAGGCTCCGACAAACAGAGGGGCGCCCAACTCGTCGTTGTCATGACAACAACAGCCCCCGGCGCCGCCCAACCGCGCGTGGGCAACTAAACGGAGGGTGCCTGAGCCTGTTTGGCGGGCTAGGGTGCAAGGGCCCGCTAAAACACGCCCCGCTGCGCAGCGCCGAGGCCTAGTACGTAGGTAGTGACCGGGGCAATTGACGCACCCCCCGAGGCGCGCTAGGGGCCGCCGTGGCGACCGCTGGGCCTGCGCTACCCGGGGAGTTCCCACCTGCGCTACCACCTGCGCTGCGCTGCTGCTGCGCTGCGCTGCGTGCCTGCTGGAACGCTTCAGAGCTCAGTCGAGCTCAGGTATGCCAGCACTTGAAGGCGGCGACATATGACCCTCCGGACGGCCGCGTCTCTGTTAGACCTCAGCATTCTCTCCTTTTTAACCCTCAACACCACTACTGATCATTTCACGATGCATGCAAGGCGACAACGCTGCGCCTTGGTTCTATTCTGCGCCTCATCTATCGAACCCCGCTGACTGCCAGGGCCTCAAGCCCATGTCACAGCAGCAGCTTTCCCGAAGCGGATAAGAGTAAACAAATCGGGGCCCGAGCTCCCCCCAAAGGCTCCGCTGTCCCAGACAACTACCACCTACCTCGTCACATCTTATTATTCCAGACACCGAACACTGCACGACTGGCCTCCTGCATCCCTCACCGCTCGCCTTCGCAGTTGATACGCCTGTCCGACTCTCCTGCTGCGAGTGCATGTGAAGCTCCCAGGCTCCCAGTCTCGACGTCGGCCTGCTTGCCCGAGTCCATCCCGGCTCGTGCTTCTCGTGCATCGGCGACGACGTCGGAGCGCAAAATGGCTGCCGAGGGCGTTGCAGAGCACTATCAGGTCTTGGAGGAGCTGGGCCGTAAGTCGGCCCGTTCTGTCTCTCTGACCACCCAGCGCTGACCGGATTGACGCAGGGGGCAGCTTTGGCATTGTCTACAAAGGCATCGAGAAGGCTACTGGCGAGACGGTCGCCATCAAGCACGTAGGGCTCCTCCCCATCGTCCCCACCCTGAGCGATCTGGCAGGGCGCTGATACGCAGGCTTGGCGCAGATCGATCTCGAATCGAGCGAGGACGACATAGAGGAGATCCAGGCCGAGATTGCAGTCCTGAGCACATGTGCCAGTCCTCATGTCACCCAATACAAGGGCTCGTTCCTTCGCGGACACAAGCTATGGATCGTCATGGAGTATCTTGGAGGCGGCTCATGCCTCGACTTGGTATGGCCAAGCCTGATGCGCAACCCACCTGGAGCCGGGACTGACCAGCCATGCCTTAGTTGAAACCGGCAAACTTTAGTGAGACGCACATCGCCATCATCTGTCGCGAGCTGCTCCTGGGCATCCAGTATCTCCACAGCGAGGGCAAGATCCACAGAGACATCAAGGCTGCCAACGTTCTGCTCTCCGAGTCCGGCAAGGTCAAGCTGGCAGACTTTGGCGTCGCCGCGCAGTTGACAAACATCAAGTCGCAGCGAAACACGTTCGTCGGCACCCCGTTTTGGATGGCGCCCGAAGTCATCCAGCAGGACGGCTATAGCTTCAAGGCAGACATCTGGTCGCTCGGAATCACTGCCATGGAGATGGCAAACGGCGAGCCGCCGCTGTGCCATATCCATCCCATGAAGGTTCTCTTCCATATTCCCAAGAACCCACCTCCCCGGCTTGAGGGAGACTTCAGCAGAGACTTCAAGGATTTCATCTCGCAATGCCTTACCAAAGACTGCGATCGCCGGCCGTCTGCCCAGGACCTGCTCAAGCATCGCTTCATCCGATCCGCCGGCAAGATTGAGGCGCTGCAGGAGCTCACCGCCCGTCGGCAGATGTGGGATGCAAACCAAAACCGCCACAAGCATCCGATATACTATCAGGAGACGCTTCAAACAATCACCCCCAAGGACGAGGAGCATGAGTGGGTTTTCGATACCGTTAAGTCGGTCGCGCCGCTCAAGAGGCCTTCTGTGAAGCACAGAAGGCCTTCTTCGATGCTTGTGTCAGAGGAAGGGCTACGAAAGCTCGATCTCAACGACGGCCCACTTGGGCCATCGTCCCCAGCAGTGGAGACGGTGCGGAAGTCCACCATCCGTCGGGTCCCGTCGATCGCCCAGCCTGCCTCGATGCGCTCCAGTGGATCGTCTCGTCCGTCGCTGGCTACGCGAAAGCCACTGCAGACCGACATGTCTTTCGGCAACTCTGGATCGACTATGCGCCTTTTCCGCAGAGTTCCATCAGACAGCTCAACGTCAGGACAGCTGGGCCAGTCACCTTTGCCCGACGACGCCTTTTCCGACGAGAACGTGCCGCCTCATATTGCGTCCCCAGTAGAGCCATACGGCAAGGAGGCAATCATCGGGCGTCGACTCTACAACAAGGCCGTAGAGCCCACCCTTGCCGAACTGCACGCCCAGACATCTGCCATGCAGAAGCGAGAGGCCTTGGCCAAGCTGTCCGACGCATTTGCGACCTTGGACGCCGTCGACCCCGAGGGGGCATATCATCTAATGAGCAACCTCATTTCTTCCATGTCCCAGGACAACAAACTCAGTACGACGCTGTTGCGCCAGCCTCTTCTGAAAACACCCGATGACGGCACTCCCCAGGGAACTGTCATTGTCAAGAGTTACCCTCCCGCCGCAGCGAACAGCCCTTCCAAGTTGGTTTTCAGCTCCAACAACCCTCACTTGAAGAGCCACCGCCGGCGGCAGAGCGAAACGCCGGCTCCCAAGTCGAGTGAGAGGGACTGCGACAGAGAAAAGGCGGCTCTTGTTGAGGAAAAGTATCCGGGCCACGAGGCTCGTGCCGGCATGGAGCACTGCAAGCAGCTCTCTGATGTTCTCTATCAGCGCTGGGCTGACAATCTCCGGATCAGGTGGCCGGCTGTCTGATGCAAACTCAGACGTGCTGGACCGGCAATAGGGAGACGGAGGTCTTGCCGGATGGGCGCGCCACCAACGAAACAAGCAGATGTATTCTGCATATCTCTTCAAACACCTATTTTTCTCCCCCTTTGACGAATCCGCTGGATAGGTTGTACGATCTTGTGTGCGGAGCGAGCATTACTTGCATACCCAGGCATCAGAAAAGCATGTCAGGCGGGGCTTTTGAAAGGCCCATGGTTTCAAGCTAGGCCCGCTCACTTTGGCGATGCCTGCTAGAAAGATAAAACAGCAAGATGTCATGACTTGATGTGATATCTTGATGGATACATTTAGCACTCGCGACTTGCTTCACCGGGACGCGGCGTTTGGGACGGCTAAGCTTCTCGATGTAGATGGATTTAGGTAGATTGACGCCCTGTGGAAAAACAAACGAATAAATAAGTCACAATGCGGCCCCGTGTCATACATGTCCATGTCCATTGAGTGGCAGGATATTCCAGTACAAATCAGTCGATATGAAACCCCTCAGGTCTCTTGGCGATTTGGGGACGGCGCCCTGGTGCCTTCTGGGTCAGGGCCGAGGGCCAGCTTGATCCTCCAATTCTTGAACTCCTCCGGTAAGATGTTTCCATGGCCCGTGGCCTCGACTCTGTAAAGCTCAATGACGGATGAGTGCTGTCGCCGGGCTATCCTCCAGACGCCTTCGTCTTTGATCATTTTCGAGAGCCCTGGAATTGTAGGGGTTAGCAACGCCGGGTCTGCGCGAGGTCGGCCAACGGGGGAGGGTGATGGATGGGGTTCGCACATTCCAAGAAAGCCGAGGCAAAGTTGACGCACATGTCGGCGTTCCACCTGGCGTTGGGTCGCGAGTTGACCGTCTCTGGGATTCGGTGCGTCTCAATCTCGTTGAGGTCGACGAGAATGCCGTCGCGGGTGCGGAAGCCAACAATGATCTTGGGCACGCCGAGCAGAAAGGACTGAATCCAGTACTTCATGAGCTTGCGGTGGAAGGCGTCCATGTCCCCGTGGCTCCGGATCTCGGCGCTCGTCTTGAGCTCGACCCAATTGATGGGCGCCCCCTTTTCCTCGGGTTTGGAGTCCCAGACTTTTGAGGTGTGTTAGCTGCGGGAATGGATGGATGCGTAATCAGCCGTGGCTACTCACTGGCGTCGACCTCGCCGCCGAGACAGAGGATGGCTTTGCCGATTCCGGTGCGGACGATGGAGCAGTACTGTGCCTTGTTGTTGACGACGTGGTTCTCGCGGCCTTCGATGAAGTCTCTTGATGTCTCGTCCCACGTCGCAGGCATCGTCGACAAAGTCTCAAACTTGTATCCTGCCGGCGAGGAGAGTCAGGGTCCTGCTCGAGCAATCTGGGACGGCAGTAACTTACCCCAAAACTGCATCACCTCGGGAGGCGGCCCGCCTCGTCGTGGGCGATGGGCTTCGTTTTTGCGCATGGCCATTTTGTATGCGTGGTTCTCTTCGATGAAGCTATCGCGGGTCAGCGTCTCGCCCCCAAAGCCCCTGCCGAGCGAGCTTTCTCACATGCAACCCTATGACGTGTGTTAGCCAGGAAAGCTATTTGTGCAAGGGCGGCTTCGTCAAATCGCACCTGATACAGGGTAGCGTTCATTTCAAAGCTAGGACTGGTTAGACGAGAGAATCTAGAGGCGGACATCGAGTCGAAGGCTACCCATCATTTTGCTCAAACAAAGCTGCCAAGATCTAGCAATGTTTAGAAATGTCGGTCCCGCTCAGGTGTCCGGATAAGCAAGTATACTTTGGTCATCATGCCTCGCCATGTGACGAAGTTGGCGTCGATCTTGGTGCCCGTCTCCTGCTCATGCGCCATGATGGCCTTGAGCAGGCTGTCGAGGTGCTCATCCTGGGAGTCGTCTTGCTTCTGAAACTTCTCGAAGCCCTTGGACAAGTCGGCCCCCATGCGAGGTGTGTAATACCACTTCAAGGAAGAGTCGTCCAGTCGAAACTCGTGGTTTTCATCGTACGAGAAGCAGGCAAACTCCTGTTTTTAACACCCACGTCAGCTTCTGGCACGCCGGACCACCGGACGCACGTTGGCCTCTCTTGGAGCGACAGACACGGGCTCACCTTGGGTCTCTTTACGGGCTGGCTGGGCCCTGCAAAGCGCCCGACGGGCTGTATCGAGAAGTTCGCAGCCATTGCGATAGCTCGCGTGAAAAGGGTCGGTCGCGACAGAGCAAACTGGTGGGGGAGAAGGCTGGGTCGAACTTGTCACCCAAAGCTCATGAGGCAGGCTGGACCAACTGCAGAAAAGCCCAATATCATCGAGGTTGAGAGGAAGCAAGGGGAAAAAAGGTGGCTTGTGATGAGTGGGAGGGAGGATTCGATGAGGGGCATTTAGGGTGACGGAGGCTGGTGTAGTTGCGGATGCCTTGGGGAGGCGTTTTCAGCGCCTGAGGGCCAGAGCTTCAGCGCCTGAGAGTTCCCGTACCCCACTGTAGATGACCTCCAGGGCCACCCGCTAAGCAAAGCCGCCCACGAGCACCTTACTCGATAGAAGGCGGCATCTGGCGACGCGGTGACTTGAGGTTGAAGAACAGAACTTCCAGCCGCAAATATCTCGAATTGCTTGTTCTTGCAAAGGCGCCAGCAGTCCTGGGACAATAGGCATGTGTGCGTAGGGTGTACAAACGAACAATACTACGAGCGGCTTCAAAAGCCAGACTGGCAACCTCCACTGAGCCCATTCATTCTGCTCACAGGCAGCTTTGGTTGCCCTGCAGATTGTGACTCGTTGAATAGAGAAGAGAGCTGGCTGCTGCCACGAGCTCAGAGTAGTCTCCTCCACGAGGCGGTGGAGAGTTGGCTGTAGAGTCTGTCCAGGCGCTACAGAGTCTAGCCCGTTTGACGAGGGAACAGGCCTTTGCATGAAGAATAGATGCTTCCTTTAGCAGGCATGTGGGGTATCAATCCATAGAGTCGGGCGGGACGAGTCAGTCGAAAGCATGAAGGTCGGGATGCGATGGCAGCATTGGATGGATGAATGTAGTATGCATTCTACCGCATTGGGGGAGGGAGTACGGAGTAATTACCGGACAGAAGAATTCACACGAGCTACGCGACTCTTGCAGGCCCCGGATCGCCTGAGCCGAAACCTATTGCGCTGAAGTTGTTGCGGTGATTGAGTGATGAGATGCCTTAATCAAGGTACACGATTGTTGGGGAACGTGGCCGCACCAGGGCAAGTACCGCACACCCAACCACCAGCTGCTGTGCAAGTCGAAGCATTCTCATTCACTCATTCACCCACGGCACCGACCAAGGTGGAATCGACGCAGCCACGTGCCCGACCGACTCTTCCTTGGCCTTTTGCCCCCTTTCTCTTCTTCTGTCCTCCTTCCTGCTACACACCGGCCCTTCATTTCCACAGCTTCGTCTCTCGCCTTTCGCCGTTCCTTGCCTGCAACTCTCTGCAAACACTCGACGTTGCCGCCGCCCAAAAAAGGTTCGAGGTCAGCTAGTATCCCTGGTCGGCCCACCACGTGATTCCACAGCCAGGACGGCTACCACCGTGGGGTTCAAGTCACTTCGTCGCCGCCCAGCCTGCTCTTCCCGTGCCACGGCTCGACTGATACACAGCCTCGACCGCTGCGTCGGCTGCCTGCCCTGCCCTGCCCTGGCTCATCTTCGCCGGGTGTCTCGTCTGGAGTGTTGGCCCCCCCGCAGCGCCAGGGTCAATGCCAAAGTCACGCCGAAAGCGAACCCGTACACCCAAGGCAGCCTCGCCCGACGAAGGCTGGTATAGCATCAAAGACATATTGGATGAGAGAAAGGCCTCGGGCCTTGTAGAGTACCTGGTGGACTGGGAAAACAACATCGTTACTGGAGAATCCTACGCCCCAACCTGGGTTCTGGTTCGTCTGCTCATATCCCCCCAAGCCACTCGCAACTTGCTAACCTCACCCTGCTGCAGAGCCCCGAAGTCACCGACAAGGCCAAGGAGGAGTGGGAAAAGGCAAAGGCAGCTCGTGCCCGGGAGAAGAAGACTTTGGTAGCGTCTGCCGAGACCAGTCAGGAGAGCCAGCCCCCTCGTCCACCAAATAGGCCCAACGTGGAACGGGCAAATGCGCGGTCCCTAGTCCACCCAAGGCCATCCGCCACTCCAAGCTCCGAACGCCCCAAGAAGAAATCGCGGCTTGCGTACAGCGCAACTCCCTCTGAGGAACCTGTGCCGTCTGTAACCTCAACCGCCTCTCCCGACTCTGAAGCCTTTGATTCCTCCGCCCGCCAGGACGCGTCTGACGCTCGTCGAGCTCAGCGCCTGGTCGTGGAACTCCCGAAAGACGCCCAGTTCGACCCCTCTGATTTCGTCAGCGCGGCCGGCACGCAGCCCAGCTTGGACTCATCCCAATCCTTGGCCGAACTCGAAGACGGCGACGAGAGGCTCGCGCTTGCCTCACAAATCAGCCGTCGTACGGTTCCCGACTCACAGGAGCCTTCTGGGCCAACCTGGTCACAGGGTCAAGCGAGCGGTCTGGTGACTACCCCTGGAGATCTGGGGCCTCATATGCAACAGTCAGACGCAACGGGAACGCTGGAGTCGCAACCGTCACAGATTCCTTCTCGGCAGCCTGAGCAGTCGGCCTCGCCCGGTGGCCAGCGCCAGCATCTTGGTGCCGCTGCCATATCGAAATCTTTACTGGACACGAGCGACTCGTCGTACCACGTGGGCGCCGCCCCGGCCGCGGCGGCGCCAAGCCCCCCTTTCACAACGCAGCCCCCCATCCCGCACGCGTTCAATCTCCCTGAGAGTTCGTTGCACAGCCAAGCATCAGCGTCGTCCAGCCACGCCCTGATACCAGCTACTGCGACTGACAAGTCTCAGCCCTCCACTGATAGCTGTCCGCAAGCCGAGCGGGTCGGCGCACTCTCGCAGGACGCCCAGGTGGTGTCTCGCGACGAATTCGTATCGCAAGTAAACGCCTTCTCCAGGAGCGACAGCACCGTTCAAGAGTCCCCTGAGAAGTCGGATCCTTCTGTGACTTCTTCCGGACAACCCAACAAGACTAACTCCAGATCCTCGCCGCAGAAGCCCCCCGCGACCAAAGGAATGAATGCGGCGGAGGCGGGCAACTCGACGCCACCAGGGAGGCGGATGTTGGCAGCCGAAGAATTGAGCCAGCTATTCGACCTCGACAACTCGATGGACATGTCAGAACCAGACCCCACAGCTTCACTCCTGGAGCAGCGGCTCGATATGCCTTTAGGAAGTGTGCACCCTGCTTCGGCCACCCAGCCCCGGCCATCCTCCGTGCAGTCCTTACAGAAACTTGTAGATGCAGCTTTCAGCAACCCGATTGGTGCACCGTCCGGGACGTTGATGCCGAGTGACGCTTCGCACGCACAACAGCCGACGGTGTCGCCTGCCGACGTCTCCAAACAGACGGAAGCAGAAAAGGCAGCGCTGACGTCGATGCCTTCACTACCTTCGCAGGGACTTGTAACGCCCAGTCTCCTCGACAGTTCCAGAGATTCTTTGCAGGCGGCCCAGGCACTGCGCGAGGAATCCTCGAGCGAAACTTCGAGCGATGTGGCCCCCCATTTTGGCCAGATGGAACACGTTGTCACCCTGCCCTTTCAGGCGAGTCTCAGGCCGTATTACGATGACACTCTCCTCAAGTCTAGGCAAGACGTGACTGAGTTCTCGCAAATATTCAACAACGAGATATACGTCGCACCCAACGAGGCTCTTGTGAGCAGGATCGACCAACTTTTCGGTCGGCTGAGTAACGTTTGCGATTATCCTCCAGATGTCGTCGGCACGGTCTTGGCGGACCTACCACCCTCGCAACTGGCCAAATACGCATGCAATTCCAATTCCAAGTTCAACTTCGTCTTCGAACTCCTACAGGGCTTGTATAAAGATACCAAGATCCTCATCGTTGCCCGCTCCGTCGAACTGCTTCGGCTCCTCGACCACTTGGCAGAGGCCGCACATGTGGAATGCACCTGCGAGGCCATTGGGAAGCGGACGAGCAGCTATTCAAAGTCGGCAGCTCAGGTCACCCTTACCTTGCCCGGCGAGGACGTCAAAGTACTCGACTTTGACGTAGTGATTGGCTTTGATCGGTCCTTTGCCACATCGCGTGTATTCAGCGGACTTCGATCCGTCACCAAGACCGCAGATGCCAAGAGGCCCCGACTGCTGACCCTTGTGACGACGCACTCGATCGAACATATTGATCTGCACGTGCCTGATGATATGAGTCACCTTGAGCGAAAGAGCGCGCTCCTTCTTGGCATTGCGCGTGCGCGGAAGCTGGTCAGTGATCCCGAGCGGGGATACCCTGAACCCCACGAGCTCGCCGGCGTATTCGTCGATTATCTCAATGGCAAATCGGACGCCATCATCTCGGAGCCAGTGCCCTTGCCAGACGAGGTCTTGGACATTTACTTGGGCACTCAGTCCCAGCCGCAAATGCCCCTCGTATCCTTGACTGAGCCGGATGGGCGTAAGCGGAAACTCGTAAATCGCCCTGTTACGAACGCCGATTACCGGGCTCATCAGTTAACCCAATCGCAGGATGAAGACAGCGACGACCACGTCAAGAAGACGCGAGTCCTACCCCCGAGAGAATTGGCAGTCGAGGAGACCGAACCACCAGTGCCCGATGACGTTCAAGCGATGCTCAAGGGCGTCGGTGCTGCCAAGATGCCCACCAAGCCTGGTCAGACGCATGTGAGAGTGCCTTTGGCTGTCCTGCAAGCGCTTGCGGAAAAGGTTCGTTGTCCCATGCAGTTGACATTGACAATATCACTGACGTTTCTAGTTTGCCGAACACGAGCACCAAATCGCAGCCAAAGACACCGAGGCAGAGTACCGAGCTGTCATATCTGGACTTGAGAAGCGTGTTGAGGAGTACGAGAGAACAACTAACATGATTTACAAGTCTCACCGCAAGGCATTGGAAGATCGCTCAAGATTTGAAGCTGAGAAACGCAAGTCTGAGGCTGCGCTTCAAGCCGCAGCGGAGTCGGCGCAGAAGGAGAGCGACAAAGCGCAGAAGAAGATCGTTGAGTTTGAGGCAGAAGTCGCACGGTTGACGGCGGACCCCAATGGGCAGGAGGAGAGTCCCCTGGCCCAAACGAACAAACACCTCAAGGAGACTAGAGAGAGAGTCCAGATGCTCGAGAAGCGACTCGAGAATGCCCACAAGGATGGCGAGTATGTTCGAAAACTGTATCAGGAAGCGTCTTCGTCTGCCGGCGCTGCGCGGGCGGAGAACGCGGAGCTCAAGGATCAGAACCAAAGGTGGCGGAAAGAGACATCTGATGGCCTGGTGAAGATTCACCAGATTCAAGCGGAGAACAGCACGCGAGAGTTTATACAGCAAATCCGCGAGCTCAAGGCGCAGGCCAAGGAAAGGGAGTTGGAGCTCGACCGCGTCCGCGAGGACCTACGGCAGCTCAGAAACGGGCGACGGGAGACTCGCCAAGTCAGCGTGCCGCGTAGTCCGCGTACGGGCATGATGAGTCCCCGAACCGGCCGAGCGTACGGCAGTTCCGCTAGCAGAGGAACGAGCCCGGCGCTGGCATCGAGCTCGGATGGCGCGGCTCTGCCGTCGGGGAATGGACGGTGGGCCCATCTCAGGGATTAGAAAGGAGGAATCTTCTCAGCATACCCCAGTTGGAGTTATCGCTTTTGTGGATGAAGGGGCTGAGGATATCTACTGGACATGCTTCAGGTGGCAACTCACGCCGAGCCGCTCGCCGGCTGGGTATCAGTGGATAGCGCATGTAGCACTTGTCAGTTATGAATCCAAGAGCTTTAGCTGAATGGATGAATTTTGCGACTGTTCCAGGCGAGCCCAAAAGGCGACGCTGAGCTGCCTTACTGTGAATCAAGCATGGGATTAAAATGCGCATCCTTCTGTCCGCCCATGAGTTTTGGCGGGAGGCTGACTTGGCTCTCAATACACGGGGAGCAACAAAAATCTACAGAGGAGCGGTATCCAGGGGGCGGTCTCAGTGGCCATGACAGATTGCATTGGGCAGTCGCCACGAGTTCCCTGGTCTATCTCCAGCACCACCGATGCCTCCGCCCAACAATAAGCACCAAAGTGTGTTTTTGTCAACCGAAACCGTCGCTCCTGCACGGCCGCCAACTCTTGTTTCTTCTTTATTTCTTCTCCTCGGGGTACAGGTCCTCCTTGAGCGGCACGCCGAGCTCGTCTCTCAGGGGTTGAAGCTCCTGCAGATATTGCTCGTACTGTCCCTTGTTCTCGACCTTGGCTTTGACTCCTGCCGCACAAGTTAGCATAACGGCATCGCATTTGCGTGAGACGTCGAGCCGCGTCGATGCGGTGGGGGAAGGGAGGTGGAAAACGGCGTACCCTCGAAGATGCGAACGGCAGTGGCGAGGTCGTTGACTCTCCGGGCGGCTTTGAGAGCAGCGACGATGACGGGAGGCGAGGGGACGAGATCGTAGGCGAAGGCGTTGTTCAGATTGCGCTAAGGCGGGACAATCAGTATGTGATGCTGCGGCAACAGGGAATGCGTGGAGAGTGAAGAAGTGTCGAGCTTAGGGGAGGTGGTTCACGTACCTGAAGCTCAAAGACATCCTGCACTGTGTCAAATTCCTTCTCGAATCTGGTGTTGAGTCGCAGTTAGCAGACGAGATGGCGGCCCCTTTGCTCGATCATAAGCGCGCATCCATGGCCGACACAATGGCTCTGCTCGTATGCGCGTCGGCCGCTTGTCCGGTCGGCAAGACAGAAGAAGCCGGACCAATGGCAGCCGGGGGCACAAGACTCACCTGGCGCTAAACTCCTCAAACGTCTCCTCTGCATGCTCGCTTCGCCGCGGCACCGAGGTGGTGAAGTTTGCAGGCTGGTGAGCGAAGAGGGTGGCGGAGCGGGAAATCAGGGGCTGCTGCTGGTGGGCGGACCGGGCGACGCGGAGCAGGGTGGTAGAGCCGCGAGCGGCGACGCGGAGGAGAGGAGCAGACGGCATTGCGGGATCGAGAGGGAGGCTGCGGTGCAACTGGATGGGTGCAGTCTTCTGGTACTCGTTTTTCGCGTTGATGGGATGTAGAGGTTGTCGGCAGCGAAGAATCGCCTGATGGCGGATGACTAAGCGGGCTCTAGCCTGCAGCATTGCAGATACCTTGGCCGCGGTTGGCCAGATGATAAGCACAGTACGAATTGGATTGGATTGAGCTCGAGCTGTGCCAAATTTTTGGGGTAGAATGCACAGTGCGAAGATGACGATTCTATGGCTGCTACCAGAGTTGCAAGCAGGGCAGTGAAAGCTCGCTGGCAGAAGCCATTGAACAAGTCAAAATACTTGTCCCTTGACAGTTGCTACGATCTGTCTCCATCACGGGCAGAGAACGCCTTGCTTCTGTCCAAGCTGCGAGTTGCCACGATGCAGCTCCCGAAATGACATCAATCTTATCCTTAGCTCTCCTAGAAATCTTTGAGTGAGCTTCCATCCGGCCGAGGTTCGGCTCGCGCACCTAGGTACCTTGAGGTACCGAGCTGGCGACACCACGTTCCCAGTACTCGTCCCGGGCGGAAATCAACGGCGGCTCTCCCCAGGTGCTAGGGCTATGCGCAGTACCTGGTACTTGGTCCCGCCACTGCCAGCTTGCCGAGTCTCCACGCAGCATTGACAGGCCGGGCGATGCCGAGTCACGTGGAGCGGATGGCGAGTGCTTGGATCGGGGCTGTCATTGGCCAGCGCGGCCTGGCCCAGCGAATCACATGCGATGCCGCGAGTGCGCCCAATCAGCGTCAACAAAAGCGTTGCGCAGCCAAATTTCCCCTTTTTGAGACGCGACGGGAAACCCGATCTTTTTGATCTTCTTCTCCCGTCTCTCTCCCCCCTCCCTCCTCGTGTGTAACTTGCTCTACGCCTTTTTCCCTCTCCTTCACCCTCTTCTCTTCCCCCTTTCGCCTTCCCCAAGTTCTCGTCTCGATGCGTCCGACCTGAGGGAGCTTTCTTTCCTTTGCGTGTGCCATTGCGCTTCTATTCTCGTCGTTCCTTTGATCCCGGGGCCCCGCCGTTTGCTCTTCGGCTATCCGAGACTTTTAGTTGCGCCATTGCCGCCGCCTCGCGTGAACCTTGGCCCGACGTCGAGGGAGCTGAGACTTGCCGACGAGCACCCACGGCGAATTCGCTGCGACGACCCGACCGTCGCCGTCCCCGAGCCGTCGCACCATCTCGAGCATCGCGTCCCCATCATCGCCCGCCATGTCGCCACCGCCGTCCACCTTTTACGAGCAGCTGCCGCTGCCAACGCTCGACCGCCCCTTTGGCGTCCACCTGTGGCCCATCTTCGACAAGGCCTGGACCGCCGTCGTCGGCTACCCGGTCGATGACTTCAAGTTCGTCCCGTTTGAGACGCCCATGTCCACCCTCAAGTCGACTTCTATCTTCATCGTCGTCTACTATGCCATCATCTTTGGCGGCCGGGAGATGATGCGCAACCGCGAGCCCTTTCAGCTCAAGACGCTCTTCCTCATCCACAACCTATACCTCACCACCATAAGTGCCATCCTTCTCGCCCTCTTCATCGAGCAGCTGTTGCCTACCGTCGTCCGCCACGGCGTCTTCCATGCCATCTGCAACTACGAGGGCGGCTGGACCCAGCCTTTGGTCGTCCTCTACTACGTAAGCCATGTCTCTCCCTCACTATCGACGACGAATGCTAACAGCCTCACCCCAGCTCAACTATCTCACCAAGTACCTCGAACTCCTCGACACCGTCTTCCTGTTCCTCAAGAAGAAGCCGCTGAGTATGCCCTCGTTCTATGCCGACGCCCGTTTCCATATATGCTGACCGGCCCGCCAGCCTTCCTGCACTGCTATCACCACGGGGCTACTGCTCTTCTCTGCTATACGCAGCTGATTGGCTCTACCGCCGTCTCATGGGTCCCCATTACCCTCAACTTGACCGTACACGTCGTCATGTACTGGTATTACTTCCAAAGCGCTCGCGGAGTTCGCGTCTGGTGGAAGGAGTGGGTCACTCGCCTGCAAATCATCCAATTTATCATTGATCTCGGTGAGTGGCCCTCCAGTCCCGTCTTGTCTCGGGCCGTTGACTGATAATTTATCGCCAGGCTTCGTCTACTTTGCCTCGTACACGTACTTTACTTCAACTTACTTCACCTGGATTCCCAACGCCGGCACCTGCGCCGGCGAGGAGTTTGCCGCCTTCTCCGGCATCGCCATTCTTAGCTCCTACCTGGTACTCTTCATCTCATTCTACCTGGCGACCTACAAGAAGCATGGCAAGGAGACGACGAGCCGCAAGTCCCTGCGCCGCATGAGCCAGGCTCCGCTCCCCGATCCGCTGCACGTCCAAAAGGCCCTTGGCAACGGGACCAATGGCGCCTCGACTACGGGGGTCAAGGCCAACGGCACGATGACCCGCTCCCGCAAAGCCTAGACCGACAAACTCGCCGTCTGTCTCCGACCTTTCTTTGTGCCAGTGACGACGAGTCCTCGGTTGGACGTGGAGCTGCAAACACGCCGGCGACAAGCTCTGAAGCCGATGGAAGGCTTCGTCCAACCATGGCGGCGAAATAGCATATACTCAAACTTCTTTGAAGAAATTAGAATCTGTTTTTTTGGAGACACTGTGGGCAAGCGAGTCGCGGACCGGGTGATTCAGAGCCCGCCAGCAAAGGCGAACCTAATATATATTTCTTCTCGTTTATCCTACAGTTGTGGCGAGAGTTATGACGAGGGAGTGGACGAGGCTGACGACAACTGTATGTACGCTTGCAACTAACTTGGTTCAACGGAGGAGCATGACGGGACGGGCAAGGCCATGGACCAAGCCTCGGCTGGACACCCAACTGCATTGCAGGGCATGGCATAGCAGGGAGAGTCGGAGTCGGGCAAGGGCTTTGGTTGTTTCGCGTTATCTGGAGAAGTGATGCGTGAATCTCAATGGCAGTCCGGGATGAGGCGGCACGGTAGAAAAATGGGAGTCTTGGTCCTTTGTCTGGCTGATGCAGCGGGCCGTGTGACTTTGCAGTTCTTTGTGATGGGCGCATTCCTTTGTTTCTCCATGCCTTATTCCCCCCGCAGGACCGCAGCTGCAGGGCCGCAACTGCAGGGTGATGGCTGAGCTCTGCGGTTTGGTCGGTGGTTGCTCGGATCGAGGCCCAGGTGCTGGTCGAACAAGTTGATAGCGATGGGCAGTCGGCGGGTTTATAAGTCGGGGTCTTGCTTCACGATATTGCTGGGCCAGTCTGACGGGCACCTTGCCAAAGACAGGTTGACATTGACACACGAAGATGAAGCTTCCCCTCTCTTGCCTCGGGATCGCTTCCCTTGTGGTATCCAGCGGCGTTTCAGCAACTCCCATGGCCGCTTCTCCCGCGGCACCGCAACCAGCTCCGGAAGCTCCAGCAACGCTGCACCGCCGGGCTGGGTTTGCCGCGAGCTGCCGGGAATACTGGCTCAACAGCAAGCACACGGCCACGCTGCAGGCTCGCTGTAGGCAGCTCGACGGAAAGGATAGACTGTCGACGCTTTTCCTCAACGACTGCCTTCAAAACAATGACGGCCGACTCTGGGGTAACAGGCAGTAAGCCATCAAGTGGCACATGGCGGTATGGCCGTCTGCTAACGCGCCTGGTTGCAACAAAGGGGAAAATATTCGGTGACGTGCGACACCCGCACTTGCGTGCTTCACGGCACCCGCATCGAGTGCAAGTGCAGGAAGGGTGGCGGCGTCTGGGTGGCGACTTCGACGGATCTCAGTGAGTTTGTCGCGGGCTGCGCATCATGAATGTCGAGTTATTGATTGCCTCACATAGATGCCATCATCAGCAACGTTAAGGGGGTGTTGCAATGCTATGGTAGAAAGGCGATTTAGACTTGAGGCGACGGGTTCTGTTTCGATTCGAAATGCTGTACGGAGTACCGTATATTTACCCATGTATTTTCCGAGTCGAATCATACCTTAACTTGCTCGATATTCCTCAAGAGTGGCTTCCCGCTTTGCTTCCTCGACTATTAACCAAGTACTAGGCTGATTAACTAGCTTGCCTGGCTACGTGGCTGGCTGCCCACATGGCCTAAAAGCCGTTCTGTCTTGCAAGCCGACCATTCATTGAGCAACCCCCAGCATCAGACTGGTAAAGACACTCGCTGGCTCTTTATCCAGCAGCGTCTTCACTTACGGTGCCCCCGATGCGCTTTCCCCCCAGCAGCCTCGACCCTGTCGGCGAGCTCGTCCGAGTTCGGGTCCGTGCTGCAGACATGAAAAGAATCTTCTGCGTCGGGTGCTCGACGAAGGCTGATGATTGAGGCGCCGGGTCGACGCCATTTCCAGACGCCCATCTTGACTTCAAGTGTCGATGTATCGGGCCGTCATTTCCGACGGGCGGTGGCGCAGTGCCTTCGTTGAAGTCGGGAAACCGTTGGTCAGGGTGGCCTTTGCCGAGAGTCCCAAGGGTTGACAGGCTCGGGTTGTTCATGACATGCTGTACTCTGTACGTGGGCAAACTACAGGCTGGGGGGCTTGTGGCACGGTGAAGGCGTAGGTATTCACCCGGCTGGCCACAAATGCCGCATTGGTGACGTGGCTTCCGATGGCCTCGAAGACGCAGATGTGTGCGTTGTGAGAGCAGTGAGGCGATGAATAGCATGGATATAACTTGTGTAGGTATACCTTTACCAAGGCATTACAAGGTACCTACCTACCTACCTTAGGTTGGCAGTAATTATCAAAAAGGCGACATGTTAATTAATTACCTATGTATTTCAGTACCTATTTCGGTACCCGTGCAGCTGTGCGCGAGCTGCCGAGTGGCTCGGCGCGGGCTTGGCATTCGGGATAACAGACGTTGTACAGTACCTAGATGGCTGGGAGACCAAAAAGGAAGAAAGAAGACAAAGACTCCCCTGCGGTAATTACCTGGAAGCTCATCTGATCTGTTAGCTGGCGTGGAATCTCTAGACCGATACTGCTAACTGCTCCAAGTGCCTCTTTACTCACCTGCCAGGACTAAGGGGCCTCTTGCCTCCGAGTGCACTGCGTGATCGCCCCGTCATGATCGCCGAGTACAGGTACCGGAACTTTACCCCGTAAAGGCTTTGGTGTTCCTAGTGGCCAATCCCCGCGGCGCGTTCCAGTTTAGCGGACTTGGGCTCCCCCACACTCTGACCTCACCTCATCCATCAACCCCCTAGAAGCCCCCTCTCCCCGATAGCTGATTACAGTAGAGGGGTTTCTGCTTCTCTCTCAGCCCGTTGTCGCCTTCAATTTTTCCCTTCTCCCCCCCCCCACGACGCGTGTCTCGGGGCACTTCCTTTGCCCTGCCTCGCTGCCTCCTTTGACGGGGTGCTTGCCGAGAGGCTAAGGACCAGCTCGAGTCCGGCCTGATTCACGCGCTTGCAAGGGAGCAGCGCGTCTGAACCGACACGACTTCGAGGGTCGAAAAAGGCATGCGTTCAGCGGATGAGCCAGCCTTGTCGACTCGCCGACTTTGTGCCGCCCTTTGAAAAAGGGGGACCCCGATCCAAACAACAAAACTCGTGCCTTGATAACCCTCCTTCATTTCCAAGGCCTTCCCCACGCCCAGTCCATCGTCCCCTCCATCCTCGTCAACCAACCGTCCCGCCGCCATCATGAGACTTCCCTTCCGCAAGAAGGAGAAGAAGAAGAGCGATGCCACGTCGCCCCATCCCGACCTGTTCCGCCCTTTCGGTGCTTCACAGCCGCCCCGCTTCCCACCCTCTCGCATCTCGGCTCGCCTTCTCGCCCAGTGCCCCCCGGCCGTCCTGCAGCGCATCTTCGCCTACATCTGCCCGCACTCGCGCGATGAGAGCTATGATACGTGTGAGGAGAGCGCCTCGGACGACACCTGCATGCTGTGTGACCTGAGGGATCTCTCCCACTGCGCCCAGGTCAGCCGCGCCTGGCGAGCCAGTGCCATAACTGTCATGTATGTTGCCCTCGCCTTGTCGTCCCGTCGACTCTCTAACGCCTTCTCCCCAGGTACCACAGCGTCCGCATTGATCCGGTGCATTATTGCAGGCTCGAGGCGTACCTGGCCGAGAAGCGCAAGAAGACGTCGCGTTTCGACCGCAACGGCATCCCCGAGGACCCCGCCCTGGCGCGCCTCAGGCTTTTCCGACGCACGGTGCGCGATGATCCAACGCGCATCGGCAAGCTCGTCCAGTTTCTCAAGACGCCCTACATGATCCGAGAGTCGTGCCATGTCGAGCTGGCCCAGACCATTGCCGTCCTGCCCAACCTGCAGCATGTCGATCTGCCCGAGGGCATGTTCTCCGACGAGCCCAACTACGCCACCCTTAGGCTCGAGGTGCAGGCGCGGTGCCCCAACCTGCGCAAGATGACGTATGTCCGAGGCTCCGAGCGTAGCTTTTCCATGCTGGCCTCGGGCCAAGTATGGCCCTATCTCGAGGTCCTGGAGCTCGATCGGCTCGACATCGATCCCTTGGTGCTCCGGGCCGTCCTGGCGTCCCTCACTCGCCTACGTGCCCTCAAGGTCACCGAGACGCCCAGTTTCTCGGACGAGGTCATGGGCTCAGACGATGGCCTGCCTCCGCTGCCCGCCTTGACCGAGTTGGTCTTGAAAGACGCGCCCCGGATGACGACGGCCGGTTTGGTGGAGTATCTGTCTTGGTACGAGACACAGCGAGCGCTCAAGGTGCTGACGGTTAAGGACACGGGTGTGCAACCAGCGAGGCTCCAGGAGATACTAAGCATGGCACCAGCGCTGAGGACGCTGGCCATCCAGGCAAAGGTTTCGGAACCCTTCCCCAACATTGAAGACCCCCTGCCGCTGGCGTCGACTCAGCTTAAGACGCTGCGTTTTGAGGTATCCGCCACCTCGCAGGCGGGCCCTTATGCGACTCCGGGGTACTACTCGTACCTCGCGTCCTCCATTCTCACAGGTTCGCTGCCCAAGCTGCGCAGGCTCTATGTCCACGACGACAGCTTCCCCGAGAAGCTCTCTGGACTGCCACCTCTGCCGCCCCTGCCGCCGCCCAACGCCATGTTCACCGGCAGCCGGGGCAGACCGGGTTCGAGCTCGTCAAACAACGCGAGCCCGCCGTCGCTGCGCGTGTCCCAGGGCCCTGCTGGCCAGATGTCACCGGCCCACGGGGGCCCGATGTCGCCAGGTCTTGTGCGGCAGATGTCGCCGGGTCCCGCGGGCCAGATGTCTCCCTCGCCTCCTCGTCGACGACGGGTGCCTAGCATGAGCGTGAGCGTCAGCAGCCACAAGCGCTTCAGCTCCAACAACCCCTTTGCGCAGCGGGCGGGACCGCCTCCCACACAGACGCTCGAGGTGTTCACCAAGAGCGAGGAGTTTGGCACATGGAACTTCTCCCGCGTCGACTCCATCCTAGGGCCGCGTCCCGGAGCAGGAGCGGGGGCAGCGGCGGGAGCGCGCCCAGTGAGCAGCTACGGACTGGCAGCAGACGTGGCTGGACAGGGTTGGGATCGCGGCGAGGCGCGGCGGAGCGTCATGATTGGGGACGGCGTGGGCGGGTTCCTGGCAGTGCCTGGCGCCGGAGACGGCGGGCCGGGAGTGCTGAGCCCGCCGCGGGGCTTCTCTGAGACTCTGCGCCCGCATAGCAGCGGTGGCGAGTCGATGCGAAGCCGGGGCTTCTGGAAATGACGGGGTCCCGGGGGGAGGAGGGTCGGTGAGGAGAGGAGGTGTTCTGGGTAGGGGCAGTGTGCAGTTGCATTGCTGGGATGGGTCATGAGGGAAATAGGACCGGACAAGGGCGTAGAAATGATGACAGTGACGATGGCTTACGACTATTGCGGTACTGCACGCATAGCAAACAATTGAGTGAAACCTGAAACGACATGGATGCCAAAGCGTTGTGGGATCGAGGCCGGATGGAGCATGGCCACTTGAGAGATTGCGCAGGAGGAGACAAGACGACCGGGGACCCGAGTGGCGATCAAGGCTGGAGTGGTGTGGTCAGGGGGGCGCGCTCATGTGCATCTGCAGAGCAGTTCCCTTGTGCGGAGGCCTGTATCCCAGGCGCGGCGAGTCGGTCGGGACTACTGTGCTATAGCAGGCCGAGAGGTGGCGACGTGGAGATGGATGTTTGGCAGGATGGTGCTGGCACGCAGTTGATAGTGGTGCGACGAGGTTGATGATGGATCTACAGAGTCACACACCCACTCAGGGGGGCATGGTATGTGCAGTGCGGCTCAGTACTCGTATGCGTGTATTTGTTTCCCTGCGCGCGGAAACACGTACAGTAATTACATACACGCGTGCATGCAGCAAGGTTGATATAGTAGAGCGCATGCTGGATGGAGGTTGTACAGTAAGTAAGTCAAGTATGTGTGTTGATGCTCCTCACAGTGCTCCGTCGACGGCCCCATGCAGCCAGGCGCGTACGGCAAGTGTGTATGATGCACTGTACTGCACTGCACGTGCACATGTGTGAGCCCAGGCAAGGAGGAGCAGCTGGAATGCTTGTTGGAGGACGAGGGAAACGCGCTGTGGAGTGAGTGTCCGTACGATAGACGCGTTTGCAGGTTGCATGTAAGTTAATTAATCCGCACATATGTACGGAGGAATATGGAGTACGCACGGGGGGGGAATAGGGGAATACATGCATACATACATGTCATGTCATGTCATGTCATGCCATGTATGTATGTAGTTGCATGCGGTCGAATAAGGCGACGATGGGATGCGAGGAGGACGAGGGAGGAGGAAGAGTGGAGCGAATCCGTTCCTCGGCGATGCGAGACGGGGTCGGTTTGGCGGGGCGCGGGCGGCCCCCTGGCCCTGGTCGGCCGGGCAGAAAAAATAGGGGTGGTGTGGAAGGGGAGCAAAGGGAGCTGTGGGAGTCAGTCGGTGAGTGACGAGCGGACGGGCGGGCGGGCGGGCAGCCTTGGGACGGCGCCGGGATGAAGCCTGTTGACGGTTCGCTTCAGACGGAAGCGGAGGTGCGGTGGAGACTTTGCCGGGATCATGTTCTGGTCGGTTAAAATTCCACAGGCCGGGATGTTGCATGGTCGACCATGTTCAGTGATGGGCGCGGTACTGGGCGACTCGCGGGTGCAGAGGGGCAGGACGCGGTACCTTTTTTAAATGCTCAATCAAACCGAGTCCCACGACTGGCGTGTCGATTAGGTACCCCATGCGGCACTTGGCCTGTCTGTCCCACAGTTGCCTCGACTGACCTGCGAGTTTAGTTTAGTTTAGTTTAGTTTAGTGTATTTTCCGTCCAGCAACTTTTGGTCGCTCAGGTCTCCGCAGGGGAGCACAGGACGTGCTGAGCTAGCAGGTGTCTACATGCTACATATCGTACACTTCACCCACTATCCAGCATTTCATCGGCTCAACGGCGCTCATGACAAACCTGTTGCCCGTCAGCGGGACGTCCAGGCATGAAGAGAAAGCTGTCCCGTGGTCAGATCAGCCAATTTGCTTCTGGGGCCTTGCAGCCCTTGATGACCTCGGCGATCGCATGGTCGCGAGACCTTGACGCCGCCAGATCGGAGCAGGTAACAGAAAGGATTGAGAGGAAAGGTAGGGTGAGAGGAGAATGATGACCGTCTAGTGGCGTGGGCAGATCCTCCGAAGAAGGAGCTCGCTTTCGCCAGCCTGACGAATTTGTCAAAGTCCTTGCCGATTGCGCGGTTGATGGCTGCAGCCGGCCAAGGTGCAAGCCGCATACGATGCCGTGGCGCAACCTTTCTGCAGTAAAAGATGTGTGCTGGCTCTTTTCGTCTTCCGCACGAGCACGTCAGTCGCGCATTGTCGTGACCAAACCTTTCGTGGTAGTCAGCAAAATCCCCATGGTGGGTTCTTGCTGCAAGCAAGTTACGAAGCAGGGGCCGAGAGAGCGCCAATTCTGACGGGCAGCTGGTTGTGGCTTTAAGCCTCAGGTCTCTGTATCGCTCCGGCGCAGAGGCTTCCCACCAGGCCTTGAAAGCCTCTTCCGGCTGCTGTCGGGCAATCTTTCGCAGGTGCGCTAGCGTCGGGACGTTATCAGCGGGTTCTGGCAGTGCTGCTCCGCCTTTGCCAGAGCATCAGCCTCCTCGTTGCCTGGGATGTCAGCATGGCCGGGGATCCAATGGACCTCCACAGCTCCGTATTTTCGCGCCAAAGATTGAAACTCAAGGAAGACCTCTTGCGAGGAGTCGCTCGGCGTGCCCCGTAAGCATGTTGCGGTCGCGAGGTTGTCGAGGCAGACAAAGATGCGGTCAGTTTCTGGAAGGCTCACCGCAGCCTTCAACCCCTCCAACGCACCTTTCGCCTCAGCGTCGAAAATCTCGGCGGGCCCGAGACGGCCCTTGTCGCGCAAGACGGTGGATCCGTCCCGATGAACAACATAGCCATATCCGGCGTGGCCTTCGGTAGAACGGGACCCGTCGGAATAGACGACCAGAGTTCGGGGCGATAGTGCCTGGAGCCAATCGCGAAATTTCTTCGCCGTCTCATTTTTCGATGCACTCTGCAGAGGCGCAGTCTGCTCTTCGACAAATCCGCGCTGCAGCAAGGCAGGCCTTGGGCAGCTTGGTAGCAATTCGTCGGAGCGCCGCAGCCTAGTCCGGAAGGGTTTTGGCTGCTTTTGGTACTTCAGCTTGATCATTTCATTCAGTATAGGGGCTTTTGGCCTCGACGTGCGCTTCACGAGCGGATGAGCTTCGTCCAGGGATTTGAGACGCGCAGCAAATGCAGTCCGGCGCGCCTCGAGCAGCAGAGGGACCGGCGGTATCCCTGCCTCCCGGTGCAGAACATTCGTTGGTGTAGTTCTCCACACTGGCAGGATAGCCCGAAGAGATGTGTAGAGTGCCTTGCTCATCTTCTTTACGAGGTGTCCGATCCTGGACGGTCCTTCCTTGCCCGGCTTGGTCCAGCGCGGGCGCGTAGAACCAGGATACCAGACCTCCGCCGCGTAGAGCAGCACTGGAATGACGCAAGCGCAGACCGCTCGTCGCACAGCGCTCGGTAGAGGACCATGCCTGGTGTTTGTCAGTCTCCTGAGATGGAAGGCGACTGCTTGCGCTTTGGCCGTCCATTTCTCGACATGAGTCTTGAAAGACAGAGTGCTGTCGAGCCAGACGCCGAGCCAACGCATCGCCCGGCCCGGCCGTTTCTCAAATTCGCCATGGAGCACTGGCGGCGCCGTCTTGGGCGTCGTTCGAGAGAAGTGCATCACTTCTGTCTTCTCAGGGTCGAAGGAGATCCCGTTGGCGGCGCCCCACGATACAAGCTCACGCACATGATGAGATGCTTCGGCGGACGTCTCATCCAGGCTATCGCCGACGCAAAGGATGGCAGTGTCGTCCGCATAGCCGAAACGCCCTTTTGAGCTGCCCAAGCGGTAGATTGGTTCCGTATACAGTAGGAAGAGGATCGGCGAGACTGGCGATCCCTGTGGCAGCCCGCACTGGAGAGCGATGAATTCGTTGCGATATCTTGATAGCGGATGCGTGCCGACCTGTCTTGCATAAACGAGCCGACCCATCGCGCGAGGTTCGGTGGCCACCCTTGCTCCCGTAGGCGAAGGATCAATCTGTTGCGGAGGACTGTGTCGAAGGCGCCCTGAATGTCCAAAGTCACCAATGTTGCAACCTGCTTGCAGGCAAATGCCTCCTCGATGTCATGAATCAAGGCAGCAACGAGATCCACGGCCGATCTCTTCGGGAGCGCGCCGGCTTGTTGTGGGTGTAGTACGCCGAAATGGACCGAGGCCCACGCTAGACGCCGTGCGATGAGCCGCTCGAGGCCCTTGCCGAGACAGGACAAAGGAGATGGGGCGCCAAGCGCGGGGTGTAGAGAGATCCCTGCGCCCCGGCTTGGCAATCATGACCACTTCTGCTTCTCGGAAGGGCTTCGGATGGTGGCCAATCCTGAGGCAGCCTTGATATAGCTGGTGGACGAGACTTCCGATCGCATGCCAGACAGCGCGGAGCATCCGCACCGTAATATTGTCGGGACCAGGGACGTATTCCCGGTGCGTAGCGTGGCGTCGCGGGTCTCCTCCGGAGAGACTCGGTCGGTGAAGGGTATCGTCCTATCTGTGTTCACGGAGATCCACGGATCTGGGATGTCGTCGTTCGCCGTGCGCCGTTCCAGAGTGGCTTGTCGCAAGGCGGTGGCCTTTTCCAGCTGCGTCTCATACACTCGGTCGTCAATTTGCAGGAGGAGCTTGAAACGGACCTGGAGACTTCAGCCAGCGGACCGCCCTGAAGACGGAGGCGCTATCGGTGAAGCTGTCAATCAAGTTACGCCAGTAAAGGCGCTTGGCCCGGCGCACCACGCTATGGAGCTCCCTCTTGGCTAGCTGTACTTCTCGGTCGAAGCCGAGAGTGAACTCTCCTCCACGCGCGGTAATTGGCCGCCGCCTTTGCGCATTCTTCAGTCCACCACCGCGCACCATGCGTAGTCTTACGGGCAGGTCGGCCGGCAGCTCTGGCTGCACAACCAAGAAGGTTCACGAGCGCCGACGCAAAGCTGTCGAGCTCGGAAGGAGATGCCGTGGTGATCGGGATGAAGGCGGCACCGGCCTCCACTAATTCAATGAATCGCTTCAATTCCTCGTCGGAGTTGAGATGGATCTTTCCTATTGGAAGGGGTGCCAGAACTTGTCCTGGCAGCGTGATACTAAGGGTAAAATGATCGGAGCCGGTTGCTAGATGATCCTCGACAACAGCGTCGGCCAGAGGTATGTTGCAGAAGGCGAGATCAACCGTATTGCCGTGTGCGTTGGTCGGGACATCGACAGGATTCAGTAAGCCGAGTCGATTGTCCATTGCCCAAAACGCTATTTCTTCGCCGCGGTCCTCTCGTCGACCGGCCTGCCAGCTGGGATGTTTGGCATTGAAATCACCAGCAACAAGACACTTGTCCGGTACGGTCCACTGAAGCAAGATTTCAAGGGCTCCGTCGTGGTACGGCTGCCGATAGAAGTTGACGACTGTTATGCCGTTGACGGTGAGCCAAAGGATGTCACGAGTCGCCGCAGGTCTCTTTTGATCAGCGACGAGACCTGCGGAACGCCGGACGTATGTCATGACTCTCGGGCGAGTGTCGCGGCCGTCCCAGTCGTTGACGGGTGAGAAGGTGTCGTAGGCCTGATGCGTCTTAGTGAGGCATCGGCCATCTTTCAGTCCTGTCCATGGCTCCTGCAACAAAATAATGTCGTATTGTTCCGAGTCGGCCAACGCAAGGGCACAATCGTGTGCCGGCGGAATCTTGCCTACGTTGGCTTGGAAGATTCGCAAGATCCTCCTATCGCTTCGATTGCGTGGAAAACAGCGAGGCATTAGGGTAGCGTCACAGGACTAGTGCGTCGTTTCTTCGATGGGACGACAGGGAGGAACTGGTCGCCGTCCCTTACATGCGGCGGCGTTGTGGCCACAACGATGCATGGGGTTGACGGCGCGGCTGGCTCGTAAATGGCGCCCATGTCGGAGCTTCCATCTCCTCCAGCTGCCCGCGGCGCCGTTGACTCCAAGGAAAGTATCTGCGGCCTGCCAGGGCTCTGATCAGACTGGTCGGACACTCTGGCCTTTGGAGTCTGCCGCTTCTGCTGCGCAGAGAGCTGAACTCCCATCTGCCGTACCAGGCTCTTCTCCTCCTTCGTCAGGCGCCGGACCATGCCGTGAACGCGCTTGGGGCGGGCAGGGCATTTGGGGTCATCCGCGCAATGGGGTCCAAGGCAGTTTGCACACTGCTCGAGGGCGGTGCATTCTTGGCTACGATGGCCGGTTTTGCCACAACGCCTGCAGCGCGCCGTTCGATCGCAGCTGTGTCGAGCGTGGAAATCCCAGCACTTGTCACATTGGCTAGGAATGCTGGGCTTGTCGATATAGCGGGCGAACCGGCTGGCGCCGAACAGTCGCCAGGGTCTCTGCGTGGGTTCCAGGAAGGATACAATAAGGGTCTTGGTAGGCATATCGCCCGAGTCGTGTCGCGAGGTCCGTATGCTGATGGGCTTCAGTCCGGTTTGGCAGGCAATTTCTTCTTTGACCGCCTCATCGAAGTTGATCTCAACGCCGCGTAGGTCCGTGAGCCTACGAGGACAATCGGCTACGGCATACGAATGCCATTTCTGGCTAATCTCTACGGCCGTCGCGTCCAGATCTACGGCCCAATCCGCCTGTCGCTGCACGAGTAGTTCGCGCGTGGCCACATCCGATGCCAGGATGGCCCAACCCGTGTTTACCGGGAAGGCTGCCGGGATGCGGCGTAGGTCGATGCCGACTCTAGCGGCGATGTGGGCCCGGATAGCGTATCTTTCATGGTTTCGGGCCGGAGCATCGGCGTCAAGTCGGACAAAGACACGCAGGTCTTCCTTGGTGGGACCACGGGCGGTCGTCCTTGGAGACGAGTGGTGGTTTGCTGTTTTCGCTGTGGTGGGGCGGAGGCCGTAATGGCCAGCTGTCCTTGTGTCGTTTTGCCGGATGCGAGAACGCTGCTGTACGTAGGTTTCGGTGGTTCCTCAAGGTCGGCGAGCGATTGAGTCCAGAGGTTCAGAAACTTGGTGGCAACTTGCTTTGCGATGCTATTGTGGGAGCCGGACGTGAATTGTTTGGCTGTCTGTTCGAATGATTCGCTAAAGGCCCGAAAGACTGCCAGCTTGGCATCATGGGCTGCCGTTTGGTCGCGAGCGATCTTTGTAGCCGCTTCGATGATGGAGACAGGTGCATTTTCCGTGGACCCGGTCGAACCAGGGCCATTCGGGATTATTTCCGGCTGCGTTCCTTCCGCGACGGCAGCGTTGGGCGTGTCGCTGGGAGACGTCGGTCGAGGGAGCTGCTGAGCCGCCAGGGTTGAGACATTTGGGCGAGCCTCCGCCGGAGAGGACAGTAGGTGCTGAGATGCACGGGCTGCTAGATCAGGTGGCGATTGTATGTCGACAGCACAGGGAGCGGCGCGCGAACCTGAGGCTGGTGCCATGGCCGCTGCCGGCGCTTTGCGCGGCGCTGTTGCGGAATTTTCAAGAGCACTGTTAAGCGAAAAGCTGTATGGATAGGCTACTTCCTTAACACTTGCGTGCCAAGAAAGTAAAAATGCAGGGAAGGGTGGACTGACCTGCGAGTCGGGCGGAGAGTCGTGGTACAGGGTAGGTTCATTTGATGACGGGATCCATCTTGTACAGGATGGCATCTGATCGGGCACGGGGGAAGAAGAAGAAAGGCCGCATCGACGTGGCTGCGGCCTTTTAGTATCTCTCATGTACACATATAAGCTCCCTGTAAGGCTGGCTGTTGAATAAGAAGAAGAACAAGGAGAACAAGAAGAAACAGAAGAAAGAAGGACCAGGGCAGTGTCCATCATGGAGGAGCGGGAACAAAAGTGGCTGGTGAGATTTTGCCGACGCGCGCTGCAGAACCCACAGCCACTTGCTTACACTCGGTCCGCAGACTGGGGAAAAGGGGTGGTCAGGCCGCCGGTGGCTGAGGACACCATCAGCGGCGGTGCACAAGCCACACGGTGCCTGGATCAGGGTTCGTGGGGTAACCGGCATGACGCCATGTGCTGATGACTGCGGTGGCACTGTAGGGCACGGCAGCCCCGGGGGGGCATTGCAATTGCCGACATGTTTTGGCCATGCTTCACGTTTCCAAACCTTGACGGCTCTCGAAGCCTTCTCAATGCCGTGACATCGCGCATGACGCATCCCGAAGGGAGCTTCTCAAACCTAGCGGGAAGGGAGTGGAGGACAAAAGAGAGGCCTCGAGGGACAAGATGAAACGCCGCCGTCCCATGCATGCCCACCCACCACCACGACCTGGCACGTGTGGCCCCACCTGGGCAATGCTCCGAGAGACAGAGCGCGCTTGTAGCGAAACGGCCGCTGATTCGACGCATGGGAAAAGCCATCATGGTCTTCTTGGCTTCGGCCTAGCGTTGGCCGAGGGAACGGGCGTGTGTATGTGTGTGTGTGTGTGTGTGTGTGTGTGTGTGTGTTTGTTTGTGTGTGTGTGTGTTTCGACCGACGAGCTGCTGGATGACGCTCGTCGTTTCGGGGGGAGAATCAAAACAGCCAGAGAGTCGCAGGAAAGGAAGCGGCTTGGGACGAATCCGCGACAGCCACCGTCCGGGTCTCGCACTTCCCGCGGCCCCCCCGACACCGGGCTTCTCGAGACTCGGGGGCAGCCGCTCCCAACCCCCCAATGAGACTGCGCTGGGTTGGCAGAGAGAGAGAGGCGCGGTTGCGTGTTGGAGAATCAGGACGATCGGCGCCGACAGACGTGCCCGTCCATGTAGGAAAAACACACTTGCCTCGCGTGCATCGCATCGCATCGCATCACACACACACACATACAGACGCTAAAGGGCGGTGTCGGCGCCAGGTGAAAGAGGCGAGAGACCACGGCGGTTGGGCAAATCAAGGGAGGCCAATCGACACCGGACGCTCGTCGGGCTTGGAGACTGGTGGTGATGGATGGATGGATGGATGGATTACCAGTCATACAGAATAGTGCCGAGAGGAGGCAACGTAACGACGCACTGTGGCAGCTGCCAAAAGATACAATATACCTTTGTCCGACCATCCATCCATCCGAAAAGGGAGCGCACCTTTGGTCAACTACACACTACCTAATTAAAGCTCCCCCTCCTCCACTATACGAAAACTAGGTAATAAACCGCCTGCCTACGACCGGGCACCGCCCATGGCAGATGTAGCCAACGCCGCAAGGGAGCCGCAGGAGGAGGACGAGGAGGACGAGGCGGGCAGCACACCTCATCTCCCCCCCCCCTCGTCGTGGTGAGTCCACGGGCGTCAGCAAACATGTACACGAGCTGCGAGGGGCGGAGCAGCAACTCTCTCTCCCTCCCCCCTCATCCGTCTTGCTGCCCATCGGCCACGGAAGACAAAAACAAAACAAAAGGAAGAAGAACCGGCCTGGCAGGACGAGGCAAAGAGTGGCATTCGTAGGCTTCCTTGCCTCTTTTTGGCGAACACGAACCCGCTGGGGACAAAACACAAAGAGCGCGCCGCGTGGTGTGGTGTGGACGGCCCAACCGCCCCGCGGCTTGTCAGCTGGAGAATCGAGACTGCTGGCTTCTCTTCGTCTCTCTCTCTTCTCGTTCTATCTTTGTATCTCTCCCTCCATCCCTCCCCTCCCCCCCCTCTCTGTGTTGGTGTGTCTCTCTATCTGTGTGTCTCTGTGTGTGTGTGTGTTTATTCGGCCTAGGCATTTGCTCGTGTGTGGTGGCGTGTGCCTGCTCGTATAATACTGAACGGATTAGTCCATGCAAGAGAGCGCCGCCTGCGCCCGTATACACACACGTCTAAGCAATCCATAGCCTGCACGAACATGTGTGTGTACAGTACAGTTTTATATATAGATGTCGAGGAATGTGGGTGTGTAGGCCTGACGAGATGTCTGTCAGTCTGCATGCATGTACACCACAGTGCACGGTACTCCGTAGACGCGGTGGCTGCGGAGGCTCGAGCCGGGCGAGCCTGCAGCGTTGCGTCCGAAGCAGCGTCACGGCTGCGAGATCCGCACGCAATGGCATTCGCCAGTCCATCATGCCATGCCCCTCATCGGCCGTGGCTGCGCGAGAGAGAAGAGAGGCTTCTCGGGTCATCACCAGGGGCTAATGTGGAAATCACATCCTCTCGACTACCGAGAGCCCATTCCATAATTTGTCGCCTGCCCTTTCATGTTGGCCAAGGGCTTTCTGTTGAAACAAGCGAGTCTCTTGGCGACTCGTCGACTTGTCTCCAACGACTTGCAGGGAGCAGCATGGGGTTTGCAAAGCCATCGCCCACCCCTTGGTCAACTCATCTACGGAGAAAGCAGGGGGGTTCGGCGCCCATGGGGGTTTCTAGGTTTGTTTATTTTTTCCCCAACGGTCAAGAAGCGCTGTCGAGCCGCTTGTGCGACATGTCAAATGCTCGAGGACCTTGCAACAGGTGAGAGTGGTGAATAAGACGGCACAGAGGGAAGGGAGAAGGGGGGGGGGCCTGGTCGGCCAGGGCAAGGAAAGGGTCTTGGGTCCCTGGCGGCGGCGGCGGGGACCCGGGAAATGATGGGCGACAGCGTCCTCTCCCTTGTTCCTCTGCGAAGCCTCGACTGCGAGCACACATGGGCCCTTCTTCCAGGGGCAGATTCCCTTTCTGCTTCCTTCGTGCTCCTTTTGCGTCCCTGTGCGGCGAACCTCGGTTGAGCTCGCTCGAGCACCCGGGTGTTCCCCTGCGAGCGCCCATGACGTGCCGCTGTCGAGCCAGGAGCCGATGAGCGCCGGGAGAGCGTGCGCATGGGTTCCGGACGAGCACGAGGACGGCATCAGGAGTAGGTTCGGGGGCGAACCTTGAAAGAGGCCGAGAGCAGCAGCCAGTCGAGAACTTGCTCCGTGGTGGGAGCTGGCCAGCCTCTTCCTTTTTTTGGAGTTGTTCAGTCCAAATACAAGACCGGGTACCAGGCCCGCCACTAGCCCAGATGCCGGGATACATCGCATAGAGTGGTCGGCCTTGCGCTTTGGGATGTATCCGGCTACATACCGCCACAGGCCTGCTAGGTATTGCAGATGTGTCTACGACAAGCCCGGCTTGTCAGACGGGGGAGGGGGGGAGGGAACCTGGGGCAGGCGGCATTGGAGCAGCAGGTTCGAGGCCTGCCTGCCGACTCATTCGCAGCTGTAGATACGTTTACCAAGAAGGTGCATACGACTGCACTCGGGAAGAAGAGGGGAGAAGAGGGGAGAAGATGACGGCGATGCCCAGTCGATGATGCCAACCGCCCACCATCGGCATCATCAATCATTCGGCAGCAGTGATTTGAGATATTACGGGCTAATGGAAGCAACAGGACATGAAACAGGGCGACATTCAGATGCCCATTGCAGGCATTCGTTAATCGTCTGCCGATGCACGAGGAGGACCTTCACACGCTGGACGTGCAGCAGCGACGGCCTCGAGCGTTTTCGAAACGTTGCGGGCCCCGCCCTGCGCAAAAGCCTCTTTTTTTGGGCTTGCTTGGCTGGGCTTGGCTGGCGGTCGCGAAACGGCGCCGCAACTACGGATACGGAGTCAAGAGCTGTAAAGAGCCGGGTGTGTGACGAAAGGGCACAGAAGGGCACAGAAGGGCACAGGCACAGGCGGGAGAGGCATAGAGGGAACAGCCGGGGTGGTGGAGGGAAGAATGGGCTCCACTCTTGGCCCACGACCCCCTGTTCCATGGTTAGAGCTTCCCACCACCCCCTGGGCCCTGGGCCCTGGGGTCTGTGCCCAGTGCGCAGAGGGCCTCGATTGACACGGCCCGCCCCCCACCCCCCCGGCAAGCAAGAGCTGCATAGTAGCACTTGGTATGGACAAGGTGGGACATGCCAGCCGCTTCGTCTGCTTTCTCACCTACCGCCTCCCCGACCTTTGCCTGACTTGCATATGTATATACCTCCTCCCCCGTTGGAACATTCCTCTGCCCTTTTCCACTCTCCCTTTGGCTCTTGGCCTCGCTCATCGAATTCCTTCCCTCGTTTACAGCAGCGCGCTAGACCCAAGACTTACACGCCAGTCCTCGACGCCCAACCACACCAGTCTCGCCGAGTTCCGCCATCGCGCCAACCCTTGGGGCGGCTCGGGATTGTCTCACGGCCTCCTTGATGCGAGCGAGCCAGCCGGCCCAGGCACCCAAAGCTCCCGACGCACTGCCGCTTGCCGTACAAAGGAAGACCACGTCCCCTCCCCAATCCCTCTCTCGTCATGTCGCTGGTGGAACAGCCGAGAGGGCGCGCCGATTCCATTCCAGACGCCTTAGCGGAGACTTATAGAGTCTCTCCCTCCTCTCCCGCACCTCGCCAAGACGTCGACCGCGACTGCTCTCCCGATTGCCTCGTCGAGAACCCTACCTCCACCGCCACCCTTGAGCCATTCTCCCGAAACCAGTCCCACGACGACGACATGCTGTCCGTCCCGCACATCGACGCCCGCGGCGACCTGCCAGCGCCTGCCCTGCCCGCCAAGAGCGCCCTGCGAACCTCGAGGCTGCTGGCCTCGCTCGCCCAGAAGACGGCCACGGAGGACCGTCCGATTCTGCCCCATGCCGCCCCTCACCAGGTCTACCTCTCGTCGGAAGAGGATGCCTCGTCCTCGGCCGACGACCTGTCCGACCTGGATGAGCTCGATTGGGAGGCTGGCGAGTCACACAAGTCGGCCTCGACGTCCCGCTCCAGCCGCGAGGACACGGCCCGCGTCGTCACCGTCGTCTTTCACGGCAGACCCTCCATTGTCGAGTTGCCCCCCCGAGCATCATACGGCGGCTCGACCGACGGCGGGCGGCCCGCCACGGGCATCATTCGCACCGCCACGGAACCGACATTGACCCGCACTCGATCCACCTCATCCTCGTCGTCCATGGCCATGCACAACCCTCCGCGGTCAAGCAGCATGACGCCCAGCGGCTTCCAGATGAAACGCCGGCAATTCCTCACCATCGACCCCTTTGCGACCAAGCTGCCGGAGTTCGACGAGCAGGACCCCGCAAAAACGCCCAAGACGCCCTCGGGAATGCTCAAGAAGACGTTGAGCTTGGTCAAGAAGCGAAGCAGACCCACGCTGAACCCGGCCGCCTGCCGGTCGCGCGAGAGTCTCGCGGTTCAGACGCCGCCCATGGAGCAGGTGGGAGAGGAGCCGGAGCCGGAGACGCCCCGCGAGCTCGCGCCCGTGAACCGGGGGCCCGTGACGTACCAGGGAATCATGCGAAGCGCCAGGAGGAGCGCCGAGACGAGCACAGCTACGGCAGGCAAGACAGACTTGGTGTCGCCCACGACCACATCGAGCCGGAGCCGGTTCCGAAGCGGGTTATCCATCAGCCGGCCCCGCAGCGTCAGGGCATAGGGACGGTGCACCGAGATGCTCCTCGTTTCTTTTCTTGGTCAACATGCTTCAACATTTCCTGGGCGGCCTCTTTCGGCTCTCCCCATGACGACGGGCTCACAAGGCGTACGGCGCAGTCGAGATGGCACGTCTCACAAGACGCACTAGGCTCGCAATGGGAATCGGGGGCATTATCACGGCGTTTTCCAGAGTAATGGACACTGGGTGGGGACGTCATTTTTTCTTTTTTTTTTATGCAACGGCGTTATACACCATGACTTGATGCCGAGGAGGCGTGGCTTCGCCTGGGAAACGGACGTTGTTGGGAAGTGCTTTCTTCAGTTGGGGGCCATGGACCTTGGCCGAACCTAAGAACGGTATCGGTTTGGAACAATAGATTGTTCTATGAAATGAAAAGGAATGAAACAGTTGGTCATTTGATCCATGGTGCGGTTTGACGTTTGCGTGCGGCTGTCGGATGCGCGAGACAGGGCAATCTCGGAGGCTGCCACCGCGCCAGGAGCTTGGCTCCTTTTTTCCCTCTCGTTACTTTTTCCTCGTGGGCTCTTGGTGGGTGGGATTGCCCGGTGCTGGCATGCACCGAGAGAGTGCATGAGCGCGCAATGCTGCGAGGAGCCACCTTGGCGCGAGGGCCCTTGGGGACGTTGCGGGTATATAATATATGCACGGTGGAGGGCCTTGGTGACGGGACGTTTGGGATTGGCCTTGTCCTCTAAGTCAAGACTCTCACTTTACGCCGCACAATAGGTAGAACGCGATTGATGAGCGGTGACTTGCCCGCGATGCTCGCAACTTGTCGTCTACACACTTCCTCGGTGCCCTCTCTCTTAGTTTCTAGAAGCCTTTCTTTTCAGAGGGCCTCTGTTTAGGAATGGCTGTCTGTCTGTCTATCTGTCTGTCTGTCTGTCTTATCTGTCTGTCTGCATGGCGCATGTCTGGCAATTTTGGGGTGAAAGCTTGTCGTGTCGGTGAGCCGCAAGTCTTGGCTGCGCAAGTGGCCCTTTTTCCTTTTTCATTACCAAGTAATTTTTGCATCCTTTTTTCGCCCCCCCTCCCCTCTCCCCCTTCCCCCCTTTCTTATTCAGTCTGTGCTCCTACATGGCAGCGGTAGATGATGCACATGTTCGAGTGAGATGTGAACTGGCCTACATATGCACGATGATGATCACGGAGGAGGATGGCAACACAACACAACACAACAACAATAACAATGACAACCAGAGTCATCACACGAGAGGAGAAGGGGAAAAAGGGGGAGCAGCGTGCCATCGTCACCCTGCGCAGGGCACGGCAGGGCACGGCAGGGCAGGCCCAGGGAGACTCTGCATGTTGTCGCAGATGGGGAATACGATGGTACTCGGCCGGCGCGCTGTCCCTGGGCGGGCTGCGTGTGTCTGTACTTACTACTCGCCATGGGCGGTTTCAAGAGCCCGCGAGTCTTGCGAAGTTGCAAGTAGGGATGATGGGACATGTCGTCTCCTGCAATCTTGCCCCTGGGGGCGGGCGGGGATCGAATATAGGCACAAATGTCCTCTGCAATATCGTAGCGCATCATCACCTATGGATACGAGCCGTCTTTTTCCTGGCTGAAGCGAGGGTTCGTGCCGACAGTTTGTGCCTGCCCGGATATACGTAACAGGGCTCCGTCGGTCAGGGGTAGAGATGGACGAGGTACTGTGACTTACTGTACAGTCTCGCTGAGGTAATGCTGGTCCATCATTTATGGTACAGGCAGCTTATTCTGAAGAGGCAGGTAATCATTAGTCATCGCATCCCGTCAACTCGCCTCTCCTCCTCCACCTCGCCTCCCCACCATACAGTGCCTCACACTATCGACCAGCAAACACGCAGCGACGGCCCGCACAGACGGGGCCCTCGTCGCCAGACAAGCATCAGGTGAGGCGCGCCAGGGGTTACGGCACGTGTACTGCACCGTAGGCACCGTCTGTGCGCGCCCACTTCCTTCCTTCTTCTCTTCTTCTTCTTCTGCATTCCCGACCCTGCTTCATCCTCTGCCGGCAGCGCCTGCCCCGCTCTCGCTCTTCTTCTCGCTAGGCTCATGTCTTACCTGGTTTGCTTATTGCTCTCTAGCTCGCCGTTTTATTTTTATCCTGTCTTGGAATCGGCCGGCTGAGGGCCAACGTCAACCGAGACGTCGTGGCACCACAATGTCCATGGAGCCGCAGCCAACGCCGTAGTTGTCTTCTCTCAATCAATACATGTATGCCTTTCTCGTCACCGCCTCCTCAGCCTTTGCAGAAATAGGGCTCAACAGCTTGGGCGACTCCCGCGTCGTCCATGCTCATGGCCCTGACCTGGCTGAAATTCACGCCCCAGACCCGTCATTGCCTCGGGAACATGCTCCTCTCCGCACCATGATTCCTCACGAAGTCGTTTCCCCTTCCTGGCAGATGATGGCTCCGCAGACACCGGCTCCAAGTCTGCCGCTCCAATCTTTCCCCAACCGCTCTTTGCTTGGCGGTAGCTGAGAAGCGGCCTGAAGTCTTGCGGCTGAGCATGGCGCGGCAAGCGAAAGCATCCGCCTCAGCTTGCCGTCAGCACCACCAACAAGTCTGCTGTCATACCCAGACGGGCCTCCAATATTCTCTGATCCTAGATGACTGTATAGAGAGGGCGTAGTGGTGATCGCAGCTTGTCTGCCGCATGTGCTCAAGGGAAAGCTGAGCTTCGTCGACGCCTTTGAAAACGCCTTTGCAATGGCTCCGCCGCACATTCTACCGTGGACAGCGTCGTCCCTTGATCTTGGTATACAAATTGTACATGCTGCAGAAGCACGCGCGCAAGGGCTCGGCGGCTACGCGCTCCTCAGCTCCTAATGCTTCACCCGAAGCATCGCAGTGCCGGCTAAATCCACGCTTCATCTTACAAACGTCATCGTCATGAGCAGAGGCGAGGAAGCCCCACGCCGTCCATGTCAACGTCTTCTCGCACGCCGTCGTGGAACAACGTCCTCAGCGTGCCCTCCCGCGTGCGAGTATGCCAGTTCCGACTCTCGACTTCTCTTGTACACTGTGCTCCTACGTTCCGAGGAGAGGCCCTCAACAACCATCAATACAACGAGCAAGGATTGTGTTTTCCCATGGTCCTCCGCAGCAGGCCTCTTGCCTCCCGCGCCACTCCAATTCTTCCTCCTATCCCCAAAATTATGTCTTTACAATCTCGGAATTCAACAAAAGAGCAATAGAAATTAACAAACAGGCCGCAGCCGACGAAGTGGCAGTCAACTTCGACCGGGGCTATGACGCTCCAGGTACACATTGGTTCTGGGCCGGCACGTCAGTTGCCGTTCAAGGTCGCCTCGACGACCGCGCTGTCATTGACTGGCTGCTTAGCCCGAAGTGTAAGCGGAAATGGGTACTCGTCGGGGTCTTCCTCGTCACTGCTCAAAACCGTCAGTCAAGAATTCTTTGATCCAATCTGGTCCAGGTCCGGCAGCATCTTCACTTACGGCAGCTTCCAGGCAACGTAGTCCTCCGTATTCAGGCCCTCGCGGCCCTCCTGCAGGCTGGCAAAGTCTCCCGGAGTCATCATGCCGCTCTTGTCCCTTGGCGAGCCGGGAACCGAGAAGGGCCGTGAAATCTTCTGCTCCACGCCCGGGATGAAGTCCTCCTCGTCCTCCTCGGTGCCGCTAAACGATGTCGCATACACCCGTCGCAGCGCCAGCTGTCGAGCCTTGACATACTCCATGCCCATACGCTTCCAGTCGAGCAGGTCGCTGAGACGCTCCGTGCGGTTTCGCTGGTTGATACGCTGGCGACGACTCTTGCCGCAGAAGTCGTACATGTGGGAAGTCAGCTGATTGATGGAGTCGTCGACTCCCTTTGTCCGTCGGTCGACAATGTAAATGCCGTAGTCGCTCGAGTTCTCTATCAGCTCTTCCATGTAGCAGCCGAATCCCGACAAGTTGGTCGTGATGCTGGGGACGCCCATGACGGTGCATTCGGCCGGCGTGTATCCCCACGGCTCGTAGTACGACGCGAATACGCCCATGTGGCAGCCGCGCACAAAGTCGTCGTAGTCGAGGGGTAGGACAGGATTGGCCGAGTTGAGGAATTCGGGATGGAACACGACCTTGACTCGGTCCGTGGGGTGATTGAACAGCTGGACCCGACGGATCTGGTTGAGAATCGGATCGTCGTGGTCGTTGATCATGTTGTGCGTCACAATGGGCGGCAATCCGCCTCGCTTCATGGCGAAGAGGCGCCGCCTCAGCAGGACACGATCCTGCCCGGAGATGAGCTCCTTTTCGTCCGGCATAGGTTCGCCGTCGTGCCACTTGAGAGACCGTTCGAATAGCCGTCGGCCGATGCTTTGCTCGATGACGTGGGTGGTATCGCGGAGCGACTTAATGACCGCTTGGCCCTTCAAGGCCTCGACCGTGAGCGACGTCGTCTGCGCAGGCATGATGATAAAGGCCACGACCGTCATCTTGCTTCCCGCGTTCTTCAGCCGGTGGTTTAGGCGGGCCAGCGACTCGATGAACATGTCTACACCCTTGTTCCGAAATTCGTAGCGCCCTGCCGTGAACAAGTAGAGGGTGTTGTCTGGTTCAAAGTCGTAGTGACCGTAGAAGTGCCCGCGCACAAAGTCGTGGATTTTTTCCTTGGCCTGCTGGTGGAGGTTTTGAAACTCATGCACGGCAGAGAACTTGGTGACGTTGAGACCGTTGGGGAGCACGCCGTCGGGTTTCCGTTTCAGCAAGTGCTCCGACTCAAAAGCGGTGATGTGGGACACTGTCGTGAAGACATCGCACGAGTGTGCGGCCGCGCGTTCGATGCAGTACCGGTGGTAGATGCCTCGCTTGCCGGCCTCGGAGTCCACATCAAAGTATTGCAGATTGTTGTAAAAGTCAACTGAGCCGGCACAGAGATAGCGGCCAAGGAGAGTGGCGTGCGTTGTGAAGATGGTGGTGACATCAATCCGGCGCTTCCTGGTCAGAGGCAAGGCGACGCCGGCGAGCCACTCGTGGAAATGGGCAATGACAGCCTTGTTTTTCTCGTGGGACACAAACTGCAATTTGTTAGCGGTAGAGCCAAGGGTTCAGCACGGTGGCACTCACTTCACCGAGGAACCAAGCGACCAAGTAGCCAAAGACAATGGCTTCGTTTGTTTCGTCGTCGTTGGGCGGAGAAGGAATGCTGGATATGTTCCAGAGATCCGTCTTCCACTCATCCATGAAGCCGTAAGCCGTCTTGGTGTCAATGAGGAGGACCCTCGGAGCGCCTTCGATCAGCCATCGCCCATAAATGATGTCGACGCCACGCTCCTTCATTGACTGCATAGTCAAGGATATCTCTTGGTTAGGCGGCTCCATCTCCTCCACCTCGACGGCAGCCTGCGGCCGTTAGCGCACAAGACAAGCAATCACACGGGGTGAGAAGAGGGCGCACTGATTGACGGTTCAGGGGACCGATGAGAGTGTATCGATCGCCATACTCGGCCGTGGTGACAGGCGCCTTGGACTTGATGACGGAGTAGATGCCGCCGACTGGGGTAGAGGACGCATGGTCAGTGGCACAGGTAAAAAAAAAATTGAGCAGAAGACGAGCCTACCGCGATGGGCCACCTCGGTAGCAATCTCGAACAGGAGGTGGTTCTTGACATCGCGAGTCTGAGCCCTGGAGCCGTCGGAAGCCATGGCGTCGGTGTCTGCAAGCTAATAGAAGGCTTTCAGGTGGAGAGGGCCTGGCTGTGAGGTGAATTGGATTGCAAGGCGACGGGGCCGAGGAGCCAGATATCTGAAGCTGGCAAGGCTACAAACTCGAGAGTTGAGCTTGGGCAAAAGTCGACCGAGGCAATCCGTCGCGTTGAAAGGGAACGGAAGCCGTGAGGCGGGCCCGTGGGGAGAATATGGCAGCTCCGAAAACGGTCGAAGCGCCTCGGTGAGACAGCGAGGCTTGGGTGGACGGCTTCGAGCGGCGGGGTTGGACGACGGGCGTCAACTGTGTGGGAGCTCGATATCGCGAGGTGAGGGAGCGGAGAAAAGCTCGGGGAGGTGGAGCTTGAGCTTGAGGGGGAGGATAAGGAGGCAGAGGTGGTGGAGGTGGAGGTGAAGCGGGGAGCAGGTAGGGAGGAAGAGGGAGGGGAGGCGGCGGCGGCAGGCAAGGCAGGCACCACCTACAGTACCCTACCTTACGTTAAAGCCATCATTGTCAATCGACCCTCGATCTGGGGGAGCTCGGCCGGAGCTGCCAAGTTAGGGGGCTCGTCTCCCCGGCTCCACCGCCGAGTTCAGTGACCCCACCCACTGAGCTGCGGGTGGGTCTGGATGCAGAAGGATTGCAGTTATGATGCCAACATGGGATGTTCATAAAAAAAGCCGGTGACGTTGGAGCTAACCGCCCACGGCCGTCTCGAATTACGGTGTAGCCCCAACATGCCTGTCTGTGTGCCTGTTCGTCCGGCCATGCCCTTTGCTGAATGCTCTTCGGACTGCCCGCCATGGTGCATCCTGGGAGATCCTGGGAGCTTCCGCTCGTGCGTCCTGGTGTATGGCACTGATGCAACGGCAGGCTGGTCGAGCTTTGCGCTAGCATTCGACGTGCGTCAGTGGTGTCGAACCCATCCGCTGAACCTCCGAGGCCCCAAGTCCGGAGACGGTGGCTGAAGCTTGCAGAGAGACGGGTCCCTGGAAGCAATGGAGAGGGCGGCAACATGGCCCTCGTGCGCACACCTACGGCGGCGGGATGACGACATGGCGGGGCCGTCTTGGATCAATTGTTATCTTGTCTCTCTCTCGGCGTGTCTGCGTGTCTGCGTTACACAAAGCACGTTATTAAGCTACTGTGCAGGCCTCATTCGGACACGGACTAATACAGATTGCCTCTTCAACTTGTCTCTCTTGCGCCCAAGCAGCCAAGGCAACTAGCAGGGGATGAGCATTGTATCCGTCCAACCGTCGCCCCTTGCAACCGTCGAGACAGCTCCTCCAGGTGCAGATCGCCCTCCGTCATCGGCCTCCGGACTAGCCACGCTGGATCGTTCACTCACGTGCGCTCTCGGAGGATGCGTCGACACCCAGCATTGCCATCTTTTTGGAGCTTTGTAGCATCGCCGTGGGGCAGCCCAGGCCATCTTCCCAAGCTGCGTGTACGTAACTCATTTTTGGCTCTGGAAGGGGAAAAAAGGAAGGAAAATATACAGCAACCGACTTGCTTGCAGAATTTCTCTTGCTCTTCGCTACCTACCTACCTTACCTACCTAGGTACCTTAGCCAGGTACCTATACTTAAGGCATGAGAGGAAAAATGCCCAACGTGCTAGCATGCTCCACCCCCCCTCCCCACCGTACCTATAGGTACCCTCGACATCAGCCTCGCGGTAGGGCCTCTCTGTAATTGGTTCTGACTAGCGACCGTCGCCCCGCAGTGGAGAGCTTCGGCCGCGAGGCTGGCTCATCTTTTCTCAAATTTTTCCGAAATCTTTCTATAGAGCGCCTGCGTCGCATTCATGCCCACAAGTTACAACCCCCATTGCCCGCCAAGCGCGCGATAATCACCACTGCCTTCAAATTCCTCTCCTTTCTCTCCAAGACGAAATCCAAGATATTCACAGTCAAAATTATCGGCGTCGCAGTTGGGTGCGCCGCTAATCTATCGGCGCTATATAATGGACGCTTCGCCGGGCCAGGTCAAGGTCATCTTCACCACCCATGAGGCGGACCTTCAGTTGCCCGAGTCCAAACAGCAGCTGCTCGTTCCAGCTGGTCCGTACATCTTGTCTCAATTGGCCAGGCCGACGCTGACTGTTCCCAAGATATCAAGCGCTATGGCCTCTCACGGATCCTCAACTCCGAGTCAATGCTTGATACCTCGTCGCCTGTCCCTCTCGACTTCCTCGCAAACGGCACCTTTCTGCGCACAAGCATCCAAGACTATCTTTCGGCCAACGGCCTGTCTTCCGAAACGACCCTGACACTCCGATACGTCCGCAGTCTGCTCCCACCCGTCTATCAGGCGAGCTTCCAGCACGATGACTGGGTTGCCAGCGTCGACGTGCTCTCCTCGACTGCCCCGGCTGGCAGACTGTCCGAGGGCTCCAACGTGAGCGACAGACTGGCTAGCGCATCGTATGACGGGCTCGTCAGGATATGGAACCCCTCTGGTGAGACAGCTGCAACATCGTCATCGGGCAGGGCAGGTGGCCACGCCCAGCGACTCAATGTTGTTCGGTGGTTGGCGCCGTCAAAGCTCGCATCGGCGGGTCTTGACAGGAAACTTGTCGTATGGGACTATAAAGAGTCCAATGGCAGCTCGGGATCCCTGAAGCCCAGCATGGAGCTATGGGGCCACGACAAGAGCATCAATAGCATCGACGTCAACGGATCCACGAAACGAATTCTCACCGCGTCTTCCGACGGCTCCATAGGCCTATGGACGTCCTCCAAGAAGACGGCGCCCCAGGCCGACCCCGATAGCTTGCCCTCGGCACACAGCACGAAGCGAGCAAAATTTTCGTCTGCGGCGGGCTCGACAGCCCAACGAGGCCCTCTCGCCTTGATGCCGATGCACAACGAGCCCGTCACTGCCGCCATCTTCCACCCCACTGACGCGACCGTCGCCTACTCGGCGTCTCAGGATCACACGGTGAAGACGATTGATCTGACGACGCAGAAAGAGGTATCGCGGTTGACGACGATGCACCCGATACTTTGCGCGACGGCGCTGCCTGCCAACTCTCTGGTGGCGGCGGGTTCCTCGGCCAGACATATCACTCTGCTGGATCCCAGGGAATCCGCGGCAGCCACCGCAGCCATGACCCTCCGTGGCCATGTTAACATGATTTCGTCCCTCGCGCCGTCCCCGGAAAACGACCATTCTCTTCTTTCCGGCTCGCACGACAGCACATGTCGAGTATGGGATCTGCGGAGCGTGCGGCCGGGCACTTCCGAGGAAGGCGGAGGCCGTGTGAGCGAACCTGCATACACCATCGGGCGTGAGTGGCTCAGCGGCAAGAAGCTTCCGTCGGCGGGAGACGGTGCCAAGGTGCTGAGTGTTGCCTGGGACAAGACGTGGGGCATTGTGAGTGCGGGAGAGGACAAGAGGGTGCAAATCAACAAGGGGAGAGGTTTGCTTGCCTCGTAGACAAGATGCGACGGCTGATCTATATCCCGGGGCCAGATTCGAGCCGAGGTTCGAGGCTATCAATTGAAGGGTATCGTGATTTTTAGGCCGTTGCTATTTGTGGCTCGACATTCTCGCAGTCCTTTGCCAGTGATCGATATTTCCCGTTCAACGAGGTTTGATGCAAGAAAGACAGGACTTCCCTCTTCAACCTTATCCTGCTGTACGGCAGCTTCAGTTCCACGACGGCGTTGAGAAGATAGGTAATCACCGTGCCAGTTTGCAAAGGTGGATCGCGCAGTAATTTGGCAATCGATATGGGGTCGAGGTCCTCGTTGACGTGCCATATGTAGTAGGCCCGAAGAACAGGGAGCGGTGAGGCCACGGGCGTCTGACTAGAGGCGCGGAATTCTTGAGCCATGCGCTCGGCTTCGACAATGCGAGCGTCCCTTATAACCGGGATAGGGATTTGGGGTTTCGGCGCCCTGGGCTTCCGCGGCCTGGCTGTGACTGGCTTTGGTGTTTTGGCAGGAGTCGACTCGGAGCAAGCGTCAATTGAAGCTTCCTCGTTCGCCAACTTGCCTGGTGCCAATTCCGGTTCTGCTTCCAGAGCTACGCGGGGAATCGGCAGGCCCAACTCCGCATGGTGAGGTCGTGGCGGACAAGGCTTGAGCTCCTTGCGTTTTGCATCAAGCACGTGGTAGAGTTGAAGGCCGGCATACGCGTCAGCCGCGGCATCTGCAGCGGCGTTAGCGACGTGTTGTTCATTGGGGCTTCACACAGTAACGCATCGGCATACATGTGATCTGGGACGTGTTTAGAGGCTGCTGCCAGTTGCTTGTGCGGACCGAGTTCCCCTTGAACAGTGGCAGCCCCAGATGCTCCTGGGCCTGGATAGACATGGCCACCACCGACTTGTTGATGAGGCGGGGCGTTCCTGCTGCCGAGTATTTAACCTGCTTGTACAGGTGGCTGAGCTCAAACACGCCCTGGACGGCGATGCCAAGATGGTTCTTCAGTCTCGTGCAGTCCCCCCGGATGTTGACGCCGGCCTTTCTCACGTTGGGATCCTCCATGATCTTCCGAAAGGTCGGGGCAACGAAATCATCCTTGGCGAACATGGCCACTTGGAAGAGCCCAATCCTGCTCGGGCTGGCAAGCTGGATGAGGGAGACGTTTTCGCGAGGGCCAGAGTTGCGGTTCGCATAGATGGACCACTCAAGATCGAAGCCGAGTATCTCCTGGCCGAGAAAGTGTTTCTGGCAGACGAGCTCTGTGGCATGCTTGCTTGTGCAGTAGTGGACCTTGACCTTTTCCGTGTCGCCGGCGGCATTGATGTGCTCATATAGGGTATGGGACCAGAAGGAGGCGGGAGTGCCGGCCTCGGCAGCTTTGGCGGCTTTGAAGAGTTCGGTTGACATGACAAAGTTCATGGGTGTTTGCGGAGGACTGGCGGGGTCGAGGCTCTCGGGTTCGTTCTCCTTGGAGCTCTCTAGCATGTACATGGCGCTCTCCGTGCCCTTGGCTATTCCGGCATCGTCAAGCTCGGCATTCGATGCTTCGTGGACTAGCGACGCCGCCACTTCATTTCCCAGAGCCGCGCGCAGCCCGAAACAGCCCTCGTTGGCCATGCGCACGTGGTAAACGTCGCGATCAAGCCCTCCAGGCTCACTGCTGCTGTGGCCATCGGTCGTGGGCACATGAAGAAAGCGGCAGACATCCAGTCGTGGATACAGAGGCGCGCGCTCGGGGCTCGGGGAGAAACGAATGCCCATGCTCGGGTGCCAGCGCATGCTGGTCTTTCTTGATCCCATGGCTCGTCTCAAAGCTCCCTGGAGAACAGCCACGCCACGTCGACCGCGGGCAGGGTCGAGAGAGGCTCCCATGAGTGCACGGAGCGGTGTACTGGGATAGGCAGATGCGGCGTGGAGCTTTCTTTTGCGGTAGGTACATCATCGAGGACGCGTGCTTACGCGCCGCGTGTAGCAGCGAGCTTCCATGGCGCGGCCAATGACCATGGCCCGACGAGACGCTGTCCACGCGACGAGTGACAAACAGCTCTCCCCTGCTTCACCATTGACAGCTATTGGTTCTGGTCAGGGGATTGAGATCTCGCTGCTGAGTCATCTGGTCCCAGGCACGTGGGGCAGTGGGTGCGTCATGAACTATACCGAAAGGCGGCATCGCACTGCAGCAAACCCTGGCCCCAGTCTGAATGAAGACCACGACCTCCAGGCCAACTACGAACTCGGACTACGAGACGAGAGACGACTGAGCCAATCTCCAGCTGTGAATCGGGGCACCAGTCGTCGTCAGCTTTCGAGGCTGCCTGTACCAAGCATCAACAGCCTCCACCATGGCGTCGCAACTGCTGCCTCTTGGTCAGGCTCTCCTGCTACCCACCCGCCTTTCCTTCATCTCAGTCACTGACCTCTGGCAGAGCTTATCGACAAGTGCGTCGGCTCCAAGATATGGGTCGTCATGAAGGGCGACAAAGGTTCGACCAGTCGTTGATCCCCTGCATGCCTTGGCGCACTCAACTGACCATGCGCGCAGAATTCAGCGGCACTCTGGTCGGGTTCGACGACTATGTCAGTAAGTGGCCGCTATACCCAGCAGGCGACTTGTTTCCATCTGACTGCCCTCTACAGACATGGTTCTAGAAAATGTAACGGAATTGTAAGTAGATCCGAGCCGTGCTCAGGAGCTTGGAGCTGACGCGCTCGCACAGCGACTACAGTGGGAACCACGCCAAACTTTCCAAGATCCTTCTGAACGGAAACAACATTTGCATGGTATGATGACCTCTCGTATACGCATCTTGCTCCATCTGCTCACACCCAATCACAGTTGATACCTGGTGGTGAAGGGCCAGGCGAGGCCGCGGCGTGAGCGCCAAGGCTGACCAAGACGGCACATTCTTTGAACCGCGCTGGGTGTATCCGCCTCGGAGTACAGGGGGGACTAGGCGTCTGGTCACATCTCCTGTCCGAGGGACTTCACCCAGGATCGATGTACCGCTGCCAGCTGAAAGGCATCACCGTGTCAAAAGGGCGCGAGGCAAGCGACGAGTAGAGACTATCCATAGTCTCAAAACACAATATTTTCGTGTTGTAATCTACCCTCCCAGCCTGTAGTCATGAGATTGGGCGAAAAAGAAAAGCCAGATAGCAACTTGGTATCCCAAACGCCCGTCGCCGGCCAAACCGTGTCTGTCATGGGCCTCAGTGGCCGTTGGTCTGCAGGTTGCCCTGCTCGCCCACGTTGGTGATGCGGCGCAGTTCCCATTCACGGGTAAACTCCTGGTGCAGCGACTCGAGTTGGTTGATGAGCTTCTCGCAAACGGCGCAGAAAATCTCACGGGGCGTCTTGCTGCCGTCAGTCTGGACGCGGATGAAGAGACGCGGCACGTTGGGGTGGCCGACTGATGAGGAAGAGGTCAGCCAGGCACAAACGATGTTCTCTTTGGTACGTACGTTTGTATCCGGCCATGTAGACGTTGGGGTGGAGCTTGAGATGCTCGGCAAGTAGATTTCCCAGAGTGTGGTCCTCCTTGTTCAGGGTGAAGTCGGAAGTGTTTGACATGCCTAGCGAGAAGCGTGAGAAGCCACGTTCGAGTGTGCGCCGTTGCGGCCAGGGCTGAGGCGACTCACCAGAGTAGACATTCTCCTCGATTCTCTTCTCGCCCTCGCTGAGCAGAAAGAGCTCGAAGCTAGACGGGGCCGTTAGCGATGGCCGAGGAGCAAAATGGAGCAGTGAGAGAAGGCCGGGAAAGGACTTTACGCGCTGTCCTGGACATTGTAGTGCTTCGTGTTGCAGCCGGCCATGGTGAAGAGATGCGCTCTGTGCAGAGGATGCGAGATATTGAAGAGGTGGTTGTGGGAAAACAAGAGGTGCAGAACAGGGTGGTGGCTAGAAGGACGCGTTCAGAGGTAGGTGGTTGCCAGGTGCCGGCACATGCGTTCACATGGTGACGAGCAAACCTGGCAAGCAAACCTGACAAGCACATCTCGTCGCCATACCAGTCAACGCACCTCAGCTCTTGAGGAAATAAAATGCCATGCGCAACGAGAGGCGTAGCCAATGTCCAGTCCGGCACTTGCGCGAATCCCTCCGGCTTTGGAGTGCATGTCAACTTGACCCCCAATGCTGTACAACATGGCCGACGAAGCGCCTAGAGCCCCCACATGTAAGTTGTGTATTGCAAGGACGCGGCCACTGCCCCGGGCATCCGGGTCCATGGTGAAGGCATTTGCAACTCGGAGCAGTGATGAGGTATGCAGAGGGAACATGTCCGAGCATATAAGACAGGTCGTGAAGAGCAGAGTCTGTCAGGGGAAGAGGCACAACTTACCGATCCGGGGCGTTCATTGTCTAGTCTTGATTGCGGTAGCAGCTACAGTCGTGCCTATATCGAGTCCGTGGTGAGCAAAGACATGGCGGCGAGGGCATCGTGAAGCGGTCTTACGGTAAATCAGGCCACAGGCGGCCAAGAAAGTCGGACAATAATCCAAACTGCGTGCGCCCGTTCAGTTTCTCGACTCGATCCAAGAACAAGGGTGAAAAGAGCGCTGGCCTGGCGCTGGATAGTCGCAGCGCATCGATAGAAGTAGCAAGGAATAAGTGAATCGCGAAGCCAGATGCAGGACAGACGAACCGCGACGACGCCACTCTAAAGTCTGGCTCTGCCTGCCGGCATCGGCTAAGCCTCGGACAAGGTACATGCAAACGCATCAGTCGCCGACTCCGTTTTGTCCGCGGGCGCTGCCGGTACTCTCCTGCCCTGTAGCAATTCACGACTCTTTCTTTTTTCTTTTTCCGATGCAAATTCCATCGCCTCCGAGCATGCAGGTCTTCTAGTCCCATGCCACGACTCCCGCCATGGCTTTTCCGGCAGGCCAAGCATCAATCGCCTCATCTCGCGGCGCTTGTCCCCGCCTGCAGGGACCTCCAGTCAGCCCGAAACGAGCTCCGCTGGATCACAGAGTACGTCAATGACACGGTCCAGACACATCGGCAAAAACACTTGGCAAGGCTGTGCCGCGATAGAGGCCGAGGACTTCCCTTGCAATACATCCTCGGATCGCAGCCCTTTGGCCATCTGGACATCAAGTGCCGACCCGGCGTCCTCATCCCTCGGCCGGAGACTGAGGCCTACGCATGCCACCTTGTAGACTTGATCAGAACCAGGAGGCACCTGGACAAGAATCCGAATTCTGGTAGTCACGGGCTGAATATTATCGATTTTTGCACTGGCACTGGCTGCATCCCGCTGCTTTTGTTCTCGTCGCTTCACAACTCTTTCAGTGCGCTCAATGTGCTCGGAGTTGACATTGCACGTAAGGCCGTCAAGCTCGGACGAGGGAACATCGGCAGAAACAGGAAACTTGGCCACGTTGGGTGCCCGAGTCACGGAAAGAGCATTGCGATATCGAGAGGCGATATCTTTGACGACCAAGACATTCAGGCACTCGCCAGTTGTCGCTGGGATATCCTCGTGTCGAATCCGCCCTACGTCTCTCGGCGGGTGTGGGACAATGGACACGGACAGCTGGGCTACTCGGTTCGAAAATATGAGCCACGGCTGGCCCTTGTCCCGGGCAACCACCTTGCTGTACCCCCTGGGTGGGAGCGCGAGGATGTCTTTTACGCGAGACTGTTGGACGTTGCGGCGTTGCTGCAACCGGAAACTGTCCTGTTGGAACTCGGCGACGAAGCTCAAGCGCGGCGTGTCCTGTCCCGATTTCCCCAGCATCTGTTTGCCCAAGGCTCAATTGTCGAGCTCTGGCGGGATTATCCTGACCTGACGCCTGCTCACGGGGAGGACGCCCGGCTAGACGTGGCGACGGTGCCTGGTCAGTCGTGGAGTGTTCCTATCAAGGGAAGAGGGCAAATCAGATGCATCTACATACAGAAGGTTGCATGCCTCGACGTCCGCGGTGGGTAGCTGCTGTAGTGGCTGATACCCGGTTGATACAGTCGTGCCAAGCACGGATGTTCGACACATTCGCATGACGTCGGCGACTTCCAGTGCGAATCGCCATGGCTCTTAGCCCGTAAAGCTTTGTCTACTTTGCCAGCCTCTCGCTAGTATTCCGTCTCATGTCCCCACACGGGGTTGTCGGCACGAAAAATAAGAATGATGGCAATGTCCGAGAGAGGTTAATTGCAGAACTCCGCAGATTGGCAATAATGCCATGGGCATCCGAGGTGGCGAGCGGTGGAGATGCGGACTTCGGCTTACACGCACGCCTACCCTGCACCCGCCACTTGCCGAACCGGGCACGTGACTCGGACTAATTTCAAAGCTATCGGCTGAGGGCCACTCCGTAGAGGGTACTCCGTACGGGACCTGGCCTCTGCCCGCTGCCATCAGCAAAACTCTACGTAACCTGCACGATCAACGCTCGCCACGGCTGGATGCACCGTTTTTTCTCCGAAACCGATGCATCTCGAACCACCGAGGGGCCCTCTGTGCAGCTCATGAGATAGGGTCGCGCCCTCTCACCTTCTCCTCACCAAGTACGGTGGCTCCGCATCCAGCGACAGCTCCGACGGCGACCATGTCAAGACTTGTCCGGCAATCGAGCCAGCTCGCGCGGCTATTACGCCTGCCACCACAGCCAAGATTCTCCCGCGGCCTGCAAGTATCCATTGCGTCTCGATCGATCCTATCAAGAGGCTGCGCAACGCCGTACGGTATTCGAGCACGATATTACTCGTCGAAACCTCCGCAGCAAGACAAGGACCCGCAGCCGAATAATGACGAACAAAATGGGCAGAAAAATGACAATAATGAGTCCGAGGCTCAAGCCGAAGAGGGCCACAAGTCCGAACCGGGGAAAGAGCCCCCGCCCCCCCTGCCCGAGGGCTGGATCCGGCTGAACAAGGAAGAAATGGCTCAACTGGCGGCCTTTAAAGAATCGATGCCAAAGGCTCAGCAAGAAGTTCTGCAGCAGTGCTTGGCGGGACTCAAAGAGACTGGCGCGCCGGCAGAGCTACGAGACATACTTCAAAAGATGCGCAAGGGGCCCGGAAACTTGGGCATATTAGACAAGGGAAAGCTGATGCGATGTGCCTTTGTCATGGTGGAGAGGTTGGCGGAATGGGAGTCGGAGCAATCGGCAAAGAAGGAAATGGTCAACAAAAACGACGCCAAGGGACAAGAGAACAAGGGGGGCAAAGAGAACATGAGGGACGACGACGGCCAGGCCCGCGGCAAGCGATCGGACGACCCGGCGCAGAACGAACAAGACCCTGAGCAGCAAGAGCCGAAAAAGGAAAGGAGCGGCTGGGCGGAAGCTGCTCAGACCGCTGTCGTCCTCGCCGTCACTCTCTGGCTCGCCGAGACGCTGAGCAAGCCTTTCACCGAGAAGGAGATCACCTGGCAGGAGATGCGTCGGGCTTTCTTGGACAAAGGCTTGGTGCAGAAGCTCGTGGTCATCAACGGCTCGCAGGTCCGAGTGGAGCTGCATCCGGAGGCGGCCCAAACAACTTCTGAGTCGGGGGCCGCTGGCCGGAGGACATATGTCTTCTCCATTGGCTCCGTTGAGTCGTTTGAGAAGAAGTTGGAGGAGGCCCAAGATCAGCTCGGCATCCCTCCGTCGCAGAGGATCCCGGTGAGCTACGAGACGGGCGGTAGTACTTTCGGAAATCTCTTCCTGGCGTTTGGGCCGACGCTCCTGTTCATCGGCCTCATCTTGTGGACCCAAAAGTCCATGAGTGGGCGTGGTGGCGCTGGAGGCATGTTCAACTTTGGAAAGAGTAAGGCCAAGAAGTTCAACGCGGAGAGCGCAGTCAAGGTCAAGTTTGCGGATGTTGCCGGCCTCGAAGAAGCGAAGACGGAGATTATGGAGTTTGTCAGCTTCCTGAAGCAGCCCGAGAAGTTCGAGAAGCTCGGGGCCAAGATTCCTCGCGGCGCCATTCTTGCCGGGCCACCAGGTACTGGAAAGACGCTGCTGGCGAAGGCGACCGCCGGAGAGTCTGGGGTTCCCTTCTTCAGCGTCAGCGGCTCCGAGTTTGTGGAGATGTTTGTGGGTGTTGGCCCGTCCAGAGTCCGCGACTTGTTCGCCGAGGGCCGCAAGAACGCGCCGTGCATCATCTTCATTGATGAGATCGACGCTATCGGCAGAGCCAGGATGGACAGCGGCCGTGGTTTCGGCGGCAACGATGAACGAGAGGCGACTCTCAACCAGATCCTCACGGAGATGGACGGCTTCAACACTCGGGAACAGGTCGTGGTCCTGGCCGGCACCAACCGCGCCGACATTCTGGACAAGGCGCTCATGCGGCCGGGCCGTTTCGACCGGCACATCTACATCGACCGGCCCACGATGAACGGACGAAAGGAAATCTTCAAGGTCTACCTCAAGAAGATTGTCACCAAAGAGGATGAGGAGCATCTAGTGGGCCGACTTGCCACTCTGACGCCCGGGTTCTCTGGCGCCGACATTTCCAATGTCGTGAACGAGGCCGCCCTGATTGGTATGTACATGAGGCCCGTCCACTTGGCCAAGCAAGGGGAGAGCAGCAGCTAACGACTGAGACGAACAGCCGCGAGAGTCAATGCTGAAGACGTCAAGATGGAGCACTTTGAGCGGGCGATTGAGCGAGTGGTTGGCGGGCTGGAACGCAAGTCGTTGGTGCTGAAGCCAGAGGAGAAGAAGACGGTGGCGTATCACGAAGCTGGCCACGCCATCTGCGGCTGGTTCCTGCGGCACGCGGACCCGTTACTCAAGGTGTCCATTATCCCCCGCGGGCAGGGAGCCCTGGGCTACGCGCAGTACCTGCCGCAGGATGCCTATCTCATGAACACGAACCAGCTGATGGACCGCATGGCCATGACCATGGGCGGGCGCGTGTCGGAGGAGCTCCATTTCCCCACTGTCACGACGGGGGCCAGCGACGACTTCAAGAAGGTATCGCAGTTGGCGCGCAACATGGTGACGCAATGGGGCATGTCGGACAAGGTGGGGCCGGTGCACTTCGAGAACGACCCGAACCGGATGCACAAGCCCTTTGCGGAGGCGACGGCGCAGCAGATTGACCAGGAGGTGCACCGGATAGTCGAGGAGGCCTACCGGCGCTGCAAGGACCTGCTGACGGAGAAGAAGCACGAGGTGGGACTCATCGCGGAGGAGCTGCTGAAGAAGGAGGTGCTGGTGCGCGACGACATGGTGCGGGTCCTGGGCAAGCGGCCATTTGACGACAACGAGGAGTTCGAGAAGTACTTTGGAGGGGGCAAGGAGGAGAGCGCTCCGCCTCCGTTCCCGTCCGAGACGGACACGCCAAAGGGCCCGCCGGCACCAGCGCCTGCTTTCGAGCAGCTGCGCGACGCGAGGAGCCGGGAGCTTAGATGAGACGAGCCGGCGGGATTGCACGATTGGCCACACAAGGCCCAGAGCGGCGGCCGGGTCAGACCTGCCGGAAACTTGAGGGCGCCTGGAGATTGGTGCACAAGTTGTCCGTCGCCGACAGCGGCCTCGGGCACCAAGGCGACAGGGGCACGACTGCGTGGGCGTGGGCGTGTCGGTTGGCATGCTCCCCCTCAGTGTATCTCAACTCTACAGACACAGATGTGGCATGGTGCCCATCTGTTTCGGCATGACCGTTTTCCACGGGAGCAGCTCCGGAGAAGGGAAGGAGTCTTGGCCGTGTGTGTATTATGTACTTTAGAGAAGGCTAGAAGTATAGGTCAGTCATGGCCCAGCCCAGACCAACGAGGGCGCAGTGTCGCTGGGCCCGAGGGGTTTGCTCTAAAGAGATGATTGAATGGAGACTACGTGGAGATGCAACTCGAAGAGCGGATCGAAGAGGCGGAGAAGTCGATAAAGAGGCATGGCATCATCTACGCGAGGCAGACGCAATGATGCAGCGGGCCGTTACGTGCCGAGGACTGGGGCAAGGCCATCGGGCATGGTGTCGGGGTGAATGAGTAAAAGAGGACTCCCTCTCCGAGATAGGATGACGGCGTGGCTGTTTGGGGCAAGCATTGGGATGAAGTTTGCGCGGCAGCGTGATTGGCCGAGAAAGTTCCCAGGACTGGGAGGAGTGCCAGGGGTCGGAAGGTTTCTGGGTTCGATGCTCTCTAGTGGATGAATTGTCTGTACTGTAACTATATGCTGCTGGGAGGAACCGACGGAAAAGGAGTGGTGGAAAAGGCGCAAGAAGAGGATGACTTTGGAGGTACGAATACCTTGGCGTCATCCATCAATAGGCCGGTGCCAAAGATGGGTGTGCCGGTAGTCTGTTTCATTCCTGCCGACGGCCGTTGTTTATCGTCTCTCTGATGACTCTCGTGCACTGTATACAACACATACAAGATAAATCTTTTAGGTGGCGTGCTTGGCAGGCCAGCTCCCAGAGGCCACCGTCCTCGTGCGCCAATCAGGGACAAGACTTCGGCCCCCTGGTGCCTGGTGCGGGCGATGGGGATGCTGCGGCAGCAAGAGCCGTGACCGTCTTCATTTGCCGATTTGGGATCGCAGGAAGGCGCACCCTCCACCCCGACTGCCTCTCTTCTATTCTTATCAATCCGCCATTTCCCCCTCGCCTGCCACCGCTGTTGGGCCGTCTGCTTTGCTCACGTCGTGCCACGTCGCACATGATTCCCATGGCGAGAGAGACGGCCATGTTGACGACGGTTCATGTCGGCCCCTTATAGCATCTCCTCAACCTGCCTGCGTCCTTCTCTCTGGGCTCGCTTCTCCCACAGTCCAAACCTCGCCTTCTATCCGTCCACAATGCGCGCCAACCATGAGAGCGTCAACGGGCCCGTCCCGCCACTGTCCGACCACCCCCCGTCCCTGGCCGACAGACCCTCGGCCGCCCGTGGCAAGTGCGCGTGGTGGAAGGTTCACCTCTTCCGCGGCATGGTCAATGATGTCCGTCGGAGGGCCCCTTACTACGCCAGCGACTGGCTCGATGCCTGGGATTATCGCGTCGTGCCCGCCACCGTCTACATGTACTTTGCAAAGTACGCCTTAACCCCCCCCCCCCCCCCCATACGCTTCTTCAAGTCCACGTTGTCACTCCCTGACCTCAGCCGCAGCATTCTGCCTGCTCTTGCCTTTTCGCTCGACATGTTCCAAAAGACTGGATCAAACTACGGCGTCAACGAAGTCTTGTTGGCCTCGGTGCTGGGCTCGGTTGTCTTTTCGCTCTTTGCGGCTCAACCACTGGTCATTGTTGGCGTGACGGGTACGTCTCCCGCCCTCTCGACAATAGCTTCGTGCTGACGATATCGCTCAAAAGGTCCCATCACCGTCTTTAACTAGTATGTTTACGTAAAACACCCCCCTTTCGAGCGCGCTGACTGATGGCCCTCTACTTCCTTCTCCACAGTACCGTGTACGACATCATGAAGTCAAGCGGCGTCAACTACATTGGATTCATGGCCTGGATCGGCATGTGAGCAGTTCCCATGCCGGCAAACCGACCCGAGGCTTACTCCTATGCAGCTGGTCACTCATCCTTCACTGGATCCTCGCCGTCACAAACTCGTGCAACTGGCTTCGCTGGGTCACCCGCTTCCCTTGTGACATCTTCGGCTTTTACGTTGCCTTCATCTATCTCCAAAAGGGTATCCAGGTCCTCGAACGTCTCGGCAATGACAGTCCCTTTTACCTCTCCGTCATGGCTTCTTTGCTGGTCTTCATGGTGGCATACGTCTGTGGCCAGCTAGGGGACAGTAGTCTTTTCAAACATCCCATTCGAGTCTTCCTTAAAGACTACGGCACCCCGCTTACCCTCATCTTCTTCACCGGCTTCGTCCACTTTGGGCGCATGGACAGGGTGGAGCTGGAGAGGCTGCCCACAAGCATTGCCTTTATGCCAACGAGTGGTAGAAACTGGCTTGTCAGCTTCTGGGACCTGAGTGTGGGTGAAATATTCACCGCTCTGCCCTTTGCTGTCTTGCTCACCATTCTCTTCTGGTTCGACCACAACGGTACGATGGACCCCAGCTTGCTGCAGTGTCCAGCCAGTATCCGAAGCTGACTCAACCTACCCAGTGTCGTCTTTGATCGCCCAGGGAAGCGAGTTCCCGCTCCGGAAACCCGCTGGCTTCCACTGGGATCTTTTCCTCCTCGGCGTCACCACCGGTGTCGCGGGCATCCTGGGCTTACCCTTTCCCAACGGTCTCATCCCTCAAGCCCCCTTCCACACGGAATCTCTCTGCGTCACCAAGCCTGTCAAGGAACTCGACGAAAAGGGCGAGGACAAGGGCGATTACACGTTTGAGGCAACCCATGTCGTAGAACAGCGTGTCTCGAACCTGGCCCAAGGGCTCCTGACGCTAGGAACCATGACCGGGCCCCTTCTCGTCGTGATCCATCTTATCCCCCATGGTATCCTCGCAGGACTCTTCTTCGTTATGGGAATCCAGGCCCTCGAGGCCAACGGCATCACGGCCAAGCTCCTCTTCCTCAGCTGCGACAAGGGTCTGACGGCCGCAAACCACCCCCTCAGAGCTGTCAAGCGCCGCGCCGCGATCTGGTTCTTCATAGCCATCGAGCTCATCGGCTTCGGCGCCACCTTTGCTATTACCCAGACCGTCGCCGCCGTCGGCTTCCCTGTCTTCATTCTGGCACTGATCCCAATCCGTGCGCTGCTGCTTCCCATGGTCTTACGTCCCGAGGAGCTAGCTTTGCTGGACGCACCGACGGCCTCCGACTTCACCATGGAAGGAATTGGCGGCGCTTGGGGCGAAGACGCCGCCAACAGCAGCAATGACACGGCTGTTGCCAGCCGGTCGCCGTCCTGTCGGGAGTCGCCGGGGCGGCTTGATGGTGAGAATAGTGTCCTTGCAGGCTCGGCAAGTCCCCGAAAGGCACAGGAAGACCTGGCGGAGCTGGGACAGGCGCAGAGTGGCCAAAGCAGCGCCATGAGGAGGAGAGGGGAGCGCGGATAGGGAGTCGGCCCAGTCCGTCGCATGACTTTGACCATCCCTTGCTTGGCCTTGGAGAAACACATGACCCACCTGGCTGGGACGAGAGGTTGAATCCTTGTTTTCTTTTCTCATTGTTCGTGGGGAGACCGGAGCAGACACTGCTGCCTTTATTCTTGCATATGAAACGGACACGCTCGGCGTCGGCATCTCGGGGATTTTAGGGGTGAGGGACAGTAATACCAAAATGACGGGCCAGTGAGGCAATTTTGAGGCGGTTGAAAACATATACACACTGCTTTGGAGTGCAAAAGATGATGCGTCATCATATTAGTTGCTCAAGTTTTGGATAAAAGTGGCGGCGGACATCCATAGCACATAATTTCGAAGCGTTGCGCAGAGATACGCCCGAGATACTATATAAAACAGCCCCCGCTATGCATTTCCAGGTCGATATATGCCTCCCCCAATTGCCATGATGAGGAGAAATAAGTAACCAAAACTCATCATTTCCTGTGGCCCAAGTGGCCTGGCAACGCCGCCGCGCCCGGTAAAGTCACCAAATAGCGTGTGCCTTGTCCCAATCGTCTAGTCGTCTTCGTCGCTACTGTCCACCACGAACCCGCCCCGAACCCTCGGCCGCCTCGTGACCGCGACGGGGGCCTCTTGGATATCGTCGTCGTCGTCGTCGTCGCCGCCGCCTGATTGGGCGTCGGCTGCCACTGACGATAAGGCCTCCATGTCCACGTCGGCGTCTGCGCTGCCTGTAGGACTTGCCTCTTCCATAGGGGTAGCGCTCGACCTGCTCACACCCCTCCTCCTCCTCTTCCTTTGCCTTTTCCGCTTCTGCACCTCATCCTCGGCGTCGCTCGCCTCGGGGGGCGTGCCGTCCGTCTCGCTGCCCTCGGCCGGGCTCTCCTGGCTACTCAGCGCCAGCCGGGCACGGCGTGGAGCAGCGTCACCACCCTCATCATCCTCATCATCATCGTCGTCGTCATCATCATCGCTGAGCGCAAGCAGAGCATCCGACTTGCGCTTCCTCGGCGGCGCCGAGACGACGTCGATCTGCCCCACGGCCGACTCGGCGGCCTTCTTGGCGCGCTCGGCAATGGCACGCTCGCGCGCGAAAAAGGCCTCGTCTTCTTCCGAGTCGAAGTCGTCATCGCCCTCGCGGACGTATAGGGCCGACTTGATGCGCCGCGCCTTCTCGCGCTCGCGCTCGCGGCGTTTGCGCGCCTTGTCCTCAAGCACCGCGTCGTCAGGATCGTCTGTGCCGGATCTGCGTCGCCGGCGCTGCCGCGTCTTCTTGGGCTTCGCCGGCTCGTCGACTGCCCTTCGCGCCGTTGGTCCGCCGACGGGGAAGAGCAAGTCGTCGTCGAGCTCGCCGTCTTCGTCGCCGTCGTCAAAAGCCGCCTTCTTGCGCGGCACCATCTTGCGCTTGAGCTGTTTCTCGGCCACGGCACCATCCTCGAACGTCGGCGGGCTGAACTCGGCCTGGTTGATGTAATGCAGCGAGTCCTTCAGGTCGTCGGCAGAGACACCGTCTGGAATGATCCAACAGCTCTCGAGGGTCTCCTCGGAGGCTGGCCCGAGCCGCTCCAATCCGCATACGGTCATGAGGAGGCGCAGATAGGAGTTCTTGAACATGGCCGTGCGACGGGCGGGGTGGTCAGGGCGAACGTCTGGCTCGTGTGTTAGCATGCGACCCAAGACCTTTGGCAGAATCGAGACTCACAAAACATGGGGGGGTTCTTTGGTTCCCCATTGCCAGCCTGCTCTTCGCCCTCGATCGAGTCTTCGACCGAGGGCAATGCCTCCTGCGCCGCGGCCCAGGATCGCCGTTCATTCTCGGCCTCGGTCAAGACCCCCTTCACCCAGTTGATGTGGTCGCTCTCGACCCTGTCCAGCATGGCGCCAATCACAGTCGCCACCTGCCGGTCGCGCTCCTCCGTGTGCTTAAACTCCAGCTCGGCGCCCGGCTTGGCTTCCCGCTTGCTGGTGCTGGTCTGCCTTTCGTATCCAAACTCCAAGAAAAAGGCGGTCCCCTGGAGCTTGCTGAAGAGCATCTCGATAACCAGCTCCGGTCGCTCTTGGACCTTCTTGAAGCATTTGCGGAGAATCTGCTTAACGAGCTCTTCCCACTCCTTGAACATTTTGGAGGACTTGTCCAGCGGCTCGGGGCCCTTGATCATATTGTACAGCAGATGTACAATGTCCACGCGAAAGAGCATGACGCTCATCTCCTGCTTGAAGGCTAGGCGATAAAAATACCGATGCGCGCGTTTGAGTTGCGCGTCGCTTAGGTCTCTGTAGTGCTTGGTCCAAGTCGCAAAGGTGTCGACAACTCCTTGCGGGGTGAATTTGCTCGAGAACCGGTGGAAGTCAAACTTGCGCTCCTTGGAAGTCCGCGCTGCATCCTCTTCGTCGTCTGCCGAATTATCATTTTCCTCGCCGGCGTCCATCTCGCTGGCCTGGTCCGCAGACTTCTTCTTCCGTCTAGTACGTTTCCGCGAGCGGACTTGCATGTCGACATTTTGCTTCGAGTATGCCTCCAAAATGCGCAAGAAATGATGGACCAGTTCCGTAGCGGCGTCCAAGTAGTCGAATCCTTGATCCTTGTAGGTCCTAGCGATGTTTGCAATTGCATCATGTGTCGCCTCCTCGTAGAAGAGACGGCCCAGTACATTCTCTGCAATCTCCTCGTCGTCATCGTGACCGGACTCGGCCATTTCCTGCACTGTGAGCAAGATCTGCGTGAAGCACCGCATGACGGCAGCCAGCTCCTGCCAGTCCTTCATTTCGTAGGACTCGTGAAGCGCCCTGTTGAGCGTGATGAACATCTCTTGGTTTAGCACGCCGGCAACCAGGTTGAAGCTGCCGACCTCGTTGTTCCCTTGCTGGCCGCCCCCTTTCTTGACCTGTCGCCGCACACGCTCAGCCTCGAGGAACCAGGCTACCAAGCGAAAGAATTGCCGCCTGTGGTATTGCATGAGATGCGGTGCCTCCCGATCAATGGACTTGCGGATATGCTGAAACAAGGGATTGAACCCAGAGTCGAGGAATTCTTCGACGAATGACCGCAGCTGAGCGTTTGTCCGCGCGTTAAGCTTGACAGGCGGGCCCAGGTCTTGGGCGTCATTGTTCTGCTTTCTGCCTCGTCGAGGCGGCTTAAATGTCTTGTTGCTGTCCATCTTCTGATTGCGCGTCGCAGCATCAGCGAGGGCATCTTGCCCCGAAAGGGATGACATCTTCCCATCATTCCGCTTGACCCATACCATGGTGCCAAATCGATTGTGCCTGGTGGGACCTCTTCGATTGTACGCACTGAGCATCGAGGACTCTTTGCTCATCAGCGCAGAGAGCTGACTCGCTTTGGCCTTGTTCAGCTGTTGCTCATTCATGAAGAGATTGTCGACTTCCACTCGCTTCACAAGATGATGGATGATTTCCATGACGATGGTATCTTCTGTCCGAAACTCGTCGCCCATGTTGGAGGCGAGTGTGAGCAGGAAAAGAAATATGTCCTGATATGAGAAGGCATCGATGGTTGCGACTCTTGAGTTTTGTGACTCATCGTCCTCGTGAGCCATGTTGGGGGTATGAGAAATCAGCGCCACATTGCGGAGGAAGAACAAAACCAGCTTGATGATGCCTTGGTCTCGAGCAGTCCTGTCGCCAAGGGGAATCGCCATGGACGGCAGAGCGGCACGAACAGCCGTATGCAGGATGCGGGCACCATCGAAGTTGATGATGGCCTTTTTATATTGCAGCTGAGCCAGCTCGAGGACTGGCATGTGTCGATGGTGATTGACGGTCATTCGCTCTTTGTCTCGCTCCATGGGCCAAGTCAGCGGGACCATGACTTCGAAGCAAGCCAGGGCCATGCGTGACTTGAATTTGTTGTCCATGGCGCTCTCGGGCCATTGTGCAAGAATTGGAAGTATGTCGCCTTGGATAAGGTTGGCGTCGTGGATGCATCGGGCGACATCCATGCGATTCGTTTTCTCATCGTAGAATCGTATCCAGCGCTTGATGTCTCGGAGGACCTGGAGCGCATCGTCTCCTAGCTGATACTGGCCATCGTCGTCCGCGCTTATGCCGCCGAGCTGGCACAGTCCTTCAGCAAGCTATGGCGCAGCAATTGCAGGTGGGTGAGGTGAAGGCTTACTGCAGAGACGAGGCTGTTGATGTGCGCCCGAACTTCGGGATGGACAGTGTCCTCGGTGCCGTCCAGCAGCTCCATCTTAAGGCCTCGGTCGCGCGAGGACTGTGCGCCGGAGACTGAGCTGGTTTCTTCGGGCGGCAACGAGGGTGCTCAAATGCCCACACTCTGGAGGGCACGAGGTGTACGTTTACGCTTTACGCGCTCCGACGCGTCTCGACTCTACGCGACCCCCCGATAAGAAAGTGGGTATTCTTCGGCAGCTGATAGTGGACTGGCTGGCAAGCTAACCGGGGCCCACATGAGCCGAGGTTATCCGAACGGAGGACCTTCCATCCGCCGAGGCGAATTGCCAACCCTTCTTCCTTTACCTCAACCACCGCAAGAATGGCCAGCCCAATTCTCCGGATGCGAGCTCTCGGGGCTGCGCGTCATGTGCGCAGCTTCAGCTCGACCCCGCGACAGCATGCCGCAGATGTCAAAAGCCTCGGTGTCATTGGAGCCGGCCAGATGGTCCGTCACCCTGGAGCACCATAAGCAAGCAAAGGGATAAACTGACGGCGATTTACCATTGGCATAGGGCCTCGGGATCGCCTTGGTCGCGGCCCAAAAGGCTCAGGTTCCCGTCACGCTCGTCGACATGTCTGATAAGGCGCTGGGCAAGGGCCTCGCGTTTGCCGGTATATGATCAGTCGCTTGAGACACGTCGTCAGGTCCACGACTGACGCGACGTGCAGACAAGCTGCTGGCAAAGGATGTTGCCAAGTCCAGAATCACGCAGGAGCAGGCCGATCAGGCGCGATCCCGGCTGACTACTAGCACCAAGATCGAGGACCTGTCTGCCGTCGACTTCGTCATCGAGGCGGTGCCCGAAATTCCCAAGCTGAAATTCGACATCTTTGGCAACCTTGCCAAGATCTGCCCCAAGCACGCAATCCTCGCGACCAACACTTCTTCCATCTCCATCACCCGCATTGCTGCCGCGACCACTTCGGACCCCACCGACACCTCGGCCTCTTCTCGCGTTGTCTCGACGCACTTTATGAATCCTGTGCCCGTGCAAAAGGGAGTCGAGATCATCAGCGGCCTCCAGACGAGCAAGGAGACTCTCGACACGGCTGTTGAATTTTGCAAGAAGCTGGGCAAGGTACCATCGGTGTCTGCTGACTCTCCCGGATTCCTGGCCAATCGGATCCTAATGCCTTATATCAACGAGGCTGTCATCTGCCTCGAGACGGGAGTTGGGGACCGCGATTCCATCGACGCCATTATGAAGAACGGAACGAACGTGCCCATGGGCCCGCTTCAGCTTGCAGACTTTATCGGCCTCGATACCTGCTTGGCCATTATGAAGGTGCTGCACCAGGAGACTGGCGACTCCAAGTATAGGCCCAGCGTTTTGCTTGGGAAGATGGTGGATGCCGGGTGGATGGGAAAGAAGAGCGGAAAGGGCTTCTATGACTACTAGTTGGTCCTGCCGAGCCATCATCGCTGCGAGACGACAGGATAGAGTGCAATAGACAACCTCGTCTCATGTTTACGGATGAATCACACGACGCCCTTTCGCGGAACTCTTGGTCGAGCAATCTCCCAGGGGGGCGACGACGAGCGCTTGGTCGGGACCATGGCAAGCGTGACTGGCGACCGGTCGACGTTTGGCCTGAATCAAACCTAAAGCAGACGCGTGAAAGCAATCCACACTGCCGCTGCAGCGAGCCTATCGAAGCCTGTACTTCGTCGCGCAAGCATCGGCCACAGGAGCGTAAGAGGCGGCATGGCCATGTAGTCGCGGCAGACATTACGAGCAACGGCCAACCTTTTCAGCCTAAAGGAAGCCTTGGTATATGAACCAAAGCCAAAGGGGCCGAAGGCTTCCATGACAGGGAAGCCCGGCCGCGGAGGCAGAGGAGCGCACATCCGCCGCAGGTCCCCGAGAGGTAGGTAGAGGTGAGTATCCGTACATGCTGTCAGCATAAACGGTACCTGCCTAGTTAAGGTCCGAGGAGCAACCTTAATTTGGCTCTGCTTGGTGGCGCCTGCGCGAGACCCTCATTGGGCGCTGGCCTACGCCAAGCTCAAGGCACTTGTGCAGAGCACCTGGCACTGTCGTACCGAGACTTGGCACAGGCAGGTCCTCTTTCCACTCTCCCTCTACTCCCTACTAACGGGTCGGTGAAGCCGGTTCGGTAACTCAGCAGGCCAGTACGTACCTATCTGCACTTTGTACTTGGCGACAAGCAATGTCGGCGGCTCTGCTCCGTCCTCTCGCCTCCACTCTACCAGACGACGCATTTTTCCACGGCCAGGTCAGGCGCCCACGACCACTTCTTCGTGGTCCGCGTACGCACGAATTCGTACGGGTACGGCACGTCCAAGAGCCTCGGACCCCGTGGGCATTGCTCGCCAAGGACCATGGAAGACGACGTTGCTTGGCGCCGCGGCTGTTGAGCGGCAGAAACCTGGTGATCGGACCCCAGGCACCTGTCCCCCGAGACTCCTGAAATATTCGCCTCTGGCGATTGGCCCAGGCCACCACTCGTTTACGGCAGCCAACCCGGACTACCAAGCTTCGTGGAACTAGCGAACGAGGCAGGTCAGCGACGACTCTGGACGTGCCACGGTGCCACCGCATGGGATAGCCGTTGGTGCTTCATCTGAGACTCAAGCTCAAGAGTGGCGCGCTAGCAAGCCCACAAATTTCCGTGGGAACGTGGTTCTAAGAAGTGGACGTCGTCTCTTATATCAAAAAGGGGTGTGTGCGTGTGTGTGTGTGTGGGAACGAGCCACATCCCGGCGCCATCTCGACATCAGCTGGCCTGCTTCTCCCTACTGCATGTACTGTACAGTACATACAGTACCTGAACGAAGGCTGCGCGGTCTGTCCCTTCAACATCCCCGCACCTGTGCCCTTGCTAATCAAACGCTGGTGTTGCTGAGGGCCTTTTGGCGATGACGTTCACAGGATCCTCGCTTACATCACACCACACTGTACGTACGCAAATGCCCGCTTCCAACACCACGAGTTCCATCGTCTTCTGCCGGAGCATCACAATACCAGATCCGGGCATGCGCCGAGGGTCCCAGAGACAAAGACGATTCGACAGACGTCGAGTTTCGTCATGGCGCCGCAAGCCATGACAACGCAATCGCCTTCAGAACTTACGAAGCGGCATCCACAACCGCTCCGCTCCGCTGCCGTCCAGTCTCGATGCTCCTTACATGCAGAACGGCGTAGACCCATGCAGTCGGAATGCACCCGCCTTTCCTCGCCAGCCTACCCCCAGCGGCCGGGGCGTTGTCGAAACATGGTGGCGTCGTCGGGCGCATCGAGGGAGGAATGGCTTGCGACCTGTCCTGCAAAACATCCATATGCGTACCCAAGTACACGTTGGATAGAACGCTGGACGGAGGCGCAGTTGGTAAAAGTCCCATCTATCCGCACACACAAACCTCCGACCAGGTAGGTCCATACGGCGCACTGCAAAACGCCGTCTCGCTCCACTAAAACCAAACTTCAGTCGCTGAAGCATGCAACACACAATGTGTTCGCAGTGCGCACTCAAGGGCTTGCTCGGTAGCGTCCTGTTTTATTGAAAAGCTGCATTCTCTGGGTTGAAAAGGGGGGGGTAATCACGGACCGACATCACACTACTGCACGATACACGACGCCGGACCGCGGGGCTCGGGGGCCTCACACGATCTAGCGAGAAACCTACAAGTCTTGTGGCCGCCCGAGGAAGGCCAGTACTTCTCCGGGAGCATTCCATGCTTCTTCTTTCCCCCGAGGCGCCTGCCTAGTCCTCATGCGACTTATTCGGTCGACCCTGGGCGGCGATGAAACTGCCTCGTTTATCCATGTCAGCGGTCCCTTGCACGGTCAGTGACTTTCTCAATTGTAGGAAGACCGGCCTGCCGTCTTCTTGTCGGTCACTGGACGTCATCGCCAGATTCTCCAACATCGCCAAGGCAAGCAAGTACTGTACGCGGCCCGTCAGGTGCCATCACGCATACGTATCAAAGCAGAACCGATTCCATGTGGATAAGCGTCGCCTTGCCGCCGTCTATACGGGGTTGACGAGCACCTGGTCCCTGGCTGCGCTTCTCCAACTCTTTCATGTTCGCCGGGTCAGCAGCCCTGGGCCCCTGACGACGGCATGGCCCGGCCGAGCTCGGCCCAGCCCCACAGGGTTGCAGTGTCTCACACCATCTATCTCTGCAACGAAGCCGTGGTTCGTTTCCCATGGCCCCATCCCTTCGACGGGCAGCCAGCCCAGTTCTTGACCCGTCAGCCCTCGGCTCAAGGATGTTTTGCGGTACCACGGGGCCGCCTTCCTTGACGGCTTCAACGATGGCGTCCAACGGGCAGACACAACAAAGCATCCGAGTCTGTAGGTGCGGCCGTACGCGCGTTGCTAGTGACAAAAATATGTCGGCTACGGGCTGTACAGTATGCGTCTGTGGATACGGACTGCACATGGCTGGCTAACAAGGCGAGGCAGCTGGGTCAACAGATGGCCTTGCGAATCGAAGACTCCGCCCAGATGCTTCCATGTGTCCATGTACACAACTCCCAAGGTGACTTGCATGGCAGGCTCAACGTCTCTGCCGTACCATGACATTTTGGACCGAATCACTTGCATATTGCATCTGGCACCACATATTTCTACGATGCAACAGAAAGGCCGCCGTATCTCTCTGCATGCATACACTTGAGCATCCAGCCCTTCCTTCTCTCCCGCTCTCCCTTGCCGCATGCCGTTGCAGCGTCGAGGGCGCAAGCGGGAGTGGTCTGGTGCGCAGCCGCCGGCCGGAAGAAGCAGACACAAGCAGAAGCAGATGGCGCGGCTGCATAGATTACATGGCACAGAGCGAGAGAGCATGCAGTAAGCACAACATCCGCTGCAGGCCGCGGGACGTAATGGGGGGATACAGTTGTAGACTTTGCATGGATTGTGTGACGAGTAGTCGAGAGGAGCCGTCTGTTGTCTGGAGCGAGTCGCAAAGGAGCGGCTGCTCGGGCGATGCAAACCGTTGGTCGGAGAACTGCACAGGACAAGCCGTGTCTATGCCGGGATTGATACTCGTACTTGAGTAATTCGTCGTCGGCTGGCTCTCGCTACCTCGGCTGGCTCCCGACAATGGATGGTGCTCTACGTGGCTTGCATTGCAGCCGGCCGATGACACAGCCTTTGAGTACATACTGTACTTGCGTCTCCTCTTCCCACCTTGACTTGCCTGCCCAGCATAGGCATAGCATGAGACGAGGTTGATGGCCGTGGATGGTGACACAGCCGTCGGCATATTTATCCATTGTTGTACGGAGTAGCGTGCATCCACACGCTTTCCTATCTTTTATGCCCCTCTTGTCCCGGAGACGGGACGGGGAGAGGGGGCGCGATGTGTCCATGACCATTCACCTGGAGCAATAAGTTGCTTGTCGGCCAAAGGATTGACGCCTGATGGGCCCTGTGTGCCATGCTTGTGTTGACTCCCCCTCCTTCCAGGGCGACATGCACCTTCGTCCAAGTTGCACGCCTCGCCCCCCCCCCCTTCGGCTTCCGCGTAGCTTCTCCTATTGGTCGCTTGCAGGGGACTTGTCAGATGAGAAGAAGGGCCATGCGTTTCAACCGGCCAGTTTGGACAGCCTGGAAATGAGGCGCCAATGAGCAGCTCAGATTGTGCGCTTCCGAGCCGAGGTGGTGTTTGGTTGTGGAGACTGGAGCCGACTGACAAGTGCAGTACAGCCGGTGAGCGGACTCGCATGTCCGGCGAGAAGCCAGGGATGGAAGCTCCATGGCCGCGTGGCTGCACCAGGACTTTAAAGCCGTCGGTCATGGGGCTTGCGCTGAGGGGGAAGAGGTTGCCTAGAGAGAGGAGACTCAGGAGAGCGGCTCTGGGAGAGGAGAGAGGCCCAGTCAGGAACGGATAGGCCAAAAGGCGCCAGGTGCTTCCTCATCAATCAATGAACCATGCATCCAGAATACGTCATCTGGGATCTGGATGCCCTGAGGAGTAATTACAGAAAGGAGAAGAAAGGTGCCGGGCCGCGAGGGGGGGGAGGGGGGAGTGAGGGAGCAAAGGCGGTACTCTGCGATGGCAGCAGCGGAAGCCACACATGGTCCTGTCTGTCCATTGCCCCTTTGCCTATTTTGTATGGCATCTTGCTTCCAATCTGGCTTCCCGTGATCCTTATGTTGCAACGATGAATTGATTGCTTTCGTAGATGGGCGCCTGAGGAGTAGGAGATTAGATAGCCGAGGTTGGTGAGTCTATACATAATACAACGACACGTTGTTCACTGGTTCAGCAACGGAAGTCAGTCAAAGGGGGCAAGCGCTTGCCTGGGGAAATAGACTTTTGCGGTCCCTGGCCTCTTGCTCCTGCACTTGCCATGCGCCTGCCCGAAGTAAGGCAGGTAGGCGAGCGATATTGCAGCAGAAAAAAGAAAGGCCTTTGAGCAGAGTCTCGGGTCTCTGCATCAGCCTCTCCGGTGCGCTGGGCGAGCAACCGAAAAAAAAGGGGGCCGGCGAGCCCTTTCGCAAGCCAGTCGCCCAGTCGCCCAGTCGCCCACTGCTTTGATAGTCGTGGTGCCGGTCTTCCTGCTGGTCTTGCCCAGGGTGACGGGACGAAAGCCCTCTGCCACGTCGCCCTTGGATTTGCGACCGTCTTCCGTTCAGGCTTCCGGCATCGAGACAATGTCTGCAAACCACTGTCGGAGCAGACCCCAGTCGTCCTCGGCAGTCCCTTCCCCCTCTGGCTCGACGGACGGCCCAGCCCGGGTGGGAGGCGGACGAACTGGGACGCATGTACATGCCCTTGACGCCGACCTGCCCACTCACGGACGACGCTCAGAAGATACAGGCCATTGTGCCGCGACGCTCAAGAGGGTGGTCCGGCCGTTTGGTGAATCTAGAAGCCTTCAAACAGCTCTCGGCCGCCCTCCTTCTGGCCTCAGGTACCACTAATCCCTCCCCCCCCCCTCCCAACACTCTCCAGTCTCCCGTCCATGTCGGCGGCTTGCTTGCAGGGGTGGCGTCGTTGCTGCTGCCGGGCCCTGACGCGAATCTCTCTGCTACCCGCTCCTGATACAGCTACAGCCCGCCGGTTACAGGCCCCAGCTTTAGCCGCCGTCGCTCTCCTCCCTCCTCCTCCTCCTCCTCCTCCTCCTCCGCCGCCGCCGCCTCCTTTCCATCCTGCCTACCTGGGCTAAAGGCAGTGCTGCTTGTACAGTATAGGTACAAGGCAGATTCGGCTCACAAGGTATCGGATTCCGTGCCCAGATTTTGGGCTCGGGAATCTGTATCTCGAAACCTATTCGACGTCTCTTGCACGGGCTTCCCGGCTTTCAACGCGCCTACATGTGCCTGATCGCTGTCCTTCTACAGCTCGCCCCCAAGAAGAATCAACAACGACATCATTTCTGAGAGACGGTCTGCCTGCCTCGCTACGTCGTTTTCCATCCTACCCAAGGGGATGCTGAAGTTTGTGCAATTAACTTGCCTTCTCTCACCCCATGCCACTGCCGTATGCTGAGGTCCTCGTCGAGCTGCCAGAGCCTGTATAGATAGTCTGCATACGAGGCAGGCTGTGTGTCAAGTATCTCTCTTCTACTTCCATTTCCCCTTCATCTCCATCCATATTGCCCCGGGAGCTCGTCTATCGGACCTCGAGCACACAGCAACCAAACCCATCCACGCACACAAGTCTCGAAGCAAAGTCGACCCCATGCTGTATCCAAGCATCGGCTAGCAGCCCTTGGGATTCCTCAAGAGGTACGCGGAGACAGACCTTGCCATTCGGACTTGCAACCACGCCTTTGATTCTTGTGCCCAGAACACAAAGGGAACCACAGAAATAGGGAGACAAGACCGCGACTCCGACTCTGACGCAAGCCGGCTTCTACTAGCCGTCCAGCCACGTATCGGCGTCGACTAGAAGGGGTAACTGCCTCCCCCCCTTCAACGCCTTTACCCCGGGAGAAGCATCTGCGCCCAGAAAATTCCTTGCGCTGGCTTTTGCTGCCCGCCAAGCACAACACGTCGACGCCGGTTACTTGTCGGAACAGGCCATCCCCAATGCTCATCACCCGAATCTGTTCCCCCGAGTATAGCCCTTGGCAGCTTCACAAGTACAACCCATCGCCTCATCGGCCAGACGCTCCACGTATGTCAGACAGATACGACCTTCCGATTCCGCTTCAGCCAGACTGGCAGGGTCAGTATCCATGCCTCCCCCAGCACGAGAGTGACAGCAGCTTGCCCAAGCCGTATGTGGACACTAGACAGGACTCCGACGAGCCTCGGCCGTCGCAATCGATGGCCGACGTCCAGATGCCCCGGGGCGTCCGCGTCAAGAAAGAGCAAACATCTCCAGTACGACTGCGATGCTCTGGCAATGCTCTCGGCCCAGGTAACGCGAGGCGCCTGCCCCCAGGAAAAGAGCAGTCGACAAGTTCTGACAAGGTGGATGGTCTTGGTCGTGCCGATGCATACAGCGGGCCCGGCTGTTTTTCCAGGACGTCTGGACCGAATCACTTGCACACGGTGTTATCAATCAACACCGAGGGCGCTTCAGAGCAGAGCAAAGGTCGGCATGAAGAGGACGGAACAGACGCCGCGGGTGAAGAGGGTGAGATTGAGGGAGACGACGACGACGAGGCGCCCGCAGGAGAGGGAGACGCTGCTTCTCGGCCGCAAACCATGGAGGAACGGCTGGCGGCTCGTCGCAAGATGAAAAGATTCAGGTATTCCGCCGCCGCCGACGCGAGCATGGCAAGACGCCGTCGCTGACGACTGGCTCTCTCAGGCTCACGCACCAACAAACGAGGTTCTTGATGAGCGAGTTTGCGAAGCAACCCCATCCCGATGCCGCCCACAGGGAGCGGCTATCGCGGGAGATTCCGGGGCTGAGTCCTCGACAGGTCCAAGTTTGGTTCCAGAATCGGTATGTGCTCTGGCTCAAGGTGGTACGACTTGGATGACGTACTAATTCGGTACAGGCGAGCCAAGATTAAGAGGCTGACCGCCGACGACCGTGATCGCGTGGTCCGGATGAGGGCTGTGCCGGATGGCTTCGACAATGTGCAGGCACTGCACTCGCCGTACGGGGCTGTCCATGGCCTCGCGATTTCAGCGTCGCCCGGGGATGCCGTGAGCGCGCCCTACGGGGGCCAGATGCTGAGGCCCTTGATGGTAGATGTTCGACGCCAAGAAGAAGCTTACGTGACTTCCAGCGCCCTCACGCCGTCGTTTGGGGGCATCGAGCTGGGGCAGTCTGGGGGCATGAGCGGTTCAGATATCATGTCTCCTCTCTCATCCGTCTCGAGCAACAAGTTTGGCGCCGAGAGCCATTTGTCTACGTCGAGAACGCCCAGCGCAAGCGTGTGTCATCAAGGCAGCCTGGAAGGTGTCGGGCAAATCGGGAAACCAGGACTGCGTCAAGGGCAGCCCCCGCACATGAGGGAGTCGGTTGGCAGGTCCACTCCTGATTCTCTGCAGTCGCCACTGCGTGGGAGCATGTCGTGGAAATCAGACTCGTTTGATTATTCCCACTATCAGGAGGCCGGCGCCGCCTCCTCAGCCACGGACCGGCATCCGTCGGCATATCAGGCCGGTCATATGGGGCCAGCTCCGGGCAGTGGCATGGGAGGTTTCGAACCTCCCTATCCTGGTGAGCCGGCCCGGGTCCGACACGAGCGGCGGCACGGCGGAAACGGTCTGATGGGGGCCAAGGGCTAACTAGCCCATGACTACAGGCAGTTACTCGAGCCTACCGGCGTCCCAAGTCCGTCCACGCGCACGGGCTTCCTCGGCTTCGTTTCCGTTGAGCATCGACTTGCGGATCAGGGACACATTCCGACCCTCTGGTGCCGGCGGCACAAACCCATCTCCATATTCCTGCGGATTGGCGGCTGCGCCATCTACCAAGCCAGACGACGCCTCGATGTATTCGGCGCTGCATTCTCCGACACCGCTGTCTGCGTCTACAAGTCTCCCACCTTCGCGAGCGTTCAACGGTCGAGCGAGCGCGCATGAAGGCCAAAGTACGCAGCTGGGCTCCCCGATGGCGGCTCCGCATGATTTTGGCAGAGCATTCCACGTCACCTTGGGGAGCCAGCAGTCACATGGTGCGATGAAGGATTATTTTGGAAGTTGACTCATATGATGGGGTTCAGTTGATGGTTTTAGTGAACCCAGTGAATGCTGTACGTTGTCATGGCAATTCATCGTGGGCTCCCGTTGGTTTCCTCTCCGTTTTTCCCCCTAACCGTACTTTTCCCCAAGCATCATGGTCTGGATGGACCGTGGCGATGATTTATGTAAGTCCCTGGACCGTTGCTGTGCTTCGGCTGGTACAGGATGAGCTTTTTGAACGGCGAACCGGTATCTCGACTGGGTGTTCACTATGTTCCGACGCTGCTCTTGGCCACCTGCCCTCTGCCCAGTCAAGGCCCACTCAGAAAGCGGACTTTCCTTTCGGATCCTGCAACTCGTTACGTGGGGTTTCAACCGGAGTTGGGAAATCTTGTTATTGTCGGCTGGGAGGAGGGGGGCACAGGCACAGCGTCCTCAACTGGGTCGGGAGTGGGGGATGATGGATGGAGGGAATTGCAAAGCTATCAGGCTTGGGAAGAGCGGCGAGTGCAGTCAGCAACGGAGTCAACAACGGCAAATAATCATGGAGCTCGGCGAGGAGATGCATCCTGGCACCCCTCCGCTACTTTGTGATTTGGACGGGATCGTATATGCATGAGATGTTCGAAGGACTGTAGGTAGTTGGTTCTACCTACAGATTTCCCCAAGTGTTCGCGTCTTCTAGAGCTGTGATAAAACTGCGCTGTCCGAGAACAAGGGGAATGGAAGCCGGGGGACTCGACGAGGTATAAAAAACAAGCCACACACTCACACATATACACCACACTTGCAGGTTGGTCGTATTTGCTTCGTTCACTCCGTGGTTTGTACACGAGGTGGCAGAAGGATGCATTGCGTAACCCTGCAACCCCAAGGACTGGTGTTGCTCTCCGGGGCGGCGGCCAGGGTCGCCAGAGCCCGCCATGCCCAAAATTCCGAGACATGCAGAACAATGACAGTCAATGCAAGGCGATGTATAAGTAATTACACGAAGTATTCATACGGTCGTGAATAAAAGGTGCTCGGGCCATGGGCAGGGCTTTCCAAGGTGGAGGGCACATGCGGGCAAGAGGCGCCTGATGTGTGTGTGTGTGTGTGTGTGTATGTGTCTCGTGTGGTTTGGCTGATGGTGCACACGCTTGCACCCGCTGGGCTCGGTTGGCAGGATACTCCTTTTCCGTTCCTTGAGCGCAGCCTTTGTCGGAAAGTGGCGGTTGCGAACATATCGGGACGGTTGTGACTGTTGTCTCGGCCTTCTGTGAGGGTGGAAAAGGGTCAACTACACATGGAATTAAGGGACGGTCTTGCACGCACGACATATGGAAACGGCAAGTCGCGTTTGTTGGTCAGAGAAATTCTATTCGTATTCATCGATAGAGTACATACAGCACTGGCGAGCTGTAGCGAGGCAACTGAGTGCGTTGGCCAGTCATGACGACCGCCATTTACAAGTGATGCTGCTGTCAAGTAGATGTATGCGCACTGTGCCAGTGACCTGCTTTGACTGCGCGAGTAACACAGGTAGAACAGAGTTGGACAGGCTTTACGCTCCCCGGGTCTGGGCGCGGTAAGGCGTCGTCTTGCCTGTGACTCAGCGTAAGTTCACAAGCTCAGCTATGTCGGATACAGGCAGAACAAAGTTGGACAGCCCCTAGGCTCCCAAACCTGGCTGCGGCAAGGCGTCGCGCGGTCGTGTCAGATACAGGCAAAAAGTTGGATAGCCTCTGGGTTCCCCGGCGTGGTTGCGGTAAGGCGTCGACTCGCATGTGACTCAGCGTAGGTCTCGAACAAGCTCGAGCACCTTTGATCAGTTGTGTCTGATACAGACAGAAAGTTGGAATAGAATGCAGAATGGCTCGTGGTGCGGTAAGACGACGCGGCGATTTACCTGTGAATCAATCAGCGTAAGTTCCCAGCAAGCTCGAGCACCTTGAGCAGCAGTGTGTCCGTGAAGCGTTCAGAGGATGCCTGTTTCCTCCCGCAACCAAGTGGTTGGCAGCGCGTAGCAAAAATGGCCACGGCCATCGACGCATCCAGGGTTAGTAGGGTTACCAGAGATTTAGGTTGTCATCATGCATGTAAGAGGACATGAGACGAAGTCTTCCATCTTGCCATGACGTACCTTGAAGAGTCTGCCCGACCAAGACAGCAGCTTCGTGCAAGCAAATGACGAGCGACTGCGCGGGATCCATGGGTAAGTCACGCGCTGTTGTTGTTGGACAGATACACGCGAGTATGGAGGGACAGAAAAAAATGTCACTTGCGTCAGGTCATCACCGCATCATGGTAGCCGCGCGAGGGGCCCTCGTGATGATGGTTTTAGGCAAGGTTGGTGAAGGGTTGTTCTCGACCGCACGCCCTAGGCCGCCAGCAGCATCGAATGTTAGCTGGCGATTGATTTTTTGGGGGTCGTGATGGTCTTGTTGTTTTGATATGAAACGAGGAGGAAAAAAAAACCAGCGGGAGAAAATTGCTCGCAGGCAGGATGGCTAGCCGGGTGGTGAGACTGGGTCAGGTGACTCTGGTACGGCTTCTGCAGCCCCGCCCTGCCCTTGGATGGTTGCATGTAACTAGGTACCCTCTACTCTGCGCGCACGGAGTACAAAGAGGTACGAATGGCAATTGCTCCCTTGGGCCACCATCTAAGAGAGTCAGACTGTGAGTTTGCGCTGTGGCGCGGTTATGCTCTCGTTGCCTGTTGCGAAAAGTCTGATGCGATGACTCGACTTGTTGCCTGAGGCAGAAACCACCGGTTTCTGCAGCGGGAGAACAACTATATATAACCCTTCACCCCGGCCAAGGGAAGGCCAGAAGGAGCTTCATACCGTGCCATCTATACAGTGCTGCTTCACACACACACACACACACACAGTACACACACAGTCCATACACACAGTATACACACATACAGTACCTACACACTCTCACACGGTACATACATACAAGCCACTCACGGTCCTCCGTCAACAAAGGTCGATCCCGAGGCTTCATCAATCATCCACCACCATGACTTTCCATCCCCAAACGCCTCAGAGCCCCTGGCGCTTCTCGCCTGCCACCTCGTCGTCAGAACCCATGGCGACCCTCATCTCGGGCAACCAGGCCACGGCCACCACTCTCCCCACTCCGGCACACAGCGTCAACGGCGCCAACTCGCAGCCCGATGTCGTCATGGTTGACTACTCGCCGCACAAGAGGAAGCGCCCGTTCGATGACGTCGGCGGTGACCGCGACCACAAGAAGATGCTTCTCGAGGACCGCAAGCTGGGCATTGAAAACCTGCACCTCGATGTGGGCAAGAAATATCTGCTGTGCCAAACACCTACAACTCCTTCGGCCGCCCTCGCCGCGCGCACCTCAGAGGACCTCTTTGAAATGTTTGGCCTCGCCGACCTCGCCGCTGAAGTGGCACGCGAGAAGCCCAACGGAGAGAAGAATGCGCTGCGCAAGACATACAAGGGCCACATCAAACGCCTCGGCGTTGCCGGACACTTTGACGTCCAGAAGAAGAAGGAAGACGCCCCGTCCGACTTCATGGCCATGATCCAGGTACCAGACCTGGAGTGGAGCGTGCATCAAGTCAAGGGTCGCGAAATCAGCAACGGCCTCTCCGAGACTACATTGTCGACCCTGGGCCGGGCCTTGACCATGTCTAAGGGCCCCATTCCCAAGGCCATATGGGACTCGTCTGTACTTGGCGACCTGGCTCCGGCAAACTCAGACACAGCAAATCAAGAGCACAGGATGGTTATTACATGTTATTAGACGTAAAATAAAAATGTGAGAGAAGATATTGAAAGGCGTATAATCGTTTGTAAAGCTTTGGTCATAGTGCAACATATCCATCGTAGTAGGCCCCACGAGAAACACCGCGTCATCTCGTCGAGTCCAGCTCGCATCATTGATATCCTCAAGTCCTTGCCGACACCAGCATCAGCTTGACAAAGTCATGCGAGTGCTGCTAGTGCATGTTCGACCGGCCTTCGCCAAAGTTGCCGTTCTCGACCGACGGATAGGCGCCGCCGCTCATCTCGGCCCAGTTCCAGTCCAACGTCGCTGGCAGGCCGAACAAATCCTGCGGAAGCAACGGTTGCTGAAAGGGATTGCCCCTCATCGGCATCGACGGCGAGGGGACGCCGCCGCCGAAGCCCTGCATGCTTGGGTAAGAGTCCATGTCGCCATTCTGGGGCACATGGAACTCCTGAGGCCAGCCTGCCGAGTCAATCGAGGGTGATGGCTCGTTTGCGGCCGACATTGCGCCGGGCGTCTGGCCAAAGGGTGTCCCGTGGTCGGATCTTGCAGCGGGCGACATGTGTGTCGCGGCCGCGTTCTGTGCGTTTGTCGGCGTCGGCGTCGTGGTGTTTGCGGTTCCGGGTCGCGGAGTCGAGCCTGCGCCGTTGACCGACGGCGTGGGCCCGTTCGATGCCTTGTTCAACACCTCGGTAGTCTTGCGCTTGCGACGCGACGACTGTTCTCGCTCGGCCTTCTCGATCACCACCTTGGCGATGCGAACAAACTCGGAGCAGATGCCGAGCATACGGTGCACACCTCCCTGCTCAGCTTCCTGGCCGAGCATTGAGAGGAAGTTGACGACGAGGTTCATCAGGCGAGCGTCCGACTTGGCCCTCGGATCGAGCGGATTCTGGAGGATGTTTCCAAATAGAGTCATCAAGGCAGAAACAGGAAAATACAAAATCAACCTGCGGAACAACCCGTCAGTTCGTCACCTAGGCCATTGCGTGCCGAATTTTTTTTGACTTACCAGACACAGCTAAAGTCTCCCTGAGGAACATATTTCAACAGCGAGATGGAGGCTCTCGCCGACGCGGTGCAGAGCGCTGCGGACGAGAAGACTCTGGGGTTCAGAGGCCGGGCGTTAAGTCCTTGGATCGCGTAGTTGGACAGTCTGCTCGTCCAGTATCCATGATGGACCGACATTCGATGAATCGTCGTCAAGCAGTTGTAATACGTAAAGTGCAGCATGACAATGTGCAGAATCAAGGGCGTGTGCGACGCCTTGATTTCGTGCTCCGGCCGGAAGTCGATGGGGATCTTATCCTTCCACTCCTCGAGCTCCTGGTCGAGCTCGCCAATCGTATTCAAGAGCTCGCCGTCCGACTGCTTGGTCGCCTTGGTCGAATAGAGGCGCTTGTACACGTTGCTCTCGATGACGGTAAACTCGCAAATGACCCGAAACAGGTTCATCTTGCCGGTGCCTTCGGCCAGCGGGATATTGCCAATGTTGTCCGGAGGGTCGGCGTCAGGCAGGTCCACGTTCATGTCGTCGTCGTCTTGCGCGGCCGGGCGGCCTGATCGAAGGCAGAGGTCCTTGTCCAGCATATAGGCGATCCAAAAGACGCGTTTCCGCTGTTCGATTTCGATGGGGTTCAGGTTGAAGCCCGTCCCCCGCTTGTGCAGCCCGATGCTATGTGCCAGGCGTATGGCGGCGGCAATGAGGAGCGAGGTCGGTTGGGGGTTGGGGGTGCCCTGCATGAAGAGGGCCATGCCGAGCAGCGCCTGGACACTCAGCAGGTCCGTGTTGCGCATCGTCAGCTCGGGGAAGACGGCCATGGCATTCTTCAGGTACGCCCACGCCTTCTCGTCTTCTTCCTGCGGAACAAGGTTGCTCATGACGCGCAGCCGATGGGCAATGGCCAAGACGCAATTCAGGCTAGCCCACCAGCCAGAGCCCTGGTATGGGTCCGACGAGTACTGCCTTTCGACCAGGTGCATAAAGGTCGGCTGGTGGAAGAGGGGGAACATGCAGTTGAAGTTCTCGAAATAGTCCTTGAGCAGAGACAGGGCCTCGGGCTTAGGCGGCAGGGGCCGGAAGACGGGGCGTTGGAACAGATCGCCGAAGACTTCGGGCTTCCAGTTGGTCCACTTGTGATCGTCGACGGACACCTCAGAAATCATTTTGGCGAACGAATCGTCGCCCGTCTTCTCGTTGACCCACTGAATACCTCTGGGGGAGAAGATGGAGAAGCCAGACGAGGATCCTGCAAATGGTCAGCCGAGGGATGCAAGGCAGTGTCAGTGTGGAGCGTCTCGTACCGATATATCGCGTCTCGCCGCACTGATTCGTGACCAGTGAGCACATCATCTCGGACAACGCCTCGACCTCCTCTCCTTCTTGGCTCTCGTCAGCCGACACGACTGACTTGCGCTTATCGTCTATCCGGTGGGTTTCTCTTCCGGGCTCCGGCGACGTCAGGGCGCTTTGCGGCGTTGAGCTAGTGCCTTCTTGTCCGGAGGTGCCCTGCGATGGCGATGTGGGGCTCGAGACCATCACCATGGAGGCCTGGCGCGTCTTTTCGGTGAGCTTCTTCTCGAGCTCCCCGAGATCGGTCGCGCCATTGTCGTCTTCGCTGAGCAAACCTGGTGACGAAGCGTTAGCGACAGACTGACCAGGTGGGGGGAGGGCGAGGGGGGGGGCTGCGCAGTGGACTCACCTGACAGCTTTAACAAGTGTTCCATGCGGCCCAATCGGTTTTCGAGCCCCTCGATATACTTTGCCCTGCGCGCCTGTCAGTCAGTCCGTGGTGGTATGAGAAGAGGCGTGCATGAGCATACCCCTTGGGAGGACTGCGCTTCTTCTCAACCTGGGTGAAGACGCAGTCGGTCTTGTAATTGATGCAATGCGTGCAGGCCGGCAGTTTGCCGTCGCACTTGATCTTCTTTTTGCGGCACATGTCACAGGCCTAGAGGCAGATGGATGTTAGCCAAGACGGATGATTTCATGGGAAGCGGGTCGGGGTGGGGATGCTTGCCCTCGCGATCCTTCTGCGTTTGGCCTCGTTTGAGTCTTCCATGAGCAAATGTGAGTCGGGGAACATGTGCGAGGCAAAGTCGGAAGGCATCTGCGGCAGGCCATCGGGCCCGTAGGTGCCAAAGATCTGGGGCGGCTGGTTCATCAAGGGCGGCGGGGCCATGCCCGGTATCTGGAAGCCCATGTGGTCCATGGCGAATGGAACCCGGACGGATTGCCGGCAATAAGGGCGTCGCCGTAGAGTCGGGCGGAGAGTGGTTGACGCGCTGTCGTGGTTGATTGTCTTTTTCTTGATTCAGAAGCCCGCTTCCGGTCGGGGGCGAGGCGAGAGCAGTGGAGAGTCGTGGGCGGCCAAAGGGACGACGATGCGCAGTGGAGGTGGTGATGATGTGGTGGCAGATCGGAGGGTGCCAAAGGGCTCGGAGACGGGGAGAGAGGGCTGGAGGTGAAGGTGAGGGGAGGAAGAGGAGAAGAGGCGAGCTAGCGAGGCGAGGCTGGTATATCTGACACGGCAAGGTATTCGCGAGAGGCCAGGATGGAAGGGGATCTAGACTCAGGCGGCTGGCGCTGGTGGCGTTGATGGTGTAGGCTGACGAAGGGGGGGTCCGGAGGGAAGAGGATGGGAGGGGAGTGGAGGGGATGGTTGAGACCAGACGTTCGGTTTCGAAAGGAAAGCAAGAGAGGCGAGGATGGCTCGGTTTCGAAGTTGGGGGTGTCGCACAAGCGCGCGGGCCAGTGCACCCTGGGCTTTGCCGTTTTTAGGGGCCAGCCAGCGCCGACCGATTCAGTGGTGGGCTGACCAGGTCGGTACGGGATACTGCCAAGTCGGTAGGTCCAGCTGGGTACTGCTACGGCGCTCTGAGCGCCGACTACAGGAGGACAATCCATACCTAGGTACCTACCTACCTACTACAGGGCATCTATCCTTCATCCAGAGGTTATAGTGGGTGCACTTCAGGTATATCAGGCAGCCCTACCTGGCCAGCCAGCAAAAGCTGCCAGTTACCTGTCGCGCGCGAGAGAGGAGAATCCGGCGAGCCGGGACAATAAGTCCACGGATACGACGCTTCGATCCATCCTTCCCCTCCCTCTCTCTCCCGCAAAAGCGTGCGTTGCACGGCGTCTCGCGGGGTGCGTCGCGGAGCTTGCGGACTCCGCTGCGCCGCCGTGCGCTCGGCACCAAAAGCACCAAAAAAGGGCCCGCTCCGCCGCCGCAATCTCTTTGCACGGCGTTTGAGAGGGCGCGCTTTTGCTCTCTCATCCATGCTCTGGACGGCCATGCACCCATTTCCAATCATCGGTGGTGGTTGCGGAGATAAGGAATGACGGCGACGCCACCCCGGTGGCGGTGAAAGGGGGGGGCGCCGTTGCACGTTTCGTCATGGATATGGGACCAGATTGTCTGACATTGATGAGCATTCGCCAACTAGAGCGAACGCAGGATTGAAGACGAAGACGATGAATGCCACGTGCATGGCAAATCCCCGTAAACTCCCAGTTCTTCTGTGCATGCCTTCCTTGCACATCTCATAGACCCTCTTCGCCAAAGTCCCTCCCGGTCCCGCACCAGAGGTGATGCGTCGCAGGTATTCATCAACTATAGAAGCCGCGCATCTTTCGACGTTGGGTTCGGTTTGATGGACGTTTATGCATCATGACCATGAGTCGAGCAAGAGCAGGGGGCCAAAATGCCAAGGTCAGCCCCGTCCGAAAATGGGCGGGAGCCATTACCTAAGCTAGGTTCCCAAGCTAGGTAGGTACCTACATACAGTACCTAGGTAAGTACCTAGGTGATAGGCAGGGCAGGCCGCCTTGTAGGCCGCCCGGCCGAAGATGCGCGGACATCAGAGCATCTATTCACACCTCCGGCAGATCTTGTGTTTGTAAATGCCGAATCACATCATATCTGGGTTGGCCTTGATGACCTCCTGAGCGACAGCTAAAAGTCAACTCCGCCAACCTCGGCAAACCAGCTTCTCTTTACCCGCCCGGGCGCCCACCTTATGAGCCAAGTAACCACCCCGATGGAAAAAAGCACAGCTCGCTTCCTCCGTGCTCGGGTCACACGGCCGTGACAGATGGGCGGGGGGGCCGGACGCAGCTGTTCCCGGTTCCGTGCCCGGATGTCGGCCATGCAAACATCTGATGCAGCTAAATAAGCACCGTCGTGTTTCGAACCTCACCTCTATCTCTCTATCTCTCTGCCCATGTCCAAGCACGGGTCATGAAGATGGATAGATGAACCTCTACCAGCTCTCCTTTGCCTCTTTCCTCTTCTACCGTCGACTTTTGCTTCTTGCTTTCTCGGCCCCTGCACCATGCCCGTCCGTTGTCGCAAAACCCATCGCGCCCAGGACGCCCTTCCGCTGACGCCACGCAACGGCTGCCAGACTGTCCATCGACCTCTACTATTCAAACCTCGGCTCATCACATGCCCCCCGGCCTTGCTCAAGAAGCCTGCTCTCTGCAACCACAGCATGCCCGTTGGCGGCTATTTTAGGGACTCTACTGCATAAACGGCCTGCACGCTACACGGGCGATTACAAACATACATAAACTCCGCCTCCCTGACAGGCACCCGCTGCAACCCCGACGCCACGCCACGCCCGCGTGCCGGACCCCTGGCTTGCTTGCTTGCTTGCTTGCTTGCTTGCTTGCTTGCTAATACCCCTCTATTGATGGTTGACGAAAGGCTGTGCTGCCGAGCGGCACCATCTGAGCTGTCCATGTCGGAGAGGTAATTTGTCATTGCTCCAGCTGCAGCTCACCAGCTAAGTTAGCGCTAAGCCGGTTCCGTGTTCCCCGTTTCATGCTCAGACTCCCCTGTTTCAAGGCCGTCTCGGCGTCAAATGCTATTTTTTTTTTACGGCGGATAACTAAGACCGCGTCAACAAGCCCGGTTGTGGCCATGGCGCTTCCTGGGTTCCGGGGGATATTTCAACAACCTCGGTAGACGAGGCTGGGCCAAGGGAAAATATTGCACGTAAGCAGAACAAGGTGCAGAGCTCGACGTCAAGTCCCCACCATCCGGCGGCGCATTGCAAGCCACCGTGAATCGCATGCAATACGTACTCTCTTTCTTCCCGTAATGCAACTACGAGGCTTGACGCACTTTTTCGTGTCTCGTCAAGCCCATCAGCCACTAGAGGAAGAGGGAGGCTGGGTGCTGGCCTCCGTCTGTCGACCTTTCGTCGCCAACCTCCTCAGACTACCCCGCGCCCCAAGCACAAGTCTCACGGTGAACTGGGTTATTATAAATGGCACTTTTTATCCAATTCGTCGCCCTGTTCAACTAACGGCCGAAATCCGGAGGCCTCGGACCGAACGCGCGAAAAGGTCGCCGCGGGCCGGCTAGGTAAATAGATGCAAGCATGTCACATCCGGACACGATGCCAAATATGTACAAGAAATGGAATACAACATGTCTCGCTGTCGCGCGAGACCGCCTGCCCCGTCATATGCTCTCATGGAACTTGGACGCAGACGCCCGCGACACCGGGCGACGGGTTGGCGTATCTTGCGTTGCAGGAGGAACCAAGGGATCGACAAACGGGTTTTCCGTGACCGGAGTGCGGGCCGGGCCAGAGCGCATAATCGGCACGCCACTCACCGGCCGCATTGGCGCACCAAGAGCTAGCTGGCGCGGGCCTCCTGCGGCGGCCAGGTCGAACGCTTGTGAGTCGCGGTAGTAGTCCGAGCCGCCGCTCATGATGCTTTCACGCGGGTCCGAATATCCATCGCCACCGGTGATCAGAACCGGAGGTAGCTTCCTGCCGGCCACACGATAGAAACCCCTCTCACCTCCTTCTTCCACTGGGTCAGAAGGTTGACGCGAATTTCTCTTTCGAGTCAAGCTGGAAAAGGGGGCAGAGACCGCCAAAGGCCCGGACCTTTCGGCCATGGCCATCGAGTCTCCGCCCGTCAAAGTCCCAGAAGCCGTCGAGCCCAGCCGGCCGCCTCCTAACAATGTACCGGCGTCTCTACGCTTCTTGTACCTGAGGACCAGCAGCACCAAGACGGCTAAGAACGCCACGCCAGCGACGCTGCCAAACACGCCTCCAATTATGCGCACTTTCTGAGGCTCCGGATCGTGTGCGCTGCCCGCATTAGTTTTTGCATCCGAGGAAGGGGGCGGGCGAGCCCCTCCTGCAGCCGAAGGCGCCACGAAACCGCCGTCCGAATATGTCGATGTTGTGTCGGACAAACTAAGGGACGAGGCCGAAGTTGAGGCCGAAGCGAAGCTCGACTCGTCGGATTGCGTGGTTGCGGTCGAAAAGGCCGTCGCGGATATCTGCTCGCCTGTCGAAGTAGTAAAGGACAGTGTTGTCGGAGAAGACGGAGAAGACAAGGCAGATACTCCATGCTGGGAAGAGTTTGATGATGACAGCGATGATGGTGGTGATTGCAGTGACAAGGATGTTACTGGTGATGATTTTGATGGTTTTGATGACGCCGACGACGCCGGAACGAATGACGAGTTCCCATTAAATAAAGCTGGCACGAGTTAGCCGACTGCTCCCCGACGCGACGAAGAGGGCTCAGCGTGGCTTGCAGGTACATACTGTTTGTTCCATTATGCAAATCGCCCACGATAGGGTATATAGATGGGCTGGATGAAGGAGTGGATGTTGGGTTAGATGCCTGCGATAAAGATGTCGAAACAGTGGCAGTCGAGCTGGTGGCCGAGGTCAAGTCCGTCGTCGTCGCCGCCGCCGTGGTGGAAGTGTCGGTCGTCGCTACAACCGACGATGAGCCAGTCGGCGACGACGTGGCAGAGCCGCTGCTGGTATCCAGGGCTGCTGTGGGGATGGCGGCAGTCGCCTGCGTGTCTGTGGTGGGGATGGCGGCGGTCTTGCCAAGCACAGAGCCGGCGAGCAGTGTTTTGGGCGTCTCGATTGCGCTGCGAAGGTAGAGGGCAGAGCTTGTGGAATTAAACGGAGAGGGTGACGAGGCATTATGGACGACTTCGGTTGGGGATGAGCTGTCAACGCTTTTTACAACATGGACAGAGCTTTCGCTGGGGCCGACGCCATTGGGGGGCCCGAGGTCGTTAGTGTCTGCGATTGAAGGTTTTTGGGTTGCGGCCGAAGGTTCTTCGACGCCCGTCTCGTGTCCGCTGCCCGGTTGCTCGGCCGTCTCTTCGCTCCTGGTGGGAGACTGACGACGGTGGCGGTGGTGGTGATGGCCGTGTGTGGAGTCGTGGCGGCGACGATGGGTTAAGGAATGAGGGTGCGGTTCAGAGCCGCGGGCCTGAAGGAGTGAAGGCCCCGGGGATGGGTTAGTCATGGTGGGTGGCGGCGTGCGCAGGCGGGCAGTGCACGCGAGCCCTAAAAAAGGAAGGGAACCAGTTGGTAAAGATCGTATTCGCCCAAAGGGCGGTGCAGCGTCTTGGCCGACGACGCAACACGGTGGTCCAGGGCCAATATTGGGTTGTGTTATTCCTCGGGCGTTGCCTGCGTCGCCTGTGTCGTCGTCATCATGGCCGGTCGGCAAGGGATCGTCCTTGGGGGAGGTGTGGTGCTTGTTGATCTGCCGTGCGTCCGGCAACCCGCGATTGGGAAGCTATTGCCGGGCGCAAAGGTCGGTGCCGGGAGGCGAGGCCGAGTGTTTCGCTGCGCGTTGCGTCGGCGATTGTTTCGTTTCGTTGATGCAGCGCGTTATTCGACAGCCTTACGCCCAACGGCCAGACAAGGGGGGGGGATTAGGCATGGTCGAGTATTGTGCAGCAGCAAGAGGGTATAAGGAGAGGAAGGGGAGGGAACACGCGAGAGAGAAAGAGAGAGAGAGAGAGACGGAGAGAAGGCTTAGATTAGAGGCGGGAGATGAGATGGGGACGAAAAGATTCCTACGAGCTTCTGGTCCCGGTCCCTACGGCGGATGTGACTGGTGAGTCGAGGGCCCCCGTGGAAATGAGAGACAAAGGCCCTGGCCGTTTCTGGCACCTCATCTCGCTTCGCAATCAACGGGGCGCTTGGCCCTGTCAGCGGGGTCCGGGGGCCGAAGCCAGCGACGGTGCTCGCCTCGGAGGAGGAAGTACCTTCTGTATTGTGATTAGCGGTGCATGAACTTCTCGGTGCCAAGAGTGACGTGTTTTGGCATCTTTTCCCCTTCCCTGATGCATGCATGCGTCTGCAGGCACAACACGTCGCGTGTGTCCAACATGCCAAGCGTACTGCACATGCTTTACTACCTACCTACCCAAGCAAGCGTTCCCATCCATCATGGATGGAGAGGGCGTTCCAGTTCATACCATGTCGATGCGGTGCCTCAAAGGCCGCTGCAGTCTGGCACAGGAGCAGCCGAAGAAGGGAAAATGCAACGGAGTCTGCCTCACCTCCTCCAAGACGCCGGGATATGAAGCCGCGCAGAGACTTGAATTTGCATGATACTGCAGGCTGTACTCCGTGCCAGGTGTCCGTATACTCGGTAGACTCACCACACTCACTGCTCACATGTCAGCCAGCGGGCCTCGAAAGGACGGCCAGCATCACGCTCAGGTACTGGCCCATGTCCTTTTGCGCGCAGGGAGAAGCCCAGGGGCAGAATAATCGACACCGAGCACAATTATAGCATGGAGTTGACGTATAGACATTGTGTGATTATCGTCTTTGGCATCATCCCTGACTACCTTTGTACATAACGTAAGTTACCTACCACTTTGTACACACACACATATATATACGTATATACATACCTATATATATCTCTCTCTCAGGTACCTAGGTATCCACCGTACCCATCCACTTGTATCTCGTAGGTATGGCGCCCATTGCTCACCTTGCGCAACTTCACCTTCATTCTCGGCATCTCTCCATCACCAACCTACTCGGCATAAAGCACCTAATCAACCCACCCGCCCGGCGGGCTTGATTCTCGACTCGGGGCAGCCCAGCGGCAATGCTCGTGGCCGCGCAGGATCCTAATTTTAGACGACGGCCGTCGTCCGGGCTAGAGATGTGGGCACCACCAGCCCAAGCAGGGAGGTCCTCGTTCACTGATCCTGGACTACATACAGTACAGTACATATACAATCACAGAACCCGGACATGGGGGAAATCTGCATCAAGTACGAGCCCAGCCGCTGGTTGGTTGGGTGGCCACCGTGATGGTCGGTTGACTCGTGGCTCCATTCTCTGGCAATGGCATGTGGCCGATGCTCCGTGGCGCCGTGCGCTTCCGCCGCCCGTTCCTCCGGGAGATGAGAATAACAGACTTTGGTTTTCTTTGCTGTTTTCTTTTTTTCCCGTATCGTAGTTAGCGTTTGTCCAAACAAGTCGGCGGGTCGTCGAGCAATGAATGGGATACGGGCGTGTCTTGCAATACGAGCCGAGAAAACGCGCGATTTTGCGGGCGGAATTATCCTCCTTACGTACGGATACCAATACTGACGGATACATGCATTACCCATGCTGCACATCAGGTCTTTGTGTGCACTGAACGTAATAAGTTAGGTGCTCTGTGCTTACAGCAGCAAGCTCAGTGAGTGGGTTGATCTGTGGCAGGCTGGCCGCATGTCGATTCGATCAACCAAATTAATCGCCGAGTGGGAGAGGAGGGATAAACAAACAGAGGGAAAAGAAGAAACACAAAAGAAGGAGATATGAGACAGCAACCTGAGGCCTTCTGCACACCCCCTCGGCAGGGGACAGACGGCGTCGTCGTCCCGCCCCGAGACCAGCCCGCTCCGACGCTGAGGCTCGCCGTGGACCCACCCGCTGCCGAGTCCAGGAACTGCGTCATTGTGCCTGTTGAAGCCTGCGCCCGGGGAGGGGGTCTGGGGGTCTTTGACGGGCACGTGCTTCCTTCAAGCTGATATGCCCTCGGCGATTCACTCAGTCGTGAGCGTACTCGGTGCAGAAGTCTTGGAAAAGGAAGGAGTGGAGGTGGAGGTAGAGGTAGAGGTAGGCAAGGGTACACGGACCTCTGTACCTCGTCGCCACCACACAGCTTCACCCACAAACACCAACAACGGCCGTCTTCACGGCCGCTCCACCACCGCCTCCATCGCCGCTCCCGCACCCACCCTCCGTCCGCCATGCCGGACCTTGACGCCGCCGCCCCCGGTCGTCTCTCCCCGGTGCTGCCGTTCCGCCAGGGCCCCGGCCGCCACCCCTCGTCCTCAGATCCTCACCCTCTGATGCGGATATCGTCATCCGATCCCCGCTCCTCGTCCACCCAGTCCCTCGCTCCCTCCCACGCCCCCCTTTCGGACCCTCGCCGCAAGCTGCTCCTCGTCTACATCCACGGCTTCTACGGCAACGACCAGTCCTTCAAGTCCTTTCCCGCTCACGTCCACGCCCTCCTGCGCGCTCTTCTTGCCGAATCCCACGTCATCCACTCCAAAATCTACCCTCGCTACAAGACCTACCATGCCATCGAGGTTGCCCGCGACAACTTCAGTGCCTGGCTCGAGCCTCACGAGTCCCCCACCACCGATGTCATCCTCGTCGGCCACTCCATGGGCGGTCTGCTTGCTGCGGAAATCGTTCTCATGGTGCGTCGCTGCCCTGCCTCCGCTGACACACCGGATCCTCAAGTCTCGAATGGCGAGCGCGCGTTGACATTCGGCAGCCCAAGCGTGGTCCCTATCAGTCGCAGCCCTTTAAGCACCGCATTCTAGGAACATTATCCCTCGACTCTCCATTCCTTGGCCTTCACCCAGGCATCGTGTCCTCGGGTATCGCTAGTCTCTTCCACCCGGGCTCGCAGCCGGCCAACGACAGTCTCGACAGATTAACCACGGGCCCCTCGCCGCCATCATCTGCTGGAGCATCGCCGCCCTCGGCAGACTTGCAACTGGGGCTGGCGCCGTCTCTCGCATCACCGCCTCCGCCCCCTGATGAGACAGATCCGTATTTTGACCCGCCCTTCTGGAATGACAAGCCGTTTCAGGAACAGCCCTTTCTCAGCCGCCTCGTGCGCTTTGCCGCCAAACACAGGTCTGAGGGTATTTTTCGTGCCGTTCAAAACCATCTGGTCTCACATCTAGAGTTTGGAGGCTGCCTGGCAGACTACCCTGGACTTGTTTCCCGGTACAACAAGCTGCGGGCACTCGAGGACGTCGATGAAGTCCAGGCTGCCAACGACGGGCACTCTGGCACCTCCTGCGCTCAAGTCCGGTTCGCCAACTATTACACTCTGTCTCCAGGCCGCCCCAAGCCACCAAAGTGCCCTCCCTCAGAGGCTCGGGACAGCAGCGAGGTCAGTCTTTCGGGTCTCACTCAAGATGACGTGGGCGCACCACTCTCGTCCGACACCGAGAGCGTCAAACTTGAAGGCCAAGACTCGTCAGCATCTCTACCCATGCCCAGTGTTGAAGATGGACTGCAAGATGATTTGCAGTCCGGCATTCCAACTCCGAGAATATCTGTTGAAGCGCCGAGGGATGAAGACATGCGGCAACGGCCCGACAGCGCAGACAGCACTAATGATCAGCAAAAGGAGAGAGGAAGCCAGGAGGCGAGTGGAGAACCAGAGCCGGCGGCCATTCTGGAAAGCCTTTCGGCAATGTCTATGCAGAACATCGAGCCACGACCGATGGAGGACTCGGTAGCGGAGCCGATAAAGGAAGAAGAGGTGTTAAGTCAGCCGCAGGAGCCTGCACAGAGCAGTGCAGATCACGTTGACTTGCCGCCCCTACCAGAGGAGCCATCCAAACCAACAATGCCGGATCTGGAGCAATTCACCGACAAAGACGCTCGAAAACTTGCCGAAAAAGAAGGTAAGCGCGCCCAGAAAGCCTACGACCAAGCGGTCAAAGCCCGCTCCAAGGCCATTCGGGAGCGCGAAAAAATCGTGCAGAAGCGCCGCAAGGCAGCGCAAAAGGAAGCCGAAAAGCAGCAGAAAGACGCACTCAAGGCACAGCAGCGCCTGGAAAGGGAAGCGGAGAAGGCGGCGGCGGCAGCAGCGGCGGCGAGCGTCGACGGGGACGCGGCTTCGACCGCGCAGACAGACAAGCCGCGCAAGATGCGCAAGTTCTGCACCCTGCCGCGCAAGACCAACGGCGTGAGAGACCCGACCTGGGTCGACATCTACATGGACGGCATGGATGAGGTGGGCGCGCACTGTGGGCTGTTTGTTCCAGGGCCGCACTACGATGGCCTCGTCGGCGACGTCGGCAGCCGCATCGTGACATGGGTCTTTGATGACATGTCCAAGAGGGCCATTCTCGAAGGCCTGGAGTAAGATGCCAGTCTCTGGGAGTTCACTGGACATAGACTACAGTGAGTGCGATGACAATGATGGTAACGATGGCCACGGCAATGCTACAGAAAGCGAGGAGTATGCGGCTCATTAGGTGTGTCGTGTTAAATATAATAGGATGCAAAATAATACCGAAGCCTGCCAATGCCGTTGAGTGCGCCGCCGCTTGTTCAATCTTACCCATGCAAAAGAATTTCCAAGAAGAAGAACGATGATGAAAAGGGGGGATGGAGTGAGCTCTTGGTATCCAACGTCACAGGAAGAAGCGAGCCATCATGCGCGTCATCAAAAGCCCCCCCTCACCCCCTTCCGCCTCGGAGAATCACCGCTCAGTACAGATCCAACTCGCGCAACCGGAGGCGAAGGTCGCTCTCGGCGTGCGCGGCGACCTGGGCGGCGCCCCTGAGCAGGGCGTGGCGGTCGTCGTCGCCGGCAACAAAGCCGTCGTGCCCGATGCTGACGGCGCCCAGACGCACGAGCGGCGCGGCCGGGTCCCAGCCGCGGCGGTGGCAGATGAGGGCGGTCGCGGCGGCGCTGTCGGATGCGGCGCGCCATCCGCGGCCCGAGACGAGGACGACGGTGAGGCGGTGCTCGGGGGGGGATGGGGGCGTGGACGCGGGAGAGGAGGAGGGTGGAGGTGGCGGAGGAGGGGGAGGCGGGGGAGCGGCTTGGATCCAGGCCTCGATGGCGTCCTTGTTGTCCTTGCTCAGCGGGACGGCGCCGTCGAGGACCCACGAGGGCCAGGGTCCCGGACCGCCGCGGCGGAGGCAAAAGTCGGCGCAGTACGTCTCGAGGCGGATGAAGGCGATGGGCTCGGCCTTGTGGGCGACGGCGTCGCCGTCAATCTCCCACGACAGCACCGAGCCGTCGCCGAAGCCAATCGACATTTCCATGTGCGGCGGCGCGCACACGCCGTCGATGACGGGCGACGCCTCGCCCACGAGGTTGAAGTGGAACAAGGCGCGGGCCCCGGCGCCGTGGTGGTGATCAGGGCCCGGACGCAGCTTCCACGCGAGCCACGTCCAGGACGGAAACGAGGCGCCGTCCATGATGCGGCAAAACGGCCCTCCATCCTCCTCGCCCGCTTCCCCCGAGGCCGCCGTCGTCGCCGGCCGCCGCCACCGACCGTCGGGAATCCAGCCCAGGCCGACGGCCAGGCGATCCGTCTGGCTCACGACCGACGCCACGTTGACAAAGGCATCCGGGTGGAAGAGGGGCAAGCCGAGCAAGTCGCCGACCGGCAAGCCCTCGAGGCGAGCGTAGGCGCGCAGCACGCCGCGGAAGGCGTCGAGCCGGTCCGCGGGCCTGGCCAGCTCGCGCGCCATAAAGGCCTGGATGTGCTCGCGCAGGCGCCCCGGGCGCGCGACCTCCTGGGCGGCGGGGAAGACGCGGCCGGCGCGCCAGACGTCCGGGGCCAGGCGCAGCGGCAGCGCGACGCTCTCGTGGCAGTGCAGCGCGCGGCACTGGAAGTAGGCCTGCGAGGCGCCCAGCACCAGCCGCCGCCGTGAAAGCAGGCCCTCTTGCAGAGTCCAGGCGCGCGTGGCCCACCGCGACGCCGCCACCTCGACGTCGGCCCGCGCCAGCGTCGTGGTGAAGAGGCCCGTCTCCGTCTGCAGCGAGAGCTGCGCCGTCCGCGCCGCGCTCACCCCGCGGATCCCGTCGCCCACGCCCTCGCCCGCCGCCACGATGAGCGTCAGCGCAGACCGCGAGAAGATGGCGCCCAGGAGGCCCACCTGCCGCCACCGCTCGCCCGCGTCCAGCGGCATGAAGCAGTACCGGTCGATCCAGAGGTAGCGAAGCCCCAGCGACAGCGTCAGCGTCACGGCGTCGGCGAAGACGGCCGGCAGGCGGGCGGGCAGCAGCAGGTCGGCGTCGTTGCTGCCGTCCAGTCCGCCGGCTGGCGCGCGGAACGGGGCGCTGGCCTTGTCGTCGGCCTGGCCCCAGACGTAGCTGAGGGTGACGTATTCGAGGGACGGGTCTGAGTCGACGAGGCCAGCGGCGCACACGACGCGCCTCTCCTGGCAGTCGACCAGTCGCAGGCCCGAGATGGGGGCCTCGACCTTGCCGCACGTGGCGCCGTGCATGTCCCTGCAGTAGTCGATCCAGCACCGAGGGACCGCCGGGTCGAGCATCGGCGTCACCACCCTGCCTCGGATCCGCGCCGGCGCGCCCACCCCTGCCCGATACGTCTCGACGTCGTCAGGGTCGCCGGTGGCCTTGACGATGAACCCCCATGGCAGCGCCCTGTGCCTGGCCATGACCTCGCCCAGCACCGACCGCGCCAGCTCGTGCCTCTCGCCCACGCCGTCGAGCCGCTCGAAGGCCTGCCGGATGCGTAGGTAGGGCGTGAACTTGCCCCCGATGGCCAGTCCGTTGGCGCCCGCGCCGAGCATGGCCTGGAAGAAGGCGCAGTAGGGACAGGCCGGCGGCGAGTTCGGCGTCGGCGTGGGCGTCCATGCAAACGTGCCGTCCGTCGAAGCCGGAGGTGAAGGAGGGAGAGCCGGGTGCGGATGGACAACGTGCGCCAACGGGATCCACGGCCGCGGTTGGCCAGGTTTCCAGTCCAGGAGTCGGGGAAATTCGATGGCAGTGCATCTCGCGCATGGCTTGTGCCTCGGCTGCCGCCGCCGAGGACGAGGGCCTGGTGAGTCGGTGCTTACAGCGTCGGCGCTCAAGCCATCGGCCTCGTCATCGCTGCCGCCGCCGTCCTCGTCGTCGCTTTCTCCCTCCTGACTCCCATCGGCAATGATGCGGCCCGCCGTCGCGTTCTCCAGGCTTGCTGTCGCCGTCCTTGGCGCCGAGCCGATGCTGCCGCCGCGTGTTGCTGGTCTCGGCGGCAGCTGGTGCACGTCTGTTGGCGTTCCCGACCGTCGTCTCCCTCCCGGCTCCGAGTCGGGCCGCCGCCTCGACGACAGCAGCATCATGGAGATCTTCTTCTTCATGGCCAAAGTCGGGCTCCCGTTTCAGACCCGGGAGAAGAAAAAAAAGGGTCTCGCTCAGTTCATCACGCAAAGGGTCCGGTGCGTTTTCCCGGGCGGCAGAGGAGCAGGATGGGAGCCAAAAGAAAAATATAGGCAAACAACAAGGCTTGAGCTGGATGTGCTCGTGAAACGCGCAAGCAGAGCACTTCGGATGGAAAGCTGGAGTCGAGAGAGAAACACCCGCGTCGCGCTCTCGTCTCCGAAACCCACCGTACCCGTCCGGTCACTTACTCGTAAACTGGAGCTGACAGCAGCCATATTACATGCATGCGCGCATATACGGCAGACGTGCGCTAGCTGCTCTTCTCTCCATCGGTGACCCCTGTTGGTTCCCCGACATGCCGCCCCAACTCGACCCTATTGCGTGCGGCGAGACGGGGTGGCTTCCTTGGAAGCATTGAATCGTCGTCCATGGATGCCCACGCCCACCGACCGCACTGCACCGCTTCGATTTTCCTGCTTGTGTGAAGGGACGCGCAATCTGCGCTCGTGTGTGCATGTATGCATATATTCACCGTATCCCACTCTGCATTTCAAACGTCGCACTCGGCCATGCACACAGTCCGCCTCCAATCGTCTTGTCCCTCAAGCATACGACAGCGTGTTGTCGACCCCAACCTTGCCCATGACACCTATGCTGGCCTCCCCTCCCGAAACGCAGGGCCCGCGGGCGATTATCTAAAGCTTTTGGTGAGCATATGGCGGTGTTTCGAGTCTGTAAAGGACAATGTCTCACCTCGCCCTCGACCGTTTCGTCCGTTGTCTTGTGAACGCCCTTGTCCCGCATCAAAACCTCAACGCTCGTGGGCGGCGCCCCGAAATGGCCCTTGCCGCTGGAGTCGATTCTGTAGTCGAAAAGGGCGGTTTGGCTGACCGCCCCCGCAACCCGCGCTGCTGCCAGCGCGTAGATGACCCTGGCCCCGGTCAAGATGCGCAGGTCAGAGAGCACTTGGGACGACAGGTAAGGAGTGTCGGCCCCGGCCCGTTCGGCCACGTAGACAAGACGAAGCTTGCCTGGGGTGATGCCGATCGCCGGCCGAGCCTGCGAAGCAAACGCTGAGAGGGCGTTGGTGGGCGAGAGGACGCCGTCTTGAGCGAGGGAGCGCGTCGACAGGCTGTGCGACAATCTTGCCAGCGGGGACCCGAGCTTGCCCATCGACTCCTCGTGTGCTTTGAGAAGCGTGCCGGGACTGGCGACGAGCACCGTAGGGGCGACGCCTTGGGTTGCGAGGACCAGGTCCGACGATCGGCCAGCCACCGAATTGAGCGCAACAGAAGCGTTGGAGTAGAGGGCTGCAAGGGTCAGCACCAGTGTATGGATGTTGGCCAGCGAGTCGGCCGGCAGGAAGAGGTCCGACGGGCCGATTCTCTCCTTGGTCGGAATGGCAGCAATCTGGCCCGCGACCCCAGAGACGAGATTGGCCTGGGTGAAGCGCACCATCTCTTGCAGTTGGCCTGGCTTGGACTGCCAGAAGGTGACGACATCCTGGGGGCTGTGATCGAGATCGAGGGCCGGCAGCTCGGAGCCGACCGAGGCCGCAGACTCGTTGATGATGTCCTGCCAAGTCGCCACGTTGACGCTGCCGCCCGTACCCTCGGGAACCTCGTTCCAGTCCATGTGGCTGCTGCCTTCGTCCACGACCCATATGAGCTGCCTAAGCGATGGGTGGGCTTTGACGACGGCTTCGAACGGAAATGCCCCCGGGGCGGTGACAAGAGTGTCGACGGCCGACCGTTTGAGCATAGAGATGAGCTCGTCGCCGGGGACGTCAAACGGAATCAGGACAGTCGTCAGATTCGGGTAGAAGCTGCAGGCCAGCAGGGCGACCAGCAGCTCGAGCGAGTTAGGCAGGTATATGGCCACCTTGATGCCGCCTTGGTCTGCAATGTGGCGGCCGATGATGGTGATTTGCCTCGTCATGTCCTCTAGACGTCTTGGTTAGCCGCCTGAGACGGGCCTGGGATCTGGCTCCTCCTCACCTAGCTTGTGCTCGACGACGTTCTCGGAGCCCAGGACGGTCAAGACGCGACCCATCGAGCCGCCGTCACCGCCGGAGGCGGCCCTGCGCCAGATATCTCGCAGGTCGCCATCCCGGCCGCGGGACCACTTGGACACACCGGGATCCTTGACATTGAGTCCGGGACACAGGAACATGCCGTGAGGCGCCGCCTGCGATCTATAGACGGCGCTCTCGCCTTCGTTGCGGACCATCGAGGCAACTGACTGCCTGGCCAGCAGCATTGGATGGACGTCCGGGTCGCGCGACGACATGATGCGGTAAGTGATGACAGCCACCAGCAGCGTCATCAGCCCGGTCGAGTAGGCGTTCCATTGGCCGAGAAGGCCGGTCACGCCGGCGTCGAGGCTCTCAAGAAGACCCATGATGGCACCCGCCTGCTTATGCTCGTTGGCTCGTCCGAGAAGACAATTTGGATGAACGTTGGCCTGTCGTAGCGGTGTATTTGTTGCGAGGTGGGAGGCACGTCACATCAGGCGCCGCAAAACCCGCACCTCGGCCTTCGGCGCCACCGCGGCTAACTAATTCTTGCATGTCTGAACAGGCATATGATTGGAGCCTCTAAGGGGTTTGCTAGCAACTCTTCGAGTTACCCATGAAAGACGCTACGCATCCTACCTTACTTGACAAGCTTGCCGAATAAGCATTGTTTGTCCCTTTGCTCAAGCCTTATAACAGGGATGTCAACACTAAAAGCGATAGAGTCTTGAAACTAGTAATACTTAACTTTATTAATTACTCAGGCGTTGGACCAGGGCATTAAAACTTTTGTTTTAGTTTGCGCGTTTGCCTCGTGCGCAACTCTCCAAGTACGCATCGCGAGCTCCACAGGTACACCCGACTTTCTCAAACGCCTCATCAAAGCTAAGTCTGCAAAAAACTCTTTCTTTTTTTATTGGGACTCCTCAGTCCGCTCTGGTTTTCCTGTCTACTTGAACCACGGGCACAGAGAGCGCACCACCATCGCAGTCCGATTCTGCCCTCTCGGGGCTGTGCGGCAAGGCCTCTTCACCCAGCAGCAACTAGGCCGTCGGCCCTGTGCATGTGGCCGTCGCGCAGCGAGAGCTTCTTGATTCCTGCCGTCCGACTCAAAATCCATAACCTGTATCGAGCGGCCTCGCCCATGCTCTCGGAGTCAACGGGGAAAGCCGATCCCATGACCATCCTTCCTCCCATTTTATGCCCATTGCTCTCTCGTCTCTCTATGTGTTGAGAGCTCGTCGGGCACTGTTCCGACCAGAGAACCGAGAAATCCACTTTTGTCTATATCTGCACGGCGATAACATGACCCTCTATCGTGAAAGCGAGAAAAATGCCCTAGGGGGTGGGGAACCCTGGGTAGACGGCAGAAACATGAGAAAACCTTTTCCCTTGTCCAGATCGAGCAGGTCTGGATCTGCGGACACCACGGTTCTGCCAGGTGTCATCGAGTTCCCCAAATCTCGGTCTAAGGGTATCAATCGAGGAGAGAGCCGAAATCAAAAAGAAATGCAATCTATCAGATGCGTCGTGAATGCACCGTGACCGATACTGCCGTTGGCCCGTGTGAACAAAGGCACTCGTCCGTCTTCGCAGGTCATGATGTCGCCGTGTCAAGAAGAACTCAAAAAAGGAAACAATCGAAGTCGAAAAAATATGCGTCAGAAAATGCAGTGATCAAAGCGAGGCGCGTTGAAAGCGTCTAAACATGCCGGTGCGGTTGAGAATCGCGCCGTTGCACCGGCAGACGCAGGTCGATGTTGGACCAGGATGGCGATTACCACCACGACTGGCCGCTCGGGCCTCCCGGGTTGCCGTAGCTGCCACCGCCGCCGCCGTAGCCGCCGCCGTAGCCACCGCCGCTGCCGCCGCCGCTGTAGCCGGAACCTCCCTGAGGACCGCCAAAGCCGCCGCCGCCGCCGCCGTAGCCAGCGCTCTGGGGCGGGCCACCAAAACTGCCACCGCCGCCGCCGAAACCGCCGCCGCCGAACTTGCGGAAATCGCGGTTGGCAGAGCCGCCGCGACCGCCTCCGCCACGGGAGCGGCCACCGCGGCCACCCCCACCACCAAAGGAAGACTCACGAGCAATTGCTTCGAGGAAGGCGGGAACCTCCTGATTTGCCTCCTTAAGCAAATCCATGAGTTCACGAACGACCCCGCGGTTTCCGCGGTTGAAAAAGGCGGTTGCTAAGCCAGTGTTTCCGGCACGGCCGGTACGACCGATTCGGTGCACATAGTCATCAATGTCCGTCGGGAGGTCATAGTTGACGACGTGCGTCACGTTAGGGATATCGAGACCACGGGCAGCAACGGCAGTGGCGACCATGATGGGACAGCGCCCGTTGCGGAAAAATTCAAGAGCACGCTCTCGCTCACGCTGGGTTCGGTCGCCATGGATGGAGGTGGCAGGAAAGCTTTGGTTGATGAGGAAGTCAGACAGAGAGTCGGCCATGCGCTTCGTCTCAACGAAGATGAGCGTCAGTCCACCAGCGTGAGTGTGGAGAATGTCCAAGAGAACGGATCGCTTGTCAACATCTTCGACGAATTCCACCTTCTGGGTGATGTTTTCAGAAGTGGAGCCGACGCGCCCGACGGACAAGAAGACGTAGTCTTTGAGAAAGTCCCTGGCCAGCATCTGGATGTCGCGGGGAAAGGTGGCGGAGAACATGAGCGTTTGACGGTTGGCAACAGAGGGCATATCCTCGCCCTCGACGATGCGACGAATCTGAGGCTCGAAACCCATGTCAAGCATGCGATCAGCCTCGTCGAGCACCAGATATTTGATGTTGCACAGGGAGATGCGGCCTCGCTCTATGAGGTCCACCAATCTGCCAGGAGTGGCAACGAGCAGGTCGCACCCGCGCTCAATTTGGCGGAGCTGGGAGCCGATGTCGGCACCACCATAGACGACGCAGGGACGAACCCAAGAACGGTACGCGAACTTGCGTGACTCATCGTAAATCTGGGAGACGAGCTCTCGGGTTGGGGCAAGAATTAGAGAGGTAGGGTATGCCTTGCGCTGGCGACCAAACTGGCCGGCGGCGGCGCCCGGAGCAGCGGAGGGACCGTTGATGAAGGCTTGGGACAAGATGGGGAAGAGAAAGCCACCAGTCTTGCCGGAACCAGTCTGGGCGCAAGCCATCAGGTCGCGACCGCCCGAGACGATAGGGATTGAGTACTTCTGGACCGGGGTAGGGACCTTGTAGTGAGCCAACTCGATGTTGCGGCACAGGTGCTCGTCCAGAGGAGGGGTGGTGAACTGGTGAACGGGCTCTGGGACATCTTGACCAGAAGCTTCGACGGGGATGTCGTCGTACTTTTCGAAGTTGATGCCAGTGTGCTGCTTGGACGGGTCATCGACAGTGGCACCAAAGAGCTCCCGCTCGATGCGGGCGTTGGCTGGGCCAGGGACGTGCTTCCCATCCCGCCACTGTCCGTCGCCAGAGCCGCGTGCGGTCTGACCGCCTCCTGAGTGGCCTTCGTAACCTCCGCCGGCATAGCCACCACCTCGGCCACCCCAACCGCCACGACGGTTGTTCTGGGGGGGCGCGGGGGCCTCGTTGCCCTGGGGCCAGTTGCCCTGGGGAGCAGCGAAGGCCGCCTGGCTGAGGGAAAAAGTCAGTAAATGGACGAGAGTACAGTTTTCAAGTCGGGGGAGGAGCTTACTTGGCCCAGGCACTGTTGCCGAGTCCGTTGACAGCAGGAGCGCCGTTGGGAGCGGGAGCGGGTGCTGGTGCACCATTGGGACCGCCGTTCGTAGCGGCAGGGGGGCCAGGGCGGTTCCGCATGTGAGGCGGAATGTATGATCGGCGTACGCCGTCAGGGCCAAGGTTGAGCGCACCCATGTTGAGCTGATCCGCCATATTGAAAGAAGGTGGCAGTTGATGTTGGAAGGTCGTCGTCGGCCAAGGCAAAATATTCTCGAGGGATCAAGGCTGGATGACGGTGTCGACGTCCAGATCGGTTGTTGAAAGGCAGAACTCTCTGAAGGAAAAGAGAGTGAGTTTGGTGGCCCCGTCTGTGCGAAAGAGACAGGAGGAATGCGCAACGAGAGAAGACAGAGAGAGCCGCTGCTCCCGATTTTTCTTCCTCAGAAGTGCTGAATATTACGGTGCGGAAACACACGCCGTGTGCTTGCAGACTCCCTCGAAGAACCACGCAGAATCTTCAAAGGAAAGACCAAGGAAAGACGAGAGCGTCTTGTAGAATGATGGGTTGGGGGAGGGAGGATGGAGGATGGGGGAGGGAGGATGGAGGATGGGGGGTGGAGGGTTTTGTGATGGAGAGAGGGAGGTTTGATGTTGTGGCGAAAGGAGGAAAAAAAAGGGAAGGGGAAAAAAAGGGGACGGATGCAGCTGGGAGGCGGAGAGAGACGAGGGCAAAAAAAAGTTAGGAGGGCCAGTGTGAGTGGCTAGAGGGGGAGGCTAAGCCCAAGGAAGGGTCTGAATTTTCTCCTCCGCAATCTTCCTCCCCTCGTCTCGGCTTGACACTGTACCTGTCTCTGGGCTGGGGGGTACGTGCTGTTAGTGTGCGCAGTACCTGCAAAGGAAGCGGTGGTTCCACTGCGGTAGCGGCGGTATCGCGGCCAGTCGCCGTGCAGATGAGGCTGGTTGCTGCCTGCACTGTGCTGTAAACCTGCAGGGCAGCTGTTGATGGTAGCAGGCGCGGACCATTTTGGGTCCGTGGCCGGTACCCCATACTGGTACGTACAGCACCTTGTACGTACCTAAATCACCAGTAAGCACAGTGGGGTACCCGCCGCGCCTGTGCTCGTCGCACTACAGATTCGGCCCCATGTGTTTGGCTGCTCCTCCCGTCCCGTGCCTCCTAGGAGTTCCCTGGAAGCGACCGAGGCTGGAGGAGCCTGATCGCTGAGGGAACTTCTCTGCAGTTTGCCTGGGACCGGTGCAGAGATCGTAAATCCCGGGCGGATGCGGCGGAGGTAATGCAGTCCGTCGAGACTGGAAAAGTACCCTCGTCCAGGTAGAGGTGCGAGGGAGGGGTCTGGGTGCCCGGTACCTTTGCCCCTAACTCGCAGGCACCGTGCCCTCTTTAGGCATGGCTGCCGGTACTTCCACGGGGTGAGTTCAGCAGGGCCCAGGCGATTACGCCTCCTCGCCCCCCGAAACGTCATCATCATCGCTCTGATGTGTGATGATAGCCGGGAGCCCTGCGCAGTGGCTGGTGAAGTGGAAATGCCGCTCACCGCTCTTCCGCCCGTTCTTCTGTTTTCAGGGCGAGCCTGCGGAAAGCAGTAATTCGTCTGATGAAGTTCCTTGGCACGGTGCAGTCAAGTTTTCGCTCCGGAGCAGGTACTGTACGGGAACCTGCACGGCACGGATATCTAATCCAGGGAGCGCTCACAGTGCATACAATAAGACCAGTAGTGCCAAGGATGATCGTGAAAGTCAAGTACGCCAATGCGTCTTGGACCGGCCGTTGCAACTGCTAAGATACGCCTCGCAAACGGCCAAGCAGAATAGCGGGTTAACCACAAACGCGTGTTTCGACCTCGACCAGAAGCTTTTCATGTCCGGCCATACTTGAGGTACAATATGGCTTCCTTTGCCGTACAGATGCCCATGGGATCCCATGTCCTGTTGTCGTTTCCCCAAGGACTCTGTCTCGTCGAGCAGGTCAAGATGGAGAACCGGTAGCCGTGGCTTCTCTCACGAGGCAACCATCAGCCGTTGACATTTCTCAGACAGTTCTCGCAAGGTAGCAAGGTGCTTGCCGTCCCGCAAGCAATTAGCATGTTGGTGCTGGGTATGCAAACAAAGTGGCAGAATATTGAAATGCGTGGAAACCATGGATAACCGACTCACAATCCTTCACGTAGACGAGCTCCAGTTACGAAGAGATCCGCCGAAACTTCCACCTGCTAATGCCTGGGTGGCTTTGTGGACTGACGTCCACCGGTCAGTAAACAATTGGGACGTGTCAGACTAGGCACCAAGATATATTGACTGCATTGAGTCGACTCCAATTAAACGTGGCGTACGAGGTACATACATAGAGACAACATAAGCAAGGCACGAGGACGTATCATGTATGCCAAAACAGTCGTTTCGGGAGCGGCATGCCTATCGCTGCATGATACTGGCCGAGGTGGCTATGGGCTGCGCCGGGAAAGCAACCAAACTCCCAGCGTTGACAAGTCTCCATCGCCAGCCGCTGCAGATGCCTGGCACCAAGCCAAAAGAGATAAAGGCATCGAGAGCGTTGCAAGTTCTCGTCAGCCCGCCCAGCCGACGGCTTGTTCCTTTCACTCCTCGCCGTCCCGTCCTCGGTTCCCCTTAGGCGCACTTCACCACGCGATCATCATCAAACTCAATGTCCACAATCCCGTCTACCTTGATCGCCTTGACCACCACGCCCTTGAAGTCAATCGGTAGCCGCCTTTTGAGCTCATCAATGCACATGGTCAAGATCTTGATGCCTTGTCCGAGGGTGATGTCGGGGTGGTGGTGCTTGTCCAGAATGGACAGGCAGTAGTATCTATTGCAACCAAGTCAGTTGACAAGATCTCGCAAGCGCGGATGTACCTCGCATTACGGTACCAGAATGCGGTGGGTAGACCTACTGTGCGTATCCATGAGCCGCATAGGGCACCTCTGCCAATGACGCCAAGTAGTCAAGCCAGTACAGCGATGGCTTGCCCGAGATGGGGTCTACACCTCCCATTAAGAGGTTCACGTTGTAGGGATGTCGGGATCGCAAGCTCGAGGCCAGCTCTCCTCTGACAAAGTGTGCCAGGCCCGAAGGGGACAGCTCGGCCTCGTTGCGCATAGAGTAGAGCTGGGCATTTCTTTGGATGTATTCGGCGAATTGGACTGCCAAAGCATTAGATCCCGTCGCAAAAGCCCATCGACTCGGCTAGATGCCCTACCTGTGTCTCCCGCCTCGCCGGAGAATGCGAGAAGCGTGTGCTTGTTTAGCGCCCTCGTCTTGTCGTCGGAAGCTTTGAGGATGGTGGCACCGCGCATCGCAGCCTTGGAGGCAGCGATGATGGTGAAGTCCTTGCCCGTGATTCCCAGCAGAACATCCCTAACAAGACGTGTCGGTCAAATGATGCGTTCTGCCAAAGGGCCATGTGCTTACATTGTGACTGATGAGTGGTGTTGTGGTCGCGAGACGTTGTGCTGATGGAATGGCAAGGGGACGGAGGTTGCATGTTGAGGCGAGCTAGATTTACCGAGCTACACTGGCTCTAGGCTGAGAGCTGCTGCGCGTTCAACAGGCAGCTTCTCCGGCGTTTGCCGTCCGCTAGCCCCCAAGGCCGGGATAACTATCTTCCAAAAGTAGCTTTTGATTGGACAGCTTCAACTTCTCGGCGGGGCATCTGGCCCACCTCCCAACTTTTTTTTTCTCAATGAAGCGGCCATGGTAGAAATTCAAATCCACGATCTGGACTGAGAGCCAGCAAGCGCGCCTGGACTAGGTGATCCGCCATGTCGTCCTTCTTCACAGTCCCCGGCTCCCAGAATAAGCGCAAACGACCATTGGCTCCGGATGCTCCAAAGAAGAAGGTTGCTGCTTCCAAGTTTTCGGGGAAACCGGGTGCGAGGGCTTTTTCTGGGGCGACAAAGACGCGAGTTGAGCGGGACGAGTCCATCTCTGGCTCAGACGACGACGACGACGACGACGATGACGACGGCCAGGAAGGTCGCTCCGATGCAAGCGAGGTTACAGACGGATCCGACTCGGATGACGAAGCCGAAACCGCTGCCGAGAAGAGACTGCGATTGGCCGAGCGGTACCTTGAGAATATCAAGGAGCACGTGGACGAGGCCGGCTTTGATGCTGCCGACATTGATCGAGATCTGATCGCAGAGAGGCTGCAAGAGGATGTGGCCGAGACAAAAGGCCGAGTCTATCGCCAGTTGGTCTCCAAGCTGGCCTTCAGCAGTGCCTCCCAAACCTTTTACCGAACCAACACCAACGCCGTCACGTCCATTGCCGCCTGCGCACCCTACTTCTACACCGTCACGAAAGATCTATATTTGCACAAATGGAGGACGCAAGACCTTCCTCAACATCAGTACCCCCAGACCACAAAACGAAAATCCAAAAAAGCGCCGGCCCCGCCGAGGAAACGGCCTGAGCTGGTGTCGTGGGTCAGAGGGAGCCAGGGCAAAAGCAAAGACAAGAAGTATCAGAGGCACGTCGGCCAGATACTGGCTGTTGCGGCGTCTCCAGATGGGAAATATGTGGTGACAGGGGGCGAGGATCGCAAGCTCATTGTCTACGATGCTGCATCATTGAAACCGATCAAGGTCTTGACGCACCACCGGGACGCCATCACTGGGCTGGCGTTTCGCCGGGGAACAAACCAGCTTTACTCTGCGTCGAAAGATCGCACAGTCAAAGTATGGAGTCTGGATGAACTGGCGTATGTCGAGACGCTCTTTGGCCACCAAGATGTGGTGGTGGACGTGGACGCGCTTGCCCAAGAGCGGTGCGTCAGCGTCGGGGCTCGAGATCGTACAGCTCGACTCTGGAAAGTCATGGAGGAGACTCAGTTGGTCTTTCGAGGCGGCGCAGTGGACAAGAAACCGCGACCAGGTATCGATCCGCGCTCCCTCCTGCATGAGGGCAGCATGGACCGCATTGCCATGATCGACGATGACCTCTTCGTCACCGGCAGCGACAACGGTGCCATCGCCCTGTGGAGCGTCCAGAAGAAGAAACCCGTCTACATTGAGGCGCTCGCCCATGGTATAGACCCGCCGCTGGCTCCTTGTCAGGCCTCGGCCGAGGAGCACCCTGACAGCAAGGAGGTGCCGGCGCCGACGCCCCGCTGGATCACAGCCCTCAAAACAATTCCCTACTCGGACGTCATCCTTAGCGGCAGCTGGGATGGCCACATCCGCGTATGGAAGCTTTCCGATGATAAGAAGAAGATTGAACATGTCGGCGTCTTGGGGGATCACCAGCAGGACAACGAGGAGGCAGATGGTCAAACAAATGGAGACGTTGGCGAGGCCCATGCGGCTCAGTCGCGACGGGCCATTCCAGGCATCATCAATGACATTGCCGTGTTTGAGCGAGGCGAGCGTGGCAAGGACGGGCTGTGTGTCGTGGCGGCCGTGGCCAAGGAGCATCGCCTGGGCCGGTGGAAGGTCTGCAAGAATGTTCGCAACGGAGGTGTCATTTTTGAGGTGCCCAGGGTCCAGCTGGTGAATGGAGCGCATGGGGGCTCTGACGCAGACGAGGAAGAGGACAAGGAGTTATAGCGCGGCGCAATACCAACAAAACTGGGTGGCTTTGCCAGTTGAAGGGCTTTCAAGGATGTTGGACAGGGCACCTACGTGATTGACGCCTCCCCATGGCGGTAGTACACCACTCTTTCTTATTCCTCCCTTGTGGTTCGCGACAGTCTTGAGTGTTTGGACTTGGCGGCCTGCTTCCAAGAAAAGGGATTTCGTATAGCTCTACCCTGGCTCAAACGTGACCCGAACTCTTGATGCCAATGAAAGACCCGAACCTCGGCACCACAAGATCCTGTGGCACAGTTCCCGCGGACATGGCAGGTATAGTTAGTTATTGGCTGGAGGTGTGAGTGTATTCATCGATCTGGAGTGTATCCCACACCACGGAGCGATGTGCAATGCAGATGCGTGTTGCTAAGCGCATTAACCTTGCTTGCCGAACCCAGAAACAGCTCCGTGTCAGTGGCACGTATATACTCCTTACCGTCGTGAGGGCTCCCCTCCCTCTTAGTCAGCCGCGCCCACACCTTCTCTCCGTGCCCTCCTAAAAAGGCTAGTTTGCTTATTCCTCTGCAGCCTCTCTCTTCACACACAAGCAACTAGAAAGATGTACCGTCAACTTTCCGGCATCTCCATTGGTCTGATTCCCTGCTCCCTGCCGCACTCAGAAGGAAGCTCTCGCGGCAGTCCGACTTGGGCGATCCGCGCTGGGTTGTGTGTCTCATCAGTGGCACATGTCCAGGCCTTGTTGCGCCCCGCAGCCACATCCCAGTGGGGCCTAGGCCCGCCTGACCCTCTGAAATACTCCCGTCCCTTTCAGTGCCCCCCATTTCTCCCACATCGCAGTGAGCACCGCCACCGTCCTCAGTGCCGTGCCAGAATCAACCGCCATTGTCCGGAGCATTGCTCTGGCACCACGACAAGACCCCTGGCCACGCGTCGGAGTCGACGCCTTCCCCTCCTTCGAGAGCATACGAACCGCGGCAATCGTTGCGGAACCTGCCCAGGCCCGTCCTCAAGTCGCGACGGACAGCAACGTTGAATCGACCCCCGAGCACCCCACATCACGACGACGCAAACCTGGACTGCCACGCCAGCAAATCACAGGCTCACAGGTCGGACCGGAAAGAAGGAGCGGCGTCAAGGATACCTCGATGGGAGTACGGCTAGTCCGACCTCTCCATCCGTCAGCCCGGCACTGACATCAAAAAGTCCGTTGCAACGATACCACTCGCTCAAACACCACTCGTTCCCAGACTATGGGTCAGTCCGTTCGACCACTAGATGCAACGGTCCGAGTTGGTCTTCTTGACTGATCCGTCCGTCCACAGGACTTCCGCCCGAAGGATGGTCGGGGGCCCTCAATTGTTGGTATGATGTGTTTCTGCTCGACATATTTGCTGTCGATAGGTACTGACATGTTCCAAGAAGACGATCAACGGCAGGTCGGCCGGCCCTGTCAACACTTTGAACGAAAGTCATACTGCAAAGCGGCTGAGATCTGGTGGGCCTGGTCCCACCCAAACCGCCATCGCAAGCCCCTACTTTCCTGCGCCAAAGCAAGCCGCCCTCGACCTCACCGGTTCAAGTCCGCTCGATGATCCCTTTGACCTGAGAAGCACCTCGAGCTCTGTGAAGACGATTTCTGGCCCTTCGCAGAACGTCGAGGAGTTTCGCAACGCACAGCTCAAGCCGACATGCGGTTCCACTCGCAAGCGGAAAAGTCGTATGTCGAGCTCGCAAACACTCGCCGACACGCCCAGAAAGCGAGACGCTCACCTTGCGATATCTTCGCCCCCGCGAGACGCCCGACGGACTGCAGTCGAGAGCCCCGACGCTCTTGCTAACAATCAGCACCCGTCAGCGGCCCATGTGGTCTCCGACATCCAATCTACTTCTCCTGCGAAACGGCGATCGCAACGCTCAGACCTGACGACGCCTCCAATCAAGACCCATAAGCCGCAGGCTCCAGCGGAAACCATCTGCGACTCTGAGGATGAGCTCAGCTTCGAGCCTAACAATAATCGGAAGAGACCTAACAATTTTTCCGGCATTCGACAACCGCAGCGGCGGGCCAATCTCAGGGGCGACATCCAGCCCGCCTTCTCTGGCATCCCTCGTCAGCATCAGGCAAGACTTCCACCACACCAGCAAGCAATGGTCATCAAGAGCGCAGCTTGTGGCAAGGAATCTTATGAAAGCGACGACCAGCAGCGCAAGCAGATAATCCTCCACCCCTCCGGCCACTTTGAATTGGTTCCCATGACAGCCAATGGCGAACGGTCAGCGTTGGAGTGGCTGCACATCAATGTCCAAACTTGTCACATCCTGCAACACGCCGGAGGAAAGAGTGCCTACGTCGTTATACATCGTTCGATGGTAGGATCGATCAAACCAAAGCTCTATTTGGAATTCACGACCAGCCAAGGCGCCTCGTATCTGGCATCAGTCTTGTCCAGCATAACTTACGAAACTAAAACTCCGTAAGTCGAGGGCCCTGGGCGAATTGCTCCTGACGCCGGACTAGACTGACAGCGTCTAGATATGAACTCGAGGTCATGGTGCGAAGAGCCATGTCAAATGCAAGTCTGTATGCAAAGCCACCGAGCAGGCTCCCCGTGTATACCAAATCACCACAAGAAGCCGAAAGCAACGAGATACCCTGGTCGATGGCTCGTTCTAGTCGAGCGGCGAATGAGGACAATGGCTCAAGACGCGAGAAGATAACTGACAAAATGTGCGGACCATCCGACAACCAGCCTGTCGTCGCCACTGAGGAGGAAGACGTCCCTTCAACGAGCAATCACATTCAAACGCGGCGGACGAGAAGGTCGTCTCCCGCTCCTGTCGCCCGCCAGCAGAGCCCGGACCGCTGGACCAGCAAGAATCCTGACTGGAGGAAGAATTGGCACAGATCGCTTGTATTTCCTGCCACGGGGAAGAACAGGGCGACCGTGGATGACGATGATATTCTCCGACTCGACGAGGGGGAGTTTTTGAACGACAATCTCATCAGCTTCTACCTCCGTTACTTGCAGGACAGGCTCGAAAAGGAGCAACCGGAATTGCTCAAGAAAGTCTACATCTTCAGCACATTCTTCTTTGAGAAGCTCAGGTCGACCAGGGGAAAGATCAACTACGAAGGCGTCAAGGCATGGACGACCAAGTTCGACCTGTTCTCCCACGACTATGTCATCGTGCCTGTCAACGAGCACGCGCACTGGTATTTGGCCATTATTTGCAACGTCCCAAACGCCCTCGGCGGTGTCCCGGCCCAAGCCGACGTGGAGGTGATAGACGTATCGCAAGACTCCCCGGGACTTGACGTGCCTGGTCCTTCCCCGAAGAATTCAGCAAGACCGACCCAGCCGACCTCGACTAACCCCGGCTGCAGAACACCGAGTAGTGGCGGCTCACAGAAGTTGGATCCCCGGCAACCCAAGATCGTCACACTCGACTCCCTCGGCTCCCAACACCCTCCTACTTGCAAAGCCCTGAAGGACTATCTTGCTGAAGAGGCCAAGGATAAGAAGGGGGTTGACCTGGCCGTGATTCCTAATGGGATGAAGGCCAGAGAAATCCCACAGCAAGACAATTTCTGCGATTGCGGAGTCTTCGTTTTAGGGTACGTGGAGGAGTTCTTGAAAGACCCCGACGGTGTTGCCCGCAAACTACTCCAGAAAGAGAGTCTCGGATGGGACATGCAGGCCCCGTCGCTGCTTCGAGACAGTATCCGCGCACTGCTTTTCGACCTTCAACAAGCGCAGCAATTGCGACTCGACAAGGAGAAGGAAGAAAAGCGCAGGTCGGCGGCAAAGAAGAAGGCTGCGAAGCAGGAGAAGCCTCGAAGCCCCCAGTCGCCTGTCACTGCTCCCCAAGCCTCGCCGAAAGTCAGTAGTCCTGCACGTGACGCGAAAGCTCCTACCGCAGGCAAAGGTGCTTGCGCCGAGGAGATTAAGAGCGATTCGGGTGCGGAGGCTTTCTTTTCGGCACAGTCGTCGCCCGACGAGAAGCCATCCAAGGAAGGGGCCACTCTGGAGAAAAACAAGCCGCCCGATGACAGGATGTCTGAACCGAAATTCGTCACCACGCTCCCAACCACGCCGGACCCGACATGTTCGGGCGCTGGGTCTTGTCTGGGAGGTGTAGCGGAAGAGGAGCCGAGGCGACCCAGCTACTACTACGACGGTATTGATCCGTTCGGGGGCTGACCTGACGGCCAGACGGGCCGTCGGTTGAAGTTGTGATGATAGGTAACTAGCTAGTCGTGAGAGCAAATTATACCCAATACTTGTAGCCATACTCTTCCCTGACCGCCCGCAACACATCAGCAAAGTATGGGTGGCCATGGCACGTATGGGAGTCGCCCAAATGTACGATCTACGTCGAATGTTGGAATGCGGTCCATCCGACCGTCCCCTCGGCCTGTCTGACCAACTCAACCAGGCCAACCTGTTCGTCCAACAGCAACAGAAGCATGGCCCAACTTAGGAATATGATGCGACCGATCATATTGATTTGGCCTTACAGAAAGCGGCTCGACCATGGATGGGACAATAGGACCAGAGGCAAGGAATAACAACGAAGTCTATATGAGCATACTTTCTTTGGCTGGGGGCTCGCCGTGGTATTTGCCCGGAATGGCGTACGTCGGGGTTGAAGTTACTGCCACTCTGGCAAACCTTCTTCGCCTTGTCATGCAAAACTTCAAGCATTCAAGACCGCACAACGAGCCCTTTGGCCTGAGAAGCTCGGCGGCGCGGCTCTTGTAGCCGTAGCCTCTCTGAACCTACTTTAAGATTCAGCCCCTGGATCGGGTCACGAGGCGAGAAGTGGCGGCGACAAGCATCTCATTAAGCTCACACAGCCACTGTTCCAAGACCATGGTGGCTTTTAGGCTCGCGATGTCGAGTTGAGCCAGTTGAGCAGTCGCCCATGACGGATCAGTAGCTGATGTCTGGCTCCGACTTCTTATAAATCCACCCCTTTTCCCATGCTCAAACCACGTCTTCGACTCAGCATAGCTTTGTTCGGTCAATCTCGCATTTGCCATCCCTTCTCACAATATGGAAACGATGATGCGGAGCCTTGCCATTAGAGCAAAGCGCCGAGTTCCTCGGGCCGGGCCGCTGCAAAAGAATTGCGCCCTGCTCCAGATGCCGGTTGAAATTATCCTCCTCATCTCGGACGAGCTGCCCAAACACGGCCAAGTTGTGCTCTCGCAGACCTGTCTTGATCTCCGAGCGATCCTCGACCACCACCTACACCTCAGTGGAGCACGCCTCAGCCCCGAGCAGCAACTAGAGTACCTGGCCTGCCTCGCCCGGGATGAGCCCAATTGGTGGGTGTGCGAGAGGTGCATCAGTCTCCATTATGTCACCTGCCTGGACATGGTCAGGGTATGCCTCCCTTGCCCGGGGGAGAGATATCTTGCCAGTTATGCTTCAAACCAGCTTACCCTCAACCACCACCACGTCCAACTGGCGCTGAAATACAGCCGCATGGGCGGCGGCGATGTGAAACTCAGAGTGTATCTTGCGAGACTGTTGGCTCCAGAATTTAGACACACGAGATCTTCATCTCGGCAGCCGTCACATAGCCTCGACGGCAAATTCTGGACCTACCCTAAGATTGCCGGAGGTAGATACCTCGTGCTATCTGTACGGCAGTACGACCAGATATGCCTGGACGTGCCCGTCTCGCGGAAGAGCCTGGCTCGGATTAGGGCGTGCGAGCACCTCCATAACAGCTTCGAGCTCGACTACGCATGGAACGAGGGCCCGTTGCCGGCCCTACACCCTTTCCACGGGCTGATGAATGCGCTGGACGAGGCCTTTGCCTCGCAAGGCGAGACTGAGATTCGCGGCTCTTGCTCCTTCTGCACGACCGATTTTTCAGTAACGGCATCGTCCGAGCGCGTTACCCTGCGTGTCTGGCAGGACCTCGGTGGCGAGGGCTCTCCCAACAACCCGGCCTGGAGGGTTCATTCTGTCCGTGGCGGGACCAGCCGGTTCGACGTGGTTCGGCACGAGCCTGGAAGCATTCGGGCGCTCTACGGGGAGGACGTTGGAACCGGGGGTGAAGAGACGACGAAAGGGAAGAAAGGGAGCGGAATTGATGGTCTGATCAGGAAGGCGTGCAGGGCCCGCTACCTTCAGCGACTGGGACTGAGTAAGAACAAGAAGTAAAGCGCTGGTGAGCCTTGAAGAAGAAGGAGGAGAAGGTTGCGAGACTCTTGATATTTGTCTGCCCTCAAGTGACGTGGTTGTTTCGTGGCCAGATAGCTCATGAACTGATGAAAGTAGGTATTTCGTCCATAACTCCATGCAGCTTGCAAGGCGGCTGAAGACGCAAGGCTACCCTATACCGACGAGGTATCAAGGTACCGTATACGGATAACACCTTCCCCTGTTTTCTTACTTTCTTGGCATGCAATTGTTAAGAAAGTAGCGCAATTTCCCACCAACTCGCCTAACAACTGCACGTTAATCATTCCAGCCGCGCTTTGCGCTGGCTTCGGCAGCAGCCATGGCATCTGCCACGAGCTCGCATGCCAGCCCCGATCCTTTGATCTGGGTGTCCATACCCGCCCAACCTCGCGCGATTAGCCCGTGCATCTCAGCTTCGACACAGTTCCCCATTGCGAGCCGTCCCATTGGTCTCACATCCGCGTTTCGGCGACCGGCGGCGACGCCGTCCTCGCCCTTATCAGACTCTCCAATGCCGCCGCTACGGAAGGAGCGCAGCGTGAATCCACCCCGAACCGGCCTGGCTCGGCCGAGTCCGTTAACCTCCAGCCGGTCTCGATCGTTGAAGCTGCCAACAAGCTCGCAGTTGAACAAACAAATGCCTACAACGCCAAAATGACAGTGTTCCGAGCCTTTTGTGAATCGTTCGAACAGACTGCGAAACAATACACGTCCGGCCTTGAACACAGCTTTGCGGAACAATTTTCCAACAGCTTCCTCGACTTTTGGAAGCAGGCGCTCTCCGACCTCAATTCCGCACCCGCCCCGACCTACAGCAGCGTCGCCGCCGGTCGCCCTGCAAGCCAGCCCCTCGGGGGCCACACTCCCACGGCCGCCGCAGCCCCGCAACAGCAACGACCACAACAACCAATCTCCCGTCTCCAGGGACGACCAATCCCCGCCCCACCAAAAGAAGACCTCCGTGTTTTCGTGCGGCTCGATGCCGAAGCGCCGGCGCGAGACCACAGCAGCTACGCAATTCGGACCCACATCGCCGCCAAAGTCGGCATCGACTTGCACCGGGTCCCGGCAGCTTTCAAGGTAAACCGGATGGGCCATCCGAACAACGGACGCTACCATCAGGGACCTCATCGTCCAGCGACAGTCGGAATGGTCCGAGGACCTAGACGCGACCTCGGTGGAGATTAGTCACAAATGGTACACGTACGTCGTGCCCAACTGCCCCGAAGACTTACGGACTTGCAGGGCAATGAAGTCAACTACGAGGCGGCCGTCAAAGACGAAATCGCCTGCCAGACCGGGCTCACACCCATCAGCATCCGTCCCAGCCGGCACGATTCAAGCGACCTTCCGAGTAAGACGCTTATTGTGTCCTTCCTCGAGCCTACCCAGAGACCTTGGAGACTTTTGGCTCCAGCCGACTTGCCCGACACATCGTCAGATCCAGCATGCCCAGCCAGTGCAACAAATGCTGGGATTTCCACGCTCGACACAGCTGTGACCGACAACCGTCCTGCAAGCGTTGCGGAAGGAACGGCCATGACGGTGAAACCTGCGTAGCCCTCGAGCAGTGCGCAAACTGCCTCGGACCCCATTCCGCAGATTTCTCGAAATGCCCTGCACGCCCCAAGCGATCACACGGCGTCATTCGCCGCCTGACGAAGGAGGAGAAAACCTCGTCCGACAGATGGGCACCCAACTATTTGCTCAGCGGAAGCAACAGTTCGAGCGCATAGACCAACCCGAACAGCTAGAACGAGACTCCTCCGAGATTCTCAATTCCATAGCTCCGAGCACTGCTCAGCCCGACGACCAGGAAGCCGAGCACCCAGATGACAGGTCACGGGGCAGGAGCGAAACCTCAGTCCTAAGCTCGACCAGGACCATGTCTCCGCCATTCATTATGGTAACCACGACACCTCAGCCTCAGAGCGAGGGCAACGAATCTAGACCAGCTTCCCTTCAAAGAAGCGACGCATCAGCCCCATTGCACTATCTCCATGACGAGACATCCCGCGTGAACCAAAGCGACAAGAAGACCCTGCGAGTCTTCCAAGCTAACGTAGGCAAGATCTCGCCAGCACATGACTGCGCCCTTGCCCTCGCCGACTCTGAACGATACGACATAGTGCTCCTCCAGGAGCCGTGGACGGAAGCCAAGGACGGCCGATGTCTTACCAAAACCCACCCAGCCTACGATACCTTCTCCCCAGTCGACAGCTGGGACGACAACAGCACCCGACCTCGAGTAATGACCTATGTCCGGCGGAGTCCCTGCCTGATGACAGATCAGAGGAGGCCTGTGGCGACCCGCGACATTCTCTGGCTCACCATCAACAACATAACAGTAGTAAACTTCTATCGACAACCGCACTACGATGAAGCACTGGAGATGCTCCTCCAGTGGACCACACCAGGAAGGTGCCTAGTAGCAGGCGACTTCAACGCCAAACACAGTAGCTGGCAAACCGGCCGGCTCGATGGCCGAGGTGACGACATCGCCTTTTGGGCCTCTGAGAACGGCCTTAGCTTGCTCAACCCTGCCGATGTGCCAACGAACCCACATGGCAACACAATAGACCTCGCCTTCTCCAACATACCACTATCCGAAGCTGTCGTGGAGGAACACCTGGCCACCAGCTCTGACCACTTCACGCTCAGCGTGACACTCGCTGACCTGGCTCCGGCCTCGGTGCCGCTAGGAAAGGTCCGCCTCACCTCTGACGACGAGCTCGCTCGTTTCGCCGAAATGGTCGATTCCGGAGCAACAGCTATCCCGGCCGCGGCCTCGTCTCCCCAAGAGCTTGATTCCCTGGCGTTGGCGCTCGTGGAACTTCTCCAACTGGCAGCCAAGGCCGCCGGTCGCCCCGTCCGCAAAGGGGGCACGCAGCGCGCCCTGGTGGACAGAAGAATGCGCCCTCGCCGCGGCGGAATACCGCGCGATTAGGAGAGTCTACCCTCTCGGCTTCAATCGGGAAGTCCAGCTTGCAAAGAGAGACTTCCAGAAAGTCGTGCGGCGAGCCAAAAGACATTACTGGCGCAATCTGATCGACAGCTTCACTGACAGCGCCTCCATATTCAAAGCGGTCCGATGGCTGAGATCACCGGGCGCTTTCCAGCCTCCGCCCCCTGCAAGTAGGCGATGTAGTTTACGAGACGCAGCTTGACAAAGCCAATGCCCTACGGCGGGCGACGCTCGAGCGGCGCACGGCGGACGACGACATCCCAGATCCGTGGATCCCAGTCGACACAACGAAAACCGTTCCCTTCACGCAACAGGCGTCACTTGAGGAAGTGCGCGACGCAACCCTACGGACAGGAAACACGTCTCCCGGCCCCGACAGCATCACGGTACAAATGCTCAAGGCGGTATGGCATATTATCGGAAGCCACGTCCAGCGGCTGTACGAAGGCTGCCTCACCATCGGCCATCACCCGAAGCCGTTCAGAGAGGCCGAAGTAGTCATGATAACAAAACCAGGCCGAAGGAACCTCTCGACCCCTCGTGCCTGGCGACCCATCTCCTACTGTCCTGCCTAGGCAAAGGTCTCGAGCGGCTCATCGCACGCCGCCTGGCATGGGCCTCCGTCCACTACGGAGTCCTCCATTCACAACAAGCTGGCGCTCTCCCGAAGAGATCTGCCGTTGACCTTGTTGCCGCTCTGCTGCATGACATTGAAGAGGCGTTTGCCCGCGGACAAGTTGCCACGTTGGTGACTATGGACATCCAGGAGCCTTCGACACTGTCCTCCGCAACAGGCTGATCCTTCGCCTCCGTGAGCAGGGGTGGCCAGAACATCTCGCTCGATGGGCTGGTTCTTTCATGCATGACCGCTCGGCGCGCGTCAGATACCAGGACACTACCACGCCCAGCTCGCCTCTCCAATGCGGCCTCCCCCAGGGATCACCAGTCTCGCCCATCCTTTTCTGTTGTACACGGAACCAATTTACCGCCTAGGGAAGCCGAAGGGCGCTTCGGCTACGCAGACGACACGGGTATCCTATGCATAGGTAACTCCTGGAGAAGACAGCCGAGAGCGTCGCGCTATGTAAACGAACTTGTGGCCTGGGGCGCCGCCAACGGCATCGCCTTCGACCCGATGAAGACTGAGGTCATGCATTTCTGTCGAAGCAAACCTAAAGTTGCCCGCCTATATTTCACGGCGACTCAGAGAAGCGCCCTGACCGAGCACTGCGATGGCTAGGCATCTGGCTCGACAGCACCCTGTCGTTCAAGACACACGTGGAAAAGTGGACAGCCAAGGCACAGGTCGTGGCCTATCACTTGAAAAGTCTGGCAAACACCAAACATGGTCCTCTTCCCGGTGCCGTTCGCAGAGCCGTAAGAGCATGTATCGAACCGGTGCTGCTCCACGGCACCGAGGCATGGTACCCCGGATTAACCAGCCCGCGATGGACCCAGCCAGCAAAGAAGGACCATCCGGGATACAGCAACTCATCCGAAAGATGAACAAGTCGCTTCACACATCCATCCGAGCCATCCTGCCTGTTTGGAGGACGACGCCGATCAATGCCCTCCATCGAGAGCGGCATTCCACCGGTGATACAACTGCTCGAGGGGCGTCGCATGCGCTTCGCGGCCCGCCTCAAGTCTCTCGATGAAGCCCATCCGCTTGCGAAACGTACAGTCCGGCCCAAGCCCCCTGTCATCCACAGGTCGATCAAACTGAAGTACCAGGTGCCGCGAGAAGGCTTCCGGACCCGACTTCGACGCAGTGACCAGCTGCTGCCTTGCAGCAGGCGGCCAATTCTCCTCCTCGCCGCTTCGGCGACGATCAGGCGCTGCCTCTGCAAACCGCCCCGAAAGACCAGTCAGCAGCGGATTTCCGCATTTGGCTCCGGTCAGTGCCACCACACACTCTGGTCGTCTACTCAGACGGATCGCTCTCCTCGGATGCAGCGGTCGGTTATGGCTATGCCATCCATCTGGATGGGCAAACCGTCCTAAGTGGCTGCGGCCGACTTGGGCCCGCTGAGGTTTTTGATGCGGAAGCGAAAGGCGCGCTCGAGGGCCTGCGCGCTGCCCTAAGCCTCCCACGATCGCAGAGGGTAGTCGTTTGTCTCGACAACATCGCGGCGGCAACATGCCTCAGAGGCATGCCGGCAGACTCCTCCCAGGATGTCTTCCTCGAGTTCCAGGCCCTGGCCACAGCACACGGTGCCACGGAGGTCCGCTGGATCCCCGGCCACACCAGCATCCCAGGCAACGAGCAGGCCGATGCCTTAGCGAAAGCAGGAACCTCTCAACCCGAGCCCGCAGGCGCTGTCCCGACACTGGCATATCTGCGCAGGGCTGCTAGGCAGCAGCCTGTGCGCATTTAAAGCCTGGTGGGAAGCCTCCGCACCCGAACAGTACAAGCCACTGCACCTTAAGCCGACGACCGGCTGCCCCCTGGAGCTCAAACTCCCCCGACCGCTTCTCCACCACCTGCTTGCAGCCAGAACCCGTCACGGGGACTTTGCCGACTACCACGAGAGGTTCAACCACGACGATGCGCGACTGACGTGCTCATGTGGCCGACGAAAAGAGCCAAACCATGTCTTTTATTGCCGAAAGATCGAGCCGCGGCATCGGATGAGGCTGACGCCTCACCTACTGCAGCAGTCAATCGCGCAATAGGCAGAGACTTCGACAGGTTCGTCAAGCTGGCGAAGGCGTCCTCCTTCTTTGAATGGGCTTGCCTCGCCACTAGGCGGCTGCATCACACCTTTCCTCACCTCTTCCTTTGTTCAAATCCCCCCCGGATTCGGCCAGGCAGAGGGTGCTGCAACACCCTTTGCCCGGCCGGGCCAACTGAGGCTGCGCTCTGCAGTCTCCGACAACGGTCCCTTGGAGACCAAAACTGAATGGCGATCTCACCGCCGCGCCTGCACGACCCGCTGACGGGCACCAGGTTCAACACGGAGCGCCTCAGAGCCGATGAAATGCTGGATGGTGGTTGTTTACGTTTGCGAGAGGAGACTGTAGACAGCCTACTAGCTCAGCACGTCCTGTGCCCCACCGGGACCTGAGCGGCCTCACGGCCGCTGGACGGAAAATACACATACATACATACATACCGTATACGGATAATAGAGTCCAAGTCCCCCCCACACCCAAACGTGTCCTGATCCCTGAATGGCTGCACCTGTAAACGACACACGCCGCCTCAACATCACCAAGTCCCAGATGCTGCGACAGTAAGCCAGCTCCCTCGCCTCTCACCCACCCCATCAGCGCGCGCGTCTGGTCCTCGCGCCGCCCGCTCCCACCCACCATGCACTCCTCCTTTGTGCGCGTCCAAAACGTCTTTGGCTTCTTCACCACCGTCGCCTGTGTCTTCGCCGCCTTCATCGCCGCCACCGACCTCTTCGCCGCCCGGACACCCACCGGCACCATTACGCCGCACAACATTCAAGTGTACGTGCTCCCTCTTGGCCGTGCTCGCTGGCCTATGCTTGACGCACGAGGCTCGGGGACAACGGAGCGCTGACGGAAACTTGGGGGGGAATCAGCGTCAAGGGCCGGCCGCATTACTACAGCTCCAAGAAGGAGGAGTACGCCATCATCAAGTTCTCCCTCGACGCAGACCTCTCCTCGCTCTTCACATGGAACACGAAGCAAGTGTTTGTCTACGTCACGGCTGACTGGCCCACGGCGCCCGGCCAAAACTCGTCAAACTCGGCCGTCATCTGGGACTCCATCATCACCAACCCGAGCGCCGACCACCTCAAGAACATTGGGCCCATTGCCATGAAGAAGCTCAAGAGAAGCTCCGAGGGCAAGACAATTGATCCCAGCAGGTAAGCATCCACAACTCCCTCTTCAAACGTCAATGCCTGACTCTTCTCCAGGGGCATCCTCAGGGTCAAAAACCAAAAGCCAAAGTACCAAATTACCCACCCCGGCGGCAAGATTGCCCAGAGCCAAGACGTCACGCTCAAGCTGCACTACAACGTCCAACCATGGGTCGGACTCCTCACCTGGAACATGGACAAGGATCTGGGCTTCTGGAAGGTCATCAACGGTGGCTCGAGCAACAAGTTTGATCTTCCCGCTATCAAGTCAAAGGACAGCAAGACCAAGAGCAAGGGCACATAGACAGAATTGCATCTAGCCATGGACCTGTAGTCGAGAACAACAAGATACATGGGCTGTCTGGAAACCAGCAAACGAAACAGGCCCGGCTGCTTCCCACGATACGTGAAACGGTATATCTAGTCAACATCTTGCCACCCAGGCATCGTAGGCATCCAACGCTCTATAGCAATAATCGTCCTCACCCACGACATAGACAGAACGACGCCTCGGCAATACCCATATGCGTACACGGCAAGACATCCGGCCCCGCCCGATACTGCCCAACGACGCCCCGAAAGTGATACAAGCCTCGGTCTCCCGGACCTGGCCAGCACCGCAGCTCAGCGACACTGTCACTGAGCAACATTGCTGCCGTTGGCGCGCTCCCCTCGTCCTCTGCTAGGAACCCCTCGTCCCCGACCACGACTACGGCTGCCGCGTCCGCCACGAGCGCTTTCCAGGTTTGCCGGAGGAGGAACGTTGCCATATTTCGGCGTCTGTTCCCGGGAGAGTGGGATTTGAGCCGCCTCCGAGTAGCCGCGGCTTCGTCCTCGACCGCCGCCACGACCTCTCTCGTTGGCGTTGCTTCCTCCGCGACTTTGCCCGTTCTTGCCTTGCCCGGGCGGCGTTGTGCCATTGGGGCTGTTTCGATAAACCAGCGTGCTATGGAGCAGAGGCGGCGCTCCGCCGCGCTGGTTGGGACCTCCGTGGCGAGAGGGAGAGTTGGCGCCGCCGTTGAGGGCACCACGCCACCCACCTCGCAAGACAGGGGGTGCTGGCGCATCCCTGTATTGCGGCATCCCCATCGATCCGGCGCGCCCCGTCGGTGCTGTGGCAGCTGTTCGCCTCTGCTGAGATTTGGACGACGCGGATATGACCTGCCTGTCCGTCGTGTTGAGCACCGAGGTTGACGCGACCGTCTGACCTCTGAACAATGGCGCTCTCTCGCCCAGAGTGGTGCCGCTCATAAACGGCGTGTCCCACACGACATCCAACAGCAGCGCAGTTGCAGTTCTACTGATTCCTGCGACCGTTCCTCGCGTGGCAATGGGGACCTTGCCTGATGCAGCCGCAAATGTCACCCGGTCGCCGAGACTGAAGGTCTGGTTGCCGAGCACGAGCTCTGCGTCCGCTGGCTTGAGAATGGCAGCACGAGGCACGCCGCGGAGCTTTTTCGGGGCAAACTCTTGCGCGGCCTGGGACATTTGCTCTCCAACTTTGGCCAATTCCATGACGACGTCAGAGTCGAGTTGCTCGGCTTCCAGTGGCACTCTCTCAAACTTGCCCGTCTCCTGCTTTTTCAACCACGCAACAATGTCTTTGATGCGCTGCGATGCGACGCTCGGGTCGTTCCACAGGTCTGTTTCCGAAGTCTCGCTTCTCTGAGGCTCCCTCTGGATTGCGACGAAAAAGTCGGGGAACGCCACCACGTAGTCCGCGATCAGCTTGACGGCGAGGGCGCTAAACTCCCAGCCCGAGGTTGACTTTCGCGAGTATCCCAGGACCTTGAGCTTGCGCGCTTCAAACTTCAAATTCAGGCCGAGGTTCAGCTTGAGGCCTGCCGAGTTTGTGACTTGATAGGAAGAGGTGATCTTGCTCAACACTAGAGGATGCATTCTGAGTTGCTTAGCGACCGCAAACGAGGGCGTATACGGGTTCCTGCTCTCAGCTTGGCGAATTAACGACTTGGCGAAATCCGGCTCCTTGTTTCGGAGTACAGAGACGATGATCTCGGTCTTGTTGTCGATGTGACTTGTGATTTCCAGAGGGCGCCCGTAGGCGTAGTCGCCGAGGAAGAAAGCTCGAGTCCCCACGGGAAACTCTTCTTCGACCGGGAGAGCGGCCTTTTCGATGAAGCGTTCGTCCTCGTTAAACACCTCGTCAACAATCGTTTGGGCGGCATATGTACTCCGCAAGCTAGGGTTCTCCGCGTATTCCTTGATCAGTGCGCCTTCTTCTGTCTTAACCAATCCCTTGAGCATGTGGACGTGAACGAGACACTCTACTTGCCCGACTGTGATTGCCAGACGTTTCGCGTACCAGCTCTCCAGATGCTCTGCCTCTCTGGAAAAATCGGTAGCTTCTCTGTTGGTGTGGTCCTTGGTGATGATGTCCTTTCCGTTCTCGGCCAGTTCAAAGGTGAACAGCTCGTCCTGGACTCTCATCACCCTGGCCTCTTGCAGGAATGGATATCCCACGTAACATCGCTGGCCCAGCTTAGCCTTCCACGTCTCTATGCTTGTGCGCATACTGGTGTCAGTCAGCGTCACGACGATGCTAGGATTCCTGCTGTCCGCCTGGAAGACGTTGACCCCGTAACCTTCAATCAGCTGCGCAGTATACGGCAGGTTGTGAAGAGTGGGAAACCCAGCCAGGGCCTCAATGTTGAGAAGGGCGCCACCTGTCAGGCCGGACAAGTGCTCGAGACCCTCCATGGCGGGCAAGTCGAATATGTTCTCGATGCAGCGGCAGTATTGGACGTCTGGAAAGATGCCCGGAAGCGGAGAGGCGTATGTGAAATTCACATCCTGTGAGTATGTGAACTTGAGGGGTACGCCGACCCCGTTCCGGGCCTTTTCGTCGTCGGTGAGGAGCTCATTGCAGGAAGCCATGGCGTCAAGGAGGCGCTTTTCGTCGATGAACGGGATCTTGACGACGGCCTCCCACTCCATCTTCTTGCCGTTCATGTCCAACTCGAAATCTCTGGGATAGAAGTCGATGATGGGGGAACCCGGGTTGGTCATCAGGTCGTGGTATACCGTGGGAACAATCTTCTTGCTGCGATCGGGGAGGACACCCATCAGCTGTTCGTAGGGCTTGAATGGCTGGCCCTTTTTGAAGTTGAGATCGGCACCGAGGCCTTTGACGACATCTGAAGGCGAGTGTAAGCTTTATATAGTTCGATTTCTCTTTCAACAGTTAACTTACCTGATATGAGGGGCGCGTAGTGATAGCCATAGAACCAGGGCCAAGACGCGATGCCCTTGTAATAGTAGAATAAGACCCACTGAAGGCCCTGGACATAATTCTCGCAGAGCGCCGTCTGCTCTTGGTCATACTTGTCCGCGGGCCATTCGGGGAACTTTTGCAGGTAGTACTTGGTCTTCCAGCCTTGATACTTGTCCTGGTAGAGCTTTTCATAGTGCTTCTGAGCATCCTCTGATGTCCTGTCAACAACCTGAGCTTTGTCGTACGTCTTGATAACACGCCACGCAGCTAAGTTTCCCTCGTCGTCGTCTTCGTCGTCGTCATCTCCATTCCTGGCGGGAAATGCAATGACGAGGTTGCGTTCGTCCTTGTCATTCTCCTTGGTTGACCATTCCAAATGCATGGCATCGGCAAGATCCTGGATGAATTTCCGGTCTGCTGCTTTCAGATTCGAGCCAAGGTCCAACGACTCTTCCGAACGATTCGAGACGAAAGGTCGGATTTTTTGTTTCCACAAGTCTCGCTGGAATGAGCTTATGGTAAGCTGATTGTTCCTAGGAGGCTTCCTGCTCATTGCGTTCTTTCCCGCCAGTTGCTGCTCCATCTGCTTAGAAGCAAACCACTTTTCATCGGAAACGTCGTTCTCGAAGGAAATCAGCTCAAGCTTGCTGAGCTCGTCCAACAGACTCCGCAGACGTTCCATATTGATGACCCCGTTTTCGTTGATGAAGCCCTGGCACTTTGGCAAAACTCTTTTGTATATCTTGAACATGTTGGCTAGAGCTCCCTCATTGATGTGAAGTCCGGGAAGATTCGGAAGGAAATCGTTTCCGACAAAAAAAGCCATCAAGATAAAGTCATCGATGACCCGCTCGAGATCAAATGCGAAGTCCAAGGTACCGTCTTGTTGTAATTCCTGGAACTCCAGCTCCAGGTACTCTCTCACGATACAGAGATGAAGAAGGTAAAAGTTCTGATGCTCGAGCTCCTTCGATTTTGTTTTAGAAGCTCGGCCAAACGTCACTTCTTCACGGAGAAGGCAGAAATGCGGATCATGGCTGAGTAGTCCAAGCATGATCAAGTCAGCGTCCAGGCCATAGAGACAATGGCGTACGTTTGGGTTGTAGTTTGGCTGCGCCTTGGCGTTGCGAATGTATTCCATGATCTTGTGCTCTCCCTCGCCTGGGACGTCGTGGCCCGAGAGCACAATCTCGCAGCCCTGCCACTCGGTGTCTTCCGAGACTTTCTTGTTGACGAAATATCGGAGTTGTTGGGATAGCCTGGCCATGAATGCGGTGCCTTGCAGCCCTCGTCAGCTTCTGCCCAGCGGCAACTGAGCGAGGGCAATGACTTACCTGGCGTGATGCAATTACTGTCAAAGGGCTCCTCTTTGGGCATTTCAACGCCTTCTCTGATGGCCTTTTCACGCGCATTTTCAGCATCCAAAGCGGTCCTGAATCGGCGAGATCGCTGCTGGTTCATCTTGGCACGCGGCGCGACACCGTCAATGGCCATGAAGAAGAGCTGTTTAGGCTTGATCTTGCCGAACAGATGCTCAATGTAGTTGAAGATTCGTATGAACATTTCCTCTTCGCTGATGCGGAATGTCGCATCCTCGCCGGCGTCCTTGTGGGTGCAGTTATGGATGATGCCATTCATGTCGAGCTACAGATTTCGGTCAGTCGCGGGCTAAATAGAGAGCCGGAGGAGCGCACATAGAGGCAGTCGAATTCGGGTATCCGATTTTCTGCAATAACTTGGGAAATGGCCGGATAGCGCTCTGAGAGCCATCTGAAGAACTTGGGGACACTGGGACAGCGGTTAGCCAAGGGCAACGGATGGGGGAAGAATTCAACGTGCCCCATGGTGTAGAATGCGAAAACTTGTCCGCCGACAGAATAGGCTGACAGCAAAAAACAAGACACAAAGTGGGAACGAGTAAGCGACAGCAGAGACCGGGAGCTCTGAACAAAATGCCGCGAGTCTGGCGCAAAATGAAGCGTCGGGTGAAACTGTCGGAGCCTGTGCGCGGTTTGCCACACGAAGAGGCGGAGGGGAGGAAGGGCTGGCGACGCTGGACGGTGCGCGCCTCGCCCAACAGCCGACGAAAGGAGAGGAGAGGAGAGGCGAGGAGAGAGGAGGAGGACGGAACGAGACGGAACGGTGTCGGTGTCGTGGCGAAAGGAGACGAAAGTGAGCGGCGGATTGCTTGCTTCTGCATTTAGCGATTCTTCTTAGAAGTTAGCGGGGCTCCGGAAGGGGGTGGCTGGAGCACCCCCAAGGCCTCGGCTCTAACTGGACTCCCTCACCGCCTTGCCGGCAGTTTTAAGCAGACGCCCAGAGTTGCCTTTCTTCACTTTACGCGCGACGCGTGCAGGCTCGTATTTTGCAGTCTCATCGCAAGCTCGGTCGCCAACGCCCCAAAGGCTCAGCCTCGGCCTCAACCTCAACCTCCATCGTGCTTGGTGCCCCTCCATCAGGCAATCCGCGAAATACCAACGTCAACCCTCATCCCTGGCCAGTCTGTTTTCCGCCATGGCTCCCGCGCAGGCCTCAGACCCTGAGGTCGACGGTGAGACCCCCTCCCTCGCCCCCAGCCGCATAACCTGCGATGATGCTGACGGCCGGCTCGCAGTCGACATGGTGCAGGACGACGACGACGATCAGGTGGAGCGCCTGATCAACGAAGGCAAGGGCCCGCGTCGTGAGCGAAGCTTTCGCGTTGGCTGACCTTTCGTAGAATACAAGACGTGGAAGAAGAACAGCCCCTTCTTGTACGACATGATTCTAGGGTATGCAAAACCTTGACCACGACTCCAGAACGACGCTCTGACATGGTTTAGAACCGCCCTGACCTGGCCTACCCTTACCGTCCAGTGGTTTCCTGATGTCAAAGAGCCCAAAGACAAGAACTATCGGATGCACCGCCTTCTGCTTGGCACCCACACCTCGGACGAGAGCACCAACTATCTCCAAATTGCCGATGTGCAGATTCCAAACGCTGTCGCGCCCAACCCCGACAACTACGACGAAGAGAGGGGGGAGATAGGCGGATATGGAAATGCCGGCGACGTCGCTGCAATCAAGTGCGACATAGTGCAAAAGATTGAGCACCCAGGCGAGGTCAACAAGGCCCGCTATCAGCCCCAAAACCCAGACATCATCGCTACCTTGTGCGTCGATGGCAAGATCCTCATCTTCGACCGCACAAAGCATCCCCTTCAGCCAGCCGCGCCCGGCAAGATCAATCCCCAAATCGAGCTTATCGGCCACAGGGCTGAAGGGTTTGGCCTCAGCTGGAACCCCCACGAGGCTGGCGGCCTGGCATCAGGCAGCGAGGACAAGACCATGTGTCTGTGGTAGGTCGCCAGCGTGCTTTTGCCTAAGCTGCATCCCAAAGTGTCCAAGCTGAACCAGTGACAGGGACCTCAAGACCCTTGAGGCAGACTCCAAGTCGCTGCGGCCTGCTCGCAGGTACAATCACCACACGCAGATTGTCAACGATGTCCAGCACCACCCCATCGCCAAGAGCTTCATCGGCACAGTTTCGGATGATCAGACTTTGCAGATTGTCGACGTCAGACAGAGCGAGACGAGCAAGGCAGCGCTCGTCGCCAAGCGCGGCCATCTCGATGCTATTAATGCTCTGGCCTTCAATCCAACCTCGGAGATCCTTGTTGCCACGGCTTCTGCAGACAAGACAATCGGCATCTGGGACTTGCGAAACGTCAAGGAAAAGGTGCACACGCTCGAAGGTCACAACGACGCGGTGACGTCTCTGTCATGGCACCCGACCGAGGCTGGCATTCTAGGCAGCGGCAGCTACGACAGAAGAATCATTTTCTGGGACCTGTCTCGCGTGGGCGAGGAACAGCTTCCCGATGACCAAGACGATGGCCCCCCTGAACTGTGAGTGTTGAGTCCCGACCCCAACGCCTCGGTATCAACGTCTAGATGCTGATTACGGATTATCCTAGGCTTTTCATGCACGGCGGGCATACCAACCATCTGGCCGACTTCAGCTGGAATCCCCACGAGCCATGGCTCGTGGCCAGCGCTGCGGAAGACAATCTCTTGCAAATCTGGAAGGTGGCAGAGTCCATCGTCGGTAAGGACGACGGTGAACTGCCTCTCGATGAGCTTGACCGATAGGTGAGGTGGAAGTTCGTGGAAATGAATCGGTCTTCATAGGATGAGGAGACTGTATTACTCTGGAGTCGGCGGCGACGGCGGGAGCGACGAAAAGAGTCCCGCGACTTGGCAACGCGACGGAGTCCACGGAGGGAAGCACATGCCATTGTTGATCAGGCCGGGAAAAGAGTTTGCGTTGAACTTGCGGAAACCCTCAAGTCACTTCCGCCTATGGCTGTGTGGTGAGGGGTGAGGAGATGCGCATTTCTTTGGCAATAGCAGTGAAGATTCATAAGATATCCTGCTCAGAGTGCCTGCGGTGGCCAAGCTCGAAGCACCGACAGAATGACCCCCTCGCCAGCCGCATTGTTTTCATTGGCAGACTCGTCCGAGTCGAATCATGGTTGCCACGTCAGTTGCGCAGCCGTCGTCTGCGAGTTCAAACTCGAAGGTGAACCGTTGTCCTTGCCAACCCGCTCACTGCGCATGCGAACTGAAGCTGGACCGTCGGTTGCCCCGTCAGCTGCCAACTGTTTACTGCAACCTCGCTCGGATGCTGTAGCCCTTGCATCACAGCTCCGTCACTTCCCGAGCCAGCGTTCTGCAAATCCACATTCCACCTCCAACCACTTCCAAAGCATCCTCTCCCAGCCCGATCCTGCTTCTCGGCACTCCACCCCCGAACGCCTTGAGCGTTGGATGAACCTCGACCATGTCGGGCCCTACTCGCCAAACGCCCGACGGCCAGCAGCCGGGCCAAGGCATCTACGACATGGAGCTGCCCCTGAACCCCGACAGCCTTCGGCGCAACGCGCGCGCGCACGGGTTCAGCGACCAAGAGGCCGACGTCTTGGCGCAGCTGGCGCTGCAGAAGCTGCGCGAGGCCATGGCCAGCAGCAGGGAGGGCGAGCCCGTGACGGCGCTGCAGATTGTCGAGGCCATCAAGCAGCACGCCGCAGAGGAGGCCGAGCGGGAGCGGGAGCGAGAGCGGCAGGCTGTGCAGCGCGAGGTGGACCTCTTTGACGCCATGTGCGAGCAGGAGCTCGGGGGGGGCCTCGAGCGCGAGGACGGCGATTTCAAGGGCAAGGGCAAGCAAACATGCCCCGGAGCCGTTCAAGACGACTCAGCCGGCCCGAGCAGCAAGCGGTGCAAGTTCACGGATGGCGGGCTGGAGGAATACTTTGGCCCAGGCGAGGATGCCTACGCCCTCTCTACCAACCAGGCCGATGCCAGCTTCAGCCTCAAGCATCACGGGATGGATCTCATCACCGCCCTCTGCCAGCGAGTCGAGCTCGCCGTCGAACTGGCCAAGCACCTCGGGCCCGAGGACCTTCTCAAGCTCTACAGCATGAGCCGGGCCTTTCACGACTCCCTCGACGGCCACCTGCTGTCGTCGATCCGTCAGATCCTTGCCCACAGGGCAGCCGAGGCCGGCAAGATCTTCCAGTTCAAGCTCTACCGCCGCCTCCTCGTGCCCGACCCGGCCGGCCGCACCTGGGAAGAGCAGCTCGGCACGCAGTCACCCGGCAGTCCGAGCGGCCGCAGCAACAAGCGCGAGGTGCGTTCCGTGCCCGGGCTCAGGTATCTGCAGCTCGTCCTGGTGCGGGACCGCTGCTGCAGGGACATACTCGCCGTCTTGGCCCGGCACGGCCACCGCATGCCGCCGGGCATGTACAAGACGCTGCTGCGCATGTGGCTCCTCATGGACGTGTCGACGTCGCACCAGCGAAGGGCGCTGCTGCGCAACCAGGAGCTGTGGACCGACGTGGACCTCTACAACGCCCAGCTTTTCATCGTCAAGCTCGGCATGCACTTCAACGACCCCATCTACGGCCCGCTCACCTTCGACATCCCGAGCCTCATCCTCGGCCAAAAGGGGCTCTACTTTCTGTGGCAGGTCCTGATGCGTAAAAGGTTCACCACGCCCGAAGATATCCTCGACGCCAAGGTCCGCTACGACTTTGAAATCCCGCAGGACGGCGGCGGACACGATTTCTTCGACCTGAAGGTCTACGGCGTTCCCTTTTGCGAGGTCGGCATCGGGCACATGGAGGGCTGGGGCAGGGGCCGCCGCCACCTGATGCGCCCCGACGAGCTCGTCCCCTACGAGGCCGTCGTCCGGGGCCTGGAGCTGGACGAGCACCTCATGCACATGATGACCTGGGGGTACTTTGACTGGCACACGGGCGAGAACCTGGTCCCCACCGAGGATGAGATGTACATCTCGGACGAGGAGCGCGTCCTCGCCCACATGGACACGAGCCACCTGTGGCAGAGAAAGCACGCCTTGAAGAAGCGCTGGGACACGCTCACCCCAGAGCAGCAGCGCAAGATCAGAGCCGACGACGAGGACGACGCCCTCCGCGCACTGGCCTGGGCCTCGGACCCACCCAGCGACACCGACGCCGAAGGCGAGGACAAGCCGCCCACGCTCGACGACGAGATCACCCGCGGCTTCATCATCCCCCCACAGAAACCCCGCGTCTCAGGCCCCCCCAAGCCCCCTTCCTTTGCAGGCACGATGGCGGCCTGGGCCGAGCTCGGCACCCAGGTCCTGCTGAGCCTCCCCGTCGAGCTTCAGGGCGACCAGCTCTTGCGTGCAGAGGCGATGCACAACTACCGAGCCCCCAGCGAGGAGCCGGCCGCCGCCTGGGACTGGGAGGCTTGGCTGGAGCAGGAGGGGCAAGGCTGCGAGGTGGATGCGGCCGAGGCGTTGGACGACGGCGACATGTCATCGTCGGGCGAGACGGAGGAGGATGCGTACATGGCGGGAGACGAGGACGACTTTGACTCGGGGAGCGAGCGGGACGAAAACGACGACGACGTTGACGACGCTGGACAGCACGAGGTCGAGGGCATTTGGAATGAAGCGGATCTCGAGAAGTACATCGAGGACTTCTTCGACCAAGTGGTGATTGAGGACAGTGTTGATCAGGGGCACTGCGGCTGAAGTGTCGACGCAGAGCGACGGCCACGACCAACACCTTTCGCTCGACGGCGCTTTCAAAGTCCAGAACCTAGAATACAGGAAGTCAATTAGTTCTGCACAGGCAGATAGCAAGATGCTGCGAAGATATCCCACGCCAGATATGGACCCCTGGATCCGAAGCTCTAGACGACTCTCTCTCCCTTCGCCGGTCCATGCAGCTCTCTCCACCAGCCGTGTCAGACGCAGTGTCAATACTTTTCAAATTCAACCTGTATCTCAGCTCCATACCAGTCTCCTCTTCCCGCTTCCAAGCCCTCCTTCCCCCACCCCAAGTGGTCTCTTTCTCGCTGAAAGAGCACTCATTAAAGACCAGGAAGGGACAAGAGACAGACAAGTCGCCCCGACCATCCAGCAGCCAGCCAGGCAAGCAATTCAATGGCCCCAAGAGGCCCCCGACTCCTAGCCAGCTTTTCCCGTGCCCTCCTCTCCGATCCAACCCAACTCCCCAGTCCAGTCCACAGAGAACCTGAAAAGCCCGGAAACATGGCCCAAGCCAAACCGCGTTGTCAAAGACCAAAGCACAGATAAAAGGAGTGACAGCAAAAAAAACAATGCGGCGGGTGCAGAATGCCCGAAATCCTTGGGTTGTGACTGAAGACGCAGACGCCAGGAGCTGAATATTTGAGTCGCTCACCGAGGCCAAAGAAACACCCCTTACACTCCCTTTCGCTATGCACCCCTCCCGGGACAACAAAAGGTTTCCAGCAGTTCCACGCCCAAGCACCTCCCACAGCAGTCGGTTTGCATCATCTGAGCGGCGCAGATGCAGGGCCGCCCCCCACGAAAGAAATAGCAGATGCCTAGCAAAAAGCCTGTGCCGAAGACTCGTCGAACCGGAACAGCCGTGGTATAGTCACTTTTGTCTTCCAGCCCTCAAATTTCAACACATGCCTCCTGAAATACGAAAAGTGCCCGACACTCCCGTCCTGGTCCTGGAAATCAAACTCGCACCGATGCTCCCCCCCTTCTGCTCCCCGTTGAAACAGCAAACTAAGTCCAGAAGATTTTTGCCAAGGCCAAGTGCTCTATGTTCATTCCAAAGTCGCTCCGTTGTGCAAGGACGAAAGACGACGCGGGAAAGATGCGCAACCGCAGAGGTGACGACGCTATCCGAGTGGGTGGCATTCCGTGCACAGCGACGCGTTTAGCTGTGCTTTGCTACCACGTCACGGCCTAGGCGGGCGATTTGCTCGGAGGAGCACCTCCACCGTTCTGACGACCGTCGCCGCCCCCAACGCTAAGACCGCTGATGCCGCTAGAGAGGAAGGCAAAGGGGTCGTTTTCGCCATTGTTATTGCCGCCGTAAAAGTTGTTCGATGGAACGGGGCCCGCGGAAGCCGGACCATTAGTCGCCGACTGGAAAGCGGCCTCGGCAGCCCTGCTATCGAATGGCCCTGCAGCGTGGGACCCGGGAGCGGCTCCAAAGCCTTGATTGTTGAGGGAGCTGGGATAGTTTCCGGCGCCGCCACCAAGACCGGATGGCAGAAAGTGGCTTGGCGGTCCTCCAAAGTGCTGGTTATAGCCCCCACCGGATGCAAACGAGTTGCCAGAGCCAAAGGGCCCGGGGCCCGGGGTCCCAGCCATGGATCCCTGGCTCATACTGTACTGCGAGGAATTATCCATTGGAGACGGGTATCCCGAGTCGGCCACGACAGCGGCTCCGGCACGGCTTGCTCCACAGCGAAGGCAGCACACATTCTTGGCGAAGTTGTGGTAGCCGCAGACCTCGTTCCCGCACTTCCAGTCGCCGGCGCGGAAGGGAACAACGCCGCCTCCACCCATGCGACCGCCGTGGCCCATGGGACCGTGGTGTCCGCCACCATGGGGGGGGGGAGGCATCATGGTCGGCGGGCCGTAGTTGTAGCCATATCCGCCGCCGCCGCCGCCACCGCCACCTCCACCCATTTCAGCCGCAGGGCCGGGACCCATGGCCGGGAAGGAGCAACGGAAGCATGCGGTTCGGCGCTGGAAGTTGGAAAAGCCGCACGAGGGGCAGGTCCAGTCACCGGGTCGAGGACGATTCTTGCTCGGAGGGAACGGCGTCAAGATGTCCTGGGCGCGGTCCAGGACACGGCTGGACGAGGGAGATACCTCAATGGCCTTTTCGTTCAGTGCACGCCCGTTCATGCACAGGCTCTCGGCAGCCTGGAGGAGATCAGCAGCTATCCTTGGCTCGGTGAGGTGCTCAGGAGGTAAGGCAAAGGACTGGGACCCTTGTACCACCGAAAAGGGGAAAAGGGGGGAGGGGGGAGACGCATTGGCTTACCTCTTCATGGGACGAGAACACCGCAAAGCCGGTACCAGTGGGCTTATGCTGTTCCGGAGTACGTAGTGTCCAAAAGGCGATTGGACGCCCACCAAACTGGGTGAACCAGCTTTCAAGCTCCGATTGGGTGGTGTCGTGCGGGAGGCCAGACATGTGAAGAACCTTACTCCTCTCAGATAGAAACGCTCGCACGTCAGCCCTGGCATCCATCGGCCTGGTCAACACATCCGGATGCTCCTGGGGAGGCTGTGATTTCCGGATCAGGCCGCGAAGAACACGGGCAAGAGTGATAGCTTCCTCCATGGCGCGGCGCGGCGAAGCAGGTGCGAGAGCCTGCAGGTGGAACGGGAGATTATGCTTGATCGGAGCACTCGACTGTACCGGCTCGACCTCGAGGGCGGCGCAGATGTTGGACAGCATCGAAGGCCCAAATGGCAGGGATTCGGGATGATGCTGCTGCCATCGCTGATACTCGGTTCGCAAGTCAAAGGTACGCGAGTGCTGCAGATAGGGAGGGAGCACGACGGCCTTGTCACGAGCTTCTCGGGGTAGTTGTACACGAAGATCCCAAGCATCGAGAGTGACGAAGACGAAATCGAGGTTCTTGGAAGTCAGATACTCGGTAGCAAACGTGTCGAATCGAGAAATGGCGTCTCTAAAGGTACCGGCGTTCCGAACATGTTCCCAGGTCAGGGTGGTCAGGCTTGCTAAGAAAAAGTTTTATGATAAGCCGCGGGTTGTTCGCCACGCATGTGCTTGTCTGCCAGCCCCGATGTGCACGGAAAACTCAATGACTGAAACTTGAGGCGCGAGGGCAACGCGAAACGGCACGGGGCGCCGAAGGCGAAAGGGGGTCGGGGCGTCAGGTCACTTACTGCAAAGCGGAGTAATCGGAGTGTTGACTGGCTTGACAAGAACACTCTCGTGGGTGATCTATTGGGTTGAAGACACGGGGTCAGCAGGAAACGGGGGGAGAAAGCAAGGGTGGGCGCGATATGGACCACTCACCTCCTCTAGCGAGTTGGCGTCGAGAAGAATCCATCCAAGCTCAATGACCTCGGCGGAATCCTTGGTGACGTAGACACCGTGTTCATCGCAAGTCGTGGCCACATGGATGACAACGTAGCGGTCGATATTGAGCTGTGGCTGCGAAGACATGATGGGGGCGGGCGGCTTCGGGACCGGCTCGACAGCACGGGAGTGTCGACGCGGAAAGCTCGCTGGCGAGTCGGGCAGTCTCCTAGAAGAGCTTCAGGAGGCAAGGGGCAAGAAGCTGCGACCCGGCCGGCTCAAGGTGTGCGGGATCGAGATTGGCAGAGATGGCGGCCTCGAAGCTCTAGGTCTTGCAGAGCAAAAAGAGTCGCAGACCGGAGCTGGGGAATCAGACAGGCCGAAGGCGAAAGTGAAAGGGGTAGAGAGGATGGAAAAGGCAAGCTCCGAATGGCGAGCGAAGGAGAGATCGGCTGCGCCCAGCCAGAAATGCGCAAGGGGCCCTCGGGATCAAGCTGAGGTTGAGGTAGGATGGGGCTTGAAAATGAGGGAACGGGGGTGCAAGGAGGAGGCTGCCAGCTGGAGGGTTGCGTGGAAATTTGGCGGCCCGTGGCGGAGTTTCCACCAAGCCAGCCGAACGGGCTCGGTTCGGTTGGGCCCAGCAGGCATGCTGTCAGCTGTTTGGCTGACCCTGACCCTCTGCAGCGGCGCGGCGGGAGCGCTGTAATTCACGGCTAGGTACTAATTACGGGGCCATCGTCTCCTTTTTCTCACAGTGCCTGCGAAGTCCTGTACCTACCCCTACCAACGCACCAGTCACACGGGTTCTGTCGCGCATTCGCCGTACCTGGTGCCGTCATGCCGTGTGTTTGGTCAATGCTGGTTGAGCTGCGAATCAAAGGGGGCCACCATTTTCTTTTCTCTTCCTCTTCAGAGAGCAGGCCGGGGAGGATGAAATAGTTGTGTAAGCTGTCTTCCGAGCTCCAACACTGTGCCTGCCTGATGGGGGACCTTATTATTATTCATCACGGATGTACCGCGCCAGCTCTTTCTTTGCTCTCGGGAGCTGGATTCACAGCAAGAGGATGAAGCCATTCCTCCCGGGAGGAAGTGCAACAATGATTGACATGTTGCTCCCCGGAGCTATGCTTTGGCTTTTTTTGTATAAAAAGTGTATATAAAATCCACGCAGCAACGGACAGTCGTTGACTCTACCGCGACTTCTTGCCTAGCGCCGCCTCCACAGCTGGTTATTTACGGAGTAGGTACAGATACGGACAAGGTTGCTCCAAGCCGTGCCCTATTACCGGTACGACGAGGGCTTTGCGACTCCGCGGCTGCTGATTCATCAGCTGCTGTCGGCAGCGCTAGCGGCTCCCGGAAGCTGACCCGGGGCATTGAGCGTCTGTGACTGCGACTTTGGAATTGGAAAAGGGGAAGCAAGTTCATGGATGAGGGCAATACCACGTGTTGGGCACGTCGAGTGTCGCCTGTAACCGCGTCTCACGGTGCGAACTGTCGTGGCACTAAGGCGTCATAACGGGAAAGCGCCTTTTTTGGTGACAGTGCCGAGTGCGAAACACCGAGCTTTGACACTCTCCGTGCCCATAATTGGCTTGCTTGGGTACCCTCAAAGTCTATGGAAAGCCGGCACGATTTGGTGGCCTGACTAATTATATGCAGCTACCGACTTGGCTCGCGCCTGTGAGATTTAGCATGGGTCCCTTATCGGGGCTCACGTATCACGTTAAAGAAGCTACAAACAGCATTCAATGCCAGTTGCCCCTTCGGAGGTGCCTCCACTCTTGGTGACATATCAAAGCGTTGCCAGCACCGAGTCGTTGTCGGGGCATTGAGGTGCTGATAAGTCTCGCCCTTCATCTTTGCTGCAGCTCCTCGCATTCAGCCACCGCGCCTCGTCCGTTCCGTACCCGTGGGCAAAGGGAGGGAAGCATCCTGTGCTGCGATGCTAGTGGCCCATGCCACCGGGATTGGTGAATTCACCAAATTCTGCTGGGCTTTTCGCGAGTACTGTACTTTTTGACCCCCCTTGGCCGGCCTTGAGCTGGGTTTACTGACGCATCGGAGAGCGCCCCGTTGCTGGGCGAGGCATGGTATGATGGGGCATCGGCATTGGCCTCGAAGCATGATGTAGTGGCAATGCAGTTGAGTGTGACTCCATTTGCGTTATCGGTCAAGGGTGCGAGGCTGAGTGTTTCTAGTTTTTTCATACTCTCGCCCGTCATGCCCTGACAAGGGCCTGCTGTGCACCAAAGGAAGACCTACCTGACCACGTATTACGCGTACCATGGATGGCAATGACTTTTGTCCCCTTCTCCTTCCTCTTGACAGAGTTGTCTTGAAGCCCTCGACCTGGAGCTGAGACTGTTGGACTGGCTTTTACCATTCGGTATTGATGGGGTTCCGTCGGTTCGTCTCCAAGTTTACGCAGACCAAAACTGTGTGAGTACGAAGTGTTCAGAGCATGGAGGGCTGCTTAGAGGACGAACATGTGTGCCTTACGTCATTCAGCGCACTCGGTAGGGCCACTGCTCGGAACTGTGTGCCACTGCTGCCCGTAACTTAGAGGGCACGTCAGGTACGCGTCACGTCATCATCCCACTGCCTGCGAATGCGGTTGCCTAGGGCCCCCCTCAGCCGGTTAGGTAGATACATGCCTCACCCATGAGTGCCGAGAACAAAAGGCATGTATCACAGTAGCTAGCAAACGGCCCGAGGCTCCTTGCCTAGCATGACCTGTTTCTATTACCTACTGTACGTCGATGGAACCCAGCTGCTCCCCGCCCTTCATAACGCAATACTCTCCAACTACACACTCGGTGATCTCCGACCAACCGTCGCATCCCTTTCAACCAGCACTATTGAATATCTCGTGGACTTCGCCGTGAGCCAAGAGCCACAATCGCACTCGCTCACCAAGCAGATCGTGCCCGCGATCGACACCAACTCGACCACCCCAGACTGAATCGCGATCCGCTTGAGCCGCCACCATGGGCGTCGCCTCCGCTGTTCTCATTGTCATCCTCACCATCTTCTGTAGGTTTTCGTCACGGTATGGACGCAACCTTTGTCGCTAACGTGTCTCGCAGTCCCTCCGCTGGGCGTTTGGGCGGTGGCAGGATGTGGGATGGGTATGTGGGCCTTGAGCCAGACCCGGACGGTAGTCTGCTGACGTGCCGGTAGACCTCTTCATCAACATCTGCCTGACGGTCCTGGGCTACCTACCTGGCCATATCCATGCGTTCTACATCGAGTACGTCTACTACGACCGCCGCGAGCAGGCCCACGAGGGACGCTTCCCAACCGGCCCAGCTCCTGGGGTCTATTCGGACAATGTCCAGACTGGGGGTCAAGGCTACGGCACGATTGCTCAGCCTACCGGCTAGAGGCATGTGAGAGGATATGAGTAGGGAGCCTTGAGCGGACAAGGTGGTCATAATTGTTGGGAGCTTGCCTTAAGGAAGCTTGTTTTTAAATGTGGTCCGAGGAGTCGAGGGCATGCTGGTTTTATCCATTCTTGTCGTTCACACGACGTTAATGGTGTTTTGTCGGTCTCTGGCAAGAGTGTAAGGAGGGGTTCGCCGAGCAATAGTTATTGTTTCCACGGTTGAGTCTTTTGATATTTACGTCGACCCTCTAATATGGAAGCCAGCCGAGGCGCAGGTTCAAACCACTTTCATGCGGGGTCCCATTAATTTGGTTGACGAGTGACGTGCGAGCAACATATTTTGTTTGTCAGGCCACAGAGAGCGACTGGTAGTCGTGAAAGGGCGAGTGATGCGCCCAGGTGCTCACCGCAGGATAACTCGATGGGCGCAAGTCTCAATCGATCCGCACTGGGGCTCAAAGCCGCGGCTCCCGTATGCCTTTTTATCGCGAGACATGGTCTCGGTGTGGAGGGGTCGTGGAGGACAGGCACAAGTACGTGCTCCTCTTCGCGCACGGCCATGGACCGGCGCAAGAACTGGCACGCGCCACGTCTCCCGCGCCAAACTCGCTGGCAACTCGTGGACGTTGATTGTCCAACCATTCGGGCGAGCCATCGTCTCGTCTCTCGACTAAGCTAGGCACGCTGTCTCGCCCGTCGTCCAAGGCACCGAAGTATCCCGCTGACCCCGCCATGAGGAAGCCAATCAGTGACTCACACGCCTGTGGTGGGGCTCGAGGTGCGCTCTGAGTGAGCGCTCGGGCGCGAAGCCGTGTAGAGGGTGACTCTGACACCGTATGGGTCTCTGTCTCAGCAGTGCCGATCTAGCCATGCCTGGCTAGCTAGCGGCCTCTCTGGCGGCAATCTGCTTGAAGATGCAATAGTCGAGAAGGCCAGCCGTCTAGGCCGCGACAGTGCGGGATTCACAAAAAGGTCGACGACTCTCAAGGACTCATGCAGTTCGCAAAGTGTCGGCCGTTTATCACCCCCTCTCCAGCATCCTCTAGCATGCGTTGTGCCTCGCTGCACGCACGCACGCAGTAGCACATTGTACATGCGAATAGTGTCCTACGGAATCTGCACGCCCGCATCTCCTTCGTCCACCGACACGTCCCCTCTCCTCCCGGCCCCCTTGCCAGTTACCAAAGCCTACCCTTTCGGCGACAGCCACGACACCTCTCATGCAGCCACGGCCACGTTTCAATCACCGCCCAGTCGTGTCCCTTGCTCCTCTCGCCTCTCGCCTCTCACCTCTCGCCTCTCTCATCTCCTTCTCTCCAACCCCAACCGCTCGCTGCAGACCGACTGCTTCTCGACCGTCGTGTCTCTCGTCCAAGCATCCTGCTGCTTACGCACCTCCCCCTCCCGTCTTTCCGTTGGAACTCTGTCTACGCCCCGTCGTGGGCGTAGCCCTCGGCACAGTGCACTCGACTGACACTGGACAACTGATGGGCATGCAATCGGCATCCCTGTGAACCACGACGAACACGTCTTGTCAGTCGGCCACTCCCGAGCCGCTCTCTATGGGCTCCAGAGGCACAAGGCGAAGCAAACCCCTGTCTCCGATGCCCGACCCTTATATGCATCCCGACTCTCGTCCTCCCGCCATGTCTCCGCCCACCGCCGCCTCTCACTCCTCCTCTCGCCACAATTTTCCGCCCTCGGCTGTCTCGTCTTCACGTCGCCCTGCAGATCCTAGCCGGGACGCCTTCCCCTTCTCCTTCAACCGCCCATCCCGAGCCAATCCATCCTCGACCAGTCTTGTGCCCTCTACTGCAGAAGGCAAGCCCATTCCCCTCGACGACTCGACTGCTGAGCATCGCACATCGGCTCTCCGAGAAATCAACAACCATTATCCCAGCCGTCACCAGTACGTCAAGTCCAGCGGGGCACAAAGCAGCACCTACTCGGAGCCCGTCATCGTCCGCAGCTATCATCCTCCTGTTCCTGGCCGCCGGCTCATGGGCACAAACGGTGCCGGCTGCGTCGCTCACGGGAGATCTACATCCGCGTCGGGATCGGATGCCGGTGGTCCTGGAGCATTTGTCACTCGTGGCCTCCCCTTTGCCAGCAAAGTCGGCTCTGCAGGAACCGGAATGCTGGGCACAATGGCCCTCACCCGTGCAAATAAGGCGTCTGCGGTCCACATTCAACAAGAGACTCGACTGCCGCCGGTGGAGGCGTTCAGCTTCAAGAGCTTCATGGCCAACATGGAGGCACAAGGCGGCGGTGACGATATCAATGCTGACCTGGACCGCATAGCCGAGATATGTGCCAGGTCTAGATATTCACTAAGCAACCAGTACGAGGTTCACTACGCCCCTCACGGCTCGGGCGCCTCCTTCCTGGCCGCCGCACAACAGCACCATGACATTCAAGGCCCCACCCTGCAGGCTGTGTCGTCGGATGATGAGCGGAGCATGAAGCGACAGAAGAGAAAACGTCATGGCGGAAGGAGGAACAGCCGGGCCATGGGTACGCTCGAGACCATTATGTCGTCAAGCCGGTCCTCGGATGAGGAAAAGTCCAAGCAAAAGTCGGCAGCTGACATTGCTGACGGAATCCGCGGACGGGCCTCGTGGAAGGAATCTGACACCCCGTCACCTACCACATCATCTGGGAGTACCTTTGAAGATGCAAACCTGCAGCACGAGCAAACTCCCTGCAAGGCACAAGCAAGGCGGCCGTCGACTTCGCTGGCACTCATTGACGGCTCGAGGCAGAGCCCTACCCCGCCTGATGCAGCTGAACCAAGACCGACGGCCAGTGGCCTAGTCGGCCAGCCAGCACTACCTCAGGCGTCGACGAGCCACTTGGAAATTCGAACCGCTCCGGAGCAGACACTGGAAGCTCATGGGCATATTAAAACCGCATCTGCTCCGCCTGCGGGCGGTTGCAACATGCCCATGGCCAAAGGCTCTATCCCTTCAATTCAGGAAACTGGACCCGGAGCTGGACTACTAACTGTAATCGGAGGTTGGATACCCTGGGCATCATCCGGGAAACATGGCGGCCGCGCTGAAGGGAGCCTCCGGCATCTCTTGAAGACGGCGGACTACAACAAGGGAAAAGGCGTTGCCAAAGCCTCATAACGAGACGAAAGATCGTCCAGGGAGACCAAGAACCTCGACTTCGCGATACCGCTGACGTGCCGTGCCCACCACAAGAGATGATCCAATCCTCTATTTCAGCGGCCTGGGGCGTTCGGCGACTGGCCTGCTTGGCCGATGTAGATGGAGCCCCAGGGGGCCAGTTACTAAATATGACTTGACGACGTGCAACGGAAATTTCTTTGTGTCTTGCGGATCTTCAAGAGGCAGTCACCATCACTGGAACACGGATTATTAGGCCAACAAGGCCGCAAAGTGCTCTTAGATCCCGCGGGTCGCACACGGCCCGTGTGGTCACCGACTGACGGATGCGGCTTCGGGGAAGGGCAGGAAACTACATTCATTCCCTAGCCAGAATGCCGTGCCCTTTTCTCCAAGATAAACCCTCCATTCACGTCATCCACAATGATGCCAACAGCCCATCCGTCAAACGATCCGTGAGGTCCAGCAACTTTGATCTCTCACCATCTTCGTGGACAGTCAGGGGCCCGATCACAAAACAAAGACAGGAGACGTCGAACAAGACCATTCCAACACAACCATTGCCTCGCCCCTCTTGACCGTCGTAAAGCATCCGTCAACTTTACATTTTCCGGCGCCATCGCGTGAATGCCGGCAGCCGTTTGTTCACAAACACGGGCGACGTACTCTAGACCGCCCGATGTCCGCTACCCTCTGACGCACACAAGGCCTCCCCAGTGCAATGATTACCTCGCACCTTTCCACATTTGTTTCCTCCGTTTCATGGCGAGCCGTCAGCTCGCCAACGTGGGCCATGTAGTCGCTGTCTGATAAGCTCTGCCACGCACAAGACCTCCCAGTGAAACAATTGCATCGCACCTTTCCGCGGTGGAGACCACCGTGGCCAAGGCGGAGGAATAGCCTGAGGAGCTGCGGAGGGAATGCGACTTGTGCCTCGCAAAGGGTCAGCGGGCTTGGACAGAGCTTGGGGAAATCGAGAGCCAGGCAGCTGGGTGGCCAAGCAGACAGGCGGGCATGCCAGCTTGGGAGTAGACTGTCGGGCGAGCAGGGTGATGCACATGCTGTTGACCAAATATTATTTTGGTGTCCGGCAAAAAAGTAACAATACTCTGCTAGATACATCAATACCCGAGGAATTCGACTCATCACTCGCCTAGTCCATGTGAACCCGCTTCGTCTCCCTGTCCCGGTTTTGGCCCTCCGCTCCTCGCTTCTTGTCCTTTTCCCGCGACGCATCCTTGGCCGCCCGCCGAGCCTCGCGTTCCCGGCGCTCGTTCTCTTTGCGCAGCGCCTTGGATTCGAACTCGTGCCACTCACCGTCGATGCTCGCGAGTCTAATTTCAGAAAACAGTCAGTATGCTTCACGTCCCAATGAAAATTGACATGTTGCACTTACTCCACTGCTTGCCTCGGCAAGGGCTCCTCGGTGGTGAAATAGGCATGTTGCAAGGCTTCAGCGGCGGTGGGTCGCTTGGCAGGATCATAATGAAACATGGATGACAGCAAGTCGAAGGCGGCGGGAGTCACTTTGTCTTGGTACTTCTCCGCAAAGACGCTCTTCCGCTTCACCGTGGGCCGCAGCAGCTCGAACCAGGCCATGTCAACAAGTCCGGGCCAGTCCTGGCGGTTCGGCGTCCCGAGGATATTGTAAATCTTTTCCAGTTGGCTCAACTCAGTTCCATCGCCGGCAAAGATGGCGTGCCTGGTGAAGATCTCGACCATGACGCACGCAGCACTCCAGACGTCGACGGCTGCCGTGTATTGGGTTTCTCCCAGGAGCAGCTCCGGTGAGCGGTACCAGATTGTTATTACCCGATTCGTGTAGTCAAGCTGGTGCCGCTTTGCATAGAAGCGAGCCAACCCAAAGTCCGCAAGCTTCAGGACTCCCTCGTTGCTGACCAAGATGTTGGCGGCTTTGATGTCCCGGTGGAGCACTCCTCTCGTGTGTAGGTAGTCGAGACCTTCGAATAACTGTTTTGCGAGATGTTTCCTTTGAGCTGGGTCCAGTTTGAAAGACGGATGGTTGAGGAGGCCTGTTAAGTCGTGGGAAAGGTACTCAAAGACCATGAAGCAGTCGTTCTTCTCCACCATGACCTCCTCGAGATTGACAATGTTGGTGTGCCGGAGAGATTGCAATAGCTTGATTTCTCGGACAGCCGTGACGGGGAAGCCATCTCTCTCGCCCTCCATGCGAATCCGTTTGAGAGCCACAAGGCCTTTGGTGTAGACGTTGAGGCCTTTGAAGACCTTGCCATATGTCCCCGACCCAACTACGGACTCGTTGCCGGGTTTTCTAAAGAAGACGGACTCGGACGCAGCCAAGTCCGAGGGCAAGATTGGCCGCGTCTTCAGCCTCCTCAGGGTCTTCTTCACTTTTCGCACCCGAGGACCCGGTTTCGGACCCCCAAATGCATTCTTTGGATCCGGGCGAGGTCGCGCCGACGCAGGCGCCGTAGGTGCGCTACTGGGAGGATCCCGGTCGCGGCTCGTTTTCTGCTCTGCTTCCTTCCTCTGCGGTACAGCGTTGAACTTTTGCGAGATTTCGAGTTTCGGGGCAGTCGGCGTGGGTTTCGAGGATGGTTTGAAAGAAAAGCTGAATTTCCCCGATGAGCCAGGCTGTGATGTAGTGGAGTTGGATGCTGGTGGTCGACTAGACGAAGGAGCAGCAGCGTCGTCGCGTTGCTTCGATTCCGGAACGTCCACTGCCGACGCCTTGGTTGATTCTTTCGGGTTCTGTTCGACAGCTGGAGCTCCTGCGTCGGGATCTCTCGTGGCGTCATTAGATCCGCCTACGGCACTCTGATGTCTGCTGGTATCGTCAGGTGGAAAGTCGTGGCCCCTGAGCGAGGAGGTTGGCTTGGCAGGTCCCCAGTGCGGATTTTGCGGACCAGATCCCCGATAACCACCCCGGCCTGAGAACGACGCGCCTCGAAAACTGCCACCCCGATAGCTTTCGCGGTAGCCGCCATGTGAATAAGGCTGAGATGGGCCCGACGGCGCAGAGTGAGGGGGGGAATGCGGATGATGGGAGTGAAAGTGCTCTGGCGGAGGGTTCGATGCACCATAGCTTCCGTGGTGGTACTGGGGCGGGGGGTGCCTGTAACGATTAGTGGATGCAGGGAATTGGTACCTCCGACGCACATACTGCTGGGGAGAATATTGGCCGGCCCATCCTCCACGATGTGCACCGTACGGCGACATTGATGGGGAATTCTGGTAGGAGCCGCCGCGCTGGGGAGACTGGGAGTACCCATGAGCATCGCTGTTGCGAGCCTCGTTCCCATAGTAGGGTTTGTGGGCATATAGCGGGTTGTTGCCAGCCCTGTAGCTGCTCCGCGACGCCATATCGTCCTCGAAGTCAGAACGCGAAGAAAAGTGAGGGTCAGCGGACTGCTCCCTGCGTCTCTGCTCCCGATAGGACTGAGGAGACCGCGGCGGTGCTTGCCGAAACAAGGACCGGCGGTCAGGATCCACGCTGGTATGATCCGGTCGGGCGGTACCGTATGGCTGGACCGGTCTGTTGGATTGACCTGAAGGTGACCGACGGCTGTGTTCCCGGAGGCGCTCTGGTGCGGGTGATGGACTTCGAGAGACGGGTGGGGGACGATGGGACCTCGAGGCCCGCGGCCCTGCGTGCCTCGAGACCAAGTCGTTCCTTGTTGGCGACCTAGAGAAGGACCGCCGGGAGCGATCGTGATGGGGGGACAGCCGCCGCCGCTTTCTGGAGTCAGGATCACGTGAGGAACCTCGTTCGCGTCGAGACGGGCTGTAGGACTTCTTGGACCTCTTTCGATGAGTACGCTCAGGCGAGTGACTGAGGCCTCTGTGACGCTTTATCGACGGGGACGAACTCGGAGCGTCGCGATCACGGCTGCGACTGCGTCGGATCGACTTGTCCACTGACTCACGTAGAGTGCCCTCACGATAGCGGGGGATCAAGTCGTCGGCGTCAGACTGCCGACGTACAAGGTCGGACGAGCGATGTCGACTGCGATCTCGGGAACGGCGAGCGTCGTTGGAGGCGTGTTCTGGTTTCGTCGAATGGCGATGCCGGGGTCTGCTGGCGGAGCTGCGGCGAGGCTCCCTGGGAGGAGATCCCGGTCGGTGCGAGGATTTCACTCCTCTGCCAGACCGGACCCGTTCGCCGTGGGCATCTCTTCCTCCGACGTCTTTCATGGCAGCATGTCGACGGCGACGTGGAGGCTTTAGCAGATCCCTCATGGCGGCGGCGAGTACTCGGTACCCCAGTAGAGTTTTAGCGCCTTGGTGGTAAATCGCCGCACCTTAGCCGAGCCGACAGACAGCACAACCAGGCCGGCCGACCACCCCTCTCCAGTCAAGCCGACCAAACAACCACTTTGGTACCTGATCCGACCGAGGTCAATAATCAAGCTGGCCATTGGTAGTCAAAACTCAAGCCGACCAAGGTTAAAGTCAAGCCGACCAACCATTGGAACTGGTCGGCTTGGCGGTAGCGAAAGTGGGTTTTTGGTAGGCTTGACTACACGCCGCGCCGTGAGCACCAGCGCCTCGGCCGGCTGTGGTTTGGTGAGCGCTGAGCAAAATCCTCGGCAGAAATGTTAGATGGTGATAAGGCGGGAGGGGTGGGAGAGAGGGGGGAGAGGAATGAAAGAAGGGGCAAGTCGTCTGGGCGGCGGACGAGATAAACCAGAGCGAAGTGGCATAGCGATGCAAAGACTGCTCCTCCAACTTTGAAGGACTGGATCCCACTCGGGGGGGGCTGCGAGATGGCCGATCGGTCATCGCATAGTTGGCATCAACTGAAGCCGCTTGACATAGCTTTTGCGTCCGCCAGTCCCGCGTGTAGCCCGTCACCAGCAGACCTTTGTTCAGCCTCCCGGTCCCAGTTTCCCCTCAGCAACAACGACGGCCCTCGAGTCCGCCACGGCGCGCAAACGCGGGGTTTGCACGCTGAAGACACGTGAAGCACTACATACGAATCCTCGCGGATCCCATTTACGCATTTTCCTCCACACATCCACGCATGTCTCGTGCGGCTGGTAGCCCTCAAAGCTGTGACCTGGGGCAAATTTCATGTCAAGGTGTCAGGAGCCGGCAAGACAGCCATGGCAAAGATTGCGAGCCCATGTCAGATGGGAAGTCTGCGGGTTGGTGACGACGCCCTGCCAGCTTCCTGCACGTATCAACATGCGGCCAGATTGTGGGGGGCCAGATAGGGCGTAAACGGCAGATGCACAGCTCCGGTAGGAATCCGCAAGAAGGCCGTGGCGGAGCAACGGGCCTCAGAACGGATCAAGTTTTCCGCTAGAGCTGCAGTCGTATCTCTGTGCCCCGCGCAGCAGCGACTGGAGTATGGCCGTGATGATCACTGAAGTGACTGTGTCGGCGCGACGCGCTGAAGTGAATAGGGGGGCATGGCCGAGTCCGTGTTCCTCACTGTGTCGAACGGACAACAGGTGCAGAATCTTCCATCGAAATATATATAGCCTGGCGGCGACCTGGTGGCCGTCAAGTCTGTCTTGCGCCGGCAGAGGGCGGCAACAGCGGCGGAAGTAAGCTGCAAGAGACGATCGGGTCCTGGCAGATGGCGCCCCAGCGGGCCCAGAGAGCGCATGCCGCAACATTCAGGCATCGAGCTCCGGCACATCGCAGGCGGCTCCAGGCTCCCCAAAATGCGTGAGAAGCAGCTTCCCGTCCATAAGTTCAGTCCAGTGGCATGGAGGCCCCGCTGTCGGCGCCGTCGTGGCAAGGCGATGGCATGGGCGACAGGCAGGTGGTAGAGGACAACATGACGGATGGCCAGGCCTGTGGGTGCGCAATGGCCCCCTCTACAAGGCTTGGCCGTCCAGGCGGCAGAAAGGCATGGCCCAGAAGATTGTCGCGATGACGCCTCACATGCGCCTGGGACGCGGCGTGTATCGGCGTTGGCGAAGAAGTCGTTCTGACACGAGCCCTGCCAGGCTGTGTGGTCCGGGCAAATTGTCGGGCGTTGTGCGGTAGCCGAAACAGAGTTCACCGCGAGGCTTGGTCACGTGCAAGTCACGGGACTCGCGGCCCGGTACCTAGCCCGCCGCTGTTCCGACTCCGGCCTGCCAGCGGCTAGCCTACAGCAGCACCCCCCCTAGAGGCATTCCTGTTGTGCTGGGCACTGTACGGCGCGCGAACCTTAGCCTTGAATCGAGCCCCGGATTCGGGTCTCTTGAACGCCGAGCCGTTCATCCCGTCCGCCCACGGACGACCACGAGGCTTCGAGATTCCGCTCTCTTTCGTCAAGTCAACCATCGCTCCACAGCTTATGCTTCATTCCAACGGAGGTTATGCCTTATCCGACTACCTTATCCGACTACCCTCTGTCCGGACCCAATCTAGCCCGTCAACGTTAAATGCGTACAGTGCAGTGGTGATGGGGCTAGCGGACTCGGCAGCAAGCAGGCCGGCTCAGGCCAGAGGTCACGTATTTTATGACCTCTCGCTTCCCGCTTCGCCCCCTCGTTTCTTGTCGAGGCCAGATATGTGATCCATCTTGCACGTCTGCTTTGTACATATCCATCTGCCCGGCGGAACTCGAAGCCCTACATCGCTGCTCTGTGATCCCCTGCCTGGATCCCAGTCTTTCGGCACGTGTCATCGCCCCAGTTTGAAGCACTGCCTATCGCTAGTCTTGCACTCACTCATCATCATCATCATGGAGTGGTTAGGACAGGCAAAGATCGAGTTCACCCATGCTCCGTCGCCCATGGCCATCAAGGAAAAAGATGGGACCAAGACGGATCTCTTACAGATCTGCGAGAAAAACACTCCGCCTTGCACTCTCAATCCCTGGCTGTTCAACGGGCACCTTCAGACTCTTTGGACGGCCACCAAGCCTCATGGGCCCAAGATATTCTACCGCCGCAGAATCTTCGAGGCGGAAGAGAAGGCTTTCCGAGGCAGCTTTGCTGTCGACTTTGTCGTCGAGCCACACGAGGAGCATGACAAATCCCTGCCGTGGAGGACAGTCCATTACACCGACGAGGAGCTGAAGACCATGGGCTCAGACGATAGCAAGCCCATGCTTGTTGTCCTCCATGGCCTGTGTGGCGGCTCCCACGAAGTCTACCTTCGATCAGCCATCGCACCCCTGCTTGGCGAAGGCGGCTGGGAAGCCTGCGTTATAAACTCGCGGGGATGCGCCAAGAGCAAGCTCACGAGCGGTATCCTGTACAATGCCCGTACCACTTGGGATGTGCGACAGGTACGTTGCGGCTCCGCGGTATAGCGATGCTACAAGTCTGACAAGAGCCCGGAACATCAGACGGTGAAATGGCTGCGCAAGACCTATCCGAATCGGCCGTTATTCGCCATTGGCTTCTCCCTTGGCGCCAACATACTCACCAACGTAAGCTGCTCCAGAGTTGCTCACATCTCATGCGGCAGAGTCTAACAGATTTGGCAGTACTGCGGCGAAGAGGGCCCCAACTGCTTGTTGAAGGGAGCCGTCATCTGCTCGAACCCCTTCAACTTGGAAATATCCAGCAAGTTTCTGCAGGGCAGTTTACTCGGCAAGGAGGTTTATCTCCGCTCAATGGGGTGTAGGCGACAGACCATCCGTTGCGCGCCGACCGAGACTGACCAACGAATAGCCACAATGAAGGAGCTTGCAGTCACGAACAGAAAAGAGCTTGAAATGTATAGCGATCTCGACATGGCAGCCATTGACAAGGTCACATACCTGTTCGAATTTGATCGCGCGGTCCAGTGCGTCGTCCCGTTGAGTGAGCGTGTCGAGGAGACGGCTGACGAAGTATTGCAGGTGCCCGACCTGGGGTTACCCAACCGAGGACGCCTACTACCGTGATTCCTCGTCAGCAGATTCCGTCCTGTCGATCAGGATACCTTTCATGGCTCTCCATGCAACCGATGATCCGGTACGGTGGTCAGCCTCCCTCGTCCTTGAAGCACAGTCCTAACGCAGATGGTAGATTGCCATCCGCCAGGCGATTCCTTACCAGGAATTTCGAGAGAACCCGAGCACGGTTCTGGTCACGAGCTCGCTCGGAGGCCACCTCTGCTGGTTCGAATCCGGCGGTGGTCGCTGGTACCCTCGCCCGGTACGTGCAAATCTGCATGCATAAATGGCCCCGTGCTGATTGATCTAGGTGTGCAACTTCCTCAACCACATGGCGTTTAATGTCGACCTGGACAGCGTCAAGCCACTGGAGGACCCTCAATCAATGGTGAAGCCGCTGCGGAACCTCAAGTACGATCCCATGCGTCGCAAGTTGGCCGTTGCCCAGAATTAGGCAGCACCCAAGGATGTGTGAGGAGACGGGGCTAGATCGCGGAGGACGACGTGCCAATAGACAGATGGTGAGAGGAGGCAGTGACTTTCATACAGACAAATTTGAAACCATTTGAGCAGACTTGATGGTCAAATATAAGCTCTTACATGAGAGACCTTGAGCTTTATTCGGGGCGTGGTTCCACGACGTCGTTCAAGCTTGCACTCTCTCAGAAGTCCACATCCGGCTGCACAGTGCGTCATCCCATGATATGAACTCCAAGCGCCGAGCAATGCAAGACAAAAAAAAGAAACATGAAAAAGGAAACAAGTAGATGCCACGGATACACAGCAGAAGAGATCCATTGTTGAGTCTCTCATGCGAAAGAAACCTTCTTCTTGGGTTTCGCGGCTTTTGAACCTGGAGATGTGAAGTCTCTGATGGATTCGTCTTCGACGTCGGTACCCTTCCGCTTTCGCTTCTTCCGCAGCGACTTTTTCGTGTCCTCAAGCTTGGCTTTTTTCTCGGCTTCCTTCTTGGCAGCCTCGACCTTTCTGGCTTCGCGGATTTCTTCCATCTGCCGGGCCTTGATCATCTTGGACTCGATCTGGCCATTCTTTTCCGCCTGGACCATGGCGAGGATCGTGTCCATGCTCTTCTAATAGTTGAGTCAGCATCCGCGCCGAGCTGTGTCTGTGAAAAGAAAGATGCGCACCGTGTCGTCCACAAAAACTTTGCCCTTCTTCTTGCCTCGAGGCTTCACGACGCCCACGGGAGTGATCATGTTGAGCTTGGGGATGCCCAACTCTTCCTCCGTATAAGTCTTCTTCTTGGGCCTCTTGACCAGGGCGGCTCTGTTCTTCTCCTTGAGCTGCTTGGACGGCGGGGCGCCAGTTGGCTTCTTGGATTTGGAGACGCCGTCGGTGGATGATCTCTTTGCGCCTTTGCCGGGGGCGTCGGATTTGGGCGCGGCGTGCTTGTTCTTGACTGTCCGTGTTCTCGTCGGAGCCATTGCAAGAGCTGGCTAGGGGGAGCCACCGGTTTCGAAACGTTTGACAACTCTGTTGGCGAGGCTGGAGATGCTGGGCGAGGCTCGCTCGTCTCGAATTTTTTTCCCGTTTGGAGTGGGGGTTTGCAAGGCGATAAGCCCGGAGAGAGGCGATAAGAATGGGGCCAGCGCCAGTTACCTAAGGTAGGTACTGTACCTTACTTAAGACCGATCCCCTGCAGCCACCCAGCGCATCACGGCAGCTCAGGGCTCAGGTACCAAGAACCAACGGCGGGAGCACTCAAGCACTCTACGACGTGCATCTGCCATGTCAATGTGATGAGCAGCTTTGTTTCCAAGCAAGAGCTCATGATTTCTTCGTTATGGATCATGATGGAAAGAGTCAAATCGCCCTTTGCATCGGAGACTTGTAAGCTAGGCCAGCCCGACTTTGCAAACACTCACAAAGTCGCGTGCACAAAAGTCCAGCCGGCTGGCGGATGGCGCTCTACAGCACAGATAGAGGCCTTTCCAGAAGCTGACGAGCGCTGTCGCTGGCCCCCCCGCAGGCTCTTGCACCCAGCGTAGGTGGAGCCCAGGTAGGTGGTAGGTACCGGGCCTGCTAGGCTTTTGGGCCAGCACCGCGAATGGCGGTACCTCCCCAGTACATGCCTCTCTGGCTGAGATTTTTCACCACCTCAACCCAGACAGACCTACTTATTATTTTCCTCGGTGCTTCGCGCAGAATTTCTTCCTCAAACCTCGTCCGGTCCTCACAGCTCATCCGCAACATAATATCCATCTCATTCCGCTTCCTCGACAACAATTCTCCCATTACTCTCATCATCGTTACCGATTCTTGTGCAGACGCCGAAAATCAGAATCCATCGCGCCGGTCTACGCCATCTGCCGAGCCAGCCACCATATCGTGACGTCGTCGCCCATTCTGTCCCGCGTTCTCTCGTGCCCTCCAACAGCCTCCGTCTCCGAGACCAACTACGACGGAACTAAAAGAGCATTCTTTTCTCTGCCATATTCTTGCCACGCCGCTTCGCCATCATCCTCGTAACGCCCACGACCGCTGCCACTCGCCGCCTTGGCTCTCATAATTCCAAGCCGAGGTGTCTCGTCCAACGTCGTGCCCGTTCGTTACAGAGGTGATCGCAACAAGGCTTAATGGATACTAACAATCTGTGGTCTCGTCGCACAAAGTAATGCCCGTCGTGCTACTCTGCCAGCCCACCATCGCTAACGTCATCTCTACTTCTAGTTCCGGCAAGCTTTCCCTCTCGACCTCGAATGGGCCCAACGGCTCCTCGACTGGCGAATCATCCTCCCGCAACACCTCATCCTCCAAGCGCCATGGCGGCGACTCATCGTCACAAGGCAAGGTCAGCCCCTTCAACTCTTCCGGAGGAGGCGTGGTATCCCCCACGAGCGGCGCCTCCAGCGCCTTCGGCTTAGGCTCCGGCGCCTTTGCTTCCTTCGGGTCGACGAAGCCGCTCAAGACCCCCGGCAATCCCTTCGATAGTGCTATGGGTACGGCTGTGGCAAAAACAGGTTCGGCCAAGGACGGGCCCAGGCCCATGGGCCGCGCCCCTAGCATGGCGTCCATCTCGGAAACCAAGGCATCGACCTCGTCGACGGCCGCCCAGGTCCATCCACTGAAAGATGTGTGGTCCTTCTGGTATCGGCCTCCCATCTCCAAGGCCCACGGCTACATCGAGTACGAGAACACCCTGCACGGAATCGCCACGGTCAAGACGGCGGAGGACTTTTGGCGAATCTATTCGCACCTTAAGCGGCCTTCCTGTCTGCCCGTGGTGTCCGACTATCACCTCTTCAAGAAAGATATACGACCGATATGGGAGGACGAGGTGAACCGCAAGGGAGGCAAGTGGGTTGTGCGCATGAAAAAGGGCGTGGCTGATCGATACTGGGAGGACTTGCTTCTCTCTTTCATTGGCGATCAGTTTGGCGATGCTGGCGAGGACGTTTGCGGCGCTGTGCTCAGCATGCGCAACGGCGAGGACATATTGAGCATCTGGACCCGGACTGACGGCGGTCGAGTGCTCAAGATTCGGTACGTTCTCTTCACCCCCTTGAACTGCCAACTTTGAATATGAGCTAACCCTAGCTGCCCTAGCGAAATCATGAAGCATGTACTCAACTTCCCGCCAAACACGCGGGTTGAATTCAAGAGTCACGATTCTAGCATCCAGCAGCGAACCGCCATTGACGAGCAGCGTCGCGAAAAAGCCGGCCATACTCCAGGCGACAAGCGTCAAACCTCCGGCGCCCCGAGGCAGAACCATGACTAAATCGGTCTCCAACCTTGGGGCTTCGGCTGTGCCGGGTCCTCTCGCACGCGCCAGCCCCCGGGAGAGGCATTATGTACAGTATAGCCGAGAGCACTTGGTTTAAACGTCGCAAATGGCAATGCTTCGCTGATCCAGCTGCATTTGCAGATTCTCGTCCTTTGACTTGTTTGCTTGGATGAGAGGAAGGGATTCTGGCTTTCGTTTTACCGGCATGCGAGGATGAGGTTTTGATAAGAAGAGATGAGCGAGACGAAACAGTCCATCTGGAACATGGTGGTCATGAGCGTCGAGGTGAACGTGGATATGTATTATATCTCTATGATCTAGGCGCTCCGAGCGGATGAAGTCCAGACGCTCTGCTGTGCTGGTAGAGGCTCGCGAAGTTCAGCGGTTTTGCGAGCATGGGAAGCTCCCCTGGTCCACCATTGTCCTCTCATGACTCTTGTCCATGAACCAGACATCGCTCGGAGCTGTGATGCGGCGCACACCCGAGTACCCCGATCGATAACCTCAAGAGGTCGACTTTCCTTTCCCCTTTGGTTCTCTCCTCCGCTCCCAAACTTGCAGATATGTCTCTCCAAGGTACAGCAGCTCGCTCTGGACCTTGTCCACAAACAGATCCTGGCAGACGACCCACTGCCCCGTGGCCTTGTCCTTGACCTGCACCTTCCATGTCTTGCGCTCCTCGCCGCTGTCGGCGACATCGTCCTTGGTGCGTACGGCCTCGTGGACAATGTTGGCGACGAGGTCGTACCAGATGGGCTCGCTGGGGGGCCACTCGTTGGGGTTTGGCTCGACGTACGGCGACACGTCGAGGTTGCGGGCGTCAAAGGTGACAATGGTGGGGTTGCGCTCCGCCACGAACTTGTTCTGCGAGAAGCGCTTGACGTGGAGCATGAGGTAGGGGGGGAGGGGGTGCAGGAGGCGGTAGCGCTTGCGCTGGGCGTGGTGTTCCTGGGCGCGCTGGCCATCGTATTTGCTGAGGATGGTGGTCAGGGGCACCTGGGGGATGATGTTCTTCTCGAGCTCGTCCTGGAAGAGGGGCGCCGAGGGGAGGTCGAGGGTGAGGAGGAGGAAGCGCACGATATCGACCTTGACGTCGGCGGCCTCCTCGAAGCGCAGCTTGTCGCCGGCATCGGCGCGCGCCGTGATGGCTTGCGATTCGACCTTCATCTTGCCCTGGAACGTGCGCTGGACCATGGAGCTGCCGGGCTTGGTCTTGGAGCCACCGAGGCCGAGGTGCAGGTTGTTGAGAAACCACGAGAGGAACTCGACGGGGTCCGACTGCGCGGTGAGTGTGAAGCGCTTGTTGGAGCGGAGGGAGATCTCCTGGAGGAGTTCGTGGGGAGAGACGTGGGCCTTGAAGGCGCGGGGGTTCCATATCTTGCGGAACAGGATGCTGCAGCGCTTGACGAGCTCTGACTTGGCCGAGAAGTCCTCGAGGAGAAGGTAGTTCCTCAGCGGCGTCACGTGGGAGAGGGCCTGGACAACGACATTCAGGTAGTCGTTCTCCTTGATGTTGTTCATGCCGACAAAGCCCGGCGTGTACTGCTTGCCCGCCAGCGTCCAGCTCTTGGTGTCGCCGCGGTCCAGCCCCATGACCTCGGTCTTGGTGTAGCGCGGGTCCGACACGTACTTGATGTCGTCGAGCGCCTTGCTCTTGACCTCGTAGCCCTCAGGGAGTACGTAGACCTTTTGCGTCTCGAGGTTGATGAAGACGTGGTGGTCCTCGTCGAGCGAGTGGAAGTAGGCGTGCGAGCTGAGCCCGCGGCCCTGGAAGTACTTGCCGCAGATGAGGCACGCGTAGACGTTGATGTTGGAGAGGGAGATGGAGCAGAGCTTCTCAAAGTCGAAGTCGAGGACATGGCGGTCGATGGTGTCGAGGTATAAATCATCGTAGCCTTCCGTCGGCGCGTCCTGCCGAGTCGGCGCCTTCAAGGGATATGCCGCTTCCAGCCCGTCATCATCGTCACCGTCGTCGTCACCGTCGCCTTCCTGCGCCCTCACTTTGCCGTTCGCCCGCCCATTCTGTCGCCCGTGGCGGCTCGCCTCCCCCGTCTGCAGCGGCGGCGAGTCGAGCTCGGCTGTCCGCGACTTCTTGGACGCAGGCGAGGCGACGCCGGCCTGGTCCTCGAGGGCCTCCGAGGCTTGGCGCTTGACCATGGTGCGTGCGAGCCCTGTGGCCAGGCTGTGGGAGAAAGTCTGCGACGGTTGTCACGCTTTCTCGATGCGTTGCTTGGTCGTTTGTTTGGTTGAGCAGGCGATGACAAGGCTGAGAGATGAAGCATTGTGGGGCAGCAGGCGTGACTGGGCTAACAGAGTACAAAGTACATGGTCAAAGACTCCAAATAGCTCAACCTTATGCTCCGCTTGCAATTGCACTCTAACCATCCAACTCCAATAAACAAAACAAATCCTTGGCATGAATTCACTGTTGAACAGTAAGTTAAATACAGTTCTGGAGATAATTGCGGAACCTTTCTGGTCTTGGAGAAAGAAAACAGCATGGTTTAAGCGAAGCGGATCGAGGGCCTTGAATCATCGCACTCTAGCCCGCCGAAACTGTAAATCTTCGCAGTGTGCACATGGTCCGAGATCATCGTTTCCTTAGATTCGTTGAACGCGACATCAGCCCACCATCACAGTGTCCAACTGTCCGTCCGTTTCCCTCATCACAGTGTCCTCCGCCTCCTCGAGCGGCGCGAGGCAATCCATCTCCTGCAGTGTATATTCCACCAGATAGCTTTCGTCCACAAGCTCCTCCATACGCTTGTAGTGGCGTTCAGTGTATGCTCGAAGCCCGTGCAGCACGTCTTTGAGGCTCTTCTGGCCTCGGGCCCCCTTGACAGCGAGGTTGGAGAACTTGGACGCAGGGTAGCTTCTGATGAGCGTTCGCAGAATCTTTTGCGCGACTGGGGCTGTTCGTGCGTTGGTGTTCCAATCCCGCAGCCTGAGGAGAAGCAGAAAAATCTGCTCATCCGAAAGGTTGGCAACAACTTCGTCCACGGCCTTGCGTCCACACAGGCTTCCCTCCTCCGGGCTGGGGCTCGTCACCACGGAGGTGAACAAGCTTAAAAGACGGCCCGGGTGATTCAGCTGAAGGGCCAATGTGATAGCCTCTCTGTAAGAGCCCGCAAATATGTGGTTTTGCAGCTCTTGCTCTTGCTCAATCACTTTCAGTGCTGCTTCTGAAGCGGCTGCTTGAGTTTCGACTGTTGTGTCCTTCCAGAAAGTGACGGTCGAGTCACCGCCCCCAGAAACAATCAGGTTGGTTTCTGGATGAACGGCCAAAGCCCACACCCTGTCCTCGTGATTGTCTAGGGTGCACTCAGACTCGCCAGAGTTGGCGTCCCATATTTTGACCAGCCCGTCGCCTCCAGCGCTGGCAAAGTGTACTGCCTTCTTTGGCTGATCCTGGCCCGTGGGCACCTTCAGCCAAGCCACCTTGAGCACACTGTTTGAGTGACCCTCAAAGGTCCTGATGCATGTGTAGTCGGAGAGGCTCCAAAGCTTGATGCTCTTGTCGCCACTACCGGTAATCACAACACCCTTGCCGGTGACTGGGCCGTCTTCGGTCTGTATGGCCGGTAACTGCGCGGGTGAGAACCGAACAGACCAGACACCTCGCCTGTGCCCCCGAAGAATGCCTTGGACTTCCCCTTCCTGCACCGACCAGATTTTTACAGTCTTATCCTGCGAAGCAGAGGCAAAAAGTTGCCCTGCGTGATGTACGTCGATGGCGTTGATGTCCTTGTCGTGCGCCTTTCGCGTGAAAAGGGCCCGCGAGCCTGCCTTCTGGCTCTGCTGCTGTGGGTTCCGCGGAATCTCCCACTTTTTGACCGTCTGATCCTGCGACCCTGTTATGACATAAGGGGGTGGATGGTTCAGGGGATCTAGCCGGGACGGGGTTCCCTCCGCCGGAACTGTGCGGCACAGGGCCACCGCGCCTAGAGACTCGGCGTGGCCAGAAAACACGGCCCAGCAGGTAAATGAGCGATTTGATGGATCAATCCGCCAGAGCCTTGCGGTGTTGTCTTTGGCCCCTGTCGCAATCCAATGGCCAGACCAGTCCACGTCCAGAGAAATGATGATGTCCTCATGCCCCCGCAACAGAGCCACATCCTGTCCAAAATGTGACGTCTTGTTCGCCGCCCATTCTTGCCTCTGGTGAACCTCGGACTCGGCCACGGAGATTATTCGAATGTCTTCCGAGTTTGTAGAAAGCGCAAGTAAGGAATTGTCCGGAAGCAGGAAGCCCAGGTCAATGATCTCGTCATGTGAGCCTGATATGCGACGAAGCGGTTCCGGCGGAGGGATCGATGCCCCACCGGCCCTTGTTGGCAGTCCATACAGGGCCAGCGTGTGATCGACCTGGACACAGAGTATAAACGGTAAACCAAGCAGATAAAGACCGGACACGATGGACTCTTCTTCGCTCTTGGCTGGCTGCTTCTGGGTGAGCTCTTTTCCAACGTCCGTGTCCCATATGCGAAGACATCCGTTGGATCCAGCTGAGAAAGTGAGCCGGCCCTCATCCATGAACCCGACCGTTTCGACAAGCTCCAAGCAAGGAACGACTTTCTTCAATTTCCAAGACTTGGCGTCCCACCAAATGATGGTCTTGTCCCTGCTCGCGCTGACAATGGCATCCTGGTCCGGCGAGTAGTCCAGGCTCGTGACATTAGACACATGGGAGTCTAGATTGGCGATGCAGCTTCGCTTGTGCAAGTCCCATATTCGCACCTTGCCATCCTGACTGCCGGAAGCAAGTCTGAACCTAGCCGTGGTGAGACTGCCGGCTTCTTCATCGTCCGGGTCAGCCTGCGCCTTGGCTCGTTTTCTGCCGTGGGATGAATTGCCTGCGCCCTGTGTTCGAGCCGCAACCTCGAAGAAATGCAGCGCAGAAACCAGGACAGAAGGGCCACGGAACGTGTGGGTAACGTAGCCGCCCGCGATGTCCCACACCTTGATCGCCCCGTCCGTCCCTCCAGTTGCTAGCAATGTGCTCGTGCGGTCGACAGCCAGGACCACGACGGGGGTCGAATGCGGCTTCAGCGTCCGGATAAGAGTGGCGTCAAGTGAATCGTCATCGGAGGAGTGGCTCAAAGCGAATATCCGCATGGACAATGACCGCGAGCATATTATCAGATGAGAGCCGGAAGGCGTCACTGGCAGTTCGTTAGAATGCAATGCCGATTGAAGGGGGTTGCGGGCCACCAACAGGTTAGCGTTGAGATGAGCTCTCCATCCTGAGCAACGAATCAGCAGTTAGTGTGCTACTCTTCAAGACAAGTGGTTTTGCTCCTTACGCCTTCGATTTGAGCAAGATGCCTTCCGTTGGCGGGGTTCGTCAGAACAGCATCCTCCCCCAGTGTAGCGGCCAGTATCTGGGCATTGTTGTCGATCGCGACAGAGCCGCCGGTGAATATAGGCCGGATGACACGGTTGGCATCGAATGTCGTCTTTAGAGGCTGTTTGGTCGCCATTGCGAATATGGTTGAGTCGATGCAATTCACTTCATAGCAGTATCGTGAACGAGTTCCATCTCGAGTTTTTTTTTTCGAGTCACGATAAGATAACAACGCGCGTAAGGAGTCGCTGAGTCAGCAAGCCTTCGAACGTCTCATCTCCAGAAAGCCCCATCCTGGTACATTAGCGCATCCGCTGAAGCTCCATCGCGGCTCGCATCTATCGGCCTCATCGCAACGCCCTTGTCTGTGCTGCGAGGGAGCAGGCAACTTTGCGAACGAGACTGGCGAGTAATCGGCTTCATCATCGTGCAGAAAATCTGCCTTCGGCATGGGCATGCATGGGCCTCTGACGGCCCAAGCTCTGGTAAGACTCGCCGGTGCGGCATGGCGACCCAGGCAAACTAATAGCATCATTCATCAAGGGCCGGTCGCCTTATGATGATGTGGTCGAGGGGGAGGGAGAGGAAGATCCTCGACAGCCTACCCAGCAGTACGACTACCGAGGCCGCCCATTCAACCCGGAGACGAGACGCGTCAATCGCGAGATCGTGAGATCTCACAATGAGGTCATGCTTGTGATCGGCGTCGCCGAAGCAGAGAATCCAGCCCTGAGCGCAGAAGCCGAGTCCCACCGGCGCCACGAAGCCTACGAAGAGTCTGTCGGCCTTTTTCTCGCCTCACCAGCCAAGCGCTGCGTCGAGGCAGTCGGAATCTTTGGCATCAATGGCCTAAGACATCGGATCCTGGTATGACATGGTTCAAACTCATATGATGCGCCAAGGCACTGACATAACCAAGATCTACAAGCGGTACTCTCAGATTCCATTCTGGGAGCTCTTTCAGGCAGCCCGGAATGACTTTTCTCTCTCACGAGACATCTTCGCAGGTGCTTCCTCGAGCTTTTTCATACACTACATTGAAAACACCTTCAGACGCATGCTCGCGTGCGACGCAGGCTGCTTGGTGCCAAGTCGTTTGTAAGGGCTCTCTCTTCCTTCAGCGAAAACTTCTTCGCCTAACTTTAGACAGAACTCTTGAGATCTGGAGCTATATCCGGATTCACTTGGAGCTCCACGTTGCATTGCAACACTTGGGCCTAATACCCAACAAGCTGCTGCTTCCGAACCCCAAGTTCTTTATCCCGTTCACGGACGCGTCCCCGATCTCTGCACCTCCAGCTCCAGAGGACTTCAGTATTCCATCCTTGCTACGATGGCTTGGCGGTGCCTTCATCTCCACGACGCCCTTCATCGTCTGGGTCATGGCTCAGCGAATGCTGAGGGAGTGGAAGCCCCAAATTTGGAGCCATGTCTTCAGGTGGATTCCAAACACCATGTTCCGTGGCAAGAAAGCCCCGCCGCTTCCGCCGCCGTCTTTGCCACCCCCTCCGCCGCTTTCCACAACCTTCCCGGGACCATCACAGGGAGGAAATGAGCAGCAGGCACCTGCCGGAGACGAGGGCACTCAGCAAAACGGCGTATCTCGCTCGCGTGGTTCGGAACCTAATCCCACTGACCCGTCTGGATCAGCCGAGGCGGCCAGGAGGCCGAGTCTCTTCTCAACCAGAGGCGATGACTATGCGAGCGACGAAGATGAAAATGAAGGTGTAAGCGCCACTCTCATAAGCTTCGACGTCGAAGCCACCGAGTCGGCAGACGCCCCTCCCGGTCTGTGGTCCGCTGAGCTGCGCCCGAGCCAATTCCAAGAACCGAGGACATGTGCATGCCAACATCACCCCCTCTACTTGGACACGTTGCTCACCCAGCTTCCTGCACTCATCGGGTCTCACATCTTTACCGATGCCATCACCCGGCTCGTGATGACGCCTTACGAAGCAACCGCCCTACGACTAGTTGCGCGGACGTTACGCCTGAACCAAGGGCTCTCGTCCCAGGACATTCACGCCGCAAGTTTGCTGAGCGGGCTTTCCTGGACTACTGCCATGAATTTCTTCGCCACCGAGTTTCTCCATCTCGTTTTATGTGGAGAAGTCTGGGCTGCGTTCACAGGTATCTCGCAATGGTTTCACAAAACAGAGGAAGAGTGGAAAGCAGGTGAAGCCGGAACTTGATACCGCACAAAGGGATGCGTCAATTGCTTTGGCGAATCGGTTTGAGCCACCGCATACTACGAGCACCTGGCGCAAGCCCCATTGTCATCACTTACATATCGCGCAGTCCTCTACTAGGAAACCTCCTTTTCAGGAGCAAGCCAAAACTTACAATTACCCTCCCTCTCAGCGACGCTGGGGCCCAGCTTTAGCGCCACAGCTGTTTGATATGAACTTCCTCATTGTAAATAGACCGAGCCAATACCCTTTCAGAAATCTTGATGCAGGTTTTATTGAGACATATCAAGAGACTGTACAGAAACAAAATGCCTCAGCGCCTATACCGGCCTACTACAAACAGCTCTCGCTTGGGAAAGTGCAATTTAGGTCGATGCCCCGGTCCATCTATCAAGCCCCGTTCCGATACACCTGTGCTCCCGAATTCCTGAACATGATCGTGTCTCGGCGTTGCAAAATCATCAGCGCCCTGTTCAGGGCCTGCTCACTATATCCCTTTCCTTCGACCATTTCGCGCCTCAGCGTGGCCAGGCTCGTGCTCCATCCGATGGGCAGCCGTCGCTTCAGCTCAACCTCGAGGCGGTTTACTTCCTCGTTCAGCTCGCGACTGCCCTGGTTGCTTCCTTGGTTGACGGCATCCATGGTGGAGCAGAGGAATAGTCGAATGGCCTCATCGACGTGCTCCTCGGTGGCAACGGGGGAGAGGGTGAGCTTGGCGAGAGATTCCGTGATGCGGACGATAGCTTCCAGTTGACGAACCGTGATGGGGATGGAGGAGCGAGTATTGGCCTCCATTTCGGCAGCATGGACTTGTCGACGAATAGCCACGAAGTGAGACGAAAGCTTCTCGGCAGCCTGGTCGCTGAGTCTGGGAGCGCATCGACTGTTTGCCGCATTGTTAGCATCCACGCAACCAAGAAAGTACGCAACGGGGCCACAAACGTTCTGCAGTATGTCAGATATCGCCGCATCTTGTCGACGGAAATTTCTGCCTCGGCAACCTCCTCTGCCCCACGGCCATCCATGTGGATGCCCATGACGTGCCTAGCCATTCTTTCGTCCTTTTCTCGACTGTGTTCATCCTTGACGATGAAGATCATATCGAAACGAGACAAGATGGTGGTCTGGAAGTCGATGTTCTCTCCTGGTGTCTTCATATCGTCGTACCGGCCAAAGATGGGGTTGGCAGCGGCCAGAACCGATGTCCGAGCGTTGAGAATTGTCGTAATGCCAGCCTTTGCAATGGATATGGTTTGCTGTTCCATGGCTTCATGGATGGCCACACGGTCCTCGTCTCTCATCTTGTCGAACTCATCGATACACACGACACCGCCATCGGCAAGAACCATGGCACCGCCCTCAAGGTAGAACTCCCGAGTGGACTGATCTCTCTGGACGGACGCCGTCAGACCGGCTGCGGAAGAGCCCTTGCCGGACGTGTAAATCGAGATTGGTGCCGCTCTCTCCACGAACTTTAGCAGCTGAGACTTGGCCGTGCCCGGGTCGCCGAGGAGCAGCACGTTGATGTCACCCCTAAGCTTCATACCATCGGGCAGGATTTTCTTGGAGCCGCCTAGTAGCAGACACAGGATGGACTTCTTGATGTCCCGGTTGCCATAAATTGATGGGGCAATGCAGTCCGCCATCATGTTATAAAGGTCCGGTCTGCGGCTCAGTTCGAGGAACTCTTGTTCTTCCTCCTCTGTATAGTTTGCGCCTCCCTTGGCCGTCTTGTCCATATCGGTCTGAATGCCCACGGCTCTTAGGTAGGGCGTCCGGATTGCAACGGCCCCACCGGTCGAGGAATTCTTTGATGCCTTGCTTTGATAGATTGAGAAAATGCCCATGACCGTACACCTCGACCCAGGGACGACCCGGTTTGTCAAGTATCTGTCGGCGGATATGAGGACATGGCGCGGCAGTTCGCCAACGGGGACCTGATCGGGCGCCTCTTGAAGCTTGATGATTTGCTGGTCGACAAACTTGGAGTTCTCGTGCATGACGAAATAGGGATCCAAGGGACATTTGGGCGTTGGGTCGTTGGGGACTCTCTTGCGATCGCATTGTCTGGGAAGCGTGACTCCGGTGAAACCCCCCAGGACAGGGACGCTTTGTTGATGCTGGCAGTTTCGGCACTGGATTTGTAGTTCTGTAGCCTTGGAGGACATGACCGAGGCACCGATGACAATCCCAGGCACCCGAACCAGCCTTGCAATGGTCATGGAGTCGAGGTTGCGAATGGAAACGTCGTCGGCATCGGAGTGCAGGAGCAGCTGGTGATCCGGAAGATCGACCTTCGGGTCGTGCGGGAAGACGATTCGGTGGGTGCATTTTTTGAGAGCCGATTCAAACTGGCCAGGGATCATCAGATGAATACTCCTCCGATTTTGAGCTAGTGTCACTCACGAGCGGGATGACCTCGGCGGGCTCAGATGCCAACTTGTGTGCCAACTCTTCATTAAAGTTGATCAGGTCATTGATGTTGACGTCGCAGTTGTACTTTTTAAGCAGCGCATTTTCTCTCAGCTGGTCTCTGTTGATTCGTTTAGCACACAACAGTTGGTCTCGGCTGACACGATCGGATGCCTACCGGTAGACAAAGTTGTTGTCGAGTCGAAAGTCGAGGATGAAGGTCTCGAGCTGGTTCTGCAGCTGCAATCGAGTGTCGCCGGTGTCGCCGACGCTCGGCTCGAAAACGTGCGTCGAGTAAACAGATTGGCGATCCATCACGGCTCTGTATACCTGCAGATCCTGACGTTTGCAGGTCTGACGGGAAGGCTTTGGTGCTGGGACGTGATAGATGCTCGAGGCGGAGTGGAGGAAGTTGCACTTTACGCGGGGACGCGTTTTGAAGAAGCCGACGCGACGCGTGCCTTAGAGTAGGCCCTAGCGCCTACTTGCCCGAAAATGCGTAGCACAGCCTCCACCCCCTCCCCCTAACCCCCCACCCCCGGAGCGTCACGTGGCTGCATCGGGGTATCTTCGGCTTGAGCTGACAGGGCGTAGCTACAGGTGGCTGCAGTATTGATTCCCTAGATATCGACTCAACGAGGTGGCCAGGCAGCTTTTCGAGCATCATGTCGGCTTGTACGCAGCAGTCTTTGCCGTGAAGCCGAACTTTTTCGATTGGTTTTTCAGATTTTATTTCCCGACCTGCGTTTGGCTGCGATGATACCCCGGTAGCTCCGACACGAAGCCATCAAGTCAGCAAGCTGGCTCTTCGATTCCTCCCGAGCACGCCCACGCCGGGAGCTCTATTGCCTCTGCGCCGACCATGTTCCCGTCATCCGATGCCGGGAAATCCGTCGATAGCCTCTCTGCTCTATCCCCCAGTGGTCGACATGAGATTCCAATGCACAGGTATGCCCTGATGGAAGCCTAGCCCCTTCCTGACGCTGACGCTGACGGGGAACAGTAGCCGACCTGGCCATGGCCATGTACGGCCGGCGTCGAGACGAAACTCCACGGCGAGCTCGATCCACTCCGTAGGGGGTGCCCTGGATATATCCTCCAGTGGCTGGACAGTTTCGGCGCATGAATCCGGACAGAATGGTCGGTTCTTTTTCCAGCCAGGGGTCTCACTCTGACCAGTTTGAACAGCCATTTCCACCTTGCTCCAACCTCCAATAGTCCGAACGGGCTATCAGCCGCATACGACTGCCCCAGCGTCCAGCGCCCATAAACCACCAACGGCTAGAGATATCCCGCCCGTCACCCTGACCAACATACCCCATGTCGACAACGAAGAATTCACCCCGTATCTCAGTCAAGTCGGTCTTTTGTACGAGCAGCTGAGACGCGTCAGGGAGAACGACGACGAGGCTTCACACTCCCGCCGGGGAGCTAGGCACGACGAACAGCCTGACGGAGGCGTTGGTGGATACTTGCGACCGGCTTCGAAATCTTCCAGTAACCGGAGAGGCTCCAGCGCATCTCTGACATCTCTAAGCTCGGTCGAGGTCTCCAGCCCCGCACGGCGATCCAACTCTGGCCTCGCCAAAAGGGCATCTCGAGGCCCGCCGCCGCTGTCGACGATCCCGAACGTGTATTTCGACGAGGACTTTCACCTCGAGAACCCGCGAACATTCGATGTCGTAAGCGAGCGATCCGAAGTCATTCGGACGCCGAACTCGGGCCATGCAAACAAAGGCGAAGGCAATGGAACGGTCACGGCACCAAGAAAGGCTCTTGCCACCAACGCCATTCTTCAAGAAAAGCTTTCTTGGTACATGGATACCATTGAGGTTCACCTCATCAACTCAATATCAACTGCATCTACGACCTTCTTCTCGGCTCTCGGATCTTTGAAGGAATTGCACCTTGAGGCTGCCGATTCGGTCCAAAGAATAAGCACTCTTCGGAAAGAGCTCGAAGCTCTAGATGAGGAGGTTGCGACCAATGGCTTGCAAGTTGTTCAGAAGCGTGGGCGACAAGAAAACCTGAGGAAACTCCACGACGCTGTGTTGCAACTGCAGCAGATCGTCGATGGCGTGGCCGGTTGCGAGTCGCTCGTGGAGGCGGGAGAGGTGGACAAGGCGCTGGCGAGTATAGATTCGCTGGAAAGGCTGATTGCCGGCGAGCGCGAGCAGCCAGATGACGGTGAAGGCGGTGTGCCAGTGCAGCTGTGCGACCTCAGGTCTGCATCGGCCCTCCAAGGAGTGAACGATGACCTCTCCACGCTACGGTTTCGTGCCGGCAAGGCGTACGAATCACGGTTTTCGGCTATTCTCATTGCTGACTTGAGAAGTCACGTCGAGTCTGTTTCCAATTCGGACGTTCTACTTCGATGGAGCCATGCCGCGTCCAGATCAAGAGGCGGCCACTTTCGGGCTCAGTCGGTATTTCCGACCTATCTGAGCGCAACCGAGGAACTGAAGGCGAAGCTGTTCCCGAACATGGCAGGCTTACACCGCGCGAAGCACGTTGCAACAGCTGCAATGGCCTATCGAGAGGCCGTCTTGCGGGAGATCAGAAATTTGATTCGGCGGCCGCTTCCAAGCTCCAACGATGATGACAACGAATCCATGGTGTCTGTCTCGACAGCGGGTGGGGGCAAACAGAGGTCAACCCAAGAGAAATCTGCGAGCCTTGCGAGGAACTTACGAGCTCTGGGTCCAGAAGACGCCGAGGAACTACTCGTAGCGATCTATATTGGCGTGACGGAGACATTGAGGCGGTTGACGACACAGGTCAAAGTGTTACTGGACATAGCCAGCTCGCTCACGCAGTCGGAGGCGGGCGATGGGCTGAAGTCGCCTCTCACCATGTCACCGGTAACAAGTCCCCGACCCGACCGCGGAGGCAAGCAGGTAGGCAGCGGATTCGCGCTGCAAGAAGAGCTGCACAAAACGCTCGACGAAGCAACGTTGCTTACCCAGGCTGTGGATGTTGCCAACGACAAGATCGTCAAAGTCCTCAAGGTCCGATCCGAACAGTCCACTCACCTCCCGCTGGCCCTCTTCTTACGCTACTTCACCCTCAATCTATACTTCGCCAACGAATGCGAGGCCATATCGGGCCGGAGCGGAACCTCGCTCAAGACCGTGGTCAATGGCCAAATCAAAGAATTTGTGCAGCGCAATCGGGACACGGAGATGCAGAAGCTCGCTCAGGGCATGGAGTCTGATCAGTGGAACGCAAGGGACTTTACGGAAAGCAGCTCGAAGCTGCTGGTGCTGATACTGGAATCCAGCACTCACGACGATGCAGCTTGGACTGACAGCAACGAGATATGGGTTCCGTACCAAGCCAAGGAGGGATATACGCCGTCGGAAGCGAACGGCGCAGGAAAGGACAAGACCCGACCTGCCGTTGTCGAATCGGAGAAATTTGTTCTCCCCAACTCGGCCATTCTGTGCCTCGAAGGCGTGGGGAACTTTCTGCATCTCGTTGCCGGCATCCCATCGATGACGACGGATGTGGCATCTTCGCTGGTCGCCTATCTCCAGCTCTTCAATTCGCGCTGCACGCAGCTCATCCTCGGAGCCGGCGCCACCCGGTCTGCTGGCCTCAGGAACATCACGACAAAGCACCTGGCACTTGCCTCGCAGGCGCTTTCTTTCATTGCGACCATTGTGCCCCACATCCGAGAATTTGTGCGCCGACACGCAGGTTCCGGCGCCGGCGCGTCCAGCCTCATGGGCGAATTCGACAGGGTGCGGCGACTGCTGCAAGAGCACCAGGAGAGCATCCACCAGAAACTGGTCGACATCATGAGTGGGCGAGCCGCAGTCCACGCGAAGAGCATGAAGGCCATTGACTGGAGTTCGACGGCAGCTGACGGCCCACACACCTACATGGAGACGCTCACCAAGGAGACGACGACTCTGCACAGGGTCCTGACCAAGCATCTGCCAGAAACATCCATACATCTCATCATGCAGCCCGTGTTTGCCGGCTACAAAGACCAGCTCGGGGCCGCTCTCAAAGAGGCGGACCCCAAAACGAAGTCTGGTCAGCAAAGGTAAGGACTCACGGTTGTTTTATTCGCCATGGGGTGTATCTAATCGCTGTGTCTAGCATGCTCCGCGATGTAGACTTGTTGTCTGCCAAGCTTGGCAGGGTGGACGGCTTTGGGGACACGGGCGACTTTCTCGCCGACCTTGTCAAGGCCAAGCAAGTGAAAGACGAGACGCTGGTCGAGGCAGACGAGGAGATGGCCAACGACAACGCCGCCAAGGTAAAAGTGAAGGGTAACGAGACTCGCACGACAGAAGAGCAGCCGGTGAAGGAAGAGGCCGAGGGCTCGTGAGCCCTTGATCAGATCACTGAGGTGAGAACAAGCCTCGGAATGACGGTGGCCAGAGTTGGTGGTGAGCGTGCCTTAGCCGCGATCCAGCCCGGCTCTGAGATTTCGTGGCATAGATATTGGACGATGCAATCGATATGGCCGATTCTGTCTACGCTTTATCGGCTTCCACGAAGCGCGACGAGTTCAACTATTCAAATACAATACCCAGACGGTCAATTCTCATCTACGCGGCCAAATTGATCTCCAAAGGCCTCTGGTCCGCGGTGCGGGCCGGGCAGGGGCGGCTGTTGGCGTTGTCTCCGACACCTCTCGCCTGAAAACCTATCCTCCTCCCACCCAATCGATGGCGGCACATTGGTGGTCGGTGTAGCGGACCCCGGACACACGAGTGACTTAAGCTGGGAGGCCCTCGCCTCCTGACGTCGCGGACCACGCGTCAGCTCAAGCCAAGTCGATGACGCCCCTCAGATCCGCCGGTGATGACGAGCAATGGGGCAATGGGAACGCAAGGTCGCTTACGGGATCCTTGGGTGCAAAGCCGGGCTGCGGGCGGAAGAGTTGGGCAAATGCACATGAAGAGGATGCGCGTGTCAGCGTCTCCACCCATGTCCATGTCAAGCTCTGGCCCGCAGAACGGATGACGACTCGAAGCACAGAGTCTGGTCATGGATTTCCATGGCGGGGATGGACCTGATGGCTGTTGCACAGGTTGGCCAAGCTGGACCGAGTCGAACTTCCAGACGAGGACATTGGGTCGAGAAGCCCGAGGGTTGGTTACTCAGTCACTGCTTTCCCGCTTGCGTCTGACAGGAGGTTTGTCTCTGACACGCAGAGTTGCCTCTGAGACCTGGGACTCAGATTGCCGGACAGCCCGTTGAGATCTGGAGGAGGGGCACGGGAAGTGTTGGCAGGTGGATGTCTCACACACCCCCACCCCCCTTGGCGTGCGCCTTGGAGGGGACGGGACGGTTGAGGAGATATGGACGAGCCATTCTGCTCTTTGTCGGCATATTCCCCTCCTTTCCCGCCCTCTACGGCCGGGCTGGGGCCGACAATGGGTTCATGTGCCGAGTAGGCGAGCGGCAACAAAGACGAAAGGACTGCTGAAACCAATTGGCATGGCAGTTGGCGTGCTTGTCCCCTTGACAGGCTACAGATATTGGCTGCCGTGACACGCAGAGGCAGCCAAGCGCACTTTCCATTGGATGCATCTGAGTTTCCCCCCCCTCCTTTCTTCTTTGTCGCTTTGTATTACTGAAACACAAAACTGCTCGTTGGAGGGGACTCGCTCAACCAACAAGAGGGGCAAAAGAGGAGCTAGACAAAGAGACAGAGACTTGGGGCGAAGCAGCCTATGATATCACCTTGTCGACCGACGATGGCCTTGTGGGCATGTCCGGTGCGCGTATCGTGAGCAGCGGGAGAGGTGGATGGAGACTAGGAAGAGGGAGAGAGGGATGTATGCATATGGTACGTGGCATGGCATAGCATGGCATGACATGACATGCATGACCTCAAGCCTCTTTGTCCCTCCATCTCGCGTCTCTCTCCCTCTCTCCGTCTCGTCCTGCTTTCCCGACACCTTGGCCCGCCCTCGCGTGCAAATCCCATGCTCCCCGTCGGCCGACGCAGCCCATCAAAACCAGGCCCCGTCCGGCCAAGTTCAGCTCAGCTCTTCCCACCGGCCTTGCCCCCCGAACCTCGGCCCTGATGCTCCCAGTCGCCGAGACTCGTCGCACCGCTCTTTCTCCTCCTTCCCCCCTCCTCCCCCTCTTTCTTTCTCCTCGCCCGTCGGAGAGCAGCAGCATGGACGTCCAGTCGGCGAGCGCGAAAAGCGGGAGAGGGTGTGGGCGAGGCATGTCGTCGAGATAGAGCCCTCGGCACGGTTCCGCTGATCGGCAGCACATCTCCCGTGGTTCCCGGCCGCGCGGGTACAGTCAACGTACGTGACATTCACATGTACGTACAGTACAGGGCGTGGTGGCGATGGTGAACCCGTCGTGATCGGCACAGAGGAGATGGGGGGGAGAAGACTGGAAGGATGCACGTGTCAAGCCGAGGAATCAAATAGGCACTGTGTCGTACATGATGACGCTCTACATACTGCCTATACAGTACATTACCTACATACGAGCGCTGCTTGGTTTGCGGTACGGAGTACGGAGTACTTGTGCTGCGGACGACAGGTGTGTATGTACGGCGTCGGCACGGCGTGCTCTGCTCCTATCTGGATGCTACCTTGCTCCCGGCAAAATACCGCAGCAGCATCAGCATAGATTGCCGGTAACCCAACCACGGGGGGGGGAACGGGGGTTGTTTGGGGGGAGAACAGGCATCTCACGGCCCCCACGGTCGGTAATACCAGGAGCGCACAAGGCCGAGTCCAGCTGGACCAGGGCAGGCAGAGTTTTTCCCGGCCTTTGCAATTTCCAAAGTCTCGACGAAGCAACGAGCGAGCAAGCAAGCGGCCAACAGCAAATCACACAAGGTCCGGATGCCCGAGGCTGTGGGGTCCAGAGTGTGTGTGCACAGCTTCCTTGCTTACAGTGCTGGACGTGCGTCCTGCTCCTCCACCGCCGGGTCAGGGGTAGCTGCGCCCGTGCATGTCTCGCGCTAATGCACATGGGATATTTGTTGGCTCCTCTGCAAGGCACCGCACGCCATCAGATGTCTGGTGGCGTGTGTTGTGCTCGAGACAGGTACCAGTTGGGAGAGGGAATGGCCGTTGTCCAGAGACTCTTCATATTCAAAAAAAAAAGTAGATACAAGAAGTCAAGCTAGCAGGGGTTTCTTCCCATCCAAAAAAAAAGAAGTGAGCGTAAGAAGAGAAAACACACCCGGGGAGCCCCTGGTGAGCGAACGCCAGTCGCATCGGGACCACTCAAGCCCGTCGTGGTGAGCCAGAATCGGCGACAGGGCGCGCAGGCCGCACCCTGCTTCTTGTCTGCGCCGTGGCTTGAAGAAGAGGAAGAAGAAGAAGAAAAAGTGCCATGTCCGTGGCTGCGGCAGTGCTGTCTCGCCGTGTCTATCCTCCCGCCATCGGGTCCCTGTCACAAAAAGCCTCGGGTCTTCTAGAGACGCGCGAGGGGGGTATCTCTCGTGTAAATCGCTCCCTGATTTTGCCGTTTCATCATAACCACCTCGCATGGCAGGCGCTCAGCGCGTGGCCGAAAGAAGGAGACGGGACGACTCATGGCGACCGCCTCACCATCTCGACAGGCGCGGCATCGTCTAGGCAAAGGCCATGCCCGTGGAACCCGATCCCAGCGTCGTCATCAGGTCCGTCTCATCCGTCACCTTGGTCTGGACGTCATCCGAGAGCCAGTAGCAGTTGTTGCACGGGAACACCTCACATCCAGACATGGGCGTCTTGCTGCTCGTCGGCCACATTTGCTTGACGTTGTTGTGGTCTGTCCCGTTGACAATGGCCGACACGTCAAAGTACGTCTTGCCGAGCCAGCCGGAGAACTGCACCTCGCCCAGCATCCCGGCCTTGTTGTCCCCGCCCTCTGGGATGGCGTAAAAGTTCCCCGCCCAGTTGTTCACAAAGTCGACAGTCTTGTTCTCCTCGTGCCCGACGGTCACGGGGGGCATCTGAGGCGACCCGGGGTTTCCGACAAAGTAGACGGTGCGCTGCGCGTCATCGAGGGTCCAGAAGGTGACCGAGGCGGCCTGCGAGGCGGCCGCCAGGGCGACGAGAGCAATGGCTGAGGTAGCAAAGTGCATTTTGCGAGTGGTCTTTGTTCGACGCCTTGACAAGGATTGGATCAAGTGACGTTGGGTCAAGGAGGGCGTTCTCGATAACTTGGATTCGAGTTTCAGGAAGGAATGCTTTGTATCACGGTTGAGTTGGTCGTGAGTTCTCAAAAGGACTTCAAGGAGTGAAGAAGCGTGTGGGCTTTGTTGGATAAGGAGTGAAGTAAAGTCCGAAGACAAAGGATTGTGAGTGTGCAAAAACAAAGCGACAACGATACGTGAGGAGATGAAAGTTCGGAGATGGGGACGAGGGCCGCCTTATAAGGGAGGGGGAGGGAAACCTCACTTCCCGTCCTCGGTGGGTAGCTGAGGGTGTGGAGATGCGAATTATTTCGACAGATGCCCACAGGCCGAGCTCAAGAGCAAACTACGAAACAGGGCGTGTTGTTTAGCCCAACGCCACGCCAGTGTTGGGCTTCAGCAACCCCCGGTGTGGGATCCCCCCCCCCTTGGAGAGCCCATGGCTGTGGTGAGGCGAGCAGGCCGGGGGGAGGGGTGTGCTGACCGGCCCGGGGTCCTTTTCTTTCCTCGCCTTTGTTCGTGTGCTGTGCTGTGCTGTGCTGTGCTGTGCTGTGCTGTGCTGTAATACGCATGTGCTCTGCATGGAGAGGCACTCGGTACCTACGGTATGAGATGTACGGATAGTAGGCACTGGAGCCTTGCTGCTGTGGGGCCAGGGAGTCGTCCAAGATGGAACAGCACTGGCTCAGTTGGCGCGTAGCCTGTTGCCGAGCAAGGCGATGGAAGTGGTGGCCTTGTCGCGGCGCCGGGACCATCGTCTGTGCCCTCTCTCCTGCCCAACAAGGCCAACTCGTCTGCCGCAGCGCTCTTGTCCTCGCCTCCAGTTGCATGGAACTGAAGCCCAGCCATCCCATCTTGGTCAGCCCCCTGCAACACGGTGCGGGCGGCACGGAGGCTCCGGCGGGTACCTGGCGAACGGGCCGCTCGATCCCAGATGGGGCCGTTCCTCTTGTCTCCCCACCCGCCGGACCGGGGGAGGGGCTGAGCAAGGAAGGCCAAGAAGAAAAAGGGCCGTCCAAGTCCGCCACTAGGCACAGTGGTTATTTCGCCCCGGACGGTCGACTTCCATGTAGGTACTGACTGCCATGGTGTCTGCAAGCCGCCGAAAGTCTCTCGTTGGCCCGGCACCTTTTCCACGCCATTGTTTGCGTGCGCGGTACCTCGCAGGCGCTCCATGTGGCCAGACCCGACAGGCCCGCCAGCCGACGCCAATCTGACCGCTTGGCCCATCTGTGATTAGTGAACGGACAGTCGTACATACTGTACGGGTCAAGATCCCTCGTCGTGGGTGGGTGGGGACCAGGTGCGACAGGCCTCGTCAGCTCCGCCACCCAAGAATAGGAGTCGGCAGAGCGACCGCTCGTGCCTTGCATGTGAGTTGTTTAATCCGTTGTTGGCAGGACAAGATTTTTTTGGGGGGATTGCGCGCCGCCTGTTCGTCAATGAGGTGTCCCACGAGCCATATGTTTGACACGCCGACGGCTGTTCCAAATGGTGTTTTACTCCGTTTCCTCCCCCGTGTGAAGCATCGTTTGGCCTTGGCCGTGGCCTGCCGACCCCTCTTCCACGAATCGGTCACCTGTGCCAGCAGGCCCTTATTCGTCGTGGCAATGAAGCGACCCCCGTGGAGCATCGGGGAAAGGAGTCGACGTGGTATCCGGCCGAATAATCCGTCCGATGAGGGGCGCAACAACACGGGTCGAAAAGAAGCTTTCGGCGCTGTAACCTGTGCCTGGAGATCCCTCCCTTGGCGCCGTGCCGGGGATGGCCAGGCACGCCAATCAGCGTCCTCGCGTGTTTTCTCGTCTTCGAGGCCCGTCTTTCCCGGCGCGGGCGCTACGCAGAACGAACGGGTCAGGAGGTGGGGTCTGTTTGGATGCGACAGTCGCCATCGGAGCTGCCTGCTTGCGAGCGAGGCATTTTTCCCTTGGCCACACCACCATCCATCCATCCATCCATCGCTCAGCCGTGGTGTCTCGACATGCAATAAGAACAAGGAAACTTGCTTGCGAGCCTGCCCAAGCTGAGGTGTGCGTCGGTTAGCATGTATCACCATCCAGCAGCACGGCTGCACCGTCAACTCTCGTACATGACTGCTGGTCACAATGGTGTTCCGGAGAACAGGCAGGCCCTTTGCCAATCAGAACTTGGGCGGTCCCGAAACGTGGAGCGCTGTACGAAGACAAACGTGGCCTTGTCCCTGTTTGGCATCAAACAACGAGTGCTTCACCCTCGCAGGCGGGCAATATCGCACGTCGGACAAGTTGGACGTCTGCTGTTTCACATGCGGGAACCTCATTTACAGTTGGCCTCGGAACACTCAGGGAGCTTAGCTGCCTTCATGGGACGGCAATCGACCCGCATCGCGACGGAGATATCTGCCCGCAGGTGACGGCGGTATCCCGGTGGCAGACTGCCGGCTTGGGGAGTTGCAGTGGTGCAAGGTCCGATCCTGGTTCTGACCGATCGCTTCCTTTCCTTTTTCCTTCCTTTCCTTGGTTGACGATGGTACGGAGTAGACTCGGCGAGGTCCCACCAAGCGGGGGCATTCGGACGCGGGTGCTGCCTCGGGACGAATTCCAGAAGGCCGACGGTCAACCCCTTGCCCCCTAGTCGCATGCCGTTTTCGAGGGAAGCTGTGCCTTGCACATGTTTGCACCGGGCTCTGGCAGGTCCACCGATCTCCGCCGAGAGGGCTCGGCTCACCGCTACTCGTCAGATGGATGTCAAGGAACTGCGCTGGTCGACAAACGACATCATCATGTGCTCTGGCTCCGCATGATGCAGACTTTTCACCAACTGCGGGGGAGGTAACAAGGGAGAAGGACCATCGGTCTCCTGAGGGCGACGGTTTGGGAGCCCTCTCTGAATGGAAGCCTGGCTCGATTTCTGCACTCAAAGGCATGTGCCAAGGACTCGATGGTCATCTTGTCCTGCCATTGATAGTGGCAGAGCGTCGCCGCCATCTCACCGAGCCGCCCAAGCTTGTATAGCGGCGTCCGAGTATCCGGCGGAACAGATGCCATTGCAGGAGGAGATGCAGGCGAAGTCATTCAAGATCGGGTAGGCCGAGGTGCGCCGGCCGGAAAAAATGCCCAGTGGCGGAGGAGAGACAAGGTGCGCAGTCGTTTTAAGTGGCAGTAGCGGAAGAGGAAGAGGTTTTCAGAACCAGAGTCGACGACGAAGTTGTCGTGAGGCGAGGATAAGAGGGCTTTTAGACAGTATCTCTAGAGGATTCTACACTGTATACCACCCGCATCGTGTCCGCTGTCTACACCGTGTTTACAGTTGCGGGGTGCGGAGAGAAGGACACAATGGGACTAGTGCAGTGATAAGTTCGCCCTTCCATCTCCTCCGATATCTGACCAGGCCACGGCAGCAAATCGCCAACTCTCCATCAGACGGCCTCATCGCAGCCATGCACGGACAAGGACCTTTTGCGAGTGCTTGTCGGATCCGGCACCGATCCGCTGGTTGCAACACGTTGGCTGTCCGTCACAGCGCTACAACCAACAGCCGGGCAAGGATTTGACGACACTTGAGAAGCCGTCTTTCATGACATTAAATAATCAACATTCCGCCGAGCTCTCGCATCATGTCCGTCTGTAGGCAGACTGGATGTTTTCGGCGCTGCAGCTGAGTGACGCTGGGGCATCTCCCCTTACCCCCAGCTATCCCGCCGTCTGACTCCCTTTGCAGCACTGCGTGGAAGGGCCCGCGAAGCTCCCGCGCCCGGTTTCCAGAATAGCTGGCCACCCTCCGACGAGGTCCGGATGCCCGGGCTCATGTGGAAGCATCATCGGGGCAAGTCAGGCAGAGACACAAGGCGGCGCCCTCATGGTCAGTGTCTGTCTGCGTGGCCCTTGCAGCTTCTCGTCACCCGTTCTCAAAGAATGGCCTTTCTTTCCTGGGTTCTTCTTTCTCTCTCTCGCTCTCTCTCTCTCTCTCTCTCTCTCTCTCTCTTTGTGGCTGGCGACTCCACCTGGACATCCCCATCGCTCGTTTGCCTCTGTGGATTTGAAATCCTCGTGGGCTCGGTCACGTCCGCCGCAAGAGGCCCTACCTTGCTTGAGCCCGTCAGGAATCCGGTGGCGCGGCAGTCGTTTTAGAGTTTGCCGCCAACGGGAGACAATAGCGAGACCTACATACGCGGATGGACGCAGCATATGCTCTGAGAGTGCGTACATGGAAACTTCCGATGCCGCTAGCCCTTCCCATCGCACCGACGCAACAACAAAACCCTCCCACGATCCGGCACCGGTCCCGGGCCCACACCCCCGATGTGACAGCCGCATCCCCGGGACCAACTTATCAAACGGCAAACTCTACTGCTCGTGTTGCTCATTAGCCAACTCACCCAATCCGGCTCTTCAGGTTGGTCAATTACGTCGCTGATGATGGCTCCTCCTCGTTCCATCCTTGTATTGTTGGTTGTGGCGCGTTTTGGCCCCTCCCTCCAGCTTCATGCGGTCCGTCCTTTGCTCTTCCTCGCTCTACTTGCCGGTCTAGTACAGCCCGCCTTGGGTGTTCACGCCATCGCAGCGTCGACCTGTGCCCTCCAATACTTGGGAGCTCCGTCTCTGCTGTTGGACTCTTGCGTGTACATGATTCCTTATCCGGCGATGGCCTCAGAAGGTCGTCGTGCAATGCAATCTCCCTCTTCTTTTGGCCGCATGTGGTCTTCGGGTTGCTTCAGAATCCAGTCGTAGCGCCAACTCGCCTTGCTCTCGTTCCCTAGAATTGCTGAATACAAAGAGCTGCCTCTCTCCGCTATGCTGGCTTCCATCTCCCCCTCTCTCTCTCAGCGCTCGTAGAGTTCCTGTATCGACATCCTGTGTACACTCGCTCACTTTCTCTGCTTCTCCCCAACTTCATCGACCCTCGCTGGCCCCAGACTGCCTTAGCTTCTACCCACTACACGCCATGAAGTCCTCTGCTCTCTCAGCGTCGGTGGCGGCGCTCATCGGCTCCTCCGCCGCTCAAGTCCCTGACGCCAATGCAACTACCGTCTTCACCACCGTCATCTCGACCGCCTTCACCACCCTCTGCCCTGTAAGTGAATATGATCGTCATGTTTAAGATTTCGGGGCCTCCACAACTGACGACTCGACTAGGGTCCCACCATCCTCGCCATCGGCCATGCAACCTACACTTGCGAGAGGCCCACCGTCTTGACCGTTAAGCACTGCCCTTGCACCATCACCAGGCACGGCTACGGTGACAAGCATCATGACAAGCAATTGCCCGAACCTCCCGCCTACACAAAGTCGCCTCCCCCTCCCCCTCAAGGCTATCCTCTTCCCGCCCCAGAGCAGCCCGTGCCGGCGCCGCCGGCACCCTCCGCGGACCAGCCCGTGCCCCAGTCGCAGCCTCCTGCTGCCCAGCCCTCGCCGCAGCCGCAGTATCCTGCCGGCCAGTCGCAGCCACAGCCTCAAGCTCCCGCCGGCCAGCCGCAAGCCCAGCCTCAACCTCCTACCGACCAGCCGCAGGGGCAACCTCAACCTCCCGCCGGCCAGCCGCAGTCACCGTCTCAACCTCCTGCCGATCAGCCGCAGGGGCAGCCTCAACCTCCTGCCGGCCAGCCACAGTCGCAGCCTCAGAGTCCCGCCAGCCCCAACCGGCCCCAGGCCACAGACGGCGCGGCCCCCGCTCCTCCGTCCTCTTCCGACCAGTCTCAGGTCGTCTCCACCGCCGGCGCCGACAAGATCGGAGCTGGTCTCGGCACCCTGGCCATGGTTGGCTTTGCCGCCATGCTCGTCTAAGTCTCATCGTATTGATGCCAGGGAGGTTGGATGTGTCGGTCGATAGGCCTTCCGAGCCTATCTCGATGGGGAGAATTCATTTTCACTTTTCGACATTCATTACCGCTTTGCACACATGCTCCGGAGCAACTGAATTATCATGACTTTGACGGGGTTTTAATCTGGAGAAAAGGCTTTCGGATATTCGAGTCCGTACACCTGAGTCGTTGACACGAAAAGCGCAAGGCTCAGATGGAGTAGGTACGCTCGCTTTTTGAACCCGAGACTGGGCCGAGTGGCAGGTATGCTTGGGGAGACACTTGACGGGGAAAATAATGAGGCGGGTGCATCTGTAGTGTTAATAATAACGAACTGTGTAATACTTCACCAGACCGGCGTCATCTTGCCTCGTAAAATGGCAGAAATCGTGATGCAGCTCATGACTGTCGCGTGGGTCTCGGTCGCCGCCACTAGCTCGCAGAACCATAAACGCCCCCCGCCGGATCCAAGATGGATCTGATCTCTCGCACCAGAGCCTTGGCCTCTTCGACTTCCACTCCATCCTGGCACAGCTCCGTGGCCAGGCGGTTTGCCGTGGCGTAGTCGGCTGTGCGCATGGCGAACTTGGCAAGCCACATGCGTGCTTTGCTGGTCGCCGCCGTGACCCCCGTGCCCTCGGTCGCTCCGGGGTTGTCTTGCCGGTCAGGGTCGTCGTCTGAGCCAGCCGGCGAGTCGTTGTGTATCATGACGGATTCGTTGAGGCTGGCGTCTGCTGCTGCTCCGCCATCCTCTTGGGCCACGCAGAGTTCCATGTAGGCCTTTGCTTCGTCCTCCTCGTCCAGCTCATCGAACATGGTGGCAATTTGCAGCAAGATCTCGGGATCCATATGGCCAGTGGCCCCTCGGGTGCCGAGAGGATCGCCGCCGCTCCCGAAGCTGCTCCCGACCTCGTAGTATGCGTCGGCTAGCAGTGCTCTCTTGAGTGCCTTGATCCCGTCTCTCTCCCGGCCCATCTTCTGCAGACAGGAGCCGACTGCTAGCCACATCTTGCCGTCCCATGGGCGCAGACCAGCTGCTTTCTTATAGTACCATAGCGAATACGTGTGCATCTCAAGCATCTCGTACGTTTGACCGAGCCCGTACCAGGCGCGATAGTCTCGCCGGTTGACGTCGACAGCACGTCGATATGACTCAATCGCGGCGTGCGTGTTCTTGAGCTCGACATATTCGTGCCCCATCAGCGTCCAGGCCGAGAGACAAGACCTGTCGAGGGTCAAAGCCCTGCGGAAGTACTGGACGGCCTTTTCATGCAGCGACAGAAGCGAGTAGTAATTTCCTATCACGACACAGGACTCGGGCCGAAACTTGTCCACGCTGGAGCAGAGGTGGGCGACAAAGGCCAGCTTGGGGCGCAAGTTCAAGACGTAGAGTATGTTGGAGTAATGGTCGAGGGAATCGAGCCTGTGCGGATGGAGCGAAAGCAGTCGGCTAAAATGCTGCTCGGCAGCCATCAGGTCCTTGGCGTGATATGCGAGTAGCGCGTGGCAGGTGAGAAGAAATGGTGAAGTCGGGAAGATGGAGAGCAGCTGCTCGAGATTGTTGGCGAGGCTGGGGGACTGCTGATACAGCTCTAGCGAGGTGTGCAGATGGAACATGAATGAGACGATGTTCTGTGGGCAATGCCTGGATATCCGATTCAACTACCATCTCCAAAGTCAGTAACTCTCGGGCAATGCGTCGGACAAGGAACACACACACCTCTTCAACCCTGGAGACAAGAGACGTCATCTCTAGCCAGCATCCCCAGTTCATGGGATACTTGTGAACACTCCGGATGAGGAACTCCAAGGCCCTCGAGTCGTTTTTCTCCTTGGCAAGCACCATGCCGTATCTGTGAGCAAGGCGTCAGCTTCCATGAAGTAGCAGGTGGCGTACGTGCTTGGTGCGTACAGATACTCGAGCCAGCCTTGACTGCCGAGGACCTCTTCATCATCGGCCGTCCTCTCGTCAAACCAAGCCGCCAGGTAACGTCCAACAGCCAACAGCTGCTTGTTGACGACGGTTCCGAGGTCTTGGGGGCCCATAACCATCTCAGACTCTTCGTTTTTGCGCTTCTCCCCCGCCATAAACTTGGCGTAGAGAGCGAGGAACAGGCTCTTCTGGCTTATGTTGGGTAGGGAGGGTGCTCCCGGGGAACGAGCCGAAGTCGTGGCCTTGGCCTTGCCCTTTGCTTTTTGCGATGAAGATGCGGAGCTATCCGAGTGCGAGGCCAGCACGGAAGAGAGGAGAGACTCCGGGAGGAAGACGGCGGCGCATCGATCGTATTCCTTGCAGTCGAAGAGCGACTTGGCAAGCAGATACTTGCTCAGCTCTCTCGCTTCCAAGGCCGCCTCATCCTGGTCTGGGTTCGGGGTAAAGAGTGGCGAGGTATGCTTGTCCTCGGAGCCTTGAATATCGTGGTCGGCATCATCGCTTTCGGGGAGCGCGTTGAGGAGCTCGGCTGCCCTGCCACATTGCCGTCCATCAGCGCAACCGCAATCATTAAGCCTGGGACGGGCAAGGCGGGCTACCATTTGGACGACTGGTACAGACACCTCTCGGAGCACTTAACCACGGCATCTTGCAGAGCGGCCCGAAGCTGGGCGACCTCTTGGGCGCTCAGCGTCATGGCGCCCTCTTTGCTGGCAGGGACGCGGGCTGCGGGCTGCGCGTGAGCGGAGAGGATAGTCGGGCCTGCACCATAAGCCAATCAGCAGGGGGGGTGCGTGAGCAGACTTGGCGGTTGACCGGCTTGCGCATAAACACCAATACGCGATTGATGAAGGTGGCAGTGATGTTGTAGACGAGCTTTGATGTGCAAGTGTCCTGCGTGGCGGGCACCTTACCTAATGAGGTTTCGTACATGTTGGAGTACCTGGCAGGCATGTTGATGCGCCCGCATTGCGACCAACCCCATCATGTCTCTTCAAGCATGCCCTTCGAGCGACTTACTGTATACCAGTTACTCCGTTACACAGTCCGTTACACAGAGGGCTTGTGCTCAGTGAGTGGTGCGTACGATGACGGCGAGCTGCCTGATGAAGCACGCAGCATGATCAAGTCCTCACCGCCTGCGGGAATACCTGATGCATCATCCCCTTGGAAGAGGCAGGTCAAGCGCGAGTCAAGGGCGCCTTCGCTTGGCCTCTCCGGTGCCCGCGGCCCCGACGGTCCATTCAAAGGCGCTCCGCTGGGGCGCCATGATGGCCGCGCCCCATGGCAAAGTCGACGTGGATGGGGATAAAGCCGGTTGTTATCAGAACTTCAAGTCCTGGCCCCGCGCAAGAGATGAGGGGCACCGAGGCAGTTGTTGAATTTAATGTCAAGTACTGAGTACTGGGAGAGGCAGGATACCGGTAAGGAGATACTTGTCTGGGCTCGCCTTTCCCGCCCCAACCCAACACGCATTGTCAGCTACTCATGTACATAGATAGGGGTAGCCCGTACAGAGTACAACATGCCATATAACTCGCTGGTCCCACCCACCACCGTTCCCCCAGTGAAGCGCAAGCCAAGCAAAACACCAAAGCTGATAGGCCCCCTCTGTACTGTCCTGCCTCGAATCTCTACTTGGCTCACCCTTCCCCTCGTTCACCTCCTTCTCTTCCCTCGACCCTTGCCCTCGCTGGCCTCCATCTCTTAGTTAACGCGCAGCACCGTTCGGTCAACATTTTTCCCCAAACATGGCGAAAAGGATGACGCTCAAGGAGTTTGAGGCAGTCTTTCCCAAGCTGGCCGAGGTCATCCTCGATCATGCCAAAGCTTGCAGCACGCCCCAGCAGGCTCTCGACTGGTTCAAGCAGGTAAGCGCCGCGAAACCGCCATCCGTCGACACATGTCGCTGACAGCCTTGTCCGTGCAGAGCCTCGAAATCAATACGCTGGGCGGCAAATGCAACCGCGGCATGTCCGTCCCCGACTCCGTCTCCATCCTGCTCAACGCCTCTCTAGACGAGAGGCAATACTTCGAGGCTGCCACCCTTGGCTGGACGACGGAGCTGCTCCAGGCCTTCTTCCTCGTCTCCGACGACATCATGGACAGTAGCATTACCCGTCGCGACAAGCCCTGCTGGTACCGCCACGACGGCGTTGGCATGATTGCCATTAATGATGCCTTCATGCTCGAGGCGTCCATATACGTCCTCCTCAAGAAATACTTCCGCTCTCACCCGTCATACGTCGAATTCCTCGAGCTGTTTCACGAGACCACGTTCCAGACAGAGGTCGGCCAGCTGTGCGACTTGCTCACCGCCCCCGAGGACAAGATCGACCTCGACAACTTCTCCATGTCCAAGTGCCACTTCATCGTCATGTACAAGACCTCCTACTACTCCTTCTACCTCCCCGTCGCCCTCTCCCTCCACCTGCTCAACCGCGCCACTCCCAAGAACCTCGAGCAGGCCAAGGATATTCTTCTCGCCATTGGTGAATACTTCCAGTTCCAGGATGACTATCTGGACAACTTTGGCCTCCCCGAGCACATTGGCAAGATCGGCACCGACATCAAGGACAACAAGTGCTCGTGGCTCGTCAACCAGGCACTCGAGGTTGCCGGCCCAGAGCAGCGCAAGATCCTCGACGAAAACTACGGCCGCAAGGACGACGTCAAGGAGCAAGTCGTCAAGAAGCTCTACGACGACTTGAAGCTCAAGCAGCGCTGGGAGGCCTACGAGGAAAAGCGGACCGGCGAGATCCGCGCCATGATCAACAAGGTGGACGAGAGCGAGGGGCTCAACAAGGACGTCTTCACTGCCTTCCTGGATAAGATCTACAAGCGAACCAAGTAGGGGCGGCGGAACATGCACGGCGCGGCTTTGGGTGACTCGAGTCGAGCGGGGGGGTTAATTGTAGGAACAAAGGTATATATGATGTAGATGCAAAAGGGCAGAGGATGTCTTGGTGGACTAAATCACATTTCATACATGTGAGTTACCAATCACAGACAAGTATGTCTCCGCAGCAGACATGTCTGGAAGATGTCATAGTATAAGCGCCCCTTGCGCAATGTCTCAATGCCCCGGTTAAATATGTAAGTCCAACAGCGGCCCAGATCCAACAAGGAAAACGGAAGCCAGAGTGAAACAGAAGAACGCGCAAACAACCTAGCCCAGATGAGCCCAACTCCCCCGTCCCGCAAACCATACATAAAAGTTGCTGGGTTGCAAAGCAGAGTGAATAGGTAGTGTCAAGGAGATGTGTCCCGATGTTTGATTATCGTCAAGGGTGGAGTTGTCCATGAGGCCAACAAGTAAAACAGGACGCGACAGGAACAGACCCCCAGCGACGCTTAGGCATCATGCCGATGGATTCGCCACTCACCGCGCGCGGTTGACGAGGGGCTCGGCGTGGCGTGCAGAAGGGCCGCCGCCATGGTGCGCCTCTCCGAACTTGTCCCGCCGGACCGAGCGATTAGGCAGGGCCGGGACCGGGGGTAGCTCCTCGGGGCTGAAGCGGCGGCCGCCACCTACGGAGCCTGGGCCAATCGTTGAGCGACTCCGGCCACGTAGGCTGGGCGGCGGCATCGGCCCGCCGGGGCCGGAACCCGAGGCGCCTCTCCGAGACATGGCGCGCTGCGGGGGCGCATTGTGCAGCTGGGGCGGCCCGCCCGTGGCGAAGTTGATGAGCGGCTGGCCGGCCGCGTGCCTGGGCCCGTGGCCATGGGCGTCACGGAAGCGCGGCGGCTCGGGAAAATCCTTGCCAAAGCTGAGCAGTGGCTGGGACGGCGGCTGCTGATGGTGGTGCTGCTGCTGCTTCTCGCGTCGCAGCTGGGCGGCGGCGTCTGCCGTCATGGGACGCCTGCTGACAGGATGGCCGCTTTGGCTGCGCGCCCGGGCAGAGTGCTCTGCCGCAGAGGGGAACCAAGACTTTGGCTCAGACCTCTCGGGGGCCTCGGCGGCGCCCGAGACACCGCCGTTTAACAGGGAGGGGCCCACGGTAAACGGCCCGTCAGCCTTAGCATCGTGACCGCGAGTCTGGGTATTCGCCACCTCGTCCTGCTTCCGCTTGTCGTACGCGTCGCCGAGCAGACCGCCGGCAAAGAACTCGCGCTCTTTGTCGGTTGTCTCGGACCACGGCGGTGTCTGGCCCTTTGACCGCGGAGAGTCCTTGGACGAGCGCTTGGTGAGCGTCGTGTCGACGCGGGGAACATCGGGCACCTTGAAGCCGCTGACATCCATGAGCGGCTCCTCGCTCCTGTACGACGTCTCGTCGATGGACACGCGCGGGCCCTTCTCGGTGCTCTTGCCAGCGTCCCTGGGTGATTTTCCCCCCAGCAGTGGGCTTTGCGTGATTTGCGGGGGCTTTTCCTTGCGTGCCAAGTCGACCAGCCTGTTGACCAGGTACCAGCTCCGCCAGCCGTGCACCATCTCGTAGAAGCGCGAGGCCAGCTTGTCGTCGTCGGTGCAGAAGAAGTGGACAAAGTTCTCGCCGTTGGGAAACACATTTGTCTTTTGCTGGCTCTTGATGGCGTAGCAAAACTTCTTTGGCGGCTTGAGGTTGCGGCGCATCTCGCTCTCCTTGGGCGAGTAGATGTCAAAGTCGGACAAATGGCACAGCACGATGCTGTCCTTGTCGAGGGGGCTGGCTTCGGCGCGCTTCGAGGCAAAGACCTGCCCGCTGTCCAGCAGGGTGACCCAGCGCTTATTCCACTTGCCAGGGCGCGCCGAGTGGTGAAGCTGGAGGCAGAAGCCGGGCGGAGGGTCGTCTGTGCGAGGCACCGAGTCAAGGTCGAGGCCGCGGTCGTCCTTGGGGGAGTCGCAAGGCAGGATGAGGAGCGAGTTCTGCTCGTCATTGTCCCAGGAATTGAGGACGTCGCGGACGCGCTCGTAGCGGCGGAGGCGGCGTTCCAGACCGAGCACGAAGTAGCACTCAATGACGACGCAGGTCGTGGGCGTAATGACATGGTTCGTCTTTTCTGCCGACGCGACGACAATGTCGACGGGCGACGTGTCGGCCGTAAAGGGCAGAGTGGTGGTCGAGGAGAGGCACCGCACAATGACGCGCTGCAGGGGCAAATGGCGTTAGTTGATCAATCAGTCGTCGATGCGCACGCGGGTAGGCAGGGGTTTATGCAACCAACAGACCAGAAAACCCAGCCTGGCGAGAGGTGGAGAGGAAAGACGGCTTACCCTTTCTCCGCCGTTGATTGCCGACGCGGGGGCATCGAACTGGGGGACAATGCCCTTGCCGCCGGGCTCAATGAAGCTCATCCTGAGCGAGTCGTCGACGCTGCTGTTGCGGCTAAACAGGCTGCCGCTGCCGGCCAAGGCGGGCGAGAAGATGGACGGGGAGATTGTGCTGGGCGTGCCCGGTTGACTGGGGTTCTTGGCGTTGGACCGCCGGCCCCGCGCGAGAAAGGCGAAGGTGTCGAGCAGAGGACGCCGGCAGGGCTTGGGCGGAGGGGTGACGAGCTGTGCCTGGAGCCTGGCGAGGTCGAGCTTCTTTTGTTCGGCCAAGATGCGGTCCGTCTCAGCCTCGAGCCGCTCGGCCAGCAGGGCCGCCTCGTCTGTGTTGACGTGCTTCGTCTGCGCGCCTGCGCTGTGCTTTGGAGGAGGGGTTTCTGGCTGCTGCGCCTCCGCAGGGGCTGTTGCGGCGGGGGGGGGCGATGCGACTATGCTGTGCACTATTGCGTCGTCTTTTCGGATCTTGTCGTCGTTGTGATTATTGCTGGGTCTGTTGTTCTCTTGGTCGTTGCCGCGATCGCTGTCGGCTCCCTCGCCCAGGGCAATCAAGGGGTTGGTGGCGTGAAGGTTGGTGTCGCCGGCGCTGGCGGTGGCGGCGGCAGCGCGGCTGTTGGCGCTGGCCGCGGCCTTTTGCAGCAGCGTCTCCTTGACGCTTTCAATGGGCGTCTTGAGGCTCCCGAGGGCGGTCAGGCTGGGTTTGAGCGTTGCATTGACGGGCCTCGGGCTAAGGACAGATGTGGGTGAAAAATCAGGGAGGGGCGGCGGTCGCGTCGCATGGCGCGAGGGCGAGGCCGTGGCCGTGGCCGTCTTGGAGCGACGGTGCAGCAGCGGCTCGGAGTTATGGCGCTCGTCGTCGTTGCTGCTGTCGACGGTGCTGCTGCTGGCGCTCAGCGTGTGGTGGGTGTTGGTCGTGTTGGTGTTGGTCGTGCTGCTGCTGCTGCTGCAGCTGCTGGCGCTGTTGCGGAAGATGTCAAAGGGCCGCAGCGACGAGACGCTTTTGCCTCGCAGGCTTCGGTAGCGGGAGATGGCAGGCTTCGGCGGCGGCGGCGGTGCTGTCAGCGGCTCTGCCGGCACTGCTGCTGCTGCTGCCGGGGGGGGGACAGGCGCTGAAACGGACCCCGGTCCCTCGACCATTCTGCCGCTGTCACTCGACGGCACCGCGATAGATTGCGATCGCGATCTCAGCAGGCTGGATCCAACAATGCTCCGGTTGCCGGCAAGCTGGTGTTTTTTTTTCTGGCTTTTTGGCTGATGCACGCGCAAGAGGGCAGGACACTGTTGTAAGTGCGTCGCACGTCTGGACCCGACTCTGTGTTCGCGAGAAGAAGAACCACAGTCGCCACAAGATATCGCCGTCAGAAACCAGACTGGACGCACCCTGGCGCTTTTGGGCCGGTTCGACGCGTAAAGCAGACCAACGTTTCTCCTTTCGATAAAAAAAAACCAAAGTCAGGGCCCAAAGGATGAAGCGGGTAAAGATGATGGCTTCAGGCTTGGATAGCTTCCGGACGAAGCTCACGACGGCACAACCCAACAGCCAGGTCGAGCAGGGGAAACCAAGGGGGAAAAGGAGCAAGAAAAAGGAACAAGACAAGCTCGGCACGCGCGGGAAAAAAGGCCACGAGTCTACCGATCACCACTCGGCAGAAACAAGGTTCACGAGGAGATTGAGAAGAGATTAGATGGTCGGGAGCGCGGCGCGGGCATTTTGCGTGTCGAGCTTCTCTCCCGGCACACGCCCTTGGCAGATGAAGTCGTGCTTGCTGGCATGCCACCGCGCGCCCAGTCTCAGAAGTAGAACCCTTTCCCCGGTCAAGCGATGCCGATGCCCCCCATTGATGCCCCCATTGATGCCCCCATTCCTATCGTCCCCATGTCCGTGTCTTGGAGGTTGCTCCAATAAAGTAAGCACCTCTTTTTTCCCAGTGGCGGCAGGCCGGGACAGGGGACGGGCTTCAGGGGCCCCGAGCGTGCTAGGGCCAGGCAGGGGCGCTCCCGGAAGGGACCTGCCTGCGGGGCCGGGGAGGGGGTGTGTGCGCGGCGGATTGCCCTATTCGATTTGGGTGGTGGTGGTGGTGGTGTGAAGCCGTCATCTGTCAAACCCAAATCTGTCCTGTCTTGGCACTGCCTCTGCTTCCGAAGCAACACCCTTCTCGAAAGTCTTCCTGGCCAACAATGCTCGGGCACCGGCTCGTATCCGGGCCTCGTCTTGGACACACACAAACGAAACGTTTCCATGTCACCCATCCTCGGATCGAGGGCGGCGCGCCGAAAGAGGACATGCTCGCACAACGGAAAAATAAACGCCTCGTCCTGCCGCCTCTCCTTGCTGCCTCTCTGCTGCTGCCGCCGCCGGGTTCAAGGAAGCTCGGGGTACTACTCCGTATCCCCGTGGAGACAAGCCCCAGCAGGGAAGATGACGGCGATCCAGAGAAGAGTGTGGGGTCAAGAGAAGACGGTGAGTTTGGAGTTGCAGTACAGTAAGTAGGTCCTGTAGGCATGGCCCAACTTACAGAGTACACAGGACCGAGATCCAATTTCATATCGATCCATTGCCCCTGGGTACTCTGACAGTACAGTACTGCCCGATGCTGTACCGGTATGTCTGTAATTTCCCCTGATCAACGACACATACGAAGTACTGTGCGTTGTAAACGACCAGTCGAGATCTGTCATCGGCCGTCCACTTCCCTATCGCAGGCAGCGTCACACAATGACCATTTTGGACATGCATCACAAAAAGAAAAAAACGACTCGTCGCCGCGCCACGAACCACCCTGCCGCCAGTCCCGGTCCTCGCCCTGGGGGGGCCACTGCCGCTTGCTCATGTCGCATGCATGCGACGCCGCTCCATCGGCCGGTGCAAGGCGCGGGCCGCTGGATCAACCGCCGGAGCAGGGCTCGACTGACAGGACGGGCTACTTTCGAAAGGCGCCTACTTCGCGCCGCCACCATGCGGTGAAGTCGCAGGTCGACACGTCAATGCCCAGTTGCCCAAGCTCCTTTGTGCTCAGGTGGCAGTCGTACGGCCGCTGCGCCGAGGCATTGGGGTCGTTGCCCTGCGTATTTGGCTCGATGCTCGCTATCGACAGGCCCATGACCTCGCCAAAGCGTTGGCAGATGTCGTACTTTGTCATGACATCTTGGCTCGAGAACTGCAGGATCCGAGGCAAGCCTTGCCGCTCAGCCGCATCGAGATACTTGGCGGCCACGTCTGTCATGTGTGCCCAGGGGGGTCCATGTCAGCGCACAATGTAACGGCGGCGATGGACTAATGCGAACGGGGACCTGGCCATGTATGCACGGGGGCGGGATGGTCTGGAAGGTTTGTGAAACATACCGCGACAGACGCGCCCGACGTCCTCCGTGTTGGTTGGATAGCGGCGGGCCCAGTGATCCATCTTAATCCTTGCCCCCTCGGTCTGTGCTTTCCAGACCGAGTCCATGAGCACGTTGACGGCACTCTCGGCGGGCGTCTCGGCATGGCCATACAGCAGCGGCACGCGCAGCGCGACGGCTAAGCCTTGCTTGCCGGCACGGGTAAACTCTTCCAGCACGGCCCGCTCGCCATCCGCCTTGGTCTGGCCGTACAGGTTGGCCGGCTTGGGGGCGGCATCGGCCTCGTAGGGAGCATCGCCGGGCGTTCCGGGGAAGACGTAGTCGGTGGAGACGTAGATGACCAGGATGGCTCGGCTTGCCGCGAGCTTGGCGAGGCTTCTGCTGGCTGCGACGTTGAGCGCCCGAGCGCCCTCCGGGTCCTTGTCGACCTTGTCGGGGGCTTTCTCGGCCGCGCCTGGCAACGTATGCCTCGTCAGCGGGCTTGCCTGGTGGAATCTCCAACGAACCACTCACAGTGGACGATGACCTGGGGTCTTGTGTGCCACGGTCAATGTCGGTCAGCAGGTCGGCGTCTGCAGCGTTGCAGGAGCACAGACTTGTTTTCGTCCAGGGCCTTGGCCAGCTCATCCGCGTTTCGAAGGTCGACTCTGCGGACATCGACGCCGTCCGCTCGCGAGTAGCCGGTCCGCTTGACATGCCATCCACCGAGCTCAAATGTCTTGGCTACTTCGCGGCCAAGGAGGCCTGTGGCACCGGTTACGAGGACGGTCCGTCGAGTCATTTCTCGTAAACGCGATGTCTCGCAGGATGCTTCGCGTGCGATTAGAACTGAGACGTGCGGGCGAGGGACGTTGGAGTCTTGTCTTGGGTCCGGTGCGGGCTGGTGAGCTGGAGTGAGTGAGAGAGGGGCAGCTCTTCCTTCCATCAGGGGTCTCATGAGTCGGCCCGCAAGTCACGGGCGGGACAGGTGGACGAGACGCGCGACTGTCAATTTACGGTGGGAAAAAATATTGACCGTCGGCGTTTCTTATTAGTCCCCGTCCTCCGTCCGTACTCGGCGTATCAACCCAGACGTCAACGGCTTCAAAGCATCTCATGTGTCTGTGACTAGAATGACGGGTGAATGACGCTCGCCAGAGGTATAGGGTAGCGGTGGCTCGTGATGTAGACGGTCAATGTGGCGTACGTCGGTGATAAGATAAGCCTTTATCCATCGACTTCTTCGACCTCTCCTCTACGTCGTACTCGTTCGTAGTCTTCAACATCAAACACTCATTCACCACCGTCGCGATGCCGCCGAGCCGCATGACCGCAAACCCGGCGCGGCCGGCGCGCCACCGTGCTGGCAAGCCCACGGGCAACGTATCGTCCTCTGATTCAGACAGCGACGACGCGGAAGCGCCGCCCCCTCCCCCGACCATTCCTGCACCCCCCAAGGCCGCCAGTGCGGGCAAGATTATCAGCAACCTCAACCGCATCGACCTCAATGCGCGTCGCCAGGAGCTGGAAAAGGTCGCCGAGGCTAGGCGACTCGCCGCTCAGAGAGCCGAGAAGCTGGCCGCCGAGCAGGGGTTCGTCACCGAGGGGGAGGAGGAGGAGAGCGAGGCGGAGGAGAGTGAGTCGGGAGAGGAATCAGACGAGGAAGAAAGCAGCGAGGAGGAGGAGCCGCGGAGGCTTATGATGCGACCCAAGTTTGTGCCGAAAAGCCAACGAGGGCAAACCGTAAAGGACCCGGAGCAAGAAGAGGAGGCTGTCCGGCAGGCCGAGGAAGAAGCAAGGAAAAAGGCTGCCGATGAGCTGGTCGAGGAGCAGATCAAGAAGGACCTCGAAGCCCGCGCGGCCGGCAAGAAACACTGGGACGACGAGGACAATCAAGACTCCGACGTCGACACGACCGACGGGCTCGACCCGGAAGCCGAAGAGGCCGCGTGGCGCGTCCGCGAGCTCAAGCGCCTCAAGCGCGCGCGGGCGGCCATCGAGGAACGCGAAAGGGAGCTCGCCGAGGTGGAGCGACGGCGCAACCTGACGGCCGAGGAGCGCGCGGCTGAAGACGAGGCGCACCTGGCCAAGCAGCGCGAGGACAAGGAGGGCAAGGGAAAGATGTCGTACATGCAAAAGTACTACCACAAGGGCGCCTTCTTCCAGGACGAGACGGAGACGGCGGGCCTGCTGCAGCGCGACATAATGGGCAGCCGCTTCCAGGACGACGTGCGCAACCGCGAGGCGCTGCCCGAGTACCTGCAGAAGCGCGACATGACCAAGCTCGGCCGCAAGGGCGCCACCAAGTACAAGGACATGCGCACCGAGGACACCGGGCGCTGGGGCCAGTTTGACGATTCGGGACCGAGGGGCCACAGGGATAGGTTCGATGGCGACGACCGGTTCCGGCCCGACGACGCCAGGTTCAGGCAGGATGACGGAGGGCCCAAGGGTGCCAATGCGGTCCCGTTGAGGGAGAGGAGGGGCAGTGCGCACGACGGCGGGAGGCATCACCCTCGGGATGACGACAGGCGAGACAGAGGCGACAGACGTGACGCTCGAGAGCATGCCGGCGATGACGACGACGGCCATCAGCGGAGATCACGGTCCCGATCGCCAAGGCGAGATCACGATGGCCACAGGAGCCGCCGCAAGAGGAGCACATCACGCGACAGGGATCGCGACGACGACAAGAGACGCAAGGTGGACGTGGATGTCCGCAGATGAAGTTGCCATCCTCTAACACCGCCCCCTCACACCGCGACGCAACCATGGCTAGGCATCGGTCTCTCTATGATATCACGACGATCAATGTACATACAACTCCGACCCATCCCCCCCCCATCAAGATCACTACCGCGAGGCGCTGTGCTGGAAGCAGAGATAGATGAAATCCAAAAAGAACAACATGGGCTCGTACACCCAAAACCCGGGACCCAGAGCAGCGCGGCTCATATTCTTACAATCTCCACCCGGGCTCTGTCGTATATCTTGTGGCTGACCATGCCGTCTACCGCCTCGCCTTGAGCTTTGTGTGGATAGAGCGCCATGCGAGCGTACGTGCCGGCCCCCTTGCGTTTCGAGAGGTATCCCGGGTTGATGGCGAGGACGCTCTCGATGACCTGCCACCCAAGTCTTGTCAGCTAGTCTGCGGGGGGGGGATGATGGCAGAGGAAACCCGCGCCTGGTGGACGTCTTCCTACCTTGACAAACGGCGGCAGCGCACTGGGGACCAGCATGACGTCAGGCCGAACATTGACCATCTCTCCCAGCTTGAGGTAGCTTAGATCGAGCACGGCACCCGTGGCGACGCCGTCGGCCGTGCCCGTCCGGGGCAGCCTCGCGCGATCCGTCGGCGGAAAGAGCGGAAAGTAGTGCCTCTGCTCCACCAGGTAGCGGCACAGCCTGCCCATCAGGTCCCCCGGCGCGGCGCCCGTGGCCAGCTCCTCGCTGCGCAGCTGGTACAGCACGTCCTGGCTCGACACGCCGAGCACCATCTCGTTCATGGATAGCGTCATGGGGTTGGAGACGACGCGCACCGACTTGGACACGCCCAGCTCCTTGCGCGGGATGGTGTCCTGCGGCCACGAGACGTGCTTGTCGAGCACGTCCCGGACCGAGGGCACGAGGACGACGACGAGGTGCGGGTTGGAGGCGCAGAGGCGGTTGAGGGCGGGCGCGAACATGAACTTGAAGACGGTCGTCAGGGTGGCGGTGTCGGGGTCGTAGCTGGCGTCCTCGGGGAGATCAAAGTCGCCCGTTGCGATGAGGGGGTGGTCCATGTCGATAAAGGGGCCGGCGAGGACGAGGGCGTCGGCGTGGGTGTCGGCCGCCCGGCTGCATAGCGCATGCAGCGGCTCGTAATCAAGGTTGTCGTCGGCAGTGTACGGCCCGGACGCAAACATGATGTTCAAGGGGGCAGGCTCCGCGTCCGACTCCATGGCATCCGGGCCGCCCCGGAGCCTCTCGCTGTTGGGCTCGAGCGCCGACAAGCTCGACGCGGCGCTGGGCAGCAAGGGGACCTCCAGGACCTCGGCGACGACAAACTCGCTGCCCTGGGCATTGCTGCCCCGGAGCGCGACAATCTGCCCCGGGAAGAAGCTCCAGCTGGGAAGCGCGTCCATCTTGAGCGGCACCCGGAACCCCATGCCCGTGCGGCGCGACGTCTCGAGCACGAGCGACGCCGCGTTGAGCTTGCCCTCGGCCGAGTCGGAGGCGATGCGGCCGACGGCGACAATCTGGGAAGTGCTCTGGCTGGCCGCGCTGTCAAAGGCCGAGTCGTCGAGGCCGTGGTGCGCCTGGACGAGGGCGGCAAAGTCGTCGATTCGGTCGTCGAGGATCTCGCTCGCCTCGGTCAGCTTCATGGCCAGCGGCTTGTACCCCGTCTTCTTCTGGTCCGAGGCGGCCGTGAGCTTGATCCGCGGCTCGGCGAAGGGCGCGACGGGGGTCTCGGCGGGACCGAGGTGGTCGTTGAGGATCTCGATGACTTCGCCCGGGTTCGTCCTCTCATTGAAGGAATTGGGCCTGCAGAGATGTGAGCACCCAAGTCTGCGCCGGGAAACGAGGGTTCAAGAGCAAGCCACTCACGGCGCGCCACCCATGGCCCGTAGCTGATCCTTCATGTTGGCGGCGGGCGAGCTCGCCACGCCGGGCGTCTCCATCTTCCTCCGAGCCGCGCTCCCGCTGCCGCTCCCAGCCCCCCTCGCAATCCTGCCCGCCGCCGCCGACGCCGGTGTGCTGGGGATCAGGCCATCGAGCATGCCGAGCACGTCGGTCGCAGGCCTCGGCGTGGCCGTCGCCTTCCTCTCGCTCTTGACGTGCGCCGCCTGGCGCTGGCTCTTCTCCAGCGCGTCCTGGATGTTCTGCTTGAGGTTGCGGATCGCCGAGAGCGACAATACCTGTGCGTCGAGCTCCATCCTGATGCAGTACGACTCCCACTTGAAGAAGAGGTCCTCGGGCGAGAGGCCGTGCAGGCGCATCATGGACTGCAGCTCGGCCAGCACGTCGGGCTCCAGCGGCGCGTTCGGGGAGAAGCGGGACGCGAGCTCGGCGTCCGCCATGGTGGGCAGGCGGGCGAGGAAACGGTCTGCGAGTCCAAGTCTCTCTGCGGAAGCGACTTTTAATAAGATGGGCAATCGATTTATCGGCAATTGGATTTCGGGGTGGGAGATGGAGAACGGAATTCGCAATGGCGTAATTAATTAAACGCAGATTCGCGGAAGACGCGTCGCGTAAAGTGCCCTGACACCCCCCCCCAACGCGCCCCCGCCAAGTGGATCCGCTCAAGCTTCGTTGATTGAAGAGATACGTACTACGTATGTGTAATCAACAGAAACCGCCATGAACATTAGATGAAGCATCACAAACGAACCGTCTGCATCTGTCCAACAGGGCAAATGGCTGGTTGAAAACATTTCGCTTCGTCTCGTTTGCTCATATCTCCCAAAATACCAACCACCCACGCTGTCCGTACTTTGCGCCTCCATTGTCACTTGCGTGCCCATTATCTGTCCGCCATCTTGTCGTGGCAGCACGCCCAAACTCCAAACCCCGGTTCATGCTCATGTCTATGTACAGAAGCTCGTCATCGTTACAGCAAAGTAATTCTCGGCTGCCATCTCAGTCCTCTTGCTGTTCCTCGTCCAATTGCATGCTGCCCGAGTGGTCCATCGTCCACTGAGCCCAGATGCTGGCCGAGCCTCGGTAGTCGAAAGCAATGGAACCGTCCCGCGGCGGCGAGCTGGGCATCAGTGCATCAGTGCTGAGCATGTTTCCAAATTCGATCAGGGCGCCATTCGTCGGGTCCAGCCCAGGCAAGCTGCCGAGGTCCAAATCATCCACGAGCCCAAAGTGGTTGGTGTCCGAAAAGGCCTGGCTGATGGACCGACTGATCGGCGTGTCGAACATCTCAAAGCCCCCTTGGTGATTGCGCGGACTGCGTCTGCGGCTTGCGCTGCCCGAGAGCCCAAGCCCGAGACGCGGCGTCTTTGTCGGCGTCTGCTGCAGCAGGACCTGGCTGGGAGAGGCAATTAATCTGTTGGAGCGCAACGACCGGGAAACACTCCTAGTGATCGGCCTGTGGCTCGGTGTAGTGCGCGTTGGCGTCTTGAATGGACTCGAGAGAACGAGCGCCATGGAGTTGGGAGGCGGCGTCGAGGGCCGCGCGGCCATTGGTCCCTTGAGGAGAGCCTCCATTCGACGACACTCGCTTGATGCTTCGTCCCCGTCTTCCATGATAATGTTCTCCTTGTCGGCGGCGAGTCGCTTCAGCTGCTGGAAATCATCAGAAGTCTGAACCGTGTTCACGGCCACCTCCCCCAGGACCTTGAGAGCCCCATCCTTTCGCGGTGATGGAAATAGCAGTCTCCTGGTGCTGCCTACCGCATTGTCAAATTCCAGCTCCACAGGGCTCTGTGCTGTGCCACTGCCGCGGGAATGCGTCGACCCTGGGTTGGAGCGCGTTTCATCATCTCCGCCGCTGCCGCTCGCATCGGCAGATGGCACGCACGTCTCGCCTGCCTGAAATTGCGTGCCGAGCGGTCCCGTCGTATCCGCGTGTGAGCGTCCGCCATCGGCTGCCTTGGGCGACGACTGCTCCTCTGGTCCGAGAGCGTCCGTCAGCAGATACGCGTCCGAAGTCGGATTGATTCGAGCATCGCTCTTCGAACGCGGCTTCCTAGAACGGCTACTACCCCCTCCTGTGCCCTTTCTTCGTCGCTCCTGACCGATGCGCGAGAAGTCCTTGTCCCAGCGATCCGGGGGCCGATGGCATTTGCACTTTGTGAGCCAAATCCCACACGGGTTGCAGAGGAGCAACTCCTGCCAGGCGTCCTTGTCATCGCCCGGCCCCAAACTCTTCTTGATGAGGCGGTACGAGGTCGGCTTGTCATCCGCGTCGCGCTTGATAATCTCAATGGCCGTCACCTTGCCAGGCTTCTCCGAGTACTCGCAGTACTGAGGTGTGCCTTCATGCTCCTGAACCCAGATTTTGCGCCAAGTGGGCGTTTCGATGGCTCCGCAGTTGCTGCAGAATGGGGGCATTTCTCCATTCATGATAGCCTCCTCTAGCCGCTGCTTGATTGCATGTTTCTTGACTCTGTTCTTGTTCGATCTCGCCGGAGGTGGCGAGGAGGCCGGTGGGGGAGCGTCCATGGGCGGCGTGGGTGCCTTGGGCTGCTCTTGGTAAGACATCTGCTGCAACAAGGCACTGGGTCCGACGGGGTCGCTTGCAGGTATCGGCAACGCCAGAGGTCCGGAAGACGCCGCTCTCTTCAATCCAGGGGCAGCAGGCGGGGTTGGAACGCTCGATTCAGCATCAACACACTGGTATAGGGACGAAGGACCCGCAGGCTCACTTGCAGGAACCGATGGCAGAGCCAGAGATACGGCTCCCGCAGACTGAGATCTCACGACTGGACGCACGTCCTTTACCTTTGAGCTCTGGGGCACCTTCCTCTTGGGCAGCTTTGTCGACGACAGATCTTGCTGCTGCAAAGGCATCTCGTTGGTCGTTGGCGTGTCGGAACAAGTCTTGGGAGGAGAGTTGCTCGGCTCTTCCGACTGTTCGACGCCCTGCATAGGCTCGGGAGCGCGGGCAGGACTTGGCTGGCCATTGTCTTGTAACGATTCCGCCATGGGTGTCGGACTCACGCGCTTCTCCACGGCATCGGTTGTTGGTGGCGGAGTTGGCTCCATCGCAGGGGGGGGAACCGGAGCGGCCCGAGACTTCTTTGCGGCTGGTGCCCTCCTCTGGCGAGAGCGCGGAGGGCCCTTTTTCAGTGGAGGAAGAGCCGGGGCATCATTGAATGTCGGAGGTAAAACCGGCGGCGGCGCTGACGACGGATGAGGAGCGCCGTTGTAACTGCAAATGTGAACCATGTCTTGACCCATTGGGCCGTCTTGCATCTGGAAAACCTGAATCGGCACGCCCTTTGTCATGGGCCTCGAGTCGGTTGATTTGCCCGGGTGGGTGCGGGGTGGCATGGCCTCGCCAGGATCAGGGTGGAGTGACTCTTCACCAAAGAGGTCGTCCATCTCATCGTTAGCAAAGCTGGATTCGTGATGGGGCAGCTCAGTGGACGGCATCGGCGGCAAGACGGGGCTCGAGGGCGGCGGACTAGACATAAAAGGCGTCGTGCGTTGCACGGGTGGAGATGATGCCATGCTGTCCTCGGAGTAGGTGGGCGTCGGGGCCTGGGATTCGGGGGAGCGGCCGTCCTCTTGACCCGGAGACAAGGGTTGCAGCCTCGGATCGGAATAAGCGGCCACTCCTTGATGATGCTGGCCTAGAGCGGACACCTGCCGCAGCTTGGATTGGTTTGAGCCCCGCCCGGGCAGATTGGCGAATGGAGCTCCCTCAGGAATAGGCGTGGGAGCCCGAGGAATTTCCTGAAGGTGGCTGCCCGATACACCTTCGTTGCTGGCCGCCACAGGGCGGAAGTTTCGCAGAGAGCCGGATGTGCTGGCGGCGACTCGGAGGGACTCGGGCCCAGCAGCAAAGGGATTGGAGGCCGACTTGTCTGCCTTGGTTGTCGTTGCCCTCTTCCGAGCAGGCCCTTCTTCGCCCTCGGTGGCTTCTTCATATCCCGACGTGTTCCCATCCGCCGGCTTCTTGCGAGGCCTGCCACGCGGCCGACCAGTTGGTTGTCTTTTCCGAGGAGCCCGACTCGAGGCTCGGCTGGAAGGCCTCGAGGGGGCGGCGGAGCCTCTGGGCTGTTCAGCCGGCTCGACTACTGGAGTGGGAGCCACTCGATGAACCTCCTGGATCACGTGAGGCATGCTCTGCTGAAGGGCATGCTGGCCAAATGGTTGCAAGCTGCTGGGCGCCGGGGCGGGGCCTTGGGACAGGGCGGGTGAGGCCACGCGCGAGACTGGACCGCCGTGGCCGATCTGGGGGTTGGCTTGCATGAAGGAATTCCATTCTGACGCGCCGGTAGGTGTCATGGCTGATTCCACGGGTCGATCCGCAAATTGTTGCTCCGGGAGTCGGTCGACGGGTCGGGTCGGTTGGAAGTCTGCACTGCCGTGGCGGGCATGGCGGTGAACTTTGGCGGATTCTGAAAACTTGAGCTTGACCTCGAGCGTCTCCTTGTTGCCTCCACCGAAGACGGCAAGTAGATTCTTGGCAACGCGCCCGGTGACGAGCTTGGGCGGCTGGGGCATGGCGTCGTTGCGCATCGAGCCGAGGGCCCAGGAGAGCATTCCCTGACCGACCAAGGGGGTCTCGAGCTCGGAGTAGTCGACGGCGTAGATGGTGTAGTCGCCGTCCTGAGTAGCAAGTTCCGGGCTGCATTCCATGACAGCGTGGAGACATGCTCGCAAGTCGATGACGCCGATGGTATTCGTCTCGTCGATGGGAATCGTCTGTACGTGCAAGGTGTGCGAGTGTCTGGCCAGGCAGTTGACTTTGGCTTCCTTGTCGAAAGTGTAGTGGACCTTGACTACAGCAAAGCGAGTTAGCTCAAGGTCAAGAGTCAAGGAGGGAAGGCGACATACGGCTCATAGGCCTGACTTGAGGTCCAGGATCAGGAGCAGGAGCAAAGGCGGGTGCAAACATCGCCTGGCCGGGGCCGTTCCGGCCTTCACCGACCGGTTGAGCGGCAGGCCGAGGCGTCGCCATGACGGATGGCAGCTCCCTCGACAGAGCAGATGAGAACAGAGTGCACCCGCGGAACGGGGTCTGCCGTGGATGACGCCGAGAAGAGGCTGAAGACGGAGGGTGTGGAAGAAAGGCGGCAGTGGAAAATCCTGTCGAGATAGTTTCGTTTCAACAACGGGGAAGGTGGTTGGTCATGGCCCTGGAGACGCGCGCGCCAATTCACGCTGCTTCAGTCGCGTCTGCGGACCCGCTACCACTTTAAAAATCGGCGCGCGCAGGCCAGGGACGGTAGCAGGCGGGGGAAGGATGACGATTGAAAGGGATGTGAAAAGGGGAAAAAAGTGGCCATGAAGAGATAAGGCCGAGAAGAATAAGTTACGTGCGCGCGCCCGAGTGTTTGGTTGTGGCGCGACGTGCGATCGTGGGAGAGTTGAAAGTCTAAGTCGGCGCGTCGATGGTGGAGGCACGTGGGGAGGTGAGCGAGGTGAGCTCCCGGTGCAGTTGCCAAGGCACCTTCCGGAATGGGTAGCGGCGGGGCAGATCCAGTGACGTGCCTGCCTAAAGTACCGAGGTACCTAGGTACCCTTTTCTTTTTTTTAGTTGTCGGCCCTCGAGACACCGCCTAGGACGAGGTACGCAAGGATACTTGCCATGAAGCCAGCCCAATGTGCTGAGGAGAACTCGAGTCCGTCCGGGTGAGTGTCTCTCGCGCGTACCTGCGGCTAGAGCCACGCACTCTGCTGACGGTGTGTTTTCCTCGCGGACGCAGGACAATGTAAGCCCAGAGAGCGCCCAACTAACCTGGTATTAACTTAGTATGTCTCTCCTTTTCAACTGCCGCCTTATCTCCCTCTTGCCCTCGGGCGGACACAGGGGAGGCCAGCCCCTTTTATACTTTTGCGCTGTTGCTGTGCCTGCTGGAGGCAGTACATATACGTACTACTACGGTGAAGCGCTTTTCCCATCGGGAGGTACCGTCAGCCTCGCATTCGCAAACACTCAGCCATTACACAATACCTGCATCAAGATACAAGACGAATTTTTGTAGCTGCTCCTCTTGGTACCAGCCTTATCCTATTGTTTGGCCCTTGCCTAGGTAGGTACTCTGACGAGTATCAGAATTGCAATATCGAGACAGCCCAGAACTTCGTCGGCTCTGTATCCCCACCATCTTTGCCCAACGATGGAACAGGTGGCCATCGCAGTCGAGTGACTCATCTACGAGGCAGTCACCGAGCCCCCTTTCTACCAATGATTCTGGTCGACCTTCGGTTTGCGTTCGGGCACATGCCCGATCCCGGGCCGCCATGTCCGCACCTGGTTGTCTGCAAATGGGGGTGGCGTGATAAACCTGGCTTTGGTTGCAGCATTCACTTGCAAGCATGACCGATGAAGCCGCCAGGCCCCCAAAACCAACAGCATACTAAGTTAGTGTTCTGCCTGAAGAGCAAGGGAAAAGATGTGAGTTCAAGCTCTGTTCTCATTGTAAATCATCCACCCGAGCAGCGACGCGGGATTTTGGTCAGGCGAACCCCGAGGCAAACCATCCACTGCACTCAGGCAGGACCTCGACGATGTGGGGAGCAACCTTAACATTTGTTCCGGCTTCTATAGTACATTGGACATCAACCTACCTTACATCGGAGCCGTCTTGCTCCGTCCGCTGTATCTGTCCCGTATTCCGTCTATTTACCGCGACCCCTTTACAGCCTGCTGGTAGCAACGCTCTCGTCCCCTAACCACTTCACCACGCCGTCGTCGTCCACCTTTGTCTTGCGAGCAATGATTTCCTTGGCCACGTCCGCGATCCCCTGGCGCCCCCTTCGCGATGCCACGACGGCCTTGGTCAGCTCCTTAGGCGTGTAGCTCTTGGACGTCACCATGTCCTCGATTTCCTTTTCCGTGGGAACGCCAAGCGCCGCAAAGGGGTACTGCGAGTAGGTGCGGTCACTGAAGAGCTCCAGCGAGGCCTCTTGGTCGAAGTCGAAAAAGGGCTTGGCCACGTTGTCGCTGGCAGGAATGGCCTCGAGCGACTCGGGCTGCCACTTGGGCGTCTCCTTGCGGACGAGCAGGGCCGTCACGCCCTCGGTGAAGTCGTGGCCCTGCATGAACTTGGAAGCAATCTGAAACTCCTTGTTGAACGCCTCGGCAATGTCCCACTTGCCGCCGACGCGCATCTGCCTGAGCGTGACGTGCACCGAGGTTGGCGATCGCTTTTGCAACGTGTCCAGCTGCTTCTGCGCCCACGCCTCCGTCTCCCCCCGCTCCTCCTTGAGGGAGGCCATGATGTCGTCGACATTGTTTTTGTTGAAGCAGCGGTCGATGGCCCGGCGCACCTCCCCACTCAGCTGCATGGACTGGTCGAAGGGCAGTCCGGTGCAAAACTCTTCCAGGGTGTCGTTGATGATCTCGAGCCTCCGGGGCAGAGGGTCGTCGTCCAGGAATCTCAGCTCGGCCAGACGAGCCTCGAGGTCTGGAAGGCTGGTGGAGTGGAGGTAATGCGTGGCGATGCCCGTGTAGAAGACGTTGGGGCCCGTCAGCCGGTCGCTGGTCAGGGCCAGATACGTGCCGACAGAGCCGTTCATGCGTGGAAGAAAGAAGGATGCACCGACATCGGGGAAGAAGCCTATCGTCGTCTCGGGCATGGCGAAGACGGTCCTCTCGGTGGCGATGCGGAAGGGGGCGTGGATGCTGAGGCCGACGCCACCGCCCATGGTGATGCCGTCCATGATGGCCACGTACGGCTTGCTATACGTCGCAATGTAGTGGTCCAGTTTGTATTCAAGGGCAAAGTAGTCCGCCGACTTCTTCCACCCGTCGGCCCCCTGCTGGTTGTGCTGGGCGAGCGCGGCGACGTCGCCTCCGGCGCACAGGGCCTTTGGGCCAGCGCCCTTCATGACGATGACGTTGGCCATGTCCGACTTTTCCCACTCGACGAGGCGCGGGACAATCTTGCGAATCATGGATCCATTGAGCGAGTTGAGCTTTTTGGGCCGGTTCAGCATGACGGTGCGGAGGCCATATCTGCTCTCGAAGACAACATCGTTGGGTTCGTCGCCGGGCAGTTCCTTGATTGAGGCGGCCTCTGTCGAAAGCTGTCAAACGTCCTAATCAGCATGCGATCCGGAGACAGAGGGCGGGGATGGCGAGATTCACCTGCCGAGCGCCCCACGAGCAGCTCAAGACCTTTGCGCTCTGGGCCATCTTACATGTGCCTCGCAAGCGTGAGCTGCCTGCAGCATTGGCTGCCGTTCCGGCGCGGACGAGGAAAGCTCTGTAGGACATTAGAGAGGAGGCACTGATTGGACTCGCTCGTACGGTCCGGAAGGCGCGTCGACGGGACCTCGTCAGCGATTGAGGAAGAGGAGGGGCGGCAACGTCGCGAGAGTCGGGCGAGGTGCGAAATTTAGACCGAGAGTAGCAGCGACTGGCCGCGGGGCGTGAGGGTACATTGCGTTGCTGATGGACCAAGTAGACGTCGGAGGGCCCCTGCCAAGAGGACCTGCTGCAGCGTGAGACAGCCACGGGCCAGGCGGTACTGTAGTGGGAGCTGACAGCTAGGGTACCTGTCTGGCATTCTCGCGCACGTATCCCCAGCCAGCCCAAGCTCAGCTCCAGTGTCTGAAGCACGGCAAGGTACATGGCTAACTAGTGGAGACGTTTAGCAGACGGGCCCTTCGGTCCAATCAGAGCGCGCCGTTCCTCGTCGACTTTTCGAGCCTCGATCGATTAGCCCCTCGAAGCTCCGAAAGGCCCTTTTCCATCACTCATCATCAGCCTTGCGATCCGCATCCCTCAACTCGTCCTGAGCCCGACGCAAACCTCGTCTCCCACAAAGGGCAACCGCGCAAAATGGCGGATCCCAAGATTCAGTACGTATCATCTCTGCCCTATACCTGCTTTTGACCTGCGCTAACGAACGCCTCCCAGAGAACTGCTCACCAAGTCGCGCGCCGACCTCACGTACACGCTCCCCGCCTCCCCTTTCCCAGGGCAGCGCTGAGTCCCTCGCTGTCCTGGCCAGAGTTGCAAAGACCAATGCTGACGTGTACACCCCCAGCGAATACGAGATTGCGCAGCTCGAGGAGCACGAGTTCTCCGCCGGCCCCCTCTCCATCCTCCAGACCGCCGTGCGCTCGCACGTCCAGGTGCTCATCTCTATACGCAACAACCGCAAGCTGCTCGCCCGCGTCAAGGCCTTTGATCGCCACTGCAACATGATCCTTGAAAACGTGAAGGAGATGTGGACCGAAACCAGCAAGTCGGACAGCGGCAAGACCAAGTCGGTGAACAGAGACCGGTTCATCAGCAAGATGTGAGTGCAGAAGCCGCTTTCGCACGCGCGGGGAGGCGATGCTAATGTGTCGCAGGTTTTTGCGAGGGGATAGCGTGATTCTGGTGCTCCTGAGCTGAGCTGGAGTGCGCCCTCATATGTGGTCAAGACACTCCTGTTTTTCCTACCGCCGCTTTCTTTCTTTGTTCTTGCCGGTCTGGATTCCTCAATCGAGGTCCATTCCGTGGGCGAGACTATGGAGTACATACATGGGTGGAACAGGCGTTGAGAATAATGTGACTTTACTCGGGGACCAAAGTGTCGTGCAGAATTTCCCAACGACACAGCTGCGGCTTTACCTTGCGTGCCAACTGTTACCCATTCCTTGCTGAGAATCTCGCCTACGAAAGAAGCCTCGAGAGTCCGCCATGAGCTACGCGTCCTCGAACCCGTGGAATTGCGCCCTCAGCCCCGTTCGGCCGGCTCCGCACCCGCCAACCCCAGGAAGAAACAGGCCAGCCCCCAGGCGCCGGGATCAGGCACCTGCTCGTAGCCGCTGCCGCCGACATAGACGGTCCGCCCGAGACTGGCCTGCATGCCCCTCGTCTCGTCGGCCGCCCTGCGAGCCGCGCGCGCCGCCTCGCCGACGTCGCCGGTCCTGCCCAGCACCTCGACAAAGGGGTACAGGGCGTCGACGAGAGTCCTGTCTCCCGGGCGGGCGGGCGTGTACTTTGCCAGGGCGTCGCAACTCTGCTCGAGGACCGAGGCCCAGAATCGCGGGGTCGTGCTGCTGCCGGGCGGCGAGGCGCGCAGGGCGTGGACCAGGGCGTTGAGGAAGATGGCGTAGAGGGCGCCCGAGGTGCCGTCCATGGTGCTTTCGACGACGGGCACGATGGAGGAGACGTCGACGACGGCGTCGCCCGTCAGGGGCCTCTGCTCGAGATGCTTGAGGATTGCTGCGCGCCTCTCTGTCAGTGTCCGCTGAGGATGGCGACTCTGGTCCGAACGAGCTTACCTTGGGCGCCTCTCTTGAGCCCGATGCCGCAGTCTCCATCTCCAACGACGGTGTCGAACCTCGTAACCTCCGGTTCCGCCTCCACCACCCTCTCCAGGGCACGAACCAAGGCCGACTGAACACGCTGGGGATCCTCCATCTTTAGCCCGCTCGGCTGAACCGCCTGCTCTGCTTTGGCATCGTCGGTCCTCGTCGCCGTGTTCCGGGCGTCCCACGACGCCGTGCGGATCGGCGCAGACCAGCCGGTGACCTCGCACGGCGCGTCCAGCAGCTCGAGCATGCCGGCGCCGGCGCCGATGCCGGTGTCGACGACTTTGAGGAGCGAGATGCTGAAGCCCGGCCCGTTGAGGCTGGTCATAAAGGTGCCACTCAGCACGCGCGCGGGACGGACGCCGTAGCCGTCGCGCAGCTGGGCCACCACCTCGGCCGTGACGCCGCCCATCTCGAGGACGCTGACGCCGCCGAGGTTGTTGACGAGCAGCACCACCTCGGCGGAGCTGTCGACGGAGAGAAAGGCCCGGTCGCGGTCCGCGGCGTCGAGCAGCTGGGCCAGCATCGTGCTCACCAGCCGCGGCAGGTGGAGCTCGGCGCGCCCGCAGCCCGGCTCGTTGTGGATGCCCATGCCGACCTCGACGTCGTCGGGGCCCAGCCCGTCATGCTCGGCCTCGATGTCTGTCGCCCGGCCGGGGACATGGACGTGTGCGAGGCTGGCCCCGACGCTGGCGACATTTGCGGCCGCGAGCCTCGCGACCCTGGCCACCTCGTCCAGCGGCCGGCCCAGGGCCGCCATGGCGCCGGCAATCTTGAGCACAAGCACCGTCCCCGCGATGCCGCGCCGGCCAACCTTTCCGGCCTTGGCCCTGCCGACGCCGACATCATCACCGACAACCACCATCTCGACGCGCAGCCCGGCGGCCTTGGCCTTTTCCACGGCGACGCCGAAGTTGAGCACGTCGCCCGTGTAGTTCATGACGACGACCAGCACCCCGGCCGCCCCGGCGTCGACCCTGGCCGTCATGGCCGTCCGCACCTGCTCCGCCGAGGGGCTCGCGAAGATGGAGCCCGCCACGGCCGCCGAGAGCATTCCCGCGCCCACCATGCCGGCAAAGGACGGCTCGTGCCCGGATCCGCCGCCAGACACGACCGCCACTTGGGCGTGGTCGTCGGCCGAGGGCGAGGGCCGCCGGTAGACAATCTTGTTGGCCGCATCGACGGCGACGTTGGGGTTTGTCAGGGTGAGAGAGTGCAAGGCCGAGGCGACGAGGTGGGTTGGGTCATTGATAAAGTGCTTGCGAGACGACATGGTGACGGTGGCAAGTCGGATGACTTGAGAGTCACGTTGACTGGGAAGCGGCAGTTTTTTCGGAATCCACGTCAAAACCGTTCGGATGAAGAGGATTTAAAGACGACAGGTTAGATTAACCAGAGTTTGGCCCTCAAGACGACAGGGGATCACGGTTGACACCTGGTGAGGGCTGAGAGAGCAGATATCCATCGCAGCCCCACTCGCTCCCTTGAGGTTGCACGCAAGGACCCGTACAGTATGCGGATGGAAAAGCATCCATACGATTCAGCTTAACCAAGGGCGACACTCTGGAGACATTGTGTGGCTGCGGAGGGTATAGGCGAATGCCTATATCAGCGTGTAGTATTATACCGAGACTACATGATGTATCTCAAACGGAGACATGGCAATGCCATCATATATCAGATGAATATGGGCGGCCAATCTCGCCGGACGCGCCGCCGGGGGCAACGCGCGTTGTCCTCCTCTTTTTTTTCTGTACTCCAAGCTGCCGGGCACGCCACGAGCCTCGGCTGAAATCCAACATGCCGGTAAAATGTACAGCAAGAGAGTAACTCTGATGCAATCGATGCTGGTAAGCCGCCACCGGAACGCCTGCGCAATGGCATGACCAAACAAATCCTCGCCAAGGCAATAAGCAAAGGAGCCCGCGGGTTAAAAAAATGTGCAAGAAGAAAATGAGTGAAGAAAAGAGGGGGGAAGTGAGAAATCTACATGAGCATGAAACTCGTCCCCCCTATTGTGCTCACTACTAGGAACAGCGTCAGGAAGCCCGCGCCAACCCTGTCCGCCGTCGTGATGGGCTTCAGCTCCGTCGGGTCTTGTTCCTTTCCGGTGCCGGCGCTCGGGTCTCCCTTGGATGTTCCGCCCGTCTTGGAGGTTTTAGGCGCAGACGCTTTGTTGGTGAGCGGATAGATCATGGCGGCGACGGCATTCATCTGCTGCGGGACACCGACGAGGCCGTCAAAGTTCTTGCCGAGCCAGCTGAAGCCGCAGGCCGTCCCCTGCGTGCCCTTGAAGTCGGTTGGGGGCGGCGATCCGGTGCACGACGAGGCGGCGGCGTCGGCGGTGGCCTTGAGAATGGGCATGATGGTCACGGCCGTGTACGGGGCCAGCTTTGTTGTGGCGGCAAACCATCGGGCGAGGTAGCCCTTGAAACTCTGCTGATCCCGGTTGCAGAGCTTGTTGACCTCGCAAAACTGCTCGTACAGGACGTTGTCCTTGACGAATCTCGTCATGGCTTCCTTGAGGATGCCGTCGAGCCGCTTCTTCCACGTGTCGCTGTTGGTGAGGTTGTACATCATGGCGGCTCCCTCGAGGTAGATGCCTGCGTTGTACGACCACTGGTCCGTGTTGACCCTCCGGCACTGCGTGTCCGAGTCTATCGTGATGCCGTCGTAGATGTCAAAGTTGTCGCTGATGAGGCCGACCTTTTGCTCCCACTCGAAGATCTTGGTGGCCCAGTCGCCGTAGGTGCTGTTGCCCGTGTATCGAGCCAGGCGGGCGGCAATGTTGAAGAAACAGCCGTTTGAGATTGAGTTTTTGTAGTTGTAGCCGTTGTTGAAGCTGAAGATTTGCCATCTCAGGCCGCCGCCGCAGTCCTGCTCGTCCCAGCGCTGGGCATACAGGTTGAAGACGGCCTGGACCAGGGCCAGGTATTGAGGCTGATCCGACGGCGGATCGGGGAACTTGTTCTCGGCAGCACTCATGGCCGTCATGGCCCAGAAACCCTGGTCATCGTTGCCCTCTGTTCTCGTCTGGTTCTTGGGCATAAAGTCGGCCGAGTCGGAAGCCTGGTGGACAATGGCTTGCATGGTGGCCTCGTTGTACGTGCTGTCACCCGTCAGGAACCAGTAGTCGATGATGGTGCCAAACATGGCGCCGGCGGTCCACCCTGCTCAGTGTGTTAGCCACCACGTTGCTGGCTCGTCAAGTCTCGGGGGCACTGACAAAAATATGGATCGGGCAGGTTGCCGGGGACATCTCCTGTGTTGTTGCCGGTGTAGTACCGCATGAGGCCATACGCGGCGGTGCTGGCGGCGGTCTTGATGGAAGCTTAAGTGGCGCAACGTTAGTCACAAAAAGCAACGACGAGGACCAAGGAGCGGGTGTGGCGTACCTTGATCGTCGACGTTGACCTCGATGGCGAGGGCTGTGCGTCCCACGAGTCCGGAGGCGAGAGCCAGGACCGCTGCAAGGCCCCTCATGGCGCGGGCGTCGATTCAAGACTAAGCTGGCAGATGGAGGAGCGGCAAGAGGGGAAGTAAGTAGCCGAGGGAAAATGGCCGACGTGGTTCAGGAGGCAAGCGTAGATCGCATTCGGACGTCGAGTAGTGATTAAGGTGCGAGGGGATATTCCAGATTCGACGACGGAGAGGTCGGGCGAGGCAGTCGATGGAGGATTCTTCCGGAACTCAGGTGGCCAGCAGCGCCAAGAACGGGGGGATGGACGTGGGAGGGCGAAATGACCATGGGCGAGGCCAAGAAAGCAAAGGATTGAGGGAGTGACGGGAAGTGAAAGAAGTTTGTGGGTTGACTTTTGGGAGGAAGAGCTTTTGGGAGGAAGAGCAGTATGTACGAGCAAGAAGAGAAAGGGGCGGGTTGAAGGTTGGGAGCCAGCACGGCCAAGAGAAGAGGGAGAGACGGAGACAGGGGTGAAGACGGTGGATGGCGAGGCGGAGGGCGAGGCGGAGGGCGAGGCGGAGGGCAGAAGAAGGGCAGCTCAAATGTCTGTCAATATCAGGCCTCCTTTTCCAACAAAGCTCCGAGGGCAGACGGCACTTTGGTGTACACTTGACACGGGCCCAGCCAGGTGCCCCGTCAAGTACCGTTCTGTACTATTCCAATAGACGGCCCGGTCATGGAGCCGACGCCTCTCAGAGGGCACAGAGGAGAGAGAGAGAGATTTATTTGGAAACGCTAAACCTCACCCATATGCCAGGCCGGGCCGCGAGGCTGTGTTCCCCAATGAGCGGAGACAGCCAGGGTGAAACGGTCTGCGGCGCATCTGAGAGCGCTCCCTTGGCCGAGGGGGGCGCAAGTCTCGCCATTCGTTTTGTTTTGGGGGCTGCCGATGACGGATGGCGCGCATTGTCGGCTGCATGCACAACTGAGGCGAGTGAGACGTCAGCCACGAGTCCGCGACGACGACCGCGACGACGACGACGACGACGACGAAGACGGCTGACGCTTTCTGCGTCCGGTGACCTTGGCCGCAGGTGAAAAGGGAGAATTGAAGCCGCCCGGGCTAATGTATGTATGACCAGGGGGGGGCCCGGTAAGTTAGGGGGATCCATGAGTTAAAATTGGCCTCTGACCTACTAGTAGGTATTCGGACAGTACCGAGTTCCACCAGAGAGCTCCGGGGCTTATAAATGGTACCTTGTTACTGGAGGGAGCACTGCGCCTCCTGGGGCCTCGTATTGTCCTCTGCTCTCTTCTCTTGCTTCGTATTTGGCACGGCAGCGGGCAAACAATGCGACAAGACACGGTGCATCTATACGGCGGCTTGCGTGTGTTGCGGGAGGAAGCAGTAACTACGGATTGGAACACAAGAGCTCTTGGTGATGTTGCACTGCAATTCCATCCGAGTACCGGTGATTTCCACACTACGGATACCTACCTTAGGTATTAATAACGCACCGAACAGTTAAGTAGGTTAAGGTACCTACCTAGGTAGGTGCCTACGGAACCTTGGTTATACGTACTTTGATTCTCATCGCCAGCTCCCCCCACCTCCTTTTAGTTTCCGTTATGGATAGGTACCACTTGCCCCGCCATGCCGAGAGGCGGCGGAACCCCCTATTTGATCCATGCCAGGTTTGCCTCGTCGAGTGTTTGTGGACATGGATCCAAGAATAAGTAGAGGGTGTGGATTTTCTTCGAGGTGCCAGGTAGCTTACCAAGTACTTCCGGTACGTACCTGTCCCACAGAGAGAACCCGAGGCTTGAGGACTCCCTGTCAACCTGAACGCCAGGCTTGTGCAACTACCGCTGCATGCATCTGCACATCTACAGCAGGCATGGATACGGGCAAGACTTGCTTCTTGGCTTCATCTAGAACCACCTCCATCATCACCTCCATCAATCTGGTGTACTATACCTACCTACTTACCTAGGTACCTAGGTAGGTAGGTACAGTACTGTACCATACACCTTGCACAGTACGTACTGTACGGGCACGCAATCGCGAACCCCTTCCTCCAGACGAGAACCATATGTCCATCTTATTACGCAACGCATCATCCATCGAGTCTCGATGGCCATCCTGGGGTCGGCGCTTCCAAGGCCACGACGACCGAAACCGTGGCCCTCGGCCTGGAGCGTTTCACCACCCACAGTGCGTAAACGCCTCCGAGTCACGCTAGCCCTGTGTACGTACTGTCCTGTCCTGTACTGTACTGTAACTTACTGTAATTACTGTTACAGTACGTACACTCGGTGCAGACAGACAGATCCTCTCGGGCAGCTCGGCCGATCCCGACCAAACGTCTAATACTATCTCCATCGCCTTACCGACACCGCCATTGGTGCGTGACTGCGTGTGCCATGCCCTCAACAAAGGATCGCGGGGTAACAAGTCCGATCCAATGCACGCGCGTCTATGGAATGGTGGTCATGGAGAATTCCTGCACCCTCTCCCAACGCTGCCCCGCGCGTCTGGGAACCAATGGCTTCTGTAAGCCTCCCAGCGCTACCATGGAGAGCCTCACGACCTCGCCAGCCGCAGCCCCGCGTCAGACGCCGCCAGACGACCAGGCACAATGAGTCTCCTCGCTGTCTCTTTTGGGCTGCTGCTCCGTCTCGCTGCCGCGGACGGCACGGGCAACCACCCGGAATGGCCTCGTTGGTGCGGCAAAGCGTACCAGCCCCAGTGCGTCGCGCTCGTCGGATGAAATGCGTCGCGCCCTCACTGACTCTGCACCAAAGGTTCCCCAGCTTCGACCCCGGCGGCCAGACTGTCGAGCCGCCCGCGCTGCCCGGCGGCCCGGCCCTCGACGTGCGCTTCAAGCCACGCTACAGCATCTACCTCGAGAGCGAGACGCGTGCAGAGTTCGTAGTTGATGCCGACGTCTCAAAGTGGCACGGCCAGCCATGGCCCGACCTGGGCACGCCCGGGACGGCACCTGCCGTCCACTTCAACATCAGTCTCGTGTCTGGCGGTGGTGCCCTCGTCGCCGACAAGCTCGTCGTCGGCTCCAAATCGAACCTGTTTGCCTTTAGTCTCGCCGCGCTCCAACCCAGCCTCGACCCCTACAAGGTCCTTCTCACAGGCACGGCCGAGCATGGTGCGCCCAGCATCACCGCCACCAGCGAGCTCTTTCTGCTGCCGGACAAGAAGACCGGCAGCGTCACTAGGCTTGATAATCTCAACGGCGGCATCCTCTTCCGCAGTCGCGCGACGGGGGGGAGGTTTGAGCCGTTTATGCCCTACGGCTTCTATGCCTCATGCGACAACTTCCTCTGTGATCGGGACAACCTGAGCAAGATCAAGGCATACCACGACTTGGGACTCAACAGCATGGTTTCGCTCACCACCATCTTGGACTCGAGGCCGGCGTACGAGTACCTGGACAAGCTCGATCTGAGGTTCATGTACGACCTCCGCAGCTATTACAAGAACCTGACGGCGGTGCGCCAACAGGTATCAGCCGTCAAGGACTTTGATGCCATCTATTCATACTGGGGCTCAGACGAGTAAGCCTAGCTGTTGCCTTGGGTACTCGTAGCCGGTCCCGACTAACACGAGATGACTCCAGGCCGGACGGACATCAGGACCCCTTCAACCTCGTCGTCGAGGCCCGGGATGCCATCCGCAAGATTGACCCTTACCACCCCGTCTCCGTCACGCTCAACTGCCAAAACTACTACTTCAAGGAATACTCGGCTGGAGCCGACTTCATTATGGAGGACGTCTACCCCGTGGCCATCAACAGCACCTTTTCGAAATGGGGCACGGCCTGTAACTCCACCTATGGCGACTGCGGCTGCGACAACTGCCAGGGCGGCGTGGGTGACGTTGCTCGTCGGCTGGACCATCTCGCGCGGTACGAGGAATGGCTCGGTCTCTGGCCCAAGACCAAGGCGCACAATCCGCAGAGCTTCCACGGCGAGGGCTACTGGCCGAGGGACCCGACGGAGGAGGAAGCGGTGGCAATGAGTGCGCTAGCTTTCAATCACGGCGCCAAGGCCATCGCCTCGTGGGTGTGGCCGACGAGCGATGTGCTGGCCAAAGTTCACGGCAGGTTTGCGCATGCCGCTGCCAAGGAGCCGGTCCGTAGCATGATTACCGAGGGTCGAGCGAACAGGGTTCGAGTCGAGGGACCTGCGTCTGTCGACGTGGCTTACTGGACGGTGGAGGAGAAGCGTCAGGTTCTCTTGTCCGTCGTCAACGGAGGCTCGGAACCCTTCAACGGACTCGTCACCGTCCCGCTGCCAGCGCGGACAATGCCACTGGCCAACGAGCGCGTCGTCTGGGGTAATGGGACTTGGACGCTGGGCGACGGCGTGGTTCAACTTGGTGGCGTGGCTGCCATGTCGACCAACATGGTCATTCTTAGTATTGGCGGTGACGCTCACGAGAACTGAAACTTGAATCTCCTCTTTTCCCTCCAAGTTGCCCCTAGACGGTATAAACAAGAGCATGGAGCTGCTGGCCTTATCAACCCCTTGGAACATGGTTGGGGTTCACCAAGTTTTCCATGCAAGAGCGAGCCAAGATGGCTGCGGCCTCGAGCGCCGAAATTGCCAGACCCCTGCAGCAACGACTTGGTGTCGGGTCAGGTCTTGAGACGCATATCCGCGTCGCGGCTCAGCCGGAGGGCCTGCGTCTTGAGGGCGGGCACGTCGGCGTTGACGAGGGTGTTGACCCACTGCTCGTCGAGGTTCTTGACGTCGTCGCACTTGACGGTGCCACGACCGAGCCCGACGGGGACGCAGTTTGCGTAGATGGTCTCGTAGGCGCGGGCGGGCACGACAAAGGTCTCGTGGAAGACGCCGATGTGGGGGAAGCGGCCCTGGTTGTACCAGTTCCAGGCGCTGCGGTGCAGGTCCTCGTGGGCGACGCGGTGGATGCTCTCGACGTCGCGGAAGTAGTAGGTGAGGTTGAAGGTGGAGGCGTTGGCGAGGCCGGCGCCGCGCCACTCGCTGGCGGTCAGGATGCCGAGCTCGTGGCGGCGGCGCATCAGGTCGGCGTTGAGGGCGAGGAAGTGGCGGGCGGCGGCGGGGCCGCCGGGACACAGCGGGCCGAGCGCGTGGTTCCACTGGATGCCGAGGTTGAAGACGACGAGGCCGCGCTCGGCCGGGGTGGGGCCGAGGGTGCCGCCGGCCGAGGGCAGCTGGGCGGTGACGCGGCCGCGGACCACGCCGGCCACGTAGGGATTGCTGCCGGCCGACGACGACAGCCGGTGGGCCAGGGCCGTGGTGGCAAAGGCGAGCAGCAGCACCGCGGCGGGCACGATGGCGTAGCCCTCGGGCAGGACGAGGCAGAAGAGGAGCTGCACGGCGGCGGCAACGAGGAGGCTGTTGAAGCGCACAAAGAAGCCCTTTACGACGCGCTGTATGGCCGAGCAGCTTGTTGGTCAACGGAAAAACACGCGGCGGAGGGGCAGACGAACCGTGTATATGTCTTTGGGCACCAGCTTGTGGGGAGCGCTCGAGGGTGCGAACTCTGGCTTGAATTCGGCGGCCGCCATGGTTGAAGAGGAGCCGTTTTTTTATCACCTGTGTCTTTTCCCCCCCAAGGTCGAGGGATGCTCCTCCTCTTCTTCTTTCCTCACTTGTTCTTGCCAGACCGTGTAGGATTAAGAAGAAAAGTGGGAGAAAAGTGGGAGAAAGAGTGGGAGAATGCGGCGACGGGGCAGTGCAGTTCGTCCAGTCCGGTCCAGTAAGCACCAGTCGACGAGTCAGTCGAGGATGACGACGACTGCTCTCTGATTATACGGCGACGTCATCAGCAGCAGCTGGACCACTATTCTTATATATCAAGCCACGGCCATTGGAGCTTCGACGCCAGCGCCAGGGGTTAAAAAAAACCGGGACATATTTAGTTGAAATGTCACACAAAGTAGCCGCCGTCATCCCTACTTCTTGAACCGCGCATCCTGTCGGCCCTTTTCCCATTCGCTCGCCTGGGCGACAGAGGGGCAATCAAAGGAGAGGGAAAAGGGACATGGAGAAGGGGAAAGATAAGCGAAAAGCGGTGCTGACCTGCCTTGAACGCCTCGCCGCCCTCGTATCCCTCGCATCCGCCCCCAGGCCGCGCGGCGCCGACCATCCTCTGGATGACATGCCCTGCGCAGCATCTTCTCGGCCGCCATGCAACGTCCGAGGAGCGTAACCCGTTAGGATCTCTCCACCTTCTTCGATCCGTGAACCCCAATGCTTAGCGAACCTGCAGGCAGAGTAACTCGTGATCCTATTCATCGCGCGGCTGCTGCGGTCGCGGAAGCGTCCGTCACCCGCAGCTGCTTTTGGAACGGTATTGTGCTTTTCAGCTGTTGCTTGCCGAGAGCTCTATCGTTGACTCGATCACGCCCGACTTTCCGGTGCCACCTTTCGCCGCCGTTGTATGAGAGTTCTCCATTCTTGTGGAATCCGCTCCGCTCGCTCGGCCAGTCGCATAAGAACCTCGCGTCTCATTTTTGGGTTCGCCTTGCCCTACACGATGCTTTTCGTCTCCCTAGAGGCACCTGTCTGCTGTGATTACTGACTCTTGCTCTGACGCCGGAATATCGGCCACGCAGAGTGGCTTTGTCGTCTGATCAATTTTCCTCGACTCCGTAACTTGTTACGCGTCGCTGAAGCTCGTCCGTTGACTATGCTTAAAACTGCTACATCCTTATCCGCAGCCTTGAGCAAGCAAGATCTCCGATCCACCACGCCATCAACACCGGCTACGGACGCCGCAAACCGCCTACGCTCTGGCTTAGTTTTTCAAGACTTCTCTGCTCCACGGCCGACTAGCTTTCCTCTCCTATGTTCTTCTAGATTTACATTTTAGTGGACAAATCACACCAAATAATTGTGGTAGAGATGGTGGCCTGGTCTAGCTAATTAGCTATAGATTGCGGCAACTTGCGAGGCAACCCGACTTTGCGTATAGCAGGCAAGGATTGCTTGCTGATCATGGCTTGGGTTTCTCAGGGCATTATGCTATTCTTTCAGACTGAACAAAACGCTCGCCGGGCTGAAAATGACCAAGGATGACTCGCTCGTTTCATTACATATATCCAGCACTCCCTTAAACGTGTATATACCGACAAACGGCCGAGCCTGGGGGAGGCACGGTAAGTAACTATGTGGAGGTTGGTGGGTTTAAGCATGAAAAGTACATACTCTGAGCTCGGAACTCAACTACTGTATCCGTAGAAGCCTTGTAGGGTAATATATAAGCTTGCATTTCCACGCTTTTGGTTTCTTGGTATGCATTATTACTTTCCAAAGTATCACTGCTACACTCATTACTCGGTTTCTTGATATACGGTATTACTTTCCCAAGTACCACTGCTACACTCATTACTGGATTCCTTGATATACACCATTTCTTTCCAAAGCATTACTGCTACACTCGTTGCATTTACTATGAAGCACTCTGTCGTCCTCGTCGCTTTCGCCGGGCTCGCCATCGCACTGCCTCAGCCGCTTGATGAGTCGACAAAGAGCCCCTTGATACAGAAACGAGCCGACTCCCAGAAATGTGCACAAGAAAACCCTACACCGGAAGCTTGTGGCAACCAAGATTTTTGCTTCCTGTCCACCAAAAACACAGGCAAACCTTGGGAGCATGAAGACCGTTACAATGACTGCATGAAGCAGTTCCAGGGTGCCAGTCAGTCGGCCTCTCAGCCACCAGCCACTCAGGCGGCCTCGCAACCGCCAGTCGCTCAGGCGGCCTCTCCACCTCAAGCCGATCAGGGGGCCTCTGCCCCGTCCCAGAAAAAGCCCTGGGTGAAGGGAGACCAAGTTGACTACATGGGCTTATGCAGCCAGCAGGGTAGAACCGAGAAGCTCTGCGGCGGCACCAAGGGGTACTGTCGACTTCAAGACGTGTTCAAAAACAAGCCCGAGGAATTTACCGACGGCTTTTACGGGAGTGAAAAGGCTTGCCTGGAAGCCCACGAGGCTGATCCTAATCCAACTGTCCAGTCAGACAAGCCACAGAAGCCGGATCACTCCAATGCGGAGTGCAGGGCAGGTAATATCACTCCTGAGAATTGTGGCGATGAAGAGTTTTGCTGGCGATCTACCGACAGAGGCGAAGATGTGCAATCCCATGCAAGCCGTCACCAGGAGTGTATGAGTCGTGTAGGAGGAGGAAGACGCGCATGAAGGGGCTGATGGACTGCTGGCAGCGGACGACCTGAAAATGTCTCTCGCCATGTCAATATTAGATAGCATGATTTATCAAGCTCGCTGCTTTGGAACCGTCGTGGCTACCCACTATCCGTGCCACGCCCTATTTACTTTAAAAGTATAGGTTCACCGCAAATGTGCTTCCATTTTTAGAGGAAAAGCTTCTATTTCTAGAGGATAGGCTGCTCTTTTCGAGGACATTTTGCGAAGCGCCGGTAGCGGGGCGTGTGCTATTTGTCCCCACCCCTCCGCTATAGCTCTAAGGTGCCCCGCTATCCCTAGCCGCGTCGGCCCCTTAATTAAACCGCTAGTATATTAATTTTAATAGCGTTAGAATATATTAATTAATAGATAATATACCGTTTAGCTATAAATTTTTACTTAAATCCTTAGAAGCTTAGGATATATAAAAGTAAAGTATAGTAGTATTAAAAAGCTTACCGCGAGCTTAGTACTCCTTAGCCTATTACTAGTTAAAGTATAAGTATCTTTAAAAATATAGAGCTATTAAAAAGTAATACGCTAAGATAATAAAAGTTAATATATATAGAGTAAAATAGAAATAAATAAAGTAAGCTACTTTTTTTATTATATTTAAGTAATAGGCTAATAAGACTAAATACTATATATATTTACTAGTTAATTTACTTAATTATCTTATAAGATTAATAAAGGAAGATATTATAATATTTTTAAAGTAAATACTTAACTTATATTAAAGGATTTATAAGAAAAGTACTATATATACTTATAAAAGAACTTTTTTCTAGGTATATTAAAAGTCTATTAAAGCTAATTTTAATAAGTATTATAGGCTATACTTATAGAGAGCTAAGGTTATACTATAGTAATAATACTAAAGTTAGGCTAAAGTAAACCTATATATAGGTAGAGCTTAACCTAAACTTAGGCTAAATAGTACTTAAATATAGGTCGAGCTAGGGACTAAGAAAGATAGATAAACTATATAACTAAGATAGAGTTTTCCTTCTCTCTCCCTAGCTTTAAATAAATAATTATTAAGCTATATACTATTACGCTAAGTATACGCTAGCTCTTAATATATCTAAAGCTTCTTTTAAATAAGGCTATAAAGCCTAGAGAGAGATTAAACTAAGAGGATATAATATATATATCTTAATAACTTAGAGGGGGGAGAATAGGCCTAGAGACGGCTAGGAGTAGCGATAGGAGGGCCCGACGCCTAGCTAATAATAAAGTTAGTAATACTCTCGCTATAAGTAAGAGAGGTAGAGATAAGGTATTAAGTAATATAAAGCTAACTATAAATATAAGAACTAATTAGTTAGATTAGGAGGATATACTAAAGAATAAATAAACTAATAAGGATAGGTATATAAAAAGGGGCTAGTAATAAGATAAGTAGTTTAATACTACCTTTAAAAGTAATAAGGGGGGTAATAATACTAATAACTAAAAGGGGAATAATAAGAAAGAATACTTATAAGAAGCCCTTTTTAAGCCTAGGAAAATTTAATAGGTAATAATAGTATTATACCTTATAAGTATAATATATATAAAAGAAGTATAAGATTAATAAAGAATTATTCTTAAGCTTAAGGGAAATCTTCTACCTTATCTATAACTACTTAAACGCTAGGCTATAATAAATAGTCGCTATATACTATAAAATAAGAGTAGAGAGGGGTTATAATTAAAAGGAATTCCTTAAGTACCTTAACTTAATCTACCTTAATATAGATATTTAGTTATACGTAGTAGCGGCGATTTAAATAATAAAATAAAGAGAGAATTAAATATTTATAGTATTCTTCTTAAAGTTTAAGTAAAGACTCTTTAAAGCTAGAAGGGTCTTAGCTATATAACGTTTAGATCGTTTTCTTAAAAGGGGCTCTAAGAGTCTAGCTCTATAAGGTATTAGCTATAGTCGACCTTTTTATATTAAGCTTCGCCGCCTATATTAATTAAGTAGTATAAATAGCGGCTAAGCTAAAGAGGGTTTAGTAAATAAGATAACCCCCTTTAAACTAAAGGAAACTAATAGATATATACCCTTAGGAAAGGAAGGATAGAGATATATAAGGAACGGTGTTCCTACTATAAATAAAGCAGCTATAATATACTCTCCCGATTATATAAGCTAATAAGTAGTATATAAATTATAGATAAAATCCTATCCTATAGAGCTAGAATCGCTCGTTATTTTACATGTTATTATATATTAAACGGGTTGCCGGTTATCGTATAATCGGGAATCGAAGGAATAGAGCTAGCTTAGAATGCTAGCTAAGACCTCTTAAGAATACCGGCACGACTAACCTCCTTTAAACACGAATATTAGTAGAACCAAGACACTTCTAGATTTACTCGAGGTATCATAGAATTCCTTAGTCTTAGGGCTATATAGCAGCCTAAATCTAGTCCCGAAAGGTTCTTCCGTTTAGCTATAATTGTCTATATAAGATAGTATGTCCGCTAGTAGATAGAGATAGAATTATTAACTTTAATACCTCTTCTATATACTAATATAATACTAATAAATTCCGTTGAAAATCCTACCTTATACTCCTTCTTCCCCTCTTTTACGTAGTCTTACGTAATTCCTTAATTTCCTAAAATTCCGCTTTTACTTATATACCTTAAGAGGTTATAAGCCTAGCTTACTTCTTTTAAGCCGGGAAATTAACTTATACCTTTAAAATTTCTCGTCGAAATATTTAATTAAAATTCCTTTCGAAATTCCCCTTAACTTCTTTTACCTTCCTACGCTCTTAAACTCCCGTCTAGACTTCTCGATCCCTACGAACGAAATAATACTAAATTTATATAAAATAGGTAAATAGAAAGAATACGAATTTACTAGACTTAAGGGAAATTTAAATTATACCTTATAGACTACGAGGATAGAAGCTATCCTTATAAAAGAAAAGCTTATTGCTGCTCTAGAGCAAGCAAATTATATATAGACTACGGAGGCTTTATCTATAATATTCCTTCGAGTCGAAGATAGTCCCTTAATATAAATTCGGCATCTAAAAAATGCTAAAGAAGCGTGGGATGAGCTTAAAAAGCTATATAATCCGTCGAATTTTTCGTCGAATTATCTGCTTATTAAGCAGCTCTTTAATCTTAGTCCCTCGGACTCTAATTTAGAGAAATACCTTTATAAGGTAAAGGAAATCTACGAGGATTTAAAATCCCGTAATATAGAAATTCTAGAAGTTGTTCTTATAGTATAGATTCTTAATTGCCTTAATAAGGAATTTAGAAGCTATATTATAAATATTACGTAGAGCCTTAGGTATAATTCTGCGGCGTTTACCCTCGAAACCCTTACAGCTAGTCTTTTAGACGAAGCTAGAAGAATAGAGGATATAGACGAATCTTCGGAGAAAGCCTTCCTAATACGAAGGAAGCCTTAGAAATCCCATAGAAATTCTACGGATACTCCTTATTATAAGGAATGCAAAAACCAGGGCATTTTATAGTAATTAAAAAAGGACGATAGGACTCGAATTTCTAAGAAGAGAAAATCTTCTTCTTCTTCTTCTTCTAGGAAGAAATCCCCTTCTAGTAGCATTTCTACTACTAATAAAAGAAGGAAGGCTCGAATTACCGAGCTAGAGTCCGATTTAGAAGATAGTAATAAGGTCTTAAATATAGCTTTATAAGAAGAAAATATAGACCTAGATATCGACCTTATAGACCTCTCTAGGGCCCCGACCCCTATATATACGTCTAAGGATTTAGAGGTAATTTTAACCTCTATAATTACCCCTATAGTAGAAGCTAATAAAGACTCTCTTTTAGGACCTCTAAAAGCCTCGATTCCTAGAATAAAGGAATTAGTCTTAAAGAGAGAAGGAGGATTTCTAGTTATAAGAATAAAAGGATCTTTGATTTTATATATAATACCGAGCTACTAGGCATATAGTATCTAATAAGAATTTCCTTATTAACTATAAAGAAATTAAGTCTAAAGTTTGCTAGGAAAAGCTTCTTTTATATTAGTAAAAGAAAGGACTTAGTATTTAAGTTCCGTATAGTAGAAAAGGTATATCCTTCGAGACTGCTTTTATATACCCGAATTAGGGTAAATATACTATCCTAATCTTATTTTAATAATACCTATGCCTTAATAGGAGGAAATAAAGTCCTTTTATTAGATAATAAGGCTAAGGTCCTTACTAAAGGATTTCTTAGAAATAAATTATATTATATTCCTATAAAACCTTTATTAGAAAGCTAATTAATCCTTATTACGTCTTTAAAGGCAAGGGATATAGATTTTTATACTTAGCACTTACGCTTAGGGCATATAAATAGTAGGGCTATTTTAGAAATATTAAAAAGATATAATAAGGATATAAAAATGCCTTTAAAAGAGGAAAATAAAATAAGATAGTGCGAAATATATATTAAAGCTAAAGTAACGAATAAGGTTAATAAATAACCTTTATATAAGTCTTATACCTATTTAGAAAAAATAGTATTAGATATTTAGGGGCTAATTAAAGTACTTACTTATAATAAATATTACTATTATATTTCTTTCCTAGATATAGGAACCCGATATCTAGAAATATACTTTCTTCGAAAAAAAAGGGAAGCTTTAGATAGGTTCCTAGAATTTAAAAATAGGGTAGAAAATAACCCTAAAAATACTAGGATTAGAGAAGTATTTTATAATAATACTAAAGAATTTATATATAAAATAAAGCTCTACTACGAAAAAGAAGGAATTACCTTTAATTCTAGTCCTCCTCGGACGCTAGAATCTAATAGTAGAATAGAAAGAATAAATTATACTATATTAGAAAAAGTACGAGCTCTTTTATTTACTACTAGGCTTCCTAAATACCTATAGGGAGAAGCTGTTTTAATAGCTACCTATTTATATAATAGATTACCGTATTCTACGATAGGATTTAAAAGTCCTATAGAAAAGAGGGATAATATAATACT